CACAGACTATAAGCAGGATGAAGAATCACAGATTAGTTTAGTTTTGAGAAGAAGAAGAATATCAGAAACTTCACTTTTAAGAAGTGTACCCATTTCTCTGGATTAAACAACACTGCTGTGAATTTAGCAGTATAATCTAGTATGTAAAAAAAAAATGAACCCATTACAGAGGAGCTTAAAACTGCAGTCCCTCAAGTGTCCACTGGAGACAGTACTTAAAAGTGAGGGCAGCCCTGACAACACCCGTGTTAAAATGTCTGATTTTACAGCAGAAATGATCATGTTTACAGTCTTTGTGGTCTTAAGAGCTCCTTTTGCCACACTTTGTACATTCTTTGTCATTACTTAACTATTTTGTGAATATAAAGGTGAGGAGTTTTGCATAATTAAAGCCCTGATGAGAAACATTCTGTTTTTATCTTGACTCTGGCTTTCCGTGTGGACAAATAGGCAACCCTTATACTGCTACTGATTTCAACTTATCCTTGTGAAAATGGAGTTCACTGACAAATAAACACTTCCTGTTGTCCTTTTACAATGAAATGTATCACTCACAAACAATATTTGTATTTTACTGAATGGCATTGTCTCTGTGTTCGTGCTTTGCCTACGTTTAGTTCAGTATATTATGTATATCACTTGTTCTAACAGTCAGTAAAGAGAGAAATACATCCTGAAAGTGGTCTTCTTTTTGATTAAGTTTTGGGTTTACTTACTCTAATGATTTTCTTTTTCTTGTCACGGAAAGCATTAGCAGAACAAACTGAAAGCCTCTTTAATGATGATCTGTCTCTCTATGAAAGATGAGACGGGGAGTAACAAAATCCAGAAACTGAAGGGATAAAAGATGAGGGATCAGAATAAAATTATGTAAATTTAACAAGAACAAAAAAGGAGCATAAAGCAGATAATTTCATACAGATCTTAATGGACATCTAAGAAATAGTTCAAAGTTATTTAAATCTTCATGAATGAACGTCTGTATCCACATCTGCTCTGTATCTGAAATGTTTGTGTCTTTTGGCACTTTCAGGACTCAATACTTTCCCAGCAATTTGAACAAAACTTTTTGCATTAAACTGCATAGCTGTAACTATATGTTCTCTCATACTTAAAAACTCATAATTGATTAGTTATATTATTTCAGAGCTCCACTTCAGGCTTTAACAAAAACCAGGAACAAACAGAGAGAAATACCACATCAGTTTAACTCCCAAAGCCTTTAAGGTTAATATCAAGGTTCTTTAACTAGTTTACAAGCCTCCGAATGGTGCAGAGCTGCCTTAAATGACTAATTCAGCTGGTTTATAATCATTGACAGTGTTGTGTGTCCTCTGCTGATTGTTCTCTATGTCAAATAGGACACCCAAGGAAGAAATGCGGAGCACAGCCTTTTATTGCTTTGCTCAAAAACACCGATTTTGTATTAAGGCTTTAAAAGGTGCAAACCCTGTGACTAATTTTAAAAACAAATGAAAATGAATTCATGTCCCACTGCCTTTCATCAGGTATCGCTCTTCTTTTTTTAGTTTTTCTTTAAAGCAGAAACCTGTTCTGGCTTTGTTGTCCCTGTTATGTTTGTTTTTCATTTGTTTGTCTCTTCAGTATTTGTACATGTTTGAATTTCATATCCATCTCCTGTTTCTATATTGTTTAAAGGCACTTGAACCTACATGAAGATAATTTAATTACAGTAAACATTTATTCAATACAAAAGTTGTTCCAGCTGATCCCGTTCACAGGAAGTTTCTGATTTTGTGAGGCACTTTTTCGGAATAAAGGCCTTTTTTTCAGTGCTGTTAGGTCCTCAAAACAAATTTCTTTTGTTAAAAAAAATAGAAATACAGATAAATTTCACTGAAAATAATTTACCATGATTAATTAACCTTAAGTTAAATCAGAAAGTGTGTTTTTTACCTCTGAGGTAAACACCTTTAATGACATCATGGTGTTAATCTGATTTTATCACTGTTTGAATCTCGTAGTTTACTCAGAGAGATTATGTCGATTGTCGCTCCGCCTGATGTCATCTGAAACAAGAAACCAGCGCTGAGTGTCACAAACACTCTTCCTGTATGCTCAGATTGGATTATAGGAGATGAACACACCCTGTAGGTCCCAGAATAGAGTCATCAGCGCTGATGGATAGGTCTGTCAAACAGGATGAGCTGATCAATGCTCCCCGCCCGCCCAGCCCTTCAAACACACAGAGTGAGACTCCAGTCAAACAGAGTAATCAAGCACACAAAGGGGAAATGCAGATTACCTGTTGCTATGACGACTGCAGCTGTGGTGTGACAGCCATGGGCTCTGACAGAGACCTGCAGAGAGCGAGCAGAAATCTGATATTTGTGAGTGGGCCAGGTGCTTCCTAATAACCAACAGCAGCTATGAAACTACAAACCTGGTTAGAGTTTTGTTTCATGATACCGTACATCCATGTGCATGATAACATATGTCCATGCACCTTTTTCTGATTAAATTATTATAATTTAAAAGTGCAGTGTGTAGAATTGGACAGCATTTAGCAGGACAGACTTGGTAGAAATGGAATAAAATATTATTAATCAATATTTAATCATCTGTATCTAAAAACATGCCCCCTTTTAGCAGACAGCTAATTGACCTATTGTGTCATGTACCAAAACAATTGACAAACAGATCAGCAAAAGAGTAATACCTTTCATGTCGAGTGATAAAAACACTGATTCTTCGTTCTGTATTTGGATCCCCATTAGCTTAAACAAGGTGATTGCTTGTCTTCCTGGGGTCCACACACTAACAGCCTTACAGCTCGGTGCCATTCACATGTATGACATCTTTGTCTTTTTTTCTCCCCTTCCTCTTCTGTCAAGGTTTTGTTTACTGAAAACCTCATCACAATACATTAGTGCACTTCAACTTCTGGGTCAAGCCACATATGTATTTTAACAGTCCAGAAGTACAAAAACTGTAGTTCCTTGAGTGTCCACTTGAGGCCCGCTGCAAGAGCAAACAAAACCTATTAGGTCTACTGTTTAAATGACAGAAACATTTAAATGAAAAATATGGGTTTGGTCCGGATGGCTTGTTCCTGTTTTCATGCATACTTAACAGGGAGTGACTTTTTCATAGCTCATTTATTAGGAAAATATTTAGGCAAAAAGTTTTCCATAATGAGGCATAATAATGGGCATGGCCCAATTGGGCACAGTGGCTCAGGCTCGCCTCAACGCTGACGTCTTTCTTTTGTTAGGTCAATCCAAATGTTAGACGGAGTCTAAATTTCCAATAATATCCATTGTTTGGCTTCAGAACGCCTCCTCAGAAACCAATATTGGTCAACTCCCTATACTCTCCAAATGATGCACAACTCCTCACCTCAATATGATCAAAACAATGAGCTGTAGAGATATTTGACCCCAAAACAGAATTCACAATTAAAAAAAAAAAACATTTGATAATGAAATAATTTTAAACCCACTGTAAACATGTTTATTTCCGCTGTAAAATGGACATTTTAAGAAAACTGAATTTGAGCGGGGGGCTGAAAGTGAATTCGTTGGCCTTTGCAGCAATCCTCATGTGGATCATGGAGGAAGCGCAGATCTTTACCTTCAAGTTAGCTTCATTTTTCAATTCTGGGATTTGCTGCTTGCCCTGGACCTGAACTCACCATGTCAAAACATTTCTTCAATCTCAGTGATGAAGTGTATAGATTTGTCTTTCGGTCAAAGCTGTTTTCAGATTGTTTATTCATTATTCCCTTTCTAAATAATATTACAACTGATAATATTTAGTACTGAGCATCAATTTTTGTGAGCTTACTTATCTTCAGTTTTGGTTCAAAGGGCTATATCAGTGTAGGAACATTGCCAAAGTGAGAAAATCAAATATTCTTCCACATGGCATATTGAATTTTAATCCATATGTTTGCTTTAGTTTACATGCAGATGAAACATTTGGATATCATGCAAAACTTTTCAAAGGCTGGATTTTTGGATTGATGTGACATCCTCTGTATGTTGCAGGGCAGCTGGGAGTCACAGAATAGACCCCCTCCATCTCCTCTTAAAACCACCCCCGCCTCCACCAAATGACCCCCTCCCCCAGCCCCTCATCATCATCATCAGACACCAGCAGCTGGCAGCCTGCCCCATTTAACTCTCTGCAGCACTCACCGGGCCTGGCTAATCACTGGTGCTCAGCAGCACCATCCCCAGCCACCACACCTGCCCCCTCGCTGGTAGTGGGACTGTCCCATCTGGGACCTTATGACAGGGAATTTCTGAGGGGAGGGGATGTCCTCTAAGTTTCCAAAACAGCTCAAGTGAAAAGTAAATCAAGATGTCAGGGATTGGAGACGACTTAAAGCCATCCACGGGGTTTATATCAAGTCTAAAACTACAAGTATTTACATTTTTACAGGAAGTATTTTAAGCTCCGAAGAATGTCTCTGTGTTTGTGTATGTGCACTGAAACCTTCCTGTGCACACTTGGCAGACTCCCAGCGGTCAAAACAACAAACTTCATGACATCCAGTCTAAAAATATCCTCTGAGTTTAAAGTGAGGTTATATACCGTAGGTGCCTTTGCCTCTGCAATCAGGTGGGGTGATTTAAAAATAAGAGCATTGTATAGGTGACAATGCAGGGCGGCAAGCTGTGAGGACTTTGTGCTGAGATAAGCCCTCATCATTAGCAGAGAGCAGATGGTAGGTTGATCAGGCACATTACTGAGCTGCTCCGGTATCTGTCTTTCTCATTAGAAAACACATTTGCTCACAGATACCGCATGAGGTGATTCATTCAGCTTTGCTTTAAAAAAATTTTATGTCTATGACAAAAAATGGGTTTAATTGCACCAAATGCACTGAGGCTTAGCAACCTTTTTGTTAATTGTTCTCTTACTTTCCACTCTCTTGCAGGTTTGCTCTTTAGTAGAGAGTTTTTGTCTCCATGCTCCAAGCAGGGATTTATGCAATTAGTAAAATATTTAATGTGTTTCTTATGTAGAGACTGTGGTTTTGAAATAAGATTCAGTTTTATCAAAAACGACCCCCCTCTGTGATCAGCAAATAAGGGTTTTATTTTACCAAAAGCTAGACTCCTGCTACACAATCTATTTCGACTCTTTAAATCAAGGTTAACATGTAAAAGTTAACTAGTTCCTAAGCAGACAAAGGCATTTGTATCTTTTTTAGTTATTAATAAGTCTTTAAAATGCTTTATCTGATTAAACTTTGTTTGGCAAGCACATAAACATCAACCAATTGTGTATTTTTTTCTCTTACCTTTGAATTTACCTTAAAGGTATTAAATGTTTAAATTGTTCTATATTATCTCCATTTTTATATCTCCAGTTCTAAAAAAGTAGGTAAAACAGACTTTGATAATATGCAAACTGAAACTCTACATTTGATTGAAATCAGTGCAAAGGCAACATATTACACATCGAATCCAGGGGCATTACCCAAAGGTATGGGCACAGAGCTATTGCCTATGGGTGGTTCTTCAGTTTATCTTTGAGAGCCCCTCACATGAAGGCCCTGTATTTTTGAGTTCCCTTAATTATTGTTTTATGAAAAAATATCACATTTAATTTCATGGAGGAACATCTACTTGAAAGGCTTGGAAGCTGTCGAGTACAATTGAGTCATAATTTCCCTTCAGCCTAGAAAATAAAATTAAAAAATCAAAGTCAATAGATGAAGAGGCACCGAGGCAGTGACTTTACACAGGGAGAAAACTGGGGAATAAGCCAAAGAATAATGGCGCCTGCAGTCTGTCGAAACCCTTCCCATCTTATCACTTCCCACCCAGATATGAAGAGTCACCCAATATGGTGCTGCTTTTAAGACAAAGAGGTTGTTTTCACCTAGTATTAATACACCTCCTTCGTGATCAGATCATAAGTGGACAGCTTTCAGGTGTACTCACCTCCTGTCCAGGGTCATTTGTCCACAGTGGCCTGTCAGCATATATGCTAATGTATCTACTCCACATCTGAATCCAGTTTATCTCCCTCTCCCTCTATTAAGATTTTCTTTTTTTGTAATTTGATGTTTTTAAGTCTGACAAGGATGAATCAGGCCCTGTGTTTATCCGCATACAGAGCAGGAAGGTGAGATCTGATCACGTGGCCTCTGGAGAAGTATTTGAGGACACATGATGATGAAAAGTGAGCTGAACTTTCCACTTGTGATCAGATCACCCAGGAATTATGTGAACAGAGTGACCCAAAAACATTTCCATGAACCTAATTTGGCTGAAATACTATCCTAATGTCATTTTAAGTTATTCAATCATATTTTTCAGACTGCAAATAAAAATATGAGCAGCCATAGATTTTCTTAACTGTAATAAAACAACAACTCAACACAAGTTTTAATACTTTTTATGCTTTTTTATTACATTTTTATTCATTAACTTTACAAGCACAGCCTCCCTCTATGGTTTGATATGTGTACTACTGTCAGTCAGTGATGCTTTAAAGGTATTGTATACAGAAATAAGAATGTCAAGTGGTATCTAGTGGTCTGATTCTAGATCAAAACGCTTCCTTGCTTTGATGCATAAGTATGAGCCTCAACTTGCCAAGTTTTTGCTGTCAAAAATATTGATTGATAGAAAGTATTTAACAAAAACCTCTCTTATCTCCTTTTTCATCCCCCGGCCGGAGCATTTTGCATGGCAATTCGCTAAATACAAAAACACATATGTAACTGGTTTGTCCATTCTGTGCTCCTGAGGAAACATGACCGTGCAAGATAGCAACCTTTGTGAAAAAGCACCTGCGTCTTATGCGGATATGCAAGGCTCATCTGAAGACAAGCATGTAAACAGTATATAAGGGGATTGTACACATATTTAAATGACCTTAAAGCTCCTGTGAGGAGTTTTTGTGATGTCTACGAAATACACTAAAATTTATACTGGTTCCTTTTTGTAACATCCAAAAGCAAACAAGACCTTCAGCCACATGACTGATGATTTTATCTTAATATTTAGTGCCTGAAATTGGTGCAAGGGGATCAGTGTAAGCTGAGCAGTTTAAGAATAAGCCCTGTCATTACCATTTCTACACAAAATCTTCACAGTAAATGATGTGTTTGACTGTTAAAATGGAGGGATTTCTATTATTTATTTTTAAAGTCCTCAGGTACTTCCCTGTGCAGTAAATAAAAAGACAAGCAAAAATTGCTTGGGGATGTCAAAATCAACACAAACTTAAAGGTTCCTCAGAGGAGCTCAAAGTGTTATTTTCCATTCAACAAAGTCTGTCATAAATGCTGCTAAGTATGGCACACTATTTTTTCAACACACAGGATGTTCCTGACAGATGAGTTACTCAAATTAAAGCTCCAGTGAGCAACTTTCTATTCTTGTTGAGTGAAGCATCCCCTGTGGACAAAAAGGTGCCACTGATCTCCTTGCCAATCTTGTTCTGTACAAGTGTGAGAACTGTTTTCTGAATAAAAATCTCATCCTGGTGTTTTAACTGTCAAACTTAATATTTTAAAAGAATCTTTGTTGTAAAATTGGATTGAAAATAAAGTCTGTTTGAGCAGCATAATGTAGCTCACTTTGTCTGATGTCCCTTTAGCAGAGGAAACAGGCCGTACAATGTTTAAAAAAAATGATCAGTCTTGATCACTGATGGTCTTGTTTGTTTATAAGCACCTGCGTGCATTAACGTTTAAAATTACTTACAGGATCTTTAAAATGAATTTCTGGCATTTGTCACACAAAATACAAAAAAATTAGGTGTTGTATAATGACAGTATAATGCAGTAATGTTTTCATTTGCTGATTTATTGTTTTATTTATTGATTCATTGCTGTGATTTTGACACAATTCATAAGCAATGTTTTCAAAGTGCTCAATAGAGATTTAATTCCTTATAAGTACTGACCCACTGTTGTTCATGCTAATGGGCAATTTATATCTGATGCATACGAGTACCTAAAAGTGTTTGTCAGTTTATATAGATGCAGCTTTATTTAGACAAAAAAGAAAGTGAAACTGAAGGGTTACTTTTCTAATCTCCAGGATCTTGGCTGACACTTGTTCTGTTTGAAAACATGTCTTCTATCTATGTGCTGAGGGAACAGTCAGTCTAAAACCATCTGGTCTTATTCTCATCAGTCTGAGCTCAGTCAGATGGTGACGTACCCACAACACACACCAACATACTCTCTCTTTCCTATAAACACTTACTGTGATTTGCCAGTATGTTCGTGTAGTAGCGCTGCTTGTTGGGGGTATTTATGAGGCAGATCATATGGCAGGGCTGCTTGTCAGCTTTGAGTACAGAACAGGCGATGAAGATTCATCTCCCTTGACACGCGCTGACATAGAAAACTATATTTAGCTGCTGGCGTCCGTGCGTAAAATGACGCTGGCGCAGACGCAGGAACAATGGTTGTGGACTGAATACTGATTCAGAACAAGAAGAGGCAAACTGTGACACGCAGTGGAGTTTAAGGAAACATTTTTACTCAATGACATTGTTGTCCTCTTAAGGAGGTTTTTATATACTCTCTAATCTCATTCATTCTGATCCTGGAGGACGAGAGTACCCGGATCATCTCCTTTTAGTGTTAAAGCCAAAGAGGTATGTTTATGTGCCCGCAGATTGACATTTAACGGTAATTAATACAAAATGGAATACTTTCACTTAAATAAGATATACTTTATGTGACCCTGACAAAACAGTTGCAGAGTTGGACCCTCATTAAATGACACTGAGGTCATTTCAAACTCCTTCAAACAGAGACCAGACCCTCTGTAAATCCATTAATGAACTATTCCCCAGTATGTCATTAGGTCCTGCTTGTTTGCTGTAGGCTAGTCTGTGAGGAGGAGGAGGAGGGTGTAGGCCTACTGCACTTTATGAATAATGAAAAAATGACGTAAACAATGCGGTCCTCATTGCAGCTCGGGCTTGAGGCTGGAGGCGGGCGCAGCGAGGCGTGATGCGGCCGTGACGTCGATTGAGTCGGGGATCTTTAATCCTCTGCCGCAGCAGCAGCACAGCCGGTAACCGGAGGAGGGGGTAGCACAGTCGGACAGGAATGGACCGCACAGGCTAGCATAGCCTACAGCAAGGCCGAAATAGCTCGGTCTGTAGATAGATGAAAATATCACCAAGGAAAAGCGAGATTAGGACTAGAACGAGCCGACTCTCTGCGCAGGCCGGACCCCCTCCTCTCTGCTGCTGCCTGGAGTCCTTCGCTGACACTCTCTTCGTGTAATAAAACGGTAGTTGAATATATTGAAAATACAAGTTGTAGCTTTATTTGAGAGCAGATTCGGTATCTTTTATCCGGCTGACGGATCCGAAGCCTCGTCCTGCCGGTTTCCTAAACCCTTCAGCTGCTTCATCGCGTCTCCGCTGTTCCTGTCAGCTGCTGCGCATCAGCAAAACATGCAGGATGAGCCTGTGGGGGTGACAACCACGCAATTACCCCCGTCAACAGACGAAAAGGACAGCAGCAACAGCAGCACGGTCAGCAAATCCGTAAACCAACCGAGCCAAAGCGACAGCCAGGGCTGCCAGCTGAGCTCATTCAGTCCGGATTACAACCAGAACCGGGAGGCAGTCTTCGCCGAATTCAACCCAGAGCGTTTTATCCCAGCGCAGTCTCTCTGTGACCTTCAGCACACCCGAAAAATACATCAGCAGTTCAGTCAGCACACTCACTTCAGCCCCTCACAGTCGCCCCCACCCCAGGGACACTTCAGTCACCTGCCCGAGCAGTGCGCTGCCGACCCCCGCGGCTCTCCACCGGAGGAGGCTGAAGCTGATGCTGCGTCGCCTTCGCCTACTTCCGTAAAACCAAACCGGCTCCAGATGGACTCCCCCATCGCACACCATATCAATGGCAATGGCAGCAGCACCGGCAACATGTTGTCCGGAGGTCTCAGCGCCGCCTTCCCGAACCTCCCCACCCAGGAGCTGCAGAGCAGCAGCGTAGGAGGCTCATCCTCACCTTCCCTCCCTGGGTTCGGCACCCCCTGGTCCGTCCAGACCAGCTCCTCGCCCCCTCCCGCACCTATCAACCCCATCCACGCCAACGCCATCAACCAGATGCCCAACACGGACTCTGACAACAGCTTCTACCCAGGTATCCCCTCCTCCATCAACCCGGCCTTCTTCCAGAGTTTTTCGCCGGTGTCAGCTAATCCGTGCGCCGGGATTAACGTGCAGGGCTTCAGCGGTCCTTTCTCGCCTCAGATCAACGTCCCCCAGCAGCCGCAGAGCCGCAGGTCCCCGGTCAGCCCGCAGATGCACCCCCAGCAGGGCGCCTTCCTGCAGCAGAGGAACAACTACAACCAACATCAGGTGAGCTGCTGCTGCTGCATCACATGAGACAGACCCAGAGCTTCATGTCTGATTGATCCTTGTGTAACATGTCAGGAGGAGGTAGGCCTCAGGCAGACAGATCTGTTCTTCTGACATGTCTGAATCAGGAGAGGTTTCATTCATCCTGTATTTTCAGCGCAGGCCCACACTGGGGTGATTTCAGGTTAGGGAGCGTCTGCAAATAATATTCAACCCAAAAAGCGTGGTCTGTGTGTGGGAGTATGTGCGTAAATGCGTATGTGTGTGTGGTTGTACATTTTGTTCCCAATCTTTAACAATTGCATTTTATTTCTGTTCAATAATCCATTTAACACGCATGGACTGAATCCCTTCATTTTAAGGATAGGGATGGAGGGATGGGAGGAGGGGGTGAATAAGGGAGCATCTCTGAATCTGGCTGTTGTTCTCTCCTGAAGCAGCAGTGGGATGTGGTCACATGACTCCAGACCATCCCTGTCTTGTGCTTCAGTCAGTGGGAACACAAAGGCTCTCAGGGTTTGCTGTCCTAAATGGAGGCGTGTTATTTGGGTGAAATGAGAACAACTCGTATCTCGGTTTGTGAGTGTGTGTTTGTTCTTGTGTGTGTGTGTAGGCAGATTGTTATGGCTGTGTGATACAGATGAGAGTACTAGTACGCCTAGAGGGGCTTTGAAAAACTGCAGTTTTTTCTTAATTCAAAAACATCACACAGATTTCATGGAACTGTTCACAAGAAAAAATGATATTGAAGATGAAGTCAGTAAGCACATTTTGTGGAAAACTTAATATTAAGATGAATTTAAATCCCAGCTGCTATATAAACAATCTCACTAAATGCATTGTTGATGTTTTTTTCTATTTGTAGGGCAGTTTGGATCCTAAATTATGGATAAAAGTCATAATAACACAAAAGTAGTTATGATACAGTTGAAAAATGAAGATGTTTTTGAAAAACAAGATAACAGCGACTACAATTAAGGTCAGGGCCAGGGAGCGGTTGCTTTTAATGGTTTATTTTTCTTTTATACAGGAAGAAATCAGCCACCAGTTATATTGAAACCAACGATTAAGAGTAAATTCACTTAAAATAATCTCAAAAGCGTTACATTATTCTTTAGAAGTTGAGATTTAGAGTGTCAGGACCTTCAGATGAAACACCACCAGCTGCTGTTGTGTGTTGCGGTCATCTTGGAGCTCGTGTGTCAGTAGCTTCAGGTTTCTCAGGTGATTTGCATACAGGGTGTGTATGCCTATGTGTGAGTGACTGGGTGTGCCTTAAAGAGCTTCTCCATTGTCATTGTTTTATTGACCTTTAGCCCTGTAGTTTGCTTATGAATGCTTTGCAAATAAATTCATCAAAAATGAAAGGGACAGATATGACTTAATCCAAATCCTGTTAATCCCAAAATGCTGCAGACGTGCCTTCTTAGATGACCCTGTACCAAGTAAAAAATACACCCTTGTGTGTTCCTGTCACTGGATAAAACAAAATACAGGGTCTTTTTTTGTACTTTTCCTGTTTAAAACATGTAAAAGGACATCCTCTGGATGCCTTTTCCAATAATGTGAAAAAGTTTCCGTTTGGATGTCTTTTTATTGAGTTGAGTGCCCTATAAATGCCCCTCCAGTATTTTAGATCCAGAAATGTGTCATTTGGATACTTTTTCAATTGATAAGCCATCATGGATTGTGGCCTGGATGTCTTTCCAGTGTACAGAATTCTAAGAGTACTTTCTGTCACACAACGTCAAAAAAAGTGCTCTCTGAATGCCTTTCCAGTGAATAAAACCTAAAATAAATAGCCTCTGAGTGCCCTTCTAGGACAAAAAAAGTTGCTTTTTGGATGCCATTCCAGTAAATCCAATTTAAATAAGTGGTTTTCTGGATGCCCACCTGGTGTCTAAAACATTAAAACAAGTACGGTCTGGAATTTAAAAAAAAATTACGATAGGATCAGATCACAGTTGTTTAAATGTGACTGTTTTCTAACAGGGCTGAAAATTCTTTTGCAGTTACTGTTTTCTTTTACAGTTCTGATGATGAGATCTTTTTTCCAGTATGTCACTGTAAACTATTTGTGAAAAAGCACGAGGTTCTTTATATTTTCCTATTTTGAGGATAAAGTCAAAATGTTGGGAACAAATTAAGCCAGATATTAAGTGCCCAGCAGAAGGAGATTTGCTTGAATCTTAACATGCAAATGTCCTCTGCTCTGTATTTTCTTGCACATAGCCCTGGGTCTCTGGAAATTTGAATTTATTCAAATATTTCCTGCATTTTCAGGGATGCAGGACAAAAAGAAATCCTGCTTCTTCTCTCCTCCCCATTACACACTTCTGCTGCTATTTTCAGTGTGTGAGAAACAAAGTCAATTGTCCTCTGTGTAAGATTTTCACGTGAAAGCACGCAGCTTTAAGCCTGACACAATTCAATGTATGATATGCTTAAGAGTGGACACAAGGTCCAGGTATAGAGAGAGTGTGTGTGTGTGTAACTTACACTGGCGGTGTCGCTGCACACGGGATACTTAGTATTAGTCTTAAAGCCCTAAATCTTCTTATACACCCCTCTGGTACAGGAGCAGATCAAGCTAGGCTGTGTGAGGAAAGAAAGGAGAGAAAGAAATTGAGAATAATATGATGTATAGATATTAAAAATAAAAAATAAAAAAATAAGAAATTGACTAACATTTGCCTTTTTAACGTTGCATGTTCTCCCACTCTTTGTCCTTCCTGCAGCCAATGGTGAAACCGTCTCCCTGGGGCGGTCACCAGGGGAATGGCTGGGGCTCTGGGGGGATGTCTTGGGGCCGAGACCACCGCAGAGGGAGTGGCATGGGTGTACCTGGCTCGGTGAGTCACATCTCCCCCCTGAAGAAGCCTTTCTCCAGTAACGTCATTGCTCCCCCCAAGTTCCCACGCTCTGCAGGATCACTGGGGCCTAAATCCTGGATCGAGGAGAACATGTTTCGCACGGACAGCAACAGCAACTCCTTGTTGCCCCTCCAGGTAAATGTTTTGGGTTGTTACTTCACTGCTTGGTGTTGGAGGATAATCAGTTTAGTGTAGGTGTTTGTTTGGAAGCAGGGACATTGTGAGAATCAGAGGCCGTAAAGGTGGGAAAACCCAGAAACAGGGCATATGATTTAGAGCTTGAACAAAGAGGATGATGATGGAAAAAATTGTGTGAGAAACTAAAAGAGATTTCTTTCAGTCTGTTCAGAAACAAAGCTATGTGGAGCCTTGAGTTTGTTCATGTAAATTAACAGGGAGTAGCAGCCACGGTTAGCATTTCAAACAGATGGAAGTTTGAGCTGCTTTGCTCTGCAGGCTTTACTAAAGGTGTAACAAAGTGGGGGCTGGGAGGCTTTCGCAAGGAAGCTCACTTCTTGTAGGTGAGACCTATCTCAGCAACTAAGACTCAGTTTTTCATGCACCAAAGCCCTCAAGAGATCAATTTAATCACTCTACTCCTACAAAGTGATGTCTATCTATTCTGCCTATCTGAGGTCTGTTAATATGTACAGCTTTTAGCTAATGCATGCGGTAAACTCTAGTTGATCCCTGTTTGGTCATGTTTGGATCCGATTTCACCAGTTTTCTTTACTACAAAATAGCCGACATCTATGTGATTTATTTTCATGCAACCAAACAATATTGAAGCTTTTTTGCTTTTCTCATGCAATTTCAACTCTGTCCAATTTGTTGACATCTCATTTCTAGTCTAGTTTTGTTTTTTAGTGGATTTAAGAAATGTTTTCAATGCAGGTGGGACTAAGCTAAAATAGCATGTCAGTTTATTTAGTTTATTAGTCTACCATAGGTGGAAATGTATCCACTCCCAACAGACCAGAGCTGGAGAATAATCCGAATGAACTGATCATAATACAGCACTAAGAGATAAAACACATCCAGTGTCCTTTTTTTTTTCTTAGACAGCACTAACCCTAAGTGAGGAGTGAAAGTGTCTGCAAAAAAAGGTTTCAGGGTGGAGCTAGTTTTGGTGGAGCATTTGCACATGGCGAGGAAAGCCCTGGAGTTAAAATGGCTTAATCCCATATATAAACTGTATATAAGAAGAGGGTGTTGCCTCTGACTATGAAAAGTAAAGCCAGTGTTAAAATGTCTTTTATTCTTGATGTCCAGCAGGGAACACTCAGAACATTCAAACGGCGGCTTTATAAAATCCTAAACATGTGGCGAGATGGGAGTCCACAGGCCAATGATGAGACTGTGCCGAACTCCAAGAAAGAGACAGATTAAACATTTCAAAAGTATGCAAACCAAGACCAGCCTGGTTACGCAACATAAATCTCTGCCAACGCCTTTTAGCGTTCCGGTTGCTAGCTTGGAGACTGATTGATGTAGAAACAGTGATTTTCGAGGACTCGCAATAAGCAGACGGTCAAAAGGATGGATAATTCTGTTTGAAATATAAGGCAAGCTTTTGAATACTGGCTATATCCTGTGAGTCAGACTATTAAATTATGGTTTGGATATGTGCATGGCATGCAAGCAGAAAGTACCTTGAGCCTGAGGCGTTTCTTGTTGGACATTGTGAACTACACAAAGTATTATGCAGCTATTGCCAACAGAAGTATCTGACAAATAATTGCAGAAATCATGATAGTTTCGGTGTAGAATCATAATTTACCATCTTTGTAGTCCCTATATTTATTTGAGGTTTTAATCCTCAAAATGAATCTCTCGAGCTAGTTCCTTTGTGTTCGTGGCATTTCTTTATAAAACAGACCAGAAAGCACAGTTTATAATGCGGGACACATTCAGTTCTCAGCAGAGGTAATAAAACTGCAAACATAATTAATAACAGTGTCTGCTTTTAATAAATACATGACTTCATGTTAGGATAAAGGGAACACTTAAATGACTTCGGACAGAAACGATTTTTATCAGTGTGACTCACTCAGACCGAAATAATGATATAATGGTGTCAGCACTTGATTTTACTGTTTCTCTGGACTCAGATTATTAGTGATATCAGAGCCAAGAAGTACAGCACTTCCTATTCCAGGAAACAGGCCTGACTCAGTGGATTGTCAATTTCCATAAACAGCATAGGAGCCGAAATATTTCAGATTCCAGCTCTTTTCCTTCCTTCCTTTCTGTTTAATGTTTGGCAGTCAGTGACACATCTCTGCAGTGTCATGTGTTTCACATCACACAGACGTGATCGCAGAGGAGAGGAGAGGGTATGTTTGACTTTCAGTGACAAAACTCAGTTGTCTGCTGGGTCACTCAGTATTTCTTTGAATTACATATCAATAATTTCAGTGCTAATGCACTCCATCAATCTGGAACACCGGAGTGAAAAATGGTTATAGATCTACCTTCTTTCCTAGAGTGTTCCCAATATTTTCAGTAAAAAAAAAAAAACAGTGCAATTTCTATTTAGATGTGTGATACCCAAGCTTTTTTCACTTCTTTTCTGAATATATTTTGCCAAACAGTGAACGGAAACATTTAGAAGAAGAGTTAACATGCAGAAGAAAAGCAGAGGCTGGGAGTCAAACCAGCATTTTAGCAGACTAGGCCCTATTTACAAGCTCCCTGTCCCATTTAGTTAAACCTCTGACACGCTGACCAAATGAGACCAAATAAGCCTCTGAACCTTTTTCACAGTGTTTGGAGAAAGATATTACCAAAGTCAAATGCTCCAGATGCTCCCCAATTACTCCTGGGCCATTCCTAACATTAACTCTTCTTTGGTGATAATGGTGACATGTATCCCACCACACACCAGGTAGCCCTTAAAACCCTTGAGCATTTCTTGAAGGCCCACACCACCCAGCAGGGTAACAAACTGTTAGGAAGAAGTCCTTTTTAAAGCCACAGTCAGTACATTCAAATGTTTTTGAAAAACTTGATTTTGTCCGACTGAAGGTGGACAGTTAAGATACATGTGAATGCATGAGTCTGGCTGAAATCGCATTAAATGAAATTTCTCATAGTCCGACTAACGAAGCACAGGTCACACATCAGGCTTTGACCCAGAAATTAAACAGCATAGATGCATTGTAGGAAACTGTGTGGAAAACAAAACTTAAAAAGAGAGAGAATGGATGTAAAAAATAAAAAAAAAGACAAACGGTCATGTCATGCACACGAGTACAGAGCTGTAAAGTTATTGGTGTTTTCAGCATATGACAAACATTCATTGACCTCCTGCTAATGTGTTTGTTGATTAGTAGGCTGATTTGTTGACTCTAAGTAGTCACATCAGTGTATTTCAGTGGTAATGTTATTGGTAATGTGGACCCCTCTGGTGTTCAACCTCTGTAAGATGCAGCAGTAGGTTTTTCTGAACAGAAAACATGGCTGAACACTGTAATGTACACTGGGTTGTGTTGCTCAAAGGTTTACATACATGTCTCTGTTGATTCGATAAAACTCCTGAGACAAACAACAAAGAAGAGAACCACATACCTCAGAGCATGATCATGCACACGGTCTCTGAGAACATGTTGTTCAATTTGTCAATCAAAGTGCTGCAGATTTATTAATACTGGTTTTAACAAAGAAGAAGTTACATTGCATTGGATAAAAAAAAACTGTTGTTCTGTGGTATCAATTATTTTTTTCAGCGATTGAACTAGAAACCTATAGCATACCATAGATCTTCTACAAGATGTTTAAATATTCATGTAGCGTTTGTTCATGCTGGGGATTCAACACAAAAAAGGAAAGAGATCTAGAGGACAAATAAAGGAATAATTAAGACTACAAGTAACTTTCAAATGTACTTAATATCCAAAAGAAAAAGTGAAATCAGAGCAGGGGTTGTGATTAAAGTATGAAGACTTCAGCCATGAGGATTCTTCGTTTGACAGCAGTATGCGCTATCTGCGCACACTGATGCCAACTTTACAGTTAGTACATGAACCTGCTCAGTTAACATGAGCCGTGGTTAAAGCTCGATTGGGCGAATTTACTGGGTTCAACTTTTAAAATAGTTGTTCCTTGATGTTGAGAAATAAAGAATGAGTTGGGAAACTGAGCTAATTGCCTTTTGTGACCCAATATGCACAGATTTGTTTCTCAGGTTCAAATGTTAAACCTAGAACCAACTGCTAGCTGCACGAAAAACTAGATTTCTGTCTCCGAGGATAAAAAGTTTTTATCAGATCACTACTGATAGGAGCTGGGATGTTATTAATCCCAACTCCCAGAGTCTGCATTTTTATGTTGAATCTGTAAATAAAGAACCAGTAACAGAAAGTAGACCCCATGCTTTTGTTGTTTTCATGCTGCACAAAGTAGATAAAATGTAAACCTTGATTTTTACTCGAAGAAAGGACTTTCTTTGTTGTCCTTTTGTGCATCTGAGTGTGGTAAATATCTCAAACTTAAGTTGTATGTTTTGCACATCACAAAGAGGGTGAAAGTTATGGGACAGAGCCCAGCTTCCTGATAAACTTACCATATTAGCTCTGACCCTGCTACACTAACGCTAATTTACAGAGGTAATAAAACTCTTAATTCTGTGTTTTATTAACTACTTTTCCTGTTGTATTCAACCAAAAAAATAAACCTTCAACCTGTCACGGTCTAGAGAGAAAGAACTGACCTTTCCACTGGCATTATGATGATCAGGTGCACAATGGGAGTCGCCCAGTGTTGACTAATGAAGTAATTCTGGTCATGAATAAATAAAAGGCCTAATAATGCCTTTTCTCATGCAGCTCTTCAGACAGGAGGTGTATCTCCAGAAGCTTTACCACAGAGTTAAGAATCAGGAGAATGAAACACAACAGATAAATTAAAACCAATGCAAACATTGCATGATAAAAGAGACGGCAAACAGCAGTGAAAGCTTAACAATAAAATATGTAAATGATGAGAGTGAACCAAAGAGGAGTGACAGTTAGTTAAAGGCATTGTTGAGCAAACACATTTTAACTGACAGCCTGGGGAAATGAGTTCATAGAATTTGTATTTGGACAACCAGCTGAAGGATTATACAACAACAAAGAATTGGGGATGTAGGTCACTTCCACAAAACCATTAGGAGCTTTGTAAACTAGTGCAATAATCCTGCCAATGATGCCTTTAATTGTGGATTGTGTAAAGTTAAATCATCTCAAACAAGCGTCACTTCAGGTTGGCTGAAACTGACTGATGTAATCCTTTCTCACATGAAATGTCGGCTCACCCGGACTCGACAGACTTTCACTAAGGTGCTGGTGGAAAAAATTAGGCTTAGAGTCAAAGGGAACACATGCACAGGATCTAGACAATAACCGGAAATATTAAGGCGTGCAGGGCTGTATGCCTTTTTGGTTTCTCTTGGTTTCCTGTTTGTTGTTTTCCAGTCACTAAATGGGTCTAAATTTAGTGATACTAACAGTGACCTTGATTATAGTAGAGTTGTTCTTCTTGAAATGCGTTTTCCAAAAATTGATAACACACATCACTCAGACAGTCATTGTGTAAGATCATAGACTGCATTAAACATGAACATAGTCTAAAGGTTGTCACAGGTTCGTAGTTCGGGGCAGTATTTACACCCAAGTTACACTTCTTCTAGAAATTGTGGTTTTAGGTAGTATCAGAGGCAAAATGAGCGGAAGACTGAGGCAGTGTATTGCTTCTGAGTTGACAGGGCAGAACAGCTGTGTGTGTGTGTGTGTGTGTGTGTGTGTGTGTGTGTGTGTGTGTGTGTGTGTGTGCGTGTGTGTGTGTATATGTGTGCAAGTGTATGTGGTACCACCAGTGTGTGTTTACCCCTGTAAAACAAGTTAATCCAAAGACATTATGATTCACACAGATCCACAAATCACTTTGTATCTACAAAGGCCATCTGCTCTCGCTCTAGTTGTCTTTCTGTCTTTCTCAAACAAACTGTGTTCAAACCCAGTATGCCTCCATCAGAACACCAACTTCTACAAATCAATTGAGCAGGGATGGGAATCACAATACTACTACAATATTATCACAATACTTGGGCCACGACATGATATAATTGTGATTTTTAACATTTTGTGATACAGTAAGTATTGCTATACAATATATTGTGATGTATGCCATGTTTTCAACTGTTTAGCTAATTTAGCATTTGTCTTTTCTCTGTTTGTCTTATTTACGCTGTATTTTATTTTCATGTAGCACATCTTGCAAACCTAATATATATTTGTTGTGCTAACTTTCTCCTGCTCTATGATGTCACCTTTGATCCGATATATCATCAGACAAAATATCACAATACTATGCTGTATAAATTTTTTCTCCCACCCTTACAATTCAATGAAGAAGTTCAAACATTTGATGGTTCAAAACCACCTACATAGAAGCTAAAGATTTTGGTACCTTATTTTCAGATTTAAAAAAAAAAACACGTTAAAAGTTCATGAAAAGCTGATAATTAATGATAACAGCTCTAGTGAATACAAAGGTTCGGTGATAAACTTCCGCTGTTGCAGCAGTGAGGTGTGTAAAGGGGCTTCGGTGACACCCCCCACATGTTTAATAAAAGCACTATTCATCCAAAGGTTTCAACAGTTGATGACTTGGAAATGCGAACTCCATGTAACTTTAGGTGAATCTTGAAACAGGCAAAGAGGTGAAGCTGATGCCATAGAAAAGCCACCTGGGAAATAGCTGCAATTCAGGGCCTGTTTATGTGGCATTTGCGAGAATAAATGGCTTATACTCTCCCTCCTTGTGAGAATCTGAGCTCTGATATGATTATGATCTCTGAATGGATTGTTATGAAAGAGCAGTGAAAATAGCATTACTGTATTCTAATCTGCTTGTGAGAAATACAAGAACAAGCTGTTCAGCATCTCACTGAGAAAGGAGCAGCAGACCTTTGCAGAGTCTCTTGAACTATCTCACAGATCAGCTGATAATCTCATAACCTTCCTCTCATCTCTTCAGCTCCTGCCTTTGGTTTCCATTCTCTTTCAGTCGGCCTGTTTCTGGGAAAAGGTCCTTAGATCTTTCCCAGATTTAACTCTATAGGCAGCTCAGGAATATACCATCAGACTTATGAAGTGCATAAATATGGAAAGAATGTTAATCCAAGAGTGAGCTACCTGTTCTCTATAATCTCTTACATATTAAGCCAAATACCCACACTTCAGAGGCTTTGTTATGTATAAGCCAGATCACTGAAGTGTGTGAGAAACGTGCAGAATTAGGCATGCATCATGATTTGTTTTCTCAGCCCTGACTCCTCATGATATAAAAACCTCGGTGTGTTTTCAGGACCGCTCCAGAATGTACGACAGCCTGAACATGCACTCCCTGGAGAGCTCTCTGATCGACATCATGCGAGCTGAGCAGGATCCGATGAAAGGTAAGACGGCCTTTTCCTTTCTAACTGCGTTTGCGGGGGTCAAAGGGAGGCGATCGGGTTCGGGTTTAGCGGCATGACATCGGTGCAGGGAAGTGGCAGGTCCATAGCTCCCAGAGCTGTGTTGTTTTTCCAGTCACCAGCTTATTTTCTCCCCACTGAGAGCTTAATACTTCTGCCACCAGCTGCGCATTTACATTATGCTACTTAAGCTGAACGAAACCTAGAGCTAAGGAGAGAGGGAAAGAAATGATCAATGCTGTGAAAATGTTTACTTTATTGCAGTGTTTTTACAAAGATCAGACTGAGCAAACATATCTGGATTTTTTTTTAAACTTGGGGATTTGTCAATTTGCCAGGGTATCTTTGAATGATACATCGTGGTTTTGGCAGTTGTGTGGCGAGAGTGCACTGTTGTGGCTCGGCCTCCTGGGCTCAGCTGCTGGACATCAGAGGAGCAGTGTCAAATAACCCCCCACCCCCCCATCGAGCTGGCTGTGAGTAGCTCATTTACAGCCTCACAGGAAGGCACTTAAATTTTCACAGTAATATATGATCCAGAAATAACGACGCTGGTAAAATTACACCATGAAGCTCCTCAACTCAGTAGCATTTCATTGGTTTACTAGACTTCATTAAGGCCCTTTTGAAACCTCAGGACTCAGCCCGCACCTTTCTTCACTTGGGCGAGTGTCTTGTTTTTCCTGCCCAAGCAGATGGAGAGGACATGGGCCAGTGTGCACAGCAGAGAGAGGGGGGATCTGGACTAATTTTAGATGTGATTACACTTTCACACACTGTGCATGACAGCCAAGAGAGGAGACGAGAGGGAAGGAGGGGTTGCAGGGGTGCAGGGCTCTGCCATTTATAGCAGAGCTGCAGCTAACAAAACAGTGCTGCAGTGCAAAATAGAAAAAATGCCCAAAGCTGATTTACATACTGATGTATACAATTCAATATTAGTGGCTTTTTTGATGTAGGCTGTGCCCATCTTTAGGTAGCACATAATAGTGTTATATAGAAATTCAAAGAGGAAACAAACACTTCAGGGCTTTCCCACAGTATTGGTTAATTCTCTCCCTGTAGAAGATCAGTACATGGGCTGTAGTACTTTTGTTTATTAAGAAAAACTTGCTTTTTTTTCTAATTTTCCTGGACATACAGCCACGTTAAAACTGGGAGGTTATTTTATTCATGAGTATATTTTAATACTTATTGTTGTCAGAAAAAAGTTGCTCCAACATTTTAGAACACTGGTTAAAAGTGCCATCTATTGATCCAATTAATCAGCCAACATATTAACTGGTCAATTTCTGATGTAAAAATCAACCAAATAGCTGCAGTGATGATTTTAAAAGAAGAAAAAGAAAATTTTATAGCAGGCTGACTAGTGTTAGTCTTGTTAAAAAAAAAAAGAATCTAGTTTGTTTCTCATTGGAGAGGTCAGTCTATGAACATCAGTATAGTCAGGGTCACACCTACGGTTTTTACTACTGGGGTGGTCCAGCTCTGACTTATTCAGGGGTGGCATGAACTTTTTACCGTAGATGACAAAATTGCATAAATATACCCTAAAAATTAGAGAGATTAAATATTCCCCTTTTCCATTCTGTAAAACTTTGATAATCCACACAAGAGTGACAACATCAGTCTTTGAGTACTTTAAAAGCGCTCTGTGACTTAAAATGTATCATATCTATTATCTCCACTTTAATTTGTTAAAGCTATGACCAAAAGGACTTGAAATTTGTCTCTTTGTAATTTTAAACCACTTGCCAGTGATGCAACACCACCTACACTGTAGTGGTGATTTTACATAAGCTCCGCTTTTAGCGAGGCAAATGAGAAACTAAACTCTGTGACCCTGCTGTGGCATCAGAGGAGCCAATGTGATCGTGAGGAGGGCCATGCCACCCCTGACCTTCTCTGTGGACACTCCCCTGAGTATAGTCCCAAAACTAAGCTCTCAAATGTTTAACTCTTTTACATCACAATCTGGCAATCTTTATTGAATGATTCATCAGCGACCAGTTTTATCCTGATTCAAACTTATTTTTATTCGTTTTAAAATTAACTTTACCAATAACAAATGATATAAAAATTTAGATTTTGTAGTTTTTTTTTTATTCAAATGTCTTGAATAACTCTGCATCTGTCTCATTTGTTGCTGATTATTTGTTGAGAAATACAGGGTTTTGCAGTGTTGTATCATTAACCAGAATAACCTTCATTTTACAATCATAAAGCATTATCTCTCTGGATGCACAGCTCATGATTCAGTCAGTTACACAATCATAAGTCACAACATTTCAGTCTGATTCCTCGAGCTAAAAAAGAAATGATGGTTTTTATAAAAACAAACCAAGCGTTTCATTCTGCTGACCCTCCTTCCTCTGTTTACCATCATCATCAGGGATAAGGAGAGCTTTGTCTCTTTGTGTTTGTCACTGCAGACATGTGAGAGGATGCAGTAACACATTCACAAGCAGGGAGTAGGGAGTTTAATATGTCTGTGCCTGAGTGTGTGTGTGTGTGTGTGTGTGTGTGTGTGTGCGTGCGTGCGTGCGTGCGTGTTTTTGCTCCCATGTACACACACACTGGCCTCGCCCTGGCCTCTCCATCTGCTCTGTGTCTCATCCCTTTCCGTGTGTGTGTGTGTGTGTGTGTGTGTGTGTGTGTGTGTGTGTGTGTGTGTGTGTGTGTGTGTGTGTGTGTGTGTGTGTGTGTGTGTCTATTTCCCATATCAGGCCGTGTGGGATGCCCTAACCCCGGGGCTGACGGCCTGCTCATGCTCAATGGTAATTATCTCTCAGCATCATCTCCCTCTGTTGTCCAGTGTTGTTCAAATGTTCAGTGTTTCCATCCAGCTGTTTTCCTCCACACTCTCAGTTTGTTCTCAGAGGAACAACAGAAACATGAGACGATTTTTCTCGTGATTTTTCCTCATTAGGCACAATCTCAGACTCACTGTGGCACAATTGGGTCACACCAGGTGACATTTGAATAAATTATACATTGTGATTGTATTTTCACATTTAATTTTTATATGTGGCTTCACTTGCATTTTTGTCTTGTGGATACCTTGGGATTTATTAGTCTTTTTATTTTTGGTGTATGTGTAGACCATAAGAAGACCAGAGATCACCTTTGGAAGCTAACAGAGATCCTACTAAAGAAAAATTCAAAGGAAAGCAAACAAGTAGCTGGTTCCAAAGCCACCAGACACCTGGGCTGCAACTAGTGACCATTTTTATAGTTGATTAGCCATTGACTGTTAAAATGACTAATTACCAAGGCCAACAGAATCACAGACTGCAGTTTTTGAGCAGCGATTTTTGGCGAGCACTCTTCTTAGCTTCTGTAACTATCAATTATTATTGTTATTCAGCAAAATTTTGTTTCAGCTATTTACAGGTAGTGTGGATGCAAATTGGTTTTAGTTAGTAGCTTGGTTGCTATGGTTACATGATAAGAGTCGGTGGCACTGTCAAGTGGGTAGGACAAGATGAAGTAAAGAGTAAAAAATACAATTCATATTTTGTACATTTTTAAAGGTGAGAGGCTAAAAATCTGAGTTACATTAAATCCAATAACCTTTTTTTGTGGCTGTCAAATGAAGCAGTCTGCTGGAGTGATACCAAATGCTATTGCCATAACAGTCACTCACATGATAGGCTTGTTTGCTTTTCCAAACTAAGTCACCTGAGGACTTTAAAGGCACCACAAACAGGACTGAGTTACACGGACTGTTAAAATGTAAATTATCAGCACCACACAAATCAAGCAGATCTCTGTGCACTCTTTTTTTTGAGTCGAACACTAGACCAGACATCATGATGGCGTCAAAAATATAATCTTGTTCTATAACTGTCTCAATAGGACAGGAATCTGGGTTAGACAGCATTTGTGGATAACTGTGATCATGCTTTTTATTGTTTCTGAAGCCTGTGTTTTCCTCCTGAGACCCAGCAATCACAAAATCATTTTTGGCCCTGTGTTTGAGGCAGATTTAGGCTTATGTCTCCAAGGCCAAACATGCAGCTGCAATGAGCCGCCTTGTTGTCCCTGACAGAGGACACTGAGGGCTTTTCGATGATGTGATGATGTAACATATGTATTATTTTCTGGTTTTCCAGAAATGGCCTTCATCAGATCTGAATCAGTTAATGGAAAAGTGAAGTACAGTTGTTAATGTGGGATAAATGATCATTGCTGTCAATCTGGGAACTGTTCATGAGTCATTTGTGGAGATTTGGGGGATTTTTAAATCTTGTATGTTTTGATGTCCAGTAAGTTACATTTAATTGTTAAGCTTTTTTGTAGGTTGATGTCTTAAGTCAAGTTTGTAGATTCAATTAAGGTTGGATATAAATTTCTTTTGGAGTGTCTGCACAGCTGAAACTTGAATTTCTTACTTTTCTACATGCAGCCAGGAGCTATGGGAGACGTCGAGGTAACCTTTTCACGACACGCCTGTTTCCTTGTGGCTTCTTGTGGCATGCTGTAGTGCTTGAATGGAAACCAAACTGAGGCTGAAACTAAAGCAAATTTAGTTTCTAAATTCAAGAACACGGCTGTTTACTTTCTCATATTTTTGTTTCGTCATGCCATTGAGAAGTATTAATGTCGTCTGAAATTGTTTTTGACTATCAACAATAAAAGCAAGAAAGATGTAGAAGCTTAAAAATGCATGTTATTTCTTTTTGTTGTTGTTGTTTCTGCAGAAACGCATGATAAAAGAGGTTTCAGGTTTTTTTGAGTTTATTAAAAATGGATCTTAATATGTGAGATAAACAACATGGCAAACCTTCTCAAAACCCTGGGGAAATTTCCCAAAATCCCCTGAAATCTTAAGTTCCTGTGAAACCTCAGTATCCTGGAAAACTTGCACAATCTTAATGTGAATGAGGACTTTATCCCTGTGAAAAAAAGGATAAAATCTTCATTTAGGTCAAAGGTATCATGAATTTAATCACAGATGTGGTCCTCTTGTTACAGAAAGTAATTTGTTTATGGTTGTATTGAGTCTGATGTGAGCCAGTTAACGTAGCAGCAGAGATCCTTGGGAGCTATTTGTTATAATGCAGACCATTAGTCCTAAGAAACAGTCAGCTATGACACTCTCGTCCAGTGTTACTCACATCCCTCCGAAGTCAGAATTATGGAACAAAAATAACATGAAGAGTATTTTTAAAATGACTTGACCTTTGAGTTGTGGAACATTTTATTTGACTATTACCCAATCATTTGCCTCATTTAAGTTCTCTGGACTGCTGTGCATCGTGAATTAGCACCATTGCTGTACACACACTGCTCTCCACGCTTGCTTTACCCGCCACACTACTCAGGGCTCAGCACACGATTTCTCACTGTAACCTTGTGCTTGTCTCACAGTCACTAGGCTTTAAGCTGCAATAAAAGCAGAGACATTGTTTTATTACATGAACAGCATCTCTTGTGTCCTTGTCATGGCAGAAAATTACAGTCCCATGAAACTGAGGCAGATATGAAGGACTTCAGGCATTAATGTGTCTCTGCTGCTGTTGTGTGTTTGTGCATCTCCACTATAATCAGTGATCTAAATGTTTTTTTTGGTTTTTTTTCCCCTTAGGGCGATCCTCCCTCTTTCCCATTGATGACAATCTCCTTGACGACGGCCATGGCAATCAGGGTGTCCCTGGAGTCCTCGGCTCCCCCAACTGTTACCCCCACCAGAACGGGGAACGCATCGAGCGGTTCTCCCGTAAGGTGTTTGTGGGCGGGTTACCACCTGACATAGATGAAGGTGAGGAAGACTACACCACTGTCTTTCAGCATGAATCCACTCGTCTTTTCTTTCTTTTTAAAAAAGTCTTTATTCCCTCTTATTTCCTCTTTTTTTCATCTACTTTTCCTCAGATGAAATAACATCAAGCTTTCGCCGCTTTGGTCACCTGGTGGTGGACTGGCCTCACAAAGCAGAGAGCAAATCCTACTTTCCACCTAAAGGTACTGTCAAAAGCAACAAGCATCTCCTGTATAGCCGTCATAAATCTGAGTCTGTTTTATTTTCCTATCATACTGCCTTACCCTTTGCAAAATTAAAAAATAAATAAATAAATCAGTGTCAAGTCAATAGGAGAACACTGCAGAAAAGTTAAGAAAATTCACTGCAAGCTAGCAGGGACGCTTATATGTGAGGCTGGTGCAAACACAGAATATGGACCCAAAACAGGATCAGTCAAAACATCTGAGTTTAAAGAGGGAGGATCGTGTTGACATCCGCGTGCCCACCTGTATTGATATAAATGCATTAACTGTCATCATAGCATCAGTCTCTGCTGCTTTGTCAACTGTCATGTTGTAAACATTACACTGCAACATTCACTGCAGGCTTTTGATGTCGCCTCCTGTTTCTTTAGACCCATCCCTCAACTTTAAGAGGCCGACCTTTTGAAGATTTCCATCAATTTTATAAATACATGTGTGAAAGAGGTTTGAGCCTGTGGATAACTGTGTCTGTTTCCAGGATACGCGTTCCTGCTGTTCCAGGAGGAGACCTCTGTTCAGGCCCTGATAGAAGCCTGCATGGAGGAGGACGGGAAACTCTATCTGTGTGTCTCCAGCCCAACCATCAAGGATAAACCTGTGAGTTTAGCAACGTCTTTAAAACACAGTGCTGCCCTTTGACTGTAGTTTTTCAACCAAAGCGAGTGGACTTTAGAGTGAAATTTGACTTTGACTCTAGGTACAAATACGCCCGTGGAACCTGAGCGACAGTGACTTTGTGATGGACGGATCTCAGCCACTCGATCCCCGCAAGACCATCTTTGTAGGAGGAGTCCCTCGTCCCCTGAGAGCAAGTAAGTGCACAATCTTTGTTTGATGTGAAACTATTTCACATCCGTTTGTTATTTAGGAAGAAGTGCTGACTCAGACTTACGGAAATCTTCTTTACAAACAGACTCTGTAACCTGCTACAGAGCTTCATTCTTCAACATCGCCTTTTCTTTGCTCTGTCACTCATGTTGGTATTCTCTGTCTTTCAACTCTCTGTACAGTTGAGCTGGCTATGATTATGGATCGTCTGTATGGTGGAGTTTGCTACGCAGGAATTGACACTGATCCAGAGCTCAAGTACCCAAAGGGGGCGGGACGAGTGGCCTTCTCCAATCAGCAGAGCTACATCGCTGCCATCAGCGCCAGATTTGTCCAGCTGCAGCACGGAGACATTGATAAGCGGGTACAGCCTCCATATCACTAACTACTCCAAAGTCTCTTATCTTGTTTGTAAATGTTCATTATATCCTCTAGTCCTGTAAAGTGGAAATGGATTTCCTAAACAAGTTAAAGGCCCATTTCCCCCAAAAAAGTACACTCAAACTCAGCCGAGTTCTGCTGTGTTTTTAAGGTTTATGTCCAGAAATCTAGTTTGAAGAAGAAAAAACACAAGGAAAGGGGGCACAGACTCACCTGCAGGGGGCAAATAGCCCTATGGTATACCTAGCATAAAGCATCTGGCGGATGCATTGCAGGTGTCAGTGTATGTGTGGGGCTGATCCTGGGATGCCAGAGGACCAACACAGGCCACAAACCACACCCTGAGACTTCACTAAGCTTTAGTGTGTGCGATCCCCTACAAACATGTAGCTAAAGACACACAAACACATGCTCACACATAGCTACAGAAGTTTTTTTGGACAATAATAATAAAGATTGAAAAGTATCCATTACGCACACATTATAAAGTACTTTCACGTGATCAGTAGCAGCCTGCCTTTCTTTGATGTGAATTGCATGGCTCATTGGTCATTAGTAGATCCTGTCTGGTATACTGTTGGTAAGTCCCAAGTTTAAGATAATTAATGAAGTTGCTCTGCTGTGCCTCATGAGCAGATGTGAAAGTCTGTTTATTTGGAAAGTCCCTGATTGTTTGGCTGTACAGAGAGATTGTTTCAGTGAAGGCATGAATCAAAATAATTAGCTTAACATGATGACTCCAGAAAAAGTAGAAAGGTTGACATCTTCTGTGTGAATGGGAGCAAACCTGTCTGCAGGCATACCTGACTCCTACAGCCAAAGAGAGAAGACAAACGGATTGATTTGAGTCATGTTACTCTTAACATCTAACCATTTTGTGCACTGAGCCTCACTTAATACCCAGATTTTTCAATGATTAACCAGCAAAATGTGGTCAAATGGCCTGATTCGCTTTGCACCATGTGCTGTTCGACTGTGAACTTGTTGTGTTTTTGATCTGTGTTAGGGTTGCACAAAGAACACATGGATTCATTTGTTTCTTGATGAAACATGAATGATAGAAGCTTCACTTTGCATCTGTTAGCAATGTTCATAGAGGTCGACTTTGGGAATAAATCCCTTCTTTTGCGTTTTCTTGTCTTTGCTAAGGGATTTGTGGAGCTACATTTGCTACAAAGGAAGAGAAAAGAGAGACATTACAAATTGGCTGTAACCATGGCTCTTTATTGTCAGTTGTTGATCCATAGGGGTTCATTTATCAACAAAAACAACCTCACATTCAGAAATGACATTAATAAGTCATTATTGCAATCATAGACTTTATATAGAATAGACAGCATCCGTCTCCTCGCTGGGTGAAGCCACCATGAGAACAGCACCCTCTGGTGACGGGCTACAGTATAGGTCATAAATCCCACCACCCCCAGCAATCCCTATGGAGCTGTGGACAAACTTTAGGAATTTATCACACAAAATATAAATGTTTTTCCCCCCTGGTTGTGATGTTGACATGTAGTTATTGTAAGACTGGTTTGTGCTCAAGTCCTCGTTTTTTCTGTACAGCTCCGTTTTTAAAAGTTATTAGGGTGTTCATGTCTTCTACGATTGATATTTGAGACAGTCTATGGGCGTAGGAAGACTGCGTAGCTCACCCGTGGGATACGCTGTTTGAGCTGAGCGTCATCACAGTGACTCTCCCACCAAATGTGTATAACGTTACCGCAAAAGGAAGTGGAGAAAATCCCGAAAATACTGAGAGAAATTCGGCTTCAAAGTCGTATAACGACGGAAGGCGGAGCCAGGTTGTCCATGGTATATACAGTCTATGATTGCAATACTTTAAGTCTTTGAGTTGTGAGCAAAGCTAGAGGTCATTTATTGTTAATGTGAGTGTGAGTGTGTGTGTGAGAAATGTGAGTGTGTGAGTGTCATGAGCATCACCAGAGACAAAGCAGTTTGTTGCTATGGTGATGGGAAAGCTTATTAGGCCTGATTGAATTAGCTTCGCTCCCAGTCTCTGCTGCTATGAGCCTTTCATGAACACACATGACCAAACCCTGCATGTATTCACGCTCTCTCCTCTTTTGTGTGCGTGCAGGTGGAGGTGAAGCCGTATGTCCTGGATGATCAGCTGTGCGACGAGTGTCAGGGTGCACGCTGTGGAGGGAAGTTTGCTCCTTTTTTCTGCGCTAACGTCACCTGTCTGCAGTACTACTGCGAGTTCTGCTGGGCCAACATCCACTCCCGTGCAGGCAGAGAGTTTCACAAGCCGCTGGTTAAAGAGGGAGCCGACCGCCCGCGCCAGATCCACTTCCGCTGGAACTGAAAACGCGACCACATCCACGGTGATACAGTCTGAGGGAAGGGAAAGGAAACACTGGCTCACAAGAAGAGCATCGCTCTGCCTCTCCTGCTCTCCTAAGCTATCAGTATAATCCAGTACGTAACACTAAACAGTATATACTCTATATATCTATATATCTTTTGTAGCAGCCAAACACCACAAGCCTCAGTTTTTCACCAAAACCCCCTCACATCTCAGGCTCTGACAACTCTACAACTCTTTTGTGGTACTTTCATCTTTTCTAAGAGGAGATTTAAAAAAAAGAAAAAGAGATAGATTTTTGTAGGTTTTTTTATTATTATTATTTTTGTATGTGAGATTTAAAGTAGATATGGGAATGTTTTTGCATGGGGGCAGCTTGTCTGTCTGTCTGCTGCTAGCCACCCTACAGTGCGTGTAGTGCACACTTGTTTCTGGGAAAATCTTGATTCTCTAATGTTGACTACGCCTGCCCCAGGTCATTAACCAAAGGTAGCAAAAAAAAAAAGATAGGAAACATAAAATTGACACACTTTCTGCCGCTAAACAAACGGTTGTTTTCTAATGTTGCCATGGGCTCTTTCTTCTTTTTAGAGGGTTTATTATTAAAAAGATGATAGGGTTATTTCTGCGCTCATACAGACCCATTGAGTGATACCTCAAAATACTGAATCTGGTTTCTGCTATTCAACATTTATACTTAACAAGCTATTTTAGAAGCTTTGCTGCTATATATACATATATCAGAATAAATGTGTAGGTATTATATTAAATGCCATTTATAAACCAGAATCATGTGAAATGAAATGCAGTATGCACTCAACCACTATTGGCCCCCATTGCCATGGAAAGTGCATGTAATGAAAATAGGCTTAGCTACACAAATAGCATGCAGGATAGATGTGTGAGAGAAAAAAAATAAAAACAAACCACTGAAATCATAAATTTAAGACAAAATTTTAGTGAGTAGCATGATCATCTATTAAAAATTGCCTAAGAGGGAAAAATCTGACAAATAAGTAAAAAAAGACGTATTTAAACTTGCATGCATTGATGTTTCTCCGTCGTTTGATGCGTTTACATACTTAACGATTAAAAAAAAGTGATATTGGTTCTTCTGTAGACTAAGCAGATGCCATCTTTTTGTGACACGATGGCTCGTATGGCGAAAAAAACTCCTGTCGAGAAGCAGAGTGGTGTTCAGTGGTTTGTGTTGGTGTCGTCCCCGTGTTGTGTGACTGTTTTTAGTGTAGACTGAGGCTCTAGTTTAGTTACCAACCGATTATCTAGAGGAGAATTCAAACATCATTATTATGACTCTGCCTTCACCCTCCTTTGTCTCTGTATAGCTCCAAAGATGAATCTGATGTAGCATCGCCCCGACAAAACAAATGCAAACAAAACACTTCAAAGTCATTGTGGGTGTACATTTTGGAGTTTAAATGACTAAGAGGTAGAAGAAAAAAGCTTTAAAAAGTGCTCCAGCTGCCGTTTCGCAGATTTCAGGACAGGATGTTGCTCCACTTCTCCCTGTCTTTGATGGTTGGGGTCCAGTAGCTCCTCAGTCTGAGACAGAAATTTACCATTTTGCCACAGTGTCAACAGGCAGAGAGGAAGCGTGCCAGACTCCTGTTCATAAATGATTCATTAAGATGTATGTAACCAGGTTGTCTGTGGCACAGCTTTCGTAATTGTTAATGGGTTTGGACCTATGAGAATGAAGTATTCAACATTGGCAGGTAATAACAACGGATGACAGTGCTTTTTAAGGGGCAACTGTTCTCCTCAAACCCACCAGACTCCACTGATAAGAATGATTTTTTACCTTCCTGAACATGTGAGTTTAAGGTCAGCTGCTAACTCAGCTTGTAACGTTCATTGAGTTTTTCACAAACGCTTAGTTGTGCCAGAATTAAAGTTTTTAACACCAAAGTCACAAGATTAACAAACCAAATTAACAACAGTAGCTCAGCGATCCTTCTGCTTTACGAGATAAAATCGCTGAGTGTTTGTCAAGTCTTGTTGCTTTAAGCTGAGTGATGTGTTGATCAAATGTGTTGATACTTTGATCAAACTACTGTACCCTGAAAATTTACATTGAAATCATGGTAGCTGAAGTGGACTACTGGAGCATTACTGAAGGTTTTTGTACCAAGAAGTCATTTAGACCTCAAAATAAATCAAAAGCAGCCCAAGTAAGGAATTCCCCATTCACTAAACTGCATATTTTTTGAGGAGGAGCTGAAAAAGTCGGGCTTTGATACTATTTTGAACCCAGATCCCTCGCTGACAGGTCTCCACTTCAGTGACACTAAAGAGAAAACTCTCCTCTTCGTTTGTACTGTTCGTCTAGCAGATTTACACCCATGAACTCCTCTTAAAATCTATCTAGGGACAATCTTTTTTGTGAGGGCGGTGACCCTGCTGCCCGTTTGGTACTGTAAAAGTGTGTCGCTCTCGTGTCGTCGTGGTCTTTGTGCTCCAGGCCCTGCTGTGTGCTCCTCTGTGTCTGTGTTCAGGCGTCAAATTGTACTGTTACAAAACCTTAATGAAACTGAAACTTATTTACTTATAGTTGTCTGTGTCAACTACTCTCACCCATCACTGGCCCTACAGTATGTTTTTTATAATATATATTATGCACTACTTTTCTATTCCCCCCACCTGTTTTACTTCTTCTCCACCCCCATCCTTCCCCCCTGAGTGATTTCAGTGCAGAATCCTCCACCTATTTATAATCTACAGATGATTTATTAAATTTTTATTTTTTCATGATTACTTATTTAAGATGTAGCGTGAAGCAGTGGTCTTAAGTTATCTATATATTCTGTATGAGTAGAGGAGGAATCCAATATGTTCTAATATATTCTGATGTAGTCTGGATGTTGTGAGGACGGCGTGATAACAGAGCGAGCTCCCGCCGTCCTCTCGTGGCTTTATGTTCTCATGATACGAACATGTTTGAATATCGTCACCTGTAACACTTGACTCGTGCTGTTTTATTGTGAGGTTCTATTTCTATGTTGAACACTGTTACTTTGTTCTGTACGTGTCTTTGTTTTTGTAAAAATCATATTTATTTCACTATTTTTGTAGAGGAAAAAACTATTTGATTTTGATTGTATTTTTCTATTTAAATGAGATTATTACACAGTTTATTTCCCCTCCCCTCTCTTGTGCTAGTCATGTCCAAAAGTTCTGTTCAGAGACAAAGAATCACATCATTCTCATCTGAGTTTTTGATATATATTCTTCTTTTGATACACATTGATGACACATTTCATTTGAAGGAAGGAAACATGAAGGTTTTGTTCTATTCTTGGAAGACACTTGAGATTCTCCCCTGTTGCATCGAGGCCTCGGCTGCCTGTCCTCGTAGATGCTCTGAAACTTGAATATAACACATTTTGAAAGGCTGACTAACCTCGAATCTGTGTTGTGATGTGCAATACTGTTTCTAATGTTTGTATAAAAGTAAGAACTACAGTGTAAACCTTTTTAATGCAGATTTATTTTTTTCATTGCATATTTTGCAGATTTCTGATCCACAGTGTCATTTTTTACTGTCAGAAAAATAAAACCCCGTTTTTTCATTGCGACTATTTTTAAATCCAGATATCTTTGTACTGATGTAAATGATTGTAGTTATTTTGGATAGTGTTTTGCTAACAAAAGGAGAGACTTTTTCATGCATATTTCTATTTCATTTCATCTTGTTTTTTCCCACCTTTTGTTTCATTTACTAGTAGCAGATTTCTTGGAATAATTTTTCATATTTAAATGTCATTGGTATTATTTTGTATTTTTATGTGGAAATACATTATATATAAATTTAAGATGCTAATTGCTAATATATTATTTTGAGTTTAATTATTTTTAAAGCTAAATATTTGTAATTTTATTGTTAAAGTGGCTAATTTCTAAATCAGAGTTTGTGTATAGATTCACAAAAGTGGTTTATGAGGTGTTTGGATTGTAATTATTACTGAATGGTTCTTTGATATGCAAAATGAATATCATGTTTATTTTTATTTTTGTTGGTTTTGTATTTAAATGGGGTGTTGATTACAATCTTTTTTTTTTCTTTCACTTCCTGAATAAAGACCCATTCTGTTTGGACACAACATGCCTGCTGTTTTATGTAATGGGAAGGAAACACAAATTAAAAGCTGGGTAAAAGGAACAAAATGTCCACATAATAATACACAGGCACATCAAGACTGAGTGACATGCCCTGCAGTGTTCAGGGCGAGCTGCCATATACCAGATGGTGGACAAGGACACTGTGTAAAATGATGCTGAAAACAAATGTAAACTGTGTGCAAATCCTTTAAAGCCCATATTTTGTCAAAAACAACACAAAGACAACATAAGAAATGTTTAGAAACGGATTATTTCATGCTAATTTTAACTTTGATGTTTTATAACACTTGGTACAGGGGTATGTTTATCATTGTGTTGCATCAGCACTTCTTTAACACCCTTATTGTTAAGGGTTCGAGTTTGGAGTGAAATTCTGTCCCATCCTTGCCTGATAAAAGATTTCAGCAGCTCAGTATATCTGGGTTTGTTTTCAGGTATTTTTTCTTTTGATGTTTGATGATGCTCCCAATGTTTTCACTGGGGACAAGTCAGGATTGCAGGCAGACCAGTTTAGCAGCAGGACTCTTCTACCACAGGACCAAGCTGTAGTAAAGGTGTTGAATGTGGTTGCCCAATTATACATGCTCATCCTGAAAATGAGATCAGGTCTTTTTAGGCAACCATGCCGCATGTCAGTCTTGTATAACTAAAAACTTTACACTCTTCTTGCACTATTAAGTATGAGATAAAATACTCTTTAGCGCATCTGACAAAGTCTACACATTTTAGGGAAAAAACATATGCAAGACCAAAATCCTGTTCCTCCACATAATTCAAAGTTGATACTGTGACCTACACATATCACTGTATCAAATTAATATAAAATAATAATATTCTTTTTAAAAAGAGTCAAACCTGGAATAGGTTTTTCACCTTATATCAAAAACCAGTGATTATATATTTTTTATACTTCTTTAGTTTTTAGAGTGATGTTTAGGGGCATTTTGCCTTTATTAGACAGGACAACTGAGAGAGAAAAGAATTATGAGGGACAGGAGAGTGGGGGAAGGTGTAAGCCGGGGGTCGTAGCCGAGAGTCGAACCAGTAACCACTGCTGTGAGGATGACAGTCTCTGTATACAAGGCACACTTTAACTGCTCTGCCATTGGCGCCTCTATACATTATGGCATTTGGACCTGGAGGATTGTCCACCACTCAGGATGGCTTCCTGAGATTCAAACAAAAATTTTGATCTTCATTTTCTTTTTCGAGGCCCCGAGGCACTTCCTCAAAAAACAATTTCCTAGGGCTCTTAAAGTTACCTCTAAGAATTGCATCTGTGCACCTGTTGAGCTCGAACCATTCCTCAAAAAGTATCAGCAATGCAACTGAAAACTCTTGTAGCCTGTGCTAAATAAAAACTAACGTGATGATTCATGACTTTAATAATAAAGACACATTTCCCTTATTGTATCATTTGAAAACATATGTGGCAAGAAAATAATCCAAGAACTCCCCTGGCAGATATCCACACAACAGCTTTGGCTCCATCCAGAGACGAGAGTCAGACATGGATCTGAAACACTGAGGCCAACAAAGTGCAAGTAACTTCTGTTGTTCATTAACCTGATTCATGGCGCGACAGTGTTTGCTGCATGATCCAAGCTGCTGACTTTACACTGGGTGTCGCATATTAAAGCAGTCTTCATGCATGACATAATGGAGCTGACGCTGTACGCTCACACTGTGCTTGGCTGCTTGATAGCTGTTTGCCTTTGGGAAGTCTAAGAGGCAGTGAGAAGGGAGTGGAGAGAGTGGAGAGTGGAGGAGGAGGGAGGGAGGGATTGAGGGAGTGCATCTTGCAGCTTCTGCATTACAAGACGCTGTCAGCAGCAGCACAGCTGAGATCTGCGCGCAGATGTCTGGGAGGACAGCAGAAGAAAGAGAAACATGTTAACCAAGGCATCAAAGCATCAAAAAGGCTGGAATCTGAGCGGATAGGAGGAGGACACTGGAGAGTGATAACTCTGATCAGTTTTGGAGATGAACAGCTGCAAACTGTGGGGTAAGGACAATGATCACACAGCTGTCAGCGATCCACTCTGTTTTTAATGACCATAACAGGACATACTTATCCACAGCCATAACCAAACTGATGCACAACTTGGCAACTCTGATGTCTTTAAGATTTCCATCAGGTTAAATACCACAAATAACTTTGTAAATACCTGTCCGTATATGTCAATGTGTGTGCACACTTAAACCAATGTTTATGCATGCATGCTTTAGCAGAGCAATGTATTCAAGTGCAGATATTTATAAGGTCAGTAATCCCCTAAAGGAAGATGGATGACTTGGAAATGTCTTCTCTAAAGAGACTATTCCCATGACTGACAAACCGCGCCACCTACTTTTTGGAGACTTGTGCCTGACATGAATTACAAACACCTAGAGGCCATCTTGAAGGATGCCATTCCTTTAAGTGGACACAGACACTTTTTAGTTAAGAATGGACAAACACATTTTTCTATTGTACTCCACCTGCTCCCTAGAAATACAATGTCGACCACAATTTTTTAAATGAGTTTGATTTTGAGTCATGAGTTTGAAGCATGATTCTGTGTGTCTTGTAATAGTGCATTTTATACGGTTGTGTTTGCATGCATTGTTCTGCATCCAATTACTGTGCATCCTCATGCACTCATACATGTGCCTGTGTGTGTTAAAAAGAGCACCGTTTTTTAATAATAGCCACTTTACTAACACTGACATCATTGCTGCAGTCAGAGTGGAACAGGCGGGCGGGGTTTGTCTCTCACAGGACCTCACACTGGCTCTCTGACCAGTTCACTAAACTTAAAAATCAAAAACACGCTGCTTTAATGGCGCAGAGGGACTGTGTGTGTTTCCCAGAACAAGCCCAGCTCACTCATGCCTGTGTGTCTGTGAATTTTTCCTGTTTATCTCATTGTATTTGTTGTCTTGTAGTAAGCACAAATTTTGTCTGATGTGCTGGCATCTCAGACCACCAGACAAACCAAAAGTGCATCTGCAAAGAAGTCATGTTGAAACATGTAGTTGCACTTATTTCTAAAATCATACTAGAGGATGATCTTTCCCTGCAAACTTAACACACATGTTCTGACGCCCACAGACAGCCGGCCAGAGAGCAGATGCACAACTTGTGTTCTCACGCCCACTTGGACAAAAATGCAATGAACAAACGTGTATTTATCAACTGCACTAATCCTACTGTGAAGTGCTTATAGATGTCATGACTAAGGAATTTTGGAAACATCTGAAAAGTTGCCCACATGGATCTACATACCTCTGTATTTCTTTGGGCCTCTTTATTTTTTCCCTGTTTGTAAGGTAAATGTATAATGTTTCTGTTTGCTTGAGTGCTCAATGATTGTGTTCCCCTGACACAGGTCGAGCTGGATATTATGTCATAACTTGGGAATGTTTTGGCAAAAAAAAAGGAAAAGACTTGGAACAGAGACAAGTTTTAGTTTGAGGTCTCTCACATGCAAGCCTGTGCTGGATGAGGACATCAGTATGAGACAGTCTCATAGCAATTGCTTCCAATTATAAAATTCACATCTGGCCTCATGCTGCACTTGATCACAAATTAGATCACTGATGTCTTCTACAACTCCACTCTAAGTGTTTGACGGCTTTATGAAACTGATAACAAAGCTCCCTTTTTTGACAGAACCACAAAGCTCATATCTGACAATACTTGGCTCCAACTTAGAAGATCCTAATTTCCTGTCCTTAAAATGGAATACGTTTACACATGCAGTTAAACTGAGCTTCAGTTAAACTCAATTAGACAATTTAACTGGACTATTGTCCCAGTATCCCAGTATACAAGCACCAGGTGAGAATTTTTATATTGACCAATTAGTCTGCCTCGGCTACAGTAGGTCATGATATGCACCCTTTAAGCTTGTTACGATTGGTCTGTCTACAGGTTGATCAATTTCATCATGTACCAAAATAGACGCACTTGGAAATGAGATGTTTGATCTCAACATGTTGAGATAAAATAAAAATCAAATTAAAAAAATGAGTGTACCAAAATAATTGACAACCATGTTAGCAAGAGGCTAAAGGGTTTTATGTTGAGTAATGAAAACAATGACAACCTTACAACTTTATACCTTTTGTACACAGCACAGCTTTGTCTTTTTTTATGTCCCCTCTTCTTCTCTTGAGGTTGCGTTTACCACCTGGCTTTGTCGCATTTATGCTGTTCAACTTCCAGCTCAAAGCAGGTCAAGCAACTGTAAGACATGAACACTCAGGCATCAGTTTCAGTTTGATTGAGTCATATACATGAAAGCAAAATCAGTCCCCTACAGCATGATCCAGAGATGTTCAATTTAGTGTGCTGTCAGCCAGACTAATGTATTAACCTATTCTTTAAAAGTCCAGGCTCAGTCGGACGAAGGGCTGTCACTTTAATTCAAATCTTCATTTGAATTCTGGAGGAAAGTTCATATTCCAACAGTAATAAACTTGTAATAACAGAACACTGGCACATCTGACCCATCAAATGCTGATAAAATAGTTTTATACTGCTTTGCAGATACTGCCATTAGTCACCAAAATATTACAACGCTCAGTTCAGAAACTTGAGAGATGAGAGGTGCTCTTCATTACAGTCCACAAATTACAACATTTGAAGGTCAGAGTATAGGGAGATGTTCTCAATAAAAATGTCATGTATCTAAATTCACTAACCACAAAACTGAGACAAACAAAGGGGTATCTGTAAAGGAACACATCTCATCTCACTATACTCTGTAAGAAGTGGAGTAATGGTCTGTTTTGGATTACAGACACATTATCCACTCTATAATCACCAGACTCCTTGTATCAGTCTACATATTTGGGGATCAATAAAGTTCTTGTGTTTTATTGTATTCAGATTTATCACAGGTGACAGTGATTCCACTGATAGTTGCATTTTGCTGCAAATGTAGCCGATCATCTTTGGCCGACAGACATGACAGGCATCGGTTGTTTCTGATTTATAGAGCTCTCATCTGGAAAACATGACGTCCAACATCACTACTTGATTGAACAGGTACAATACTTATGATCATACTTAAGTGACTGGCTACTGCCCAAAATTCCTCAAGCAATCACAAACACTGGGAAAACATCCTCTAGCTTTAGTGCAGTGAACACTTTGACACAATGAAACTCAATACACATGTTGCTATTAGCTATATCTACTATCTATATACTTTGCTGATGCATAAAACTGTTTTTACTGTAGTATATGCCCTTCTGTCTCTACAAGCTTGTCTTTTCTTCTTTTCTGTCTGCGACCAATAGTTTTCCACTTTTTGGTTTTGATTGTACACCCAACATCATTGCAAATGAAGGTATGCCTTCATTTGATTCCTTTGGACTAAATAAAGGTCAGATGAATAAATGAATTGAATTTATAGGCAACACAGGACAGACATCTTTCTAATTGTTTGTGTTTGTGTTTTCAGATGTGAAGATGTGGGCGTTGATGGGAGTAGTCTGTCTTTGCCACTGTATCTTTGGACAGCTGTTTGACACCAAAGTGAAAGGAGCTCCACGTCTGATCTGCAGTGTTCCCGGGTCACCAGGCCCATCTGGCAAACCCGGTCCCAGTGGGCCTCCCGGAGCAGATGGGAATGTGGGTATCCCTGGAAGAGATGGCAGAGATGGCAGGAAGGGTGAAAAGGGAGAAAAGGGAGACGCAGGTATAATATAAACCATAACATGCAGATAAATAACAACCACATCCCTTTGCCAGAGGAAAGCTGGGGATGAAAAGTTTCCAAACTTCACAGCTGGCATTTAGATGACTCATGAATTCCAAAGAAAATCTATGACCATGAATATCATAGTTATGAAAGGATGCTGCATATAAACCACACAGGAGATGTTTGAGTAAGCACCCCAAGAAGACTTAGAAATAAAAAATAAACCTGTGTGATCAGACCTCAGGGGTTTGACTCCCCTTGAGGAGCAGACTCTTCATCACTGAAAGAAATAACTTTAATCACAAACATGTATGCAGGTATTTTCCTCAGATTCAACACAAAACAACAGAACCACGAAAAAAAAAGATAGACAGATAGATAGTTCTTGATCATCAAACTATGAGCGTGGTCTAGACCTGCTCTTGTTCTTTGAAAAGCGTCTTGAGATGACGACTGTTGTGAATTGGCGCTATATAAATAAAATTTGATTGATGATTGATTGATTTGAGATAGATAGATAGATAGATAGATAGATAGATAGATAGATAGATAGATAGATAGATAGATAGATAGATAGATAGATAGATAGATAGATAGATAGATAGATAGATAGATAGATTTTTGTTCCTTCAATAATTTTGTTTTTTTTTTTGTTTGTGTTTTGTAGCACACTGATTTATTTATAGATAGTGAGTGTCTATTTTTTTCCTTTTCTCATAGTTCACATCCGTAACAATCATACAAAAAGGTTTTACAATAAGACGTTCTCATTTCTATAAAATTATCCACGTGCGCTGCATGAGCCCCATGATCATTGTGTAGTTTTTTGTGCCGTGCAAAAAAAAAAAGATTTATTATGTTTCTTTCATTTGCAGCCCAAAAATTCTTTTCAGGTAAAGCTGCCATAATGTTGAGAAATATTTGGAAGAATTGTGTCTGTCTGTCTCATTCATCTGTCCTGTACTGTATCATCTGTGCAGCTCGAGGCACAGTAAATCTGTCAGTGTAAAATAAACTTCATTTACCTTGGTTTCCATTATGTGTGGGAACCGGAATTCAGCTGCGCACCTCCTTATGGACATCAAACTACATATTTAGAATGTTGCACAAGCATACTGTGTGGTTCACTTGTTTCCTAGCTACAGGGAATTTTCTCTGCTGTGAGCTGGATGTAGAATAGTTTGCATGAATCCAGCCAAAACTGTGCTGTTCAAATGTCAAGTGGCCGTGCTCCAAGGTTGAGATAATGCATGACACTGGGTGTGGTTTAAGGTTTCCACTGACAGATACTTTAAGAGTCAATAATACCACAACAGAAACAAAAACATGAGGCAAAAACCGACAAAAGAGATCCATCATTCTTTACATAACTGTGCTGAGTTCATGATTCGGTGTTTCTCTGTTGTAGGATTGAAAGGAAGGGTCGGCCCGACAGGTAAAATTGGAGCCCGAGGTGAACGCGGCCCTGCAGGTAAAAGAGGCCCCGCAGGAGGGGGTGGAGACGTGGGGTTACATGGTCCCCCGGGTCATGAAGGAGAGAAAGGGGACAAGGGTGCTCGAGGACCAAAGGGAACTGCAGGAATCTGCAAGTGTGGCAGTCTGCTGCCTAAATCTGCCTTCTCTGTGGGAATCACCAGCAGCTACCCTGAAGAGAAAACCCCCATCAAGTTCAACAAGATCCTGTTTAATGAGGGCGGACACTACAACCCTCAGACGGGCAAGTTTATCTGTGCATACCCAGGCATTTATTATTTCTCTTATGACATTACACTGGCCAACAAACACCTGGCCATTGGCTTAGTGCAGAACGGTCAGTACCGCATCAAAACCTTTGATGCCAACACAGGGAACCATGATGTAGCTTCAGGATCCACTGTGATGTACCTGAATCCCGAAGATGAGGTGTGGCTGGAGATCTTCTTCAAGGATCAGAATGGTTTATTTGCAGACCCGGGCTGGGCTGACAGTTTGTTCTCCGGCTTCCTTCTCTATGCAGACACAGACTACTTTGACGCACTTGCAGAGGACTATGCATAGAAAATAAGCTAAACAGAACCTCAACTGCTAGTCATGGTTGTTACATAATGCCCCAGCATATGGTTAGGTAAAACTATATTTTTATACAAATGTTTGTACTGCTAAATATATTCTTACAATAGAGACTTATCTACTGATTGAAAATTATATTGTTTGATAAGCTTGAATAAGTCTCTGAGTTTTCATTTTTGTTTTTTGATGCAAGAGCAACAATAAAAAATAAACATGACAATACTCTGTTCTTTCTCCTTTTTAATAATCAAGTTTTTTGTGAAGAAAAGAAAGGCTTACAGATTTATGCATGCCATTGTTTAATTGGGGTTACAAAGAAAGAAAGAAAGAAAGAAAGAAAGAAAGAAAGAAAGAAAGAATTAATATACAGTATTAAATGACAGAAACAGAATCACTGAGCACTTTTTTGATATGCATTTTGATTGTAAACCCACTGCAGCCCATCAACAGGGACAGCTCAAAATACTTCTGGCCTCTCTTTGGGAGCTATCATCCTTTTTTAACAGTCATGTTCAGAACCACTCATTAATGTACTACCTACTAAATTAAAACAGTAAATAGAAGTTTTATTTGCTAAGCTAGAATGCCTGTTGAATTCAACATCAATAAACAAATATTCATTTCCAATACACTTACTGAATATATCTATATGATATTAATTTTGCATCTTAACCGTAAAGATAGCTTGCCTTTTTAGACTTATTTACACACATGTGCACGCACTTCTGAGTCAAAGAGCAAGTGAATAACAGTTGCAATCAAACAGAGAGAACAGAGAGAAACAATGTCAATTTATGTAAATTGTTTTCTTTTTATTTGAATGAGCCTCTTTAAGAATTTCAGGTGGCGTGGTCTAATTCTTACTTCCTACCCCATGTTTTACATTGCAACTTAGCTGGTAGCGGGGCTGGAGGTAACAAAGGGACCTCATGTGTATTTCACATCTACACCTGAGGTATGGAATATAATTCCAGAGGTTTGCAGACGTAGTCCCATTTGTGCAAAATAAACGTGGGTATGTTACTTTTTGGAGCAATTTGACAGCTCTGAGTTTCAGGTCTTGAATCAACAAGTACGAAAAAGAGTCTCCCCAACTAAAACTGTCACAAAGAGGCAAGAACCTATTACTGCTACGACTCCCACTATTTCTTCTCCTCACGACATATAATTTTTATTAAAAAGCTGAAGCGAAATGAGAATAAAAAATATGAGTTAACATAAACTATTGGCTGCAAAGTGCAACTTTTGGAACTAAAACTGCGATCTCACAGAGCACCTTTTTCACGAATCGGACACCGTAGTAGGCGGAGCCAATGCGGCAGTGTAATTTGATTGACGGTGTATTAGACGAATGGAAATTGAAGATCAGCCGTTCAATTCTGGCTGCGTCGGTTAGGTAAGGAAGTTAGGTTGGGGAGTAGTTTATCCCGTTACTAGGCAGCAATAGCGGCGCTTGCTTTCTAAGAAATGAGGGACAATAACTTGCTAGAAATCCTAAAAACTACGAACTCAATGTGGTACATGCTGTTCGCAGCTGCTGACTAAACCAAAGTATTTGTGGGTCGTCAGGTCGCCCTAAACGGTGTTTATTGTTAAGAAAACCGTTATGGCTTCTCCGGGGTAAGGGGTGTTTGTATTTGGGCTTTGATTCCGTTATTAGTCGATAAAAATAAAGAAATTTAATGTGTCTGAGATCAACCCGAGCTAATGTTGGTGCTGCTGGGTTCTGAAATGTCTCTGTTTCAGTGGCATTCGTGAAAAACTGAGAAGGAAACGACGAGATCTGCAAGAAAGTCTTGCGATGAATAAAGATGAAGACGACATTAAGGTAAATCTGCAAATGAACTATCATAGAAAAGTTATTTTTACTGAGTTTAGTTCAACATGATGTCTTTCCTTGTTTCTGTGCCCTCACATCATCCTCTGAGCGCCCTCCTTTAACAAGACTCAACATGACTTAGAGAGGAGTGTTAGCTCGCTGAAGAAACACACAATAACACAGACACTAAGAACTCCTGAATCAGTCTGATTACACTCCACAGGCTCTGGTTCCTTCCTCCAAAATGAGTAAGGGGAAACTACAAACTCCACAGAAGGTCGGTGTGTGTTTTGCAGTGTAACCTATAGACTGTAGTCGCCCTCTCGACACTGAAGTTAGCATCTAAGTCTCAGCCTCCGACTCGGCAACGAAAACAAGATCCTGAACGACTATACCCAGACTATTCAGGTCTGGACTAGATATTCTAAGAGACACTGAAGACCCTTAAAGCACATATTCATATTTGTGAAACCTTTATTCTATCCGTGAAAGGGCAAAAAAGGACAATTCACTATTTTTTAGGTCCAGACCACATTGGACCAGGTCCTGATCCACAATCACAATACCCAAGCATGTCAAACACGGACTACGTTGCCCAAGAGAAGCTACAGACTCAGTGAAACATGAATTCTGAAGTTTTTATTCATAATGTATTTCATATTGTGTCATGATACACAATAGGTCAATTTCATAGAACATAAGATGATGAAACAAAAAAAACCCACACTGATACCTAAACATTCACAATTAACTAAAGATGCTATCCTGTCTTTCTTTCCAGTCTCCTGAGACAAAAATAGCACTTTGAGTTCGTCATACTTTAACAGCCAGTCCAGTGTTTGCTTATTTAGCCACTACATTAATTTCATGCTTTTGGTGGCAGTTTCATGAAACAATGACTTTCTCAGGTCATTGGATTTTTAACTGTGTAAAAGGAAATTGGCTTCTAGATTAAGCAGCTGTTACATGTAGTTCAGGCTTTTGTATAGTCTTTAAGTCATTTAATTTTCACTTTTAACTGCCTATCTAGAATGATTTTTGACCAGGACCCGGTTTGGTCTTAGTTAGAAAAAAAACTCTCCTTGTTTTGAGATCTCCTTGTTTTTCATTGTCACTCAAAGAAATAAGGTTTCACAAATCTAAAAAGGTACTTTTGGAACTTCAAAGCCTCCCTGGGTTAATCTTTACCATATTTGGCAACATTTGATGGAGTGTTTTTGATTTGTACCTGTAACAGCCAAATTGAAGGCTGCGTATCAGATGCTGCCCTCCTGCTTCGTGTTGCCCTCCTGTTTGTGTGTGTGTTGCTAGATGCTTAACACCGATCTCTTTCTCTCTTCCCTCCACTAATGGTCCACTTTCCAGCAGTGCTTAACAGTAGCATGGGCAGAGATACAGTGTGCAGTTGTAGTCTAGATGTTGTTCTTTTGTAACAGTGTGCCTGTGTCCCATCAGGAACTCCAAAGCAGTGAAGAAGATCCAGGAGAGACTCTGAAACGCACATTCAGGGCTCAAAGAGAGAAGAAGAAAAGGGTACATCTACTAACTTACATCTTCATCCTTTGATCATAATAATAGCAGTTATATATTATGATATACATACACCAATCAACCATAAAGTTATGACCACTGGTAGACAAGGTGAATAATAGTGACGATCTCTGTGCAGAAGCACCTATCAGTGGGTGGAATTTGTTAAGCAGCAAGTAAACATTGTATCCTTAAATGCTGGAAAAAATGGACAACAGTAAGGATGGTTATGACCCTGATGTGGGACAAATTTTGATGGGTGCTGACAGGGTCGGCACACTGACGTCTGTAAAGAGTGAAGGCTGACCTGTGAGATGTGATCAAACAGAGGAATTGCTGAAGCTCAAAGTGCTGAAAAAACTAATGCTGGCTCTTGTAAAATGATGTCCAACCACACAATGGTTTACAGTTTTTTTTATGTATGAGGCTGCATAGCTGCAGACCTGTCAGTTATCTACATCTATCCCTGTCCACTGCTGAGGGTAGCTAAAGCAGGTATGCATGTGCTGTAGGAGCTTTGTGGTCTAGAGCTGGACCTTAAAACAATGAAAGAAGTTGGCCTGCAGGAGTGTTGGCCTAGTCTCCAAATTTTAGACCTCACTGCAATTAAGCATCTGCAATCAAGCAGCTTCTAGCACTTCAAGGATCCTCTAGTAACATCTTGATTCCAGATACCACAGCATTCCTTCAGAGATCCAGTGAAGTCTATGTCTGGGCATGTCCGGGATTTTTTAAACCTGACTTTATGTAGCATGAAGCAGGCATTCATAAAGTTACAGCTGAGGGGCATATATGCATCCTTTTTGAAGCTCCAGTAATATTCGTAGACATAACTGATTCATCTCGTGGTATCTCTTAGTTGCTTGAACAGTCTTCAGCCCAGGAGCTCCACCACGATGATGGTGTGCAGGAGATCTCCTCCATCCAGCCCCATAGTGAAGAGGAGGAATCAGCTGAACAGGCTGCTCAAAAACCTGCAGCTTCGTCAAGACCTCCAACTGGTTCTCTGAAAGGTTAGAGTCCTTGTCCTCATAAAATAATTTTCCTTTTGTGCATTTGGTCTTCTCTAAGGCGATGAAAGATAATAGATTGTTAGTTTTATAAAATATTAAAGTAGCATAGGGTAGCATCATAACTTTACACTAAAGTTACAGACAGTTCCTGGAAGGAGCTGCAGCTGTTAAATATTATGAGTAAATCTGCACTTTTAATTCGTTGCTGTTTGACACGTAGGACTTTATAGTCACTCCTTTTCTATTGTGCTGTCATTTTTCTGGTGAATTTGATGTTTATGAGCACTGTGCATCCTTTTTATGCATGACACCTTGATGAATAAATTTCCAAAGTGTAGTCAATGCTTTTTGCAGTATATGTAGGTAACAAAGTGAAAAAGACTTTGAATTATAATGCACTTGGGGAAAGTTCTTCAAGAGATTCATGCAACAACTTTGCCATGATTACAGTTTTTCTCAGTCGCTTTGGTACATTTCTCGAATCATCCTCGACATTTGCAAAACAGTAAGTCCTTTTCTCAAAACAATTTGTACAACTAGCAAAACACCATGGATTAGCTGCAAAAGCCAGTCTCTTGCTCAAAATCCTTAGTACATCTCTCAAAAGTAAATATCTGTGTCAATGAACATGTCAGTGCCATCAGAATGACAAGTCCTTGTGTCATTGTGCACGGATAAGACAGTCAAATTGCTTAGTCATGTTGTCAGTATAACAGTGTACTCTGGAGGGATGTTCTGATGTAAACTATGGCTAAAGTTTTGATGACAATCATTGTAAATTGGAAGTTACACCTCAGTGTATGTGGGAGATTGATTGCAAGAGACTGTAATTTGATGACAGACCATGTCATTGCGATACAGAAAAGAAAAAGACAGCACTGCAGAGCACAATAAAAAAAAAAAAAAAGTAGAAATGTGAACATACGACAATTTCCTTAGGGAAAACTGGAAATGCAGTGCTGTAGGAATTACAGTACAGTCTTCCTACACCTACAATGTCACTGTATATAGTATACTTACTGTATATTGTAAAATGAAAGTCGAATACTGCAATATTGTATGAAGCATCACAGAAAGTACACAGTATTACATTACAGTGCCTATTGTTAGATTACATACCTGTTCTGTCAACGAAAAGTCTGAATGATTGAGGACACAGTTGTTCTCCCAACATTTGGCTGCACCCTTCGGCCAGCCTCAGCCATTGTAAGCCCATGATTGAGAATGTGGTCTACAAGTGTAGCTCTTATCTCATCAGGAACGTGCATTTGTCCTCTGCCTATTCTGCCTCTTCCTCTGTTTTGCCTCCCAACTCCTCCGCCACGCAGCCTCACTCCTCTTCCTCTTCTTCTCTCTGGCTGTTGACCCCGTCCAATTCCTTGTCCTTCCATTGTCAGACATTGTAACATTGTGTTGTGCTCCAGCAATATATATACTTGCCAGTTGATGGTTCATGAGATGCACCTTTGAGCTATTTCGGTTGATCTAATGCTTCACACATTTCCCACCGTTAAAGAAAGTCAAGATTCACCTGGGAGCAATTTACCAATTCAGGACAGATTCAGAAACGTCTGATGGAAATGTATAGAAATATGCTTGACATATTATGACAGCTTGTTCAACCATTTTGCATGTAAAGACTTATGCAATGAACTAATGCCTAAATGTTGAGGGAGGTGAGACTATTCAACAGAGACCCATTATAATACATTTTGATCAACATGACATAAGCAATTGATAATGTAGAAAACAGCAGAAAATTGTACATAATCATTTGCATGGATGTACCAAAGCATTTGCAAGTTGTTCAAAGAAATGAGAAACTGCTTTTTTGATGTGCACAAGTGGCACAATGATGTGAAAATTGAACACATAGTTTTGAGAATTTCAATTCTGATCTGAGAAATGTACCAAAGCGACTGAGAAAAACTGTAAATAGCTGTAAAAGAACACAACTATTTAGGCTGTGAAATAATGTGAAAACATACAGGATGACAATCCACACAGTGTCAATATTTAGTCTAAGACAATCACCACTGTTTTTTCAAGGATATTCTGGCAAATTTAAGTTATGGTCAAACACACCGTAACACAGTGAGACACCCCCTCGGGAGATGGATGATGCCAACTGCTTGCTTCTCTAGTTATACCGACTTTCGCAACGACCGCACGATAGCAATACACAACGGTCTACTTCTCCATGTGCAAACCTCATCCAAAAAGCCACTCAATAGCCACATATAATGCTCAGAGCAGCTCCGAATTTCATCAACAGTATATATAGGGTCCCAGCCATAGTACTAGCCATTAAAACATACTTTTAGCTTTGCCTGGTTTCTTTCTCAAAAAGACCAAACACAACTCACCCACTCTCTTCCAGCAGCTGTTTGTTTGTGGGGGAGCTCCGACGAGTCGACCACCGAGTTTCACAGATCAAGGAAGAACATAGTGACCTTTACTACATGGAAATGCAATCAGACCAAGACGCTAAGGCAGAAGAACTAAAGCATCAGCGGTGCAAAATGATTTTGATGATTATTACTTCAAGGAAATGATCCGCTGCACTCGGTTATCGACTCGTCAGGGCTCCACCTGGAATATCTGAAATATCCCTTTTAAAATTCTGTGTCTGATGTTTTGACTCCTTCTGTGTTTACTTCTTGGGCTCACATCTGTATAATCTGTGTATTATTATGTTCATGCATGGAAATATTAAAAATTGGTCAGTCACTTAGGTTTTATGATTTTTCATGCCTTTTGTCTTCTAGGTCACTCATCCAAAATTCAGCATTCTCCTGGCTCACAGCATGTAGTTGATTCTGTGACCCGTCGCCTTGAGGAGAGACTGAAAGCAGCCAGAGTAAAGCAACTTCTCTTTTGCACAAAATAGCTCAAAACTGCCTTACTGCAAAAACATTTCTTTCTTCGTGTGAAATGTGTTCATATCAAAGTATGCTGTGTGCTCCAGTCAAAAGGTGAGAGACTTCAGGAGCAGGAGGCTACACAAGAGCAGCCTAGTCACCTTCAAGGACTCAGAGACAGAGACACTGTGACAAGATTTGACCCAGAGGTGAGCATCCACCACACATCGGCTGTATTAATACAGTTCTCTTTCACAATGGTACCTCTTCACTCTTATCATAAGTGGAGGTTAAACTCCTAGTGTTTTACAGGTTGATCCAGAAAGAGTAGGAAGACATGATGTCCCTCCGTCCCTCAGCTCCAGGGTCAAGTTTAGAGAAGCAGCAAGACGAGTAAGGCCAGAGACGGGATTAAAATAATCCCTGGACAAAAATATTCTTGTGTGTTTACTTATTTTCTCCTTTCAAATGCAGACAGAAAAAGGCATTCCAACTGCAGAAGAGGCCTACAACTTCTTTACTTTCAACTTTGAACCAGAACCACAGAAAAGGACCAAGAAAGTCAGCAGGAAAAGACCAAAACCAAACAGATCAGAGGAAGAGGAGGACGGAGATGGATATGGAGAAGGAGAAGAAGCTGAGGAGGAAGATGTTGAAGGAGAGGAAGAGAACAGAGATGAAATAGAAGACCAGGTAAGACGGTGTTTGTGATGTAGTAAAGATTTGTCTGCCACTACAGCTGCATAAGACTGAGCTGTTTCCAAACATGTTGTGTTCTTTGTCTTGCTGTAGGGTGAAGAAGCTCCTCTTGTGCAAGATGAAGGTCAGGATTTGTTTGTCATTGAACAGTCATCTTATGACTTCCTGGAGATGAAGAAAGCAGAGTATGTTGGGTACAAAAAGCTTGTTCAGAGAGAAAATGAGCTCCTTTTTACACCAAGTTTACGAACAGGTATGCTGTAATGCTTGAAACCACCGTATTCACCACTGCAGTTCTAGTTTCTCTGAGATTGGTTAATTATTTTCAACTGTTTTTATCTGTTTTTGTCACAGTACCGACCTCTGTTAAACTGCCTCAAAACATGAAGCCCCGTTACCTGGAGGACGAGGGTCTGTATGTTGGAGAGAGACCCCCTGTATCCCCCACCAATGAGAACATTCTGGAGAACCGCATTTTGGCAATGGAGGAGGTAATCTCATACCAGCATGCCACACATGTCACCATTTCTTAACCACTGTACAGGAACTCTTTAACATATCCATATATTCTTGAACTATTAATGAAGGGAAGGGAGTGGTTTGGAGATGATGGCAGGATCATGGCTCTTCCTGACATAAAGGCAAGATCAAACAATGGCGAAGACGATCCTGCTCTGCAAACTGTGTGATGGTCAGACAAAACTGTGTGCTACTGTCAGCTCCATCAGACACAACTCATTTACCTCATCTTAAGCTCTTTGCACTCTCATAAAGTAAAGGAACAGTGGTGTCCTCAGACTGGAGGGTTCTTTAACCTCTGCGCCACTTTGAAGAAGAGCAAAAGGGCACACCGACATTTGGTACAAAGAATAAAGCGGGGGAGAATAGCAGAGTGAAGGCAAGCCCATTTTTGCCAGCATCTTTACAGATAATTACCGAGCATGGTAGGTCAAAAATACAAGTTCTGCAGTCATGATTATAAAGAGGAGATGGAGCTGAAATAGATTCATACGCAGCACAAATACTAATATCAAAGCACATATGGGCGAGGAAGAAAACTACCTCCACGTCTTGTACATGTACACTTAACATATGCACATTTTCCTGATAATGTTTTGGAGCAGTGGTCAGAGCTGAGGTTATGAGGAAGTGTAGTTTTATACACACACATAAGTGCAGGAAAATTAAATAAAGCAACAAGAGACGATAGGACCATACACTTTTATTTCATGCCACAAAAAAAGTTTATTGAATCACATTGTTTTGATTCACCAGTCTTCATTATGTGATAGTTTGAATCAACTTGACTAAAACTATCACTGAATGAAGCTCAGTGGGTCAATCATGTGTTTCTGTAAACTGTACGTGTGCTGCATTACCCTCTGTCCTTCATCATCTCACAACTCACCCTGTACCTTGAGAGGCGTTAAAAGATATTAAAGAGTACAGTGACTTAATTTCACCTGCCGAAATAAGCCTGAGAGCCACCAAGGTAGCCAGATAGCCAGATATACAGTTATTGACACATCCTTCTTGTTTCCCAGCGTAAATGAAAGAGTTCATCAAAGTCACGTTTTCTTTGTTTAATTTTTCTTACTTGTTAAAGAAACCAAATGCAAATAAAAGACAAAGGCAAATCAAACAATGGCGAAGACGACGTTAATGTTGATGGTCAAAAAACTGTGTGCTACTCCAGCTACAGACACAACTGCCACTAATTGTATCTTCTTCTCCCTATAGTGTAACAAAAATAGGAATTCACGCCACCTGGTGTGGCACCAGGACAATTACAAATGATAAAGGTTTCAAAACACAAACCCAAAGAAAATACAACAAATGGCTCTAAAAATGAGTATGAGTGTCAGGATACTAAATGTTCTCAATGTTTTTGATTCACAAAAACAAGATTGAGGTTTGATTAATAGATACTTGCGTTATACATACATATACTACATATATATATATCTATACAGTATGTGTTAGTGTGTTTGTATATATGTGTGTGTGTGTGTGTTTGTGTGTGTGTGTGTGTGTGTGTATATATATACACATACATATATATGTATGAATGGTTAGTACAAAAGGTAACCACAATGAGATGATGTGGGTGCTAATGATAGGGTCTGTATTTTTTGTAACTGTCTTGCTGCTGTATTTAGAAACTGCTGCAGATGCAGTGGCCTTGATAAAGTGATTCCTGGTAGAGAGATTTGAAGTTTAAGCGGAGAAACAAATACATGAACAACAGGCTTTCAATCTATTACGGAAAGAAATGATTATGACCCAAGATGAAAGAATCCAGTGATGACAGCTGTTCAGCTGACAGTTCTGTGATTGCAGGGCCCAGCTGTATCTCTTTGGAAACGACTCGCGTTAATAAATCTCAAACATTGCAAAAATGTTACTGACCACAAAGGCAAACGATGAGAAACTATGTAGACCCTGAAAAATCTGGCGGTACAGGTTACACAGATGTGGTCCACTTTCCAGGAGTATCTGGGGAAGATTCAATCATGTATGTACTCAGTATTTCAAAAGAACCCGTCTTCACATGTATTTTCTTTTTGTAGCAGTGCATCTGCTGCACTTGTTCATCCAGAAAACATAATTCATTGTGGTTTAATTTGTTGTTATGGCTTTCTATTTTCATGCATGGCTTTTCATTACAGTTCTCCCTGATGGTGCAATCAATCTTGCAAACCATTTCATGCTTCCTTTGAGTTTTCAGCCATATTTAAATACACTCTACAAAGCACCAGCATCAGTCATGACGTTTATCATTTTCCAGAATGCTGCATGATGGATGATGTTGCTCTTTTCACCAGGCTATGAAGTCCAAGTATGCAAATCTGTATATTAGTGGTGCGGCGGACCCTGAAGGAGACTACCAGCTTGATGTTGATGTCTCAGGGCTGATTTTCTCCCATCACCCACTTTTCAGTCGTGAGGATGTCTTGGGATTCCGTCTCACTCAGCTGTATGATCAGTACCTCACCAGGCAACACAATAATCTTACAGGACACTTGACAGACAAGGTAAAATTCACCTGCAGAAGGTCTCTCAGTGAGAGAGCTGTCATTATAACTGTAAAAACTCCTCTCTAAACACAGTTAAAAATATATTTGAGGCAAAGATTAAACTCTTTGTAAAATATCCGGTCTGCTGTGTGTTTTCAGCTGCATGGATTGAGGAGTGCATTGCGAAATATGCAGAGCTACTATGGCGGACAGAGCTTCAGCCAGGCCATGCAGCAGAGGATATCTGAGTATAGCTTAGAGGTTAGGTGAGTGACTTCAATCTGTTCTGTCGTATTCTTGTGAGAATGATAATCGCTGCCTTTAGCAGAAAGACAAGCTGTACTTTTTTCCCCTTAAATTTCGCAGGAACACTCGGCAGCTGCGGGACAGTGAGCAGGAGAAAGACCGGACTCTGCTGAAGAACATTGTTAAAGTGTGGAAGGAGATAAAAGCCTTGAGGGACTTTCAGAAGTACACAAACACTCCTTACAAGCTCTTCCTCAGGAGGTGAGTCTGTTTGTGTAGCCAGAATCTGCAGTAGTACTTAAACTTTTGCTGCTCTCTAGAGCTTCAGAGTGGAATCATTTTTATTTCAGAAAGCCAATTTTTACAATTCATGAAGTTTCAATACCCAGGAGGCAAAAAAAAAAAAAACAGTTCTAGCCTCTTTGGGGGGAAATATGTACAAATGAAAGTATTCTCACAAAAAGGGGCTTGTTTTAGTCACTGACAAGCTTTAATAATTGTTTAAGACCCCATAACAACAGTATTTAGAGCTGTTTACAGCAAGGCCTAGCTGTTTGTTTCAGCGTTTGCAAAAAATGTTTACAAATGCAGCCTCTGCAGAGGATTTGTGTTCTACAATGGAGGATGGTGGCTTCAATGGGGGCATTTGATAAATGTGTCTTTGGTGTAAAAATGTTTGGCTACTTCAAAATGCAGAGGTGAAAGAACACTTTTGCAAACAACAGCAGAGCAGTTGGTGTGTCCAGGTTTAACATTCGACATCTCGACTCTGCAACACCAAACCTTAGCCACACTAGCAGAGAAGGAAGTGGAATTATTCAGTAGTAGTGGTCGAGGTTTTTGCTTACCAGTGACGATCAATGCAGATGCTTTTTTGCTTCCACATTCTGATGGCTGTTAGACCGGAGGTACTCTAAAGTTTATATGTTTAGGCAAGGAAAATGCTTTTTGTTTATTATGTGGTCCCTATGAAACTGCCTGAAACCATTACAAACATGATCCCTACGGAGGCAGACCTTTGTTATAAATATATTTTGTGACAGAACACAGGAGATGCGGTTCTACTTCTGCCATGACTGGTTAGTTTATCAAATAAGGCAGCAGTAATTGTTAAAGAGAGGATTTGTGTCAATGGAGGATGGTGGCTTCAATGGGGGCATTTGATAAATGTTTTTGGTGTAAAAATGTTTTACTTAAAATGAAAAATGTTTCTTGGAAGCAATGAAATGCTAAACGCAGAGAGAAGCTTTTAAAAAGTTTACAGGCATATTCTCACCCCTGTCATGCAGGAGTAGATTTTTTCAGCTTGATTTCACTACTCCTTCTTAGCTTTCCTGAAAATATGTGCATTTTCAACTTAATCCTCTTAACAGTTTGTGGAATCTTTGACATTTATGCGCTTTTATTTAACCTTGTTCCAGAGTGAACGTGGATCCGGCAACAGATGAGCGAGAGTATGAAGATGAAATCTTGGCAGAAATCATGGAACTGGAATCAGAGAGTGGAGAGGACTATCAGAGAAAACTGGCAGAGTACATGAGACAGCTGGAGGAGTGGAAACTCTGGAGAGGGAAACAGGTACCTACCACAGCTGGACTAATAAATCTACCCGACTGATGTTATCTCAGGGCAGATATCAGCAGCATAGATCCGGGCACAGTCTCAATAAAGACATACAAAAGCTGAAACAGCATCTGTACCAAGTATTTTTTTACATTCATCCTTAAAAGTTTTGCTAATATAGTAAATGATCGATATAATATTTTCAGACCTGTATCATGAAGAGGCTTCTTTGTTATGTGCATTACTGTACAAGAAAAGTCTTCATGAGAAATTGATCTTTCAAATATTTGTGTTTATAGTAATAAATTACAGGAATGAGCTTCAAACTTTGTTTTGAAAGCATGTCTCTACACTCACATCCTACCTTTACTGTTTTCAGAAAGCAAAAAAGAAGAAGAAAAAAAGGAAGAAGAAAGGACAGTCACAGGACAACACAGAAGAAGAAGAAGATGAGGACCAGGATGTGAGTGAGTCAGAAGGACCCGCTGAAGATGGACCCTCAAAACCAGAGCCTCCAGAGGAGCCGGATTTTGACTCCATAGAGTCGCAAGTCAGAGAGAAAGCCTCCAGGATGCGAAGGAAACCAGGAGAGCCCATCCTGATCCCTGTGCTGTCTGCTCATGGAAACATCACTGCCACTGAACTCTGTCCCAGGTAAGCGCAACATCAGGAGAAATGGTTCTTATAAATAAATAAATAAAAACAAGCAAGTGTCCTCTTCCTCTTCAGTTTTAATCAGACTTTTGTAACATAGAGGAAATTAATTTGAGGAGTCAATTCCAACACCCAGTGGTAATCCTGCTTGTGATAACTGCCTGCACTCTTACTTTGGTACTCTGGATGTTTGTTTTCATCGTGTTTGTTTTCCCCTTGTTGCAGGGCTGAAATAGCTCGCAGAGAGGATGTATCAAAGTGTTCTCTTTTCATCAAGATCCTGTACAATGACAAAGAAGTTTCCAGAACGGACAGCCGCTCCCTCAACTCTGATTTCAGAGTGCACTTTGGCCAGATTTTCAATCTGAAAATAGTTAACTACCCCCAAAGCATCAATTTGCAGGTAGAGTACAGACATATTTATAGTTCTGCCAGTTTATCCAAACCTCGGTTCTGCTCAACAGATTTCCACTCTCTCGTTTTCACGGTGTGTGTGCATGAGTAGGTGTTTGAAGCGACTGGCTTTTCGTCTTCTCTCCTGGCTCAAGTGTTCATCCCAGTGCCTGAACCCACAGTGCTGACAGGCAGCGTTCCTGTCGAAGAATTTGAATTTAGCAGCAACCAGAGAGTGATGTTTGACCATGAGGGAGTAGGAAGTGGTAAACACCTTTATTGTACATCAGCTCATATCTGAAACACTCCAATAAACTATGAATGAATGCAAGACTAAAATGATAATTTTATTATGACTAAAGTTTGTTTGGTTCGTCTTCTTATCTCCACAGATGTACCGCTCTCCTTCGACGCTGATGGCGGTAACAGACAGACCCTACTGACCTCTGGGAAGCTGGCCTGCTCTGTTTCATGGGGGATCGGAGAGGACGATGTCCCACTCGCTCCTCCTTTGCTTCAACAACCTGGGACCAAACACAGGTAATAATGTCACGCCTGTTTGTGTCCATGAACTACACATCCTGTGTGATTTACATGTCTGCCAACCACTTCCACAGCACAGCACAGGTGTTGATATATGAATGCATTTTCCTGCCTTGCAGGCATCCTGTGTTGTAGGTGTATGTTATAGACAGCCTTGGCACCTTGCACAGACATGACATTAACGAAAGGCTGTCAATCAATAAAAGTTCTTCCTTACTTTATATGTCAGGGGTTTTGTAGTTGATTTACTTCCTGCAGAAGATTTTTATTGATGCTTTCCGCAGCTCTGTAGAAATGGAAATGCAGAGCTGCAAAGAATAAAAGAAAGAGCGTGTGCATGGTTAAGCAAGCTCCCTGAATGAATTCCCTGCAGATACTTGAGGGTAATAAGACTCACTGTCTTTTCCATGAGTTTCACAGAAGATGAACTCCAAAGAGCTGATAAACATAACCACACCTCAGCACAAACATGTAGAAATGAGCTGGATTATGTGTAACTATAACTGTGTTTCATCCTACAGACTCTGTGTCTATCTGTATTGCCTCTGTCACACTTGCAGGTCTTCTACTGTTATTATTCTCAGGTCTACATATAAAACTCTTTATTAAGTCATTTTGGTATCTCCTACAGACGCTTATGTTATATTTGCATTTGTTGGAGATTGACAGAGTGCAGAAGAGAGAGAGATAAACAGAACCCTGCACTCATCATACAGACACAGGGCAGGACTGAGAGAGGATATCTTAATGTGTTTGGGAAGATAACTTTTATTCAGGCTTTTTTCTCACACTCATGTTAGGTAACTTCCTCTGTGCCCATATTGTGTGCACGATGGAAATTAACAGCTTCATCTTTTAAAGCCCAAGAGTTTGTTTTTGTTTCCCTGGTATCAAAACAGGTATGGCTATTTTTACTAGAGCGGCACTGAAATTCAAAATTCTGTTACCTTAATAACCAAGGTTCTAAATTAAGAATAACTATATTGAACTTTATTCATACCCGAAGGGAAATTCAGTTCACAATAAAAAAAAAACAATTGAAAATGAACACTTGTACAACCAAATGCAGGTGGATGTTCTAGATGGAGGGTAGATCTCAGGCAGCCATGATGAGAAATGTGGAGGGTAAATTTATGACCCACAAAAGTAGGGTTATAAAAAGTGAAAATAAAAATCATGCTGGGTTTGTCACCACATTTTGGAGTATGTAAAACTTCTGTCTGCTGTTGCTCTGCTGTCTGCATGCTGGGCTGACATATGCAAACATGCATGTGACTGTACACTGTTACAGGTGTACAGGTTTGTGTGTTCTTTCAAGTATAGGGGAATTCACAATAATTACTCAGCCACAAAAATCAACAATGACATTCATCATTTTAGAAAAAGAAAGTTGTGGCTGATTAGTTTATCTGTTAAAATTCAAAGCGTTGAGTATTACAGGATTAGTTTAGGAGCTCTTAGTAAACCTTAAGTTTACAAAGACTTCAAACTCCTGTGATTTTCTAGTGTGGCCTTCTAAATTTATATCAACACAGAAGCTTATTATCTCAATACAATGACTGGCTAGTTGAATTCTTTATGCTGCTCAAAATTGATCACCTGTTGTTGTGTTTTCAGTGGTCTTGGCCGTTTTGATGCTGTCACATGTATCGGAGCCTCTGGACTCTATGACATGAAGAAAATTGGCGAGTGGGCCACACAGTCACGTTTGGACCCCAATGATCCGAAAAATGCCTCCATCATGCAGCTGCTAAAGGTGTGTATCAGAGTGTTGGACTCAGTATGAGCAAGAGGGCTCAATCATCAAGGAGATATTTCAATTTATAAATGCGGGGTTGTTTCTTTGTGTTTGTCGTTCACCAGGTAGCCAGCAGTGGGGAGGTTACAGCTCCTGAATATTTCCGCCTCGAACAGGAAGAGTTTAACTTTGTGACCGATGAGGAGCTGGAGAGCTCCAAAAGATTTCGTCTCCTCAGGCTGAGAAATCAGGGAGTTGCAGAGTTTAGAAATTACAAGTTTGTTCCTGCGGTGGAGAGCGAGGTCACTGATAAGGTGTTCCAGGTCAGCCCTCCAGATATTTACTAAACTGAAGAATATTTCAGATAAGGTAGAATTATTTAAATTCCTCAGTGTAAAGTTAATTTATTTTTCTCTTTTAGGATTATGAGAAGAGGCTGAAAGAAGAAGATATTATTGACACTAAAGAACATTTGGATTCACACCGAGCCTTAGCGGCCAAATACCTCCACAAGGTTAGCGACTATCTTTGTACCACCCCAGTCTTTAGCAAGGAAGTGTTGGCATTCAAAGTGGCATTACTTTTTATTTACTGTCTTTATTTACCTTTTTGTTGACATTTCACCAAGATGAGTGTGGATTACAAGCGATGTAGCTGCACATACCCTGTCATCACATCGCAGTTGTTTCTTCTCAACCATAAGACTGCTGTGCCTGACTGTGAAACTCTAATTTGACATTTCAAACTCCGATCTTTCCCTGAACTTGACCGTATGCTGTCTCACTGCATGAACAAGATTGCCGTAGTCTACTCAGGTTGGGACAGCAACACTTTTTGGTTTGGCAAAACGTCTTATTCTCTACATTGATATTGAGGCTCTGGCTTTGAGGGTCCAGCTTCAGCGGTCAGGACAGTTTCTTCTTTTTTTTGGTTTATTCTTCACCCAGATTGAGAAATATAGGATATTGAATATTGTACAGGTGGGAAAGTCTCTTTGAAGAAACTGATTCATGATCGTGGGCGGTATGATTAATTCTGACTTGACTTTGTCTCTCGCAGATCCGTGAATCAGTCATTAACAGATTTCTTCTCGCCAAGCATCACTACATCCTGTCTGATGTGGTGATAGAGGAGGAGATACCAAGCATTGGGTAAACACTCCTCCTGACATTATAAACGGATTAAACTTCTTTCTCACTCCTTTTTTTCACAACTCATATTCTTCCATGTTTGTGTAAAATATTTCTTTCCTGCCAACAAACTGTGACTTCCAGTGTTGATTTGTCTCACAATTGATCTAACCCTTATCCACCAGTCCTGAAGTAATGAAAAATTACACAGAGAGCCTGAACTCCCCTCTGCGGTTATAAAGGAAAGGTTAGATAACTTGAATCGATTTAAACCGGAGGATCAGGGGCCAAACCAACTCATTCTTAGGAGTGACAGGCTGATATAAATCACAGGCTGATGTAAGTCGGTTTCCTGGCCTGATGCTGCTTCGGCTTATTTGATCTTAAACCCAGAGTTCCCCTGGCTGATAAATACTCCACTCTGGAAACCATCAAAGTGCTGTTATCATGTCTCACAACATGTGCACATGATAACAGAGAGTAAATCCCTGATTGCATATGTGCAGATTTATGCCGATACGTTACATCAGTGACAGTCAGGCTGGTGGGTGTTACTCTGCATGATTTCTTCATCTGTCAGTGTGAATGTTTTATCTTCTCTGTTCTTTGTGTCTGTTATTCTTCTGCTTTTCATTTCAAACAGTGGTGCTGGTCCGGGGTATGTGCTCACACTTTATCTCCTCTTCTTCTCCTTCCCTCTGTGTCTCTGAGTCCCTGTTTAGTTTGGACCCTGAGTACCAGTACAGTAGAGACCATAGAACCTGTGTAGTATACAGTCCTTCCAGGATTTGCTCATAAACTGTAATTTCATCATCATATTGATAAATTTCATTCTTCTGTTGTCACTACGTAGCTGCAGTTGGAGAAAGGTTATACTTATACAAATGTACATAACTGGCACATTTTACAGGCAAATAGACACAAGGTTGTGACCACATTGCAAAGTGAGTGTTGTTGAATGGTTGTAAATCTGTGTCGGGGCTTTACAATATTTATAGATTTCAGGATAAGAACAAGGTTATTTGTTAGTTTATTGTTATCAATACTCCCCAAAAGGTTGTCATTTCAAAATATTGATCACTGGAGACACTCATCTTTGCAGTGCAGACTGAAGCAAATATTTCTTTTAACCCAAACCAGTACAATTTCTTAAACTAGCCCTTCTCCGGCACTGATAATTTATTTCACCTTTTTTTCGTAGACCAACAGATTTCACTGACACGTCAATCTTTTAATGCACAATCATCTAAAGTATGACTATATTCACTTTCTGCTAGAGGTCACCCTGATTATTGATCTGGCTGATTATCAGGGTAGATCATTTGTACTGGCATTTTTTATGCGTTTGTTTATCTCATATATCTTCTTGATTCAGCAATTTGATTTAAAATTAGAGTCAACTGATACATTTATGTCCTAATACAATTTAAGTATTTGGTAGTATAAAATCAAAGCAAATGAGTCCCGCCTTTATCATCTGCAACATTTCAGAGATGAACACATTTATTTGTCCCTAGTTAAAATTCAGGGGACAGTATAATACTCTTAAATGCAATTTTACGTTTGTCTCATAAAGAATACTTTACTTGTCATCTTGATTATATTTAAATAAGTAAAATTTTGAATGCAACACCTTTTACCTGCATCAGCATTTTTCTACACTGTGAGTTTGCTTCCTCTACCCTCGGGGAAAAAATCTGAGCTGTCACATTACAGGTTAATGCCTACATGAACAGTCAAAAGCGCACAGCTTCAAGAGATAAAAAAATGATTATTAGCGCTGTTGTACATGTTAATCTTTGGTTATTATTTTATTTTTCATGTTCATTCGTTTGCTATGCATCAAGTAAAACACAAAAAAACACGTGGAATAATCTGTGATAAGACAAAGAAGCGTGAGAAGGACATCACAGATCAGCTTCCTAAAGCTTTTGGCAGTGGGTCCAAACATGTAGCAAATAACTAGTTTAACACATCACACAAAATTACAAAAGACAACAAATGAGATGACAATAAACACAATCGTTGCGTAAGACTATATCTGTTCACTTGTGTAGATTTCATAAATCACAAAGATCATCCTGGTCAGAAAGTATTGTTAGATCAGCAGTGTCAAGACGATAATCACGCTTCAATTGTGGTGCCACATGTCAAAACTGTTTTTAAGGCCTAATTGTATTGTTAGTTGCATCTAAATTTTTCTCATATATTGAGAAATAATTTATTTCTCATATTTCTAAAGTTAACCCTAGTTCCCGTTGTGCCATAAAAAGCCATGAAAACCAAAATATTGTAGTTAAATCAATAATTTGATTGTTAATGTGCAGTTACCTGGGGGGACTGAGAACTATTGGTGATAACAATCCTCTCCCACATGATCAGAACTGTTTTTAATCCCTCGTTAAATAACTAGAGTTCAGTATTTGTTGTCTATTTAAATAAACAGTGTGCAGTTTGTCATAGTAATCTTTGTGCTTTGTGTTGTCCAAATCAGGATCCTGGGACGGAACCTCTTTAAACTGGCTGAACCCAAACGTCCTCTCAAGCCTCAGAGGAAAGAAAGAAAGAAAGTGACAGCTCAGAAACTGTCTGACGGGGACATCAAGCTGCTGATCAACATCCTGCGGGCATACGACATCCCCGTCCGCAGGCCACAGAACAAGTGAGTGTTGGCTTAGTCCAGACAAACTCAAATCAAAATCTTCACTCGTCATCAGAAACAAGTAATCTGCATGATTTCAGGTATCTGACTGAATGTAATTTTTGTTTTCTTTTTATTTCAGTCCTTTTATTTCTGTCATCCAGGGCAGTGATTGGCTTAACCAGGTATCTACTCGATCATCATCAGCATGTGATCTTTGTTATTTTTGACATTCATTAACATGTGAAAATATGAGTGAGGTTTTGACAGCCTTCTTGTTGTTATTAGATCATTAAAACTGAATTTATATCAGCATTTATGTCCTCGTTTTTTGCCCCAAGCTAAAAGTATTCTTTAGATCATCAGTTAAAGTTTATTTATTTGTCATTATTTCAAAATGTGGTGCAAGAAAGTTTAAATGAAAAAGAAACTAGTATGAAAACAGAAATGTGTGAGTACTGTTTTCCAAGTTAATTTCCAAAGGAAAGAAATAAAGAAATATGTCTTTGTTTATTGTTCTGTGTACGTTTGTTTCTGCTTTGATTTAGGTTCAAGTGAGACCCTTTGTGGAGGTTTCCTTTCAGCGCACAGTCCTTCAAACGACCACAGCAGACGGACCAAACCCCTGCTGGAACGAGGAGCTGCAGCTGCCCTTCAGGTGACAGCTGAGTATCTAACAGACATGTAATATTGCATTTGCTGTCATCTTCAGTTACCTGACCAAAGTCTAAGGTTGTACAGCTACTTGCTGCTTCCTCCAAATGAGCTATATTTACTTCCATCTACAAAAATGAGACTCTTTTCCAACCCTAGTTAGGGGATGGAGTGATCACAGCTCGGCACCATGATTGAGTTTGATGAATGTAATTATCTTTTAATGCACTTGGACTGAACAAGTCTCAAAAGCTTATCACACAGAAGAAATAATCTTGACAACACCCAGCCAGTGCTGCACTCTACAGCATTTCCAGTCATCTTCTCCAGTCAGTTTCATTAAATTTTTTTCATTAAATTTTCTGCTCTTAGTATTTTAGTCATCAAACAGACAGGTTTAGAAGAGAAACAAACTGATGAAGCAGACAGCAGCTTGGCTTTCAGCCCAAAGAAAGTTGTTACGGCTGTATGTTTGTATGTGTTTTCCTCTTTTGTCCTCCCTAGCTCTGCCCAGGTGGAGTCACTGAGTGGCAGTCAGCCTAACCTTGTCCTGAGGGTTTAAAACCCAGGAGCGGTTTTCAGAGGGGAGAGGCTTTTGATGGGGACTGCTGCCTCTCACTTGTGTTTTTGTTCTAGTTGAATTCTAAATTTGTTCTTCAGTAAAATTTTCACAATTATTTAATTTGTCTTTTGGTAATAATAAATCACATAATAAATCTTTGAAGGTGTTTTGTTACTTTTAATGGGCCAATGTGAGGATAGTTGTTAGCCCCACAGGGCCGCCTTAGGTCGGGGGTTAACAGAGTCAGGAGACAGTGTGTTATCTTGTGTTTATATTGTTTGTATTCACCCTGTTGATCAGTTTTAAAAAGAAAAATTATTCTTTTCAGTTTTAGACTCCCAAAAGTTAAAAAACAAAGGACGCCCTAACTGAAAAATCTTAGTATTAAAAGAAGTAATACTCAGTAGTAATATAAGCATGTTTAAAAATAAGCTTTATAAAAATTATTATAAAATTATAAAAATTATAAAAATAGTTGTTCTGACAAACCATCAAATAAAAAACTGAAAAAAAGAAAAAAAAACATATCAGCATGGCTAGACAGAACAAGACAACATAAAGTTAAAGTCAATATGAAGAGAAACATGCATAAGATAAAAGTTGTAAAAGAGAAAGGCAGCAGTGAGGTCCCAGAGCAAAAAAAGGGTAAAAAAGAAAAAAAAGAAAAGAATCAAAGAGAAAGAAATAAAATCAACAAAGGAAAATGTACAAAAATATCTTTAAATAACAATCTTAAAACATCATCCTAAAACCACTGTGAGGTTATGAAACAAACTTTAACTAATCTTGACACCTTTTTTTGGGCTTTAAAGCAAACAGGACTATTTACAACAAAAGTGCGTCTTTTTTTCTGTATCTCTTATTGTTTTAATGTGTCTGAATTGACTCTTTCACAGTATTATAGAATTGGGTGACAAATAGAAAAACTTGAGATCACATTTATCTATAGTCTCTCCTTACATTAGGAGCTAAATTAGCTAATGTTTCCCTCCACAGTGCTCCGAATGGTGACTACAGCGCTGCCAGCCTGCAGTCAGTCAAAGATGAAGTTTTTATCAACATATTTGATGAAGTCGTTTTTGAGACTGGGGTGGTGAGTGGCACAGTGTCTTTTACTCTAACTTTGTTATATCGAGTGTTTCGGATTGTTCCCTGTGTCATGTTGAAACTCTCTGTGCTCCTCAGACTGACAAAGACAAAGGGAAAACTATACACACTCGTGTGGAGAAGCACTGGCTGGGCTCTGTGAAGATTCCCTTCAGCACCATTTACTCTCAGTCCAGGGTGAGACTGTGTGAAGATGTGTTTTATTGGCTGACTGCCTGAACTGCTGACTGAGTTTTTATTTTTATTCCCACAACTCAGATTGATGGGACCTTCAAGGTGAACACTCCTGCCGTACTGCTCGGGTACAGCAAAGAGCGGAGTCACAACACCAACAGCGGTTATGATATTTTACGGAATCTGAGCGAGGGAACGTTCATCACACTCTTCATCACCATCGAACCACAGCTGGTACCTGGAGAATCCATCAGGGAGAAGGTTAGTCCTGTCTGTAATCCTGTTTAGTGCTGAGCCTGCTGCTCTCTCTGTTAGTCCATCCATGTTTGTTGTTATATCAGTTTGACCATTAGCATGGCTTTGAATTCTGTTCATTTCATGTCATGAAGATTTTTAATCTTGCTGAGTATTTGTCTCACTTAAAATGAGCCTTACCTCCCTGTCAGGCTTAGCTGTAACATCTTATTCCAGGCTTAAAAGAAGTACTGAAGTGGTTGTTCTGCAGCAGGTCAAACTTTCTCATAAAGTTTCTAAAAATAAGTACTGCGTTGTGTTACAGTTCGTGAAAAAACTTCCAGAAAGTTTTGCTTGGGGCATTTTCAGCCATTTCTACCCAAACAATTACAGAAGCCAAGAACGGCCATGGATTTTTCTTTTTTGTATGCACTGTTATCTCGTGTTGACGACTTGTTATCTCGATAAAACAAAGTTCATTTTCTCGTGATAACATGAATGATGTTTAAGCCAACCTCAACAGTATCTTTCCACAGTAAACAATCAATAATGCATGTATTTTTTATCATTTTAGAATAAGATGTTACATCTGGGCTTGCTTAAATGAGGCTCATTTTGAGTGCAGACGCTTATCTCGTTGCTGGTTTTGTCTCCTTCTTGTGGATGTGGTTTTAATTGGTGTTAAAATTCATCACTCAACATGAAGATTTGTTTTATCAACAATAACAAAGGCTCATAGCAGTTACAGCCATCAGAAATTACAATGCAGAAATTTCCACTCGTCAATGATGATCTCATTTACTTTTACACGTTGTAAAGATGCATTACTGTTCATTTCAGTCAGTTTTATAACCTGTCAAAAACTCCACAGGAGTTTTGATGTGATGTTTATGCAGCAGCTGCTGCCACAGAGTTGGTGTCTGCAAACATTCACACGATTGATGGATTTGAGTGTTTAGAGTTTTTGTTCAAAAAACATCTTTACACGTGCACAGGACCAGATCAGCAAAAAAAATATTATCTTTTTGTCCACGGGTGGCGCCAAAATCACCACAAACCAAAAGTTTTCAAATGAGCTTCTCAGTTATGACAGTCTTTTCACTTCTTAGTTGCTTGTATTGACCTGCCTGCATTAACAAGTTCTTGTGTTTTTTATTCTTTTGTGTCACTTACTCGCTTTTGCTCTTCTGCATGTGCTAGATAAAGGAAATGAAGGTAACCCTGCATCAAACACTCCTCTGTTTTTGTTTCTCCATCCATGACTCCACCATTTTTTACTCATTCTGAGTTATTTGATAATAACTGTCAGGTTTCCCTCTCCTCTAACCTTTGACCTTTCTGATGCAGTTCGACAGTCAGGAGGACGAGCGTCTGCTGCAGGCTTCAGAGCAGTTTGAGAGGGAGGCAGTGCAGGGTTACCCGGACCGTCCCTGCATCACCACTATCATAGACCTCAACGGGAAGACGGTCTTCATCACACGCTACATAAGACCGCTCAACCCCCCTCAGGAGCTGCTAGATGAATTCCCCAATAACCCCCAGGAGGCCACGGTCAGCTTTCCTTTCTCTCTAGAAGTAATGAATTGTTTTTCTAGTTTACTGGACTTCTCTGCACTGACTCTTTGGCTCCTCAGGCTCTGGTGGCTCGGTTTGTCTCTCTCATCCCCTCTCTGCCGGACAGAGTCTCATTCTCTGGCGTGTGTGACCTGTGGAGCACTTGTGATGTAAGTTAATGTTCTCTGATTACTGTCGCCGTAAGAGGATGGAAACACCCCTCTTGCATAGCCTTGTATTTCCTCTTCTTGTTTTTAGCAATTCCTCACCCTCCTGGCCGGAGACGAAGGAGAACATGCTGTTCTGTTGTGCAACTACTTCCTGTCTATGGGCAAGAAGTCCTGGCTGATAATCGGCACCGCCATACCAGAGGTTTGTATCAAGCATTTTTAAACCAAAGAGGATTTCTGAAAATTAGGTGTTTTCACATAGTTGTTATCATTATCACCTGAAGATTTTTATCATTGTTCTTGAGAAAAAACAAGGCCCAGTGCCTCTGAACTGACCGCAGCTTTTAAAGTCATTCTCCAGCTTTTATATTTGGGAGTCTCTCCACAGATACTCCATGATTTTTGATGTCTTTGTGTTCAGGGCCCCACAGCGTATGTCCTGACATACGAGCAGAGCCGCTACCTGATCTGGAATCCGAGCAGCGGTCAGTTTTATGGACAGTATGACACCTTCTGCCCGCTGCACAAAATTGGCTGCCTCATCAATGCTGACAATGTAAGAGAAAAACATTTTTTAAAACCTTTCCCTAGATGGTTTTCCGAGAGGATTTTGGAATTTTTCTTTGAATTCTCCAATAGGTTTGGTTCAACATTCAAGAGTATACCTCACCCATGACGATGAGTTTTGACACCACAAAAGCTAATCTGTGGAAGCCCTTTTTCTCCCGGTCCTTCTCTCACCCCGGGCTGTCGAGTGTTCAAGTGAGTGTGCGAGATTACCGTGTAATCCTGCTTTAAGAGCCGATCAGTGGTCACTCTTCATTTACGTCTGATGTTTTTTTTCGTAGCCTGAGGAGCTGGTGTATTGGCGCATGGATAAAGCAGCAGCAGCAGACCTTCAGGACAGGTGAGTTTACACTGAGTCACTTTGATTTTTTAACTGAACTTCCTCTTTAGAAGAAACAAACACATTCTTCATCACTTCTCTGCAGAATTGAGAAAATCCTCAAGGAGAAGATCATGGAGTGGCGTCCTCGTCACCCGACCCGCTGGAACCGCTATTGCACCACCACCCTTAAACAGTTCCTGCCTAAACTGGAGCTAAGCAGGGGACAGGACGTAGCAGAGGGACACCGCCACGAGCTGCAAAGCCTTCTGGGAGACAACAGGGTAAGACTGATGGTAAAATTCTATCAGTAATCATTAGTCTGGCATATTTTCACTGCCCTAAAAAAGTACACCTCTTTCTTCAGATTTCAGGTTTCCCTTTGAATCTGCCATTCTCTGAGATTCGACCAATCGTAGAGGCCGTGTACAGCACCGGTGTGCACAACGTGCATGCATCAAATGTTGAGTTTGCCCTGGCCGTGTACGTGCACCCCTACCCAAATAACGTCCTGTCTGTGTGGGTATACCTGGCCTCACTAGTGCGTACATGATACAAGAAACACACCTAATTGTGTGTCACCTTTTCTCTGCAGCTTTTTGTAATTACCTGTTTGATACTGTTGCATTAAAGTCTATCCAACAAACTATAAAGTACAAAAAGTGTTTTCATTGCCTTTGGAGACTGATGTAAGCACAACCTGAGTCCCCTCATAATCACTGACTGATGCACTTTCTCCACATTTCTGATGGACTCAGATGGTCTGTTTTTGTCTGATAAACTTGCAGTTTCCTGTAGATGACACAGCAAATACTTTGCTCTCTTAAAAGCATGAAATATTCTTTAATATCACTATATTTAAATGTAGTAATTATGTTAAATATGCACTACTTTGTTTCTACAGCAGCACAGAATTCAGAGACCAGTAACACTGGTTGGAAAATGAGGAAGAAGAGAGAGGAAGTTGATAGCAAAAAATATGGACTGATAGACATTTCTGATGGTGAAAACTCTTGTCCTTAAAAGCCACCATCACTTTAGGGGTAGGGGTGGGCAAGGTAGCAAGTACTCATAGAATTTACGTGTTAAAATGACCATTTCAACACACTGCACCTTCATTGTACAAAAATAACAAAATGAACCAACCACAGCAGCTGTAAACCTGTAACTTGCGTTGGCATGTTGACGTTACTTATTTTCTCAAATGTACAGTGTGTAACCAGTTTGTCCATAAAAAACATGGACATATAAAAGGCTGATTCTAGGTTATGAAAAAAAGTTTTTGTATTCAGATTATTGTGCATGAATCAAAACAGGTACTGAATAGTTTTATTTCTACTCAGTCTGTCCTGCACACGAGTCTGGAGCTTTGAATTTGTTTTTTTCTGTTTATTGCTTAGATTATCACTTCATGGACTCAAATGTTTTTTATTTAGATTTTTTTATGTAGCCCAATGTAGAATTTATCACAAAACTGAGGAAATACTTCAAGCAGCTGTGAGGGGATTTTGGTTTGTGCTTACTTATGTGCAAGAGTTACTTCTTATCCAAGAATCTTATCCTCTTTTTGAATGACTAGCTGTATCACTCATCGAGACCTCTCTCCAATCCATGCAACACACAAAAAAGGGCTGTATCAGTGAAGTTGACCACTAAGCCTGATGCCTACTGCCCTACCAGGGCTTCTGGGTAACAAAAGTAACTGCACAGAGAGCCCCTCTTCTTGTTGATTGCTTTTCATTTAGAGACATTGTTTACCCCCAGGATGAATAAAGTATTCTGATTCGGACTGGGCATCCCCTGTGGACAAAGCAGTCTTAGCTTAGTTTGTCCACTGTGTGCCTCAGTCATCTGACCTTTTCAAAGGGAAATGGATAATTTATAGTGAAGGTTATGTGAAAATTCAGTTTATTGACTGACATATACCCTCTTGCACCAGTTTCAGGTCTTAAAATAATCTTGTCGCTGATAAATTGTGCACCCCATATAAAGGCTTTAGTCCTTGAAGCAGACAGCCCAGATTTAGTTGTGTCCTGCAGCCCCAAACTACATACCACTCACTGTTCTCTCTCCCCATTTTCCAGATCTGTCCACTGTTCTAGCTAAAAATATAAACACAGCACAAAATTATATTTAAGCTACTATGAAGAGTTTTTTTTTTTACATTGATGGAAAAGACTGAAATTTATGTAGATGCCTTGAGCAGATACCCAATAGCTAACAAAACCATCAGTGAAAAGACGGATATTTTTAAAGCCTGAAACTGGTGCAAGAGGGTAGGTGTCAGCTGAGCAGCTGAATAAACAGCCGTCTCCACAGTTTCCAATACTTGTCCAAAATACTGACGATAGATGACACTTTCAAAGGTCAACAGGGTTTTCTGAGGCATGCAGAGGACAAGCTAAGCAAAGACTGCTCTATCCAGGAGGGACGTGAACTGAAAGTACCCCACAGGAGCTTTAACCGCAAAACCAAACCAGCATTAGTATGTTTTAATTCCATGTTATACTCTGTTTTCAAAATGACCAACAACATAGTATTTAACCCCAAGAGACCTTTATTGTTCCATTTATGAACTGAACATTTCCATTAGAGCTCCTCATGCAAGATTTTTCAACAAGCAATCAAATCCTGCAGCGAGATGAGCCAAGATGACATAAAACCTACACAGTGAGCTTCTCCCAAATCTGAGTGTTAATAATCCGAGCCCCTAATTTCTTCTTAGATGAACATTGGTCCATTTCTTTGCCCACAACACTGGAGTGCATAAAGAAGATTTAAAGAAGAAAAGCTTGTTTGGTGACGATGAACATGTGATTATCACAAAAAGGTTAAGACTACGCTGCAACATCATGTTTGGATTCCTACCTCTGTTCGTCCTGTACTGGTGTCTCACGTAAAGGTGTCTGTGTCAGCGTCAAGGGAAGGTAACCGGTGTTTTAGAGTTTTCCGATGGTCTGTATGTTGATCATTTCAAGCTGATAAACTTTTTGGTGCTACCGTCACTCAGTCTACCATAACCTCATTATAACTGGATCAACTAAGCACAGCAGAAGGGGTCAAAGGAGATTTGTGTAAATCAGTGAACTTTCAGTGGTAAAACGGTGCTACAGAAAACTCAAAGTACTTTGTCTTTCCCATTCTTGATTTTCCTTTAATTTTCAAAAAACAAACGAACAAGAGTTGATCTAATTTTTCAGACACTTCAATTCAATATCACCCCTTCACTTTTCTACAGTTTATTTACTTTTCGTTAATAGATGGAGATGGAAATAACGGGAGCAATTTTACTGTTTCATCCAGAAACATTTCCAAGGGACACAAAATACAGCAACCGGTATTCCCAGGATAAAGTGCAATAAAAAGGAGACGAGACAATTTAGGAGAGTGCTGCTCGGATCACTCTCCAGAGCGACAGCAGGCCCTGAAACCACACTGCAGGTTCTGGCATCCACTCGCCGTGTCTGCGTGAGGACCTGCAGAGAAACAGCACACAGGGGTCATCTGACGAAGAGCGTGATCCAGGACAATTAAAAACTTTGGCTCGAAGTGGAATAGTGGATACAGCCTTTGGTCTTATAAGTGAATATAAGGGTCAAGGGCTTTTAAAAAGAATTTTATTTTATTTTATTTTATTTCAGAGTGGGATATATGAGGTACTTGTCAATAATAAGTGTTGTAGCAAAGAATCTTGGTCAGCTTGACCATTTTGTTGAAAAAGTTTACAGGCCAGGGCAGATGGGGGCGATTTTACTGCTTGGTTTCACTTCATTTCTGAGATTATTTGACCCAAACACTGATGTCAGTGGATACCCTGTTTGGAAATAAGAAAAATAAGGCAATAAGACTACCCTTTTGTTTTTGCATTACTTGTGGACATACATTTAAATTAAAAATGAGTGACGCTGTACAGAGGACTCAACAAACCCAAGGGGTGAGAAGATCAACTCCTGTGATAACTGGAGAGAGATCTGAAGTGACTTGGTGGAGCAGGTGTGTAAACAATAAGCCCAAAATGTTGAGTTGGGTGCATGAAACTGGGGCTCCTACGCTTGAAGTACTTGAATGAACCACACAGCTTCACTCCTAAGTATTGCAACTTGTGTTGAAGATGAAACGTCACATGACTGGTGTCGTCCACAGCTTGAGTTGATCTATCAACAGCAGTCAATAGCCTAGCTTCTGTGTTGGTTCTCTGATTGGTATCTTTTGTGGATAGAATACTCTCTCTTTAACGAAGTACCTCACACAAACCCACTTAAAAGAGACCAAATATTCCTGTGACTTTGTGACACTATTAGTAACAAAGACAAGTCCGATTTCATCAAGTAGAGAGAAAATAACTTGACTTAAATTTATCAGCTGACTGAACATTTTCCTAATGACTTTATAGCTTCATTTAGGAAACTTTGCCAACAAGGACAAAAATAATTCTGAGAACATTCTAGCTCTTCTCCTGTTCTGCCCTGTTGTCTAATAAACAAACACAAAAGCAATATTAAGGTTTACAGACTGCAGTTTGTTTTTCTCACTTTTTCTATCCCAGACCTTTAAGTGTGGTTATGAAGTTGAATGATATGGCATCATACTGGCTACTATAATGCCTACTTACCTTTTACCTTCAGCAGCATCTGTTACTTACAGTGGGACGCATGCTTTCAGGTCAGGTTAGTCATACTTCAAGGTTACCACACATCACATTTGCTTTGACATCATAATCATATACAGTCTAACAGCCTATTTACTGAACTCTGTACATCATTAACATGTGCAACATTGTGAATCACAGCAATAATAAGACCCAGAGCGGTTTCCTTCATGAATGTTACCGTTGATGTTGTCGCAGTAATAAAAGTGCTCATCATTGAGCGAGGGACAGGCTGACACCAGCTCCTGCAGCCCGTCCTCAGTGATGAAGAGGCAGCCCGACAGGTTGAGATGCTCCAGGACAGGAAGTCCCCCACGCTGCGAGAGAGTCCTGAAACACACACAGAGAGACATCATTTCAAACCAGCAGTAAGAGGGTCTTCATCTAAAATCACATCTCAAATCTTCACTATATATCATTCCAGCAAATGGATGCTCTTCATCAGTGGTTCTCAAGTCCAGTCCTCGAGGCCCACTGTCCTGCATGTTTGGGATGTTTCCCTGCTTCAATACACCTGATTCAAATGATCAGCTCGTTATTAAGCCATTACAGAGCTTGATAACGAGCTGATCATTTGAATCAGGTGTGTTGGAGCAGGGAAATATCCAAAACATGCAGGACAGTGGGCCTCGAAGACTGGACTTGAGAACCACTGATCTAAATAATCCAAATAAACTGTTTGGAACAAAAAGTTTTTCGATATTGGGTTGTTTTTTTCTTTTTTGTATTTTAGACAACATATACAGTGTCTTTCATTTGGATCTGGACCTGTTTTTTTAAACAACACTGAGACAAAATGACAACTTTATGCAACTAGCAGAGTTGCCCCTGCTCCATTTTTTCAGGTGTAAGTGTTATCTTCGTGAATGGGTACACTGCATGGTATCCATCAATAACTTTAAATCTTTTTTTAAACATAAGGTACAGTGGACTTTCTGAGTCCCAGCTCTTTGTGATTGGCAGGTTGCTGTAACACCAGTTTGTCTATTAAAAGGAGAAAAGAGGTGTAACAACCGCTTTCTTTCACGGCTCCAGAAACTAACTTTGATGATTAAAATGCCAAACTTCATGCTTCAAAGCTTGTCGAAAAAACATGTAGCAAATTTTCTACTAATAAATGTAGGTGGGAAAGACATCCTGATGATGTCACGTGTGGGCAATTTATTTACCCACATTACCCTGACTGAATTTAGTTTTTATGGCCTAAAGTTTTTAAATGTTTTTCCAACTTTCTCCCTATGTTTTGTTTTTTTTCTAGAGTAAAGGGGTCGTGTTTTTTCTTACTAATTTGAGAATGACAGTACATGATCTTTACCTCAGGCCCAAATCTGTGACTTGATAACATCCAGAGAGGCTGAGAAACCTCAGTGAGCGTTTTGCCCCTGACTGGTCAGTCCTTTTCTCACACTGTGAGCCGCCCACTGAGGAGCATTTAGTCCGAAATTCTGCAGTGCTGCTTGACTGGTTCTGAGGCCCTGTAAAAGTCCTGAGGGCCATGTCACTAGTGCAGCAGGTGGAGTGACCACAAAACATTTCCCCAGACATGGCAAACTGCTGATGCAGGTAAGAGGCATTTGAGCCAGTCCTGTGCCCACGCCTCCTGCTCCTCCTGCAGCAGCATGAACCTCCCACAAGCTGTGTCTCTACAAAGCTCTCTGCTGCGGGAACAGACAACCCGCCGCGACGACTCCACTCCGCAGCATCCTCAATATCAGCCAGGTCTGAGGTGTCAAGGACCCACACCTGTGTGGGCGTGCAGGCAGCGCCCCAACGGCCTGTTCCCTGCTTGAAAATGAGAGCCTGACGTTTCCGCACGACTGGATGCAAGCCTTTCTCCTCCATGAGTGTAATAGGTATTGGAGAACTTTTGAGGAGCTTTGATCGTTTGCCAGAGCAGGCAGAAAATGTGTTGTCACCCAATCCAACAGAGAGTTTCTTCAGAGTGTGATCGGTGATCTTCTCACATCCTGACAAATCCAGGTGCTCCAGAGAGAGGCAGGCCCCCAGGGATGACCAGCTGACAGAGAGAACAACAAAGGGATGAGGATTTAATCTGGGGTCTGAACAGGATCTGCAGCAACTCACTGATATTTCGGTAATGGTTTTCCATATTAACCTGTCAAATGCAGAATCCGTCACACCAGTCTGTGTCAGATCCAGGTAAGTGATGTTGGGGCAGAGACTGAGGATCTGGCGCACCTGAAAGGAGCACAAACAGACTTTATTTCATGATCATAAACTGATGATCAATTTCTGTGGGAAATGAAGAAACAGGGTTCATACCATCTTACTGGAGACTGTTGAGCTGTATGCCAGAACAATGGACTTGACTGAGGGACCCACAGCTGGCAGCAGGTTCTGGATAATCCCATTGAGGAGTCTCTTCTCACGCTGAGCCGTGCTGATTGCTGAGGAGCTCTGTTTACTGCCTGACACATCTAAACAGACAGAGGGATGACACAGTTTACTCTGAAGAACAGAACTAACAGTAATCTCAAAGAAAGACTCCTTTAATACAGCTTAAGCTCAACTACAGGTCAGTTAACCACCTTCATGGGTGTTGTTTGACACCTAGAGGGAGGAGCTTTCTGATTACAAAACAAGCTCTTAAAAGGTTAACAAAGATCACACCAAAAGCACATGAGAGCCTCGGGATTGTGGGTAAATATTTATATTCTATCACACAGAACTTTTATCGTTGAACTTCAATCAAATTTAACTCTTTCAGCTTTTAACTGCACTCATTTTGCTTTTTTTTTTTTTAAAGTACTCATTCTGTCTCTGGTAGAGGGTAATTTTCTAAACTCACTGTCTAAACCACTGTATACATAAAAACTCAGCAAGGAAAAAAAATTCAACACAATAATAACAAACAGTAACAGTACTAGCCATCATTTTAGCACATTTTTTTATGCAATCATAGCCAAGAAATGAACATTTGAAAAGATCTTGACATGTTAAAACTAAAAATGAAAATAAATAAAATGAAGAAAAAGCCTCTCTAATATTTTCAACAGTAAATATTCACAATAAGTGACACACTTGGCTGCTTATAGAGAGTGGAGTAAGATTTTTGTTGGACAGTGCTACCACAGTGTGTAAAACAAGACAGGCAAAGCTATCAGATGGGCATTTTTTCCCACTTAAATGTCTGCTGCATTCAAATCCCTCACACTACTAATTCTACTGTTTATCCTTAAGAAACAAACCTTACCTGACTCATCAATGTCAGCATCTTCATCCCACTCCTGATAAGCCCGCCCTTCATTCTGTCGACTCTTCACCCACTCCTCATCTGGCTCCTGGTCCAAATCCTCAGGAGGACCGCTGTAATAATCACCTAAAATAGAGACACAATTGTCTATAAATCGTGTTTCACTTTTACTTTATATGTGAAAAAAAATACCATACACAGGAATATTTTCAGAAAACTAATAACATTTTGTTTAACCAGCTCACAGCGGCCTACCTCTAGCCCAGCGTATGGGGTAAAGGTGCCTCCACAGAGAGCCAGTCTTTGCCAGCTCTGACCACGAGCTGCACACCTGACTACAGCGACACAGATCTTCAGGGCTAAGATAGTGGAACAGCCTCAGCATGATTTCTGAGGGAAGCTGGGAGATGTGAGCAGATGAGTTCCAGTTCTTTTCCAGTTCTGAGGAAAATAAAACGAGAGTTTTGCCAGTGACTGAATAAATACCAAAGATCATGAAATGTACATTTCACAAAAGCTGTTTAACAAAATACTTAGTTTCCTCTCAAGAATCATTCCCACATTAGAGTTCTGTGAAACTTCTTCCTTATCAAGTTTAGCAAGATTCCTAGACTTTGCAGAAACACTGAACACTAGAGGTAGACTTCTACCTGCAGCTCACTTTGTGCCAAAAGATAGCTTTAGGTTAGAATCAAAAATTCCACTGTGGTACTTTATGACCACACTTCAGGGTTTACTCATTTACCGTAATCTGTCTTCTCGTGATCGGCATATTTGAAGGCTTTTTGCAGCTCCTCAGCCTGGCTCCACAAGCTGAATCCCTTCAGCACCTCAGCAGCACAGTCCCATTGCTGTTGGCTGCAGTGTTGTGCTATCACCTGCTTCTTTATGTCCTTGAGCTCCTCATAGGTGAAGTACTGCATAAGCATAGGCTGAAACACCTGCAACAAATCTCTCTCAGTTATAAATATGGCTGTGGAAATTTTTTTTTAAATGTCATTTGGGATCAACTCATTTTTAAGCTTTTTTTTTGCCTGTGGACCAAATTTTGTCTTACCTGTTGGCAGTAAATCATGATTTTAAAAAGTGTATGTCATAACAAGAAAAAGAAGTGTTAACAGCTTATACCTCTTCTTCTTCCTTCATGTGAGGCAGGAAGTCTTGAGTGAACGCCTCCAGTCTCTCCTTCAGCTGCTGGGCATAGTTCAGCTGCTCATATTCACTCTAAAAACACAAAGCAATTGTTAATTCATGGAATCACCAAAAACCATGATAGTTGTGACTTTTTTACTTTAAGACTTCCAGCATTACAGTCCTTTCATGACTTAGTTAATCCAGAAATTTAAAAGGCTTTCATTACCAAGATTACTTTGCGATAAAGTTGTACTTAATATTCAGCATAAGCCACTGTTAAATCCTTTGAAATTCCAAATATCAGGTTCAACCCAATGAGTAAAACCATGCGGTGTATTTCTGGATCAAGAGGAACATCTTCTTCATGAGACAGTGCGCAGGATGAAATACAAAAGCAACAAAAAGTTTCTTCTGTTATACAAACTGACGGACGCAGGGCGGAGGTTCAGATTTACACAATTGCATCATTCTGGAAAGCCCATTTTTGAGCTCAGTGAGAACAATGACTGTTCTCTGTTGTTAAGCAGATCACAAAAACTGCCCTGCCCTCATTCAACATTTCAGCTCACTTCAGACTGCATCAGTCCATTTTTCTCCAGATATAAAATCTCAAGTTTTCCCTTAAAACAAAGTGGTGTGTGTGTGTGGGGGGGTGTCACTTGGCAATGTATTCTTTGTAAAATATAGAGAAGTGCAATACTTGCCACCAAAATATTTAAGCATAAGTAAAAGTACTGATTTTTTGAGTTACATGAAAGATTACATGTACAAAAGGATTACATAGTTATAGTTACTACAGTAGATGTAATGACTTTCCACTTCTGCTCAATGAATACATATTCACCTTAACGCTGTGCAGGCCTTTCTCAAAGAGGGACAACATCTCTGAGAGTTTATTGTCTGAGTGCACATTGTACACAGTGCAGCAGCGCTGCTCCAACAGGCCTATGATGTACTCATTCTCAATTTGTTCATGCATCTTGAACTCCTTGAAGGTGGCACACAGAGACTGAAGAAAGGAGCGGAAATCATTGTTGTTGGAGAAGTTGGTTTTTGACAACTGTAAGAAAAGAATAAAAAAAAAACATTTCATGGCATTTGAAATGTGACATTGTCAACAGACAAGGGACATATATCATTACATAAACTTATTTATACTACATATATATATTTATACATACATACATATATATATATATATATATATATATGTATATATACAAGAGACAGCGAACTAAACTCAGCTAACGTGATATCAACACGCTAACGTCACTGTGGAGCTGCGTATCTCTACAAAGCTAACCCTCTTTACATGATCATAACACATCTCAGCCGATCTAACATGTAATTTACACTCCAGTGTAACAATGTAAAATCCCGTTGGTACAGGCGACTTGAGTGAAGATTAAAAACAGAGTAGTGAAACTTAAAGTATGTTGCATAACAGACGATGTTGCCAGTTAGTTAAGCTAGCTAACCAGTTAGCAAGCCTTAGCTGGGACTGGAGGGGGTTATTAACACTTTATTGAACTGCAACATGCTTTATTACAAACTCTGAAGGAATAAAGGAATCAAATAAGACCAAGAAAATACTAAGTGGAACAAATGAGCTCCACGACGATTAAAGTGAAGTCGTGACAAGATCAAATTAAATCATCTGCTTGTCTGTGCTACAGCCACAAGCTAGCTGACATGCTAACTGACGTTCTTTCGTCCGCTGGTATGACGAACTTCGCAAATAAACACAAAAATGACAACCGAATTATTTTAACAAACCTTTTCACAATAGAGGCCCACCAGCTGCTTCATTCGCCAGTGCGGGCCTGTAAAAACATCCACCTCGTCCGGAAAGGGGGCCATCTTCACACACTGAAGCTCAGTGCGTCATCTGCACAGTCGGCGATACAATCAAACAAGGAGGCGTGCGCGAGCCACTCATGTGACCGCAAGTTACAAATAAGTGACCGGAGGAACTTATAAAAACTCATTTACGGTCCATGTAAAAAACTACACAACATCTCAAAACACTTCAATGTAGCCCGTGTTAACTTGGCTAAAATTGTGCTACACAGGCTAACAAAAAAGGAAGAAAAAATTACAGTATTTTGTGGAGGACAAACAACTTGCGAATTGTAAAATAAGGCTACTTATGAATTACGAAAATGTCACAAGACATTAACAGAGTTTATGACATGCAAATCCATTATACATAAAAAAAAATTACGGTATTTTGTGGAGGACAACCAATTGCGAAATGTAAAATAAGGCTACTTGAAGTATGCTAAAGGAAAGTTACACAAAGACATTTCTCTAAATGTAAAAGTATTTTATGAATTACAAAAAATGTCACAAAACATTAGCAGAGTCTATGACATGCAAAACCATTATACATTAAAAAAAATACTTCGAGATGTCAAAAAATATTTTTCCGGACAAAATATACTTTTTACATCTTTCGTTACTGGAAATACAAGCATTTAAATTGACAGATTTTTATAAATGATTGTCTTTTCCCCCTTGATTTATATATTTTTCTTCCTTTTCTTCAATATTTGGTATCATATGAGAAATTTCACACACAAATAAACTTAACTAAAAAAAAAGGTTTTCATTACAACAGACAGGAAAAGGGGTAAGCTTTATCAAAATTATCATAAAGGAAAAATAAGGTTCTAATTCCTTGGAATCTGCATTGTCTTTAGAAAATAGTCATTAACCTCATTATGTGTTGATTTGATGTTTGATACACTGATTCACAATGCGCGAGTTATGTTCTTAATCATCGAGTCTTAATATCGAAAATATGGAGTGGATCGGCATGAAAAGTAGTATAACTAATTGCTGATGAAAAGGCGGTGTTTTTTGAGAGATTTGGGATGGTTAAAACGAGGTTCGAAGTCTTACATATCCGCATGGTTGGCTCATGGTTGCTATGGAAAATGTCCACAGCAACAGCCCTCCTGGGTGGAGACTAGCGCTGTCCGTCACCATGATAACGAACAGCTAAAGCAACCAATTAACAGTCGAAAAATATCCAAATAGCCAATCAGAATGGAGCAGGCAGACAGCTTGTAGTTAGATAGAGAGCGCGGGGAGAGCAGCAAGTAGCAAAGGCTCTGCGAGACGGCGGCGAGACAGACTGATGGTAAGCCGAGTGTCAGCCAACTAATATTGTTCTTGTGCCATTTCCAAGAAATAAATGTGGATTGTATTTTGTAGTATATCAAAAGTACTTTTATTGTATGTTGTTTTTTCTTGATCTTTCATTTTTGTGCAGCGAGAGTGTAATGATAAAGCTAGCTATCTTGCTACCCGCTATATTGTGTGTAGTCTCAGCATCACAGCCCGTCTGATGTAAGACAGGCTTTTTCTGTCTGCCATCCTCCTAAATCAAGCTGACATTACTGTTTATTGTCAGCATTAGAACTAATTTAGAATAATAAGTTTACTAAAGTGGATCGTATCATTGCCTACTGACAAACTAATGTCTAACCCCCCTTTAGAAAAGCCAAGTAAGCTCGAGATAAGCTTTTCAGTGTTTTGTCCATGTATCTGCAGAACTATCATGAGGATCCAGTCACTCCACTAACATGGACAAGTACGAGAAGGTGAAGAAAATAGGGGAAGGGTCATTTGGAAAGGCTGTCCTTGTCAAATCCAAAGAAGATGGACACCAGTATGTCATCAAGGAGATTGGCATATCTGGAGTAAGCTTTCATGCATAATTTATGTCATCTGTGTAAGATTCTTTGCTATTTTATTTAGTTATTTATTTATTTTACAGATGTCAAGCAAAGAGAGGCAGGAATCTCGGAAAGAAGTTGCAGTCCTTGCCAACATGAGTCATCCTAACATCGTCCAGTATAAGGAGTCTTTTGAAGGTATTTAGACAAACAGAGACCAAATAAAGCATGCATGATGAGTTCATTAAAATCTCTTTCAAATGTCTTTCAGAGGGAGGTTGTCTGTATATTGTGATGGACTACTGTGAGGGTGGAGACCTCTTTAAGAAGATCAACTCTCAAAAAGGAGTACTGTTCTCTGAAGAGAAAGTAAGTTATCAATTCATTTAGACAGTCATGGGTATTTTGTACACACCTGTATGACACCATGTGGGTTGTTCGCATCCTAAACTTAAATACATATATTTTTCTCTTCTTTTATGAAATGAAGTAGCTTTCCTATAATGTTTGGGTTTTTGTTTTATGCCCGGTCTGCAATATTTTTTGACCAGGAATTATGTTACAGCTTAATTTTTGCATGCACTAAAGGTATACTGCATAGTATTTAGCATCATTTAATAGAACAAACTTGGCAGAAATGAAATTTTATAGTCCTAAGTATTTTTAATGTCAATGTCAGCTTTATTTATATAGTACATGTGCCGTTATGTGCTCCCATTTCTAAGTCCCAGTTAGGAGACGAGCTGCAGCATTCTGAATGAGCTGCAAGCAGTTGAGCTCTGACTTGCCATTACTGACATACAGGGAGTTACAGTAATCTAGACAAGATGTGATAAAAGAATGGATAACTTAAATTAGTTTATAACCTCCAGAATAAAGACATTTTGTATTGTTCACTTATGATGAGCCTTTTATATCTGTAGGCACATCATGACAAATAAGAACATCACAAAAAGGTCTACATTTCCAAATACGTCAGTAAAACAGAGTTTCAGCATTACCAGACAGCAATCACTTATATTCCAAGTGACATAATGTGAGAATGATTTGTGTTTTTTTTTCCTGTCTTAGATTTTAGATTGGTTTGTGCAGATTTGTCTGGCCTTGAAGCATGTGCATGATCGCAAAATCCTCCACAGGGACATCAAATCACAGGTACTCTGTCAATGCAACTCTGTCAGTATAAGGTGTTTTTGCTCTGTGTTGTTTTCCCAACATTTTTTTTCATCGTGTCTGTTTAGAACATATTTCTTACAAAAGATGGGACTGTGCAGCTAGGAGACTTTGGAATTGCAAGAGTCCTAAACAGGTATTTAAAAAAATCCCCCAAACAGATCTCCAAAAGTGATGTTTTGGGAATATAAATCAATGTTGTTCTCATTCTTATTATCAGCACCGTGGAGCTGGCAAGAACTTGTATAGGAACACCATATTACCTGTCACCAGAGATCTGTGAAAATAAACCATACAACAACAAAAGGTACTAACATGGCTCCCTGAAGCTTTAAGGTGTATTGCATGGTGTAAACATATTATTTGGTAGACATTTGCAAGTTGTGAAACATGCAGTGTTTGGTTGTGGGTGATGTAAAGGTATCACGTCTCCTCCTGTATTGAGTGACCCTGCCTGGGTGTATCTGCAGCAGGAAGCCAGCATTGATTTCCTCTGTAACTATGTTAAGTATACATGTAATCTAATCCACTTTAATGGTAGCTGAAGAAGTAAATGTCACTCCGTCTAAATGTTCTTTACAGAGTTTTCTCAGTAAGCTAACTGTGAAGAAAGTCAAAGTGTCCATAGAGAAATCGTATGAATCCTTTCCCTTGGTATCCCTTGCTCTTCCTTTCTGTGTATGCTCACTCCTCTCATTATCCCTATTTTCCCTCCCTTTGCAGTGATATTTGGGCCCTAGGGTGTGTCCTGTATGAAATGTGCACTCTTAAGCATGCTGTAAGTATTCTGTGTGTGAGTTGTTTACTAATTAATACAGATTTGGTGATTCTTATCCACTTTTGCAATGCTCTCTCACATACTGATTTTGACGTCTGCCCTCTGGTTACTTTTTTATTTTTCATAACTGCTGACAAACACAGTTTTAAAATGAAGCACAGTAGCTTATTTGCTTAGAGCTTCATAGTGAAATCTTAAACTCCTTACTGTCTGATTACAGAATGAGTGATTATAGAGTAATTAGTCCCTAAAGGTGGATTTTGGTATTTTTGAACCTGGGGCAAAAGTTTTTCAAATTCAGTCTGTAAATGACAAATATTACAAACAGTTTTTGAACAGCATGATGAGATGGCTTTGGCATACAGCTGCAAAACAGGCTGTAATATCTGCAATGTAATCCTCGACAGTAAATGGACCCCTTCATACAACATCTACTAAAAGGGTTTTTTTTGCCACAGAAAGGCTCAGACTGTTACTCTAAATGTCTGAAAACATTATACCGAAGACCTCATCCCAGAATAGAATTAGCCAGCACCAAGAGTCAAATTGAGTAAACATACTGTGGGAGTGTGTTTGCTCAAAATCCATTTCAGCTATGATGGCAGCAATATAATCTTTGGAGGCAAAGCAATCTACTGGTGCAGTTCTGATAAGTTTTTAGTCTGCAACTAGAGACTTACAGTAAAAAAAAAGAAAAAATAAGAGATTTTCACTCCATTACCACACTTGCTGGCACTCAGGAATCACTTCCTACATTTCTTTCTCTCCAGTTTGAGGCAGGCAACATGAAGAATTTAGTCCTAAAGATCATCCGGGGCTCATACCCTCCTGTGTCTGTGCACTACTCCCAAGAACTGCGCTCTCTCTTGGCTCAGCTGTTTAAACGCAGCCCACGAGAGAGGCCCTCAGTCAGCAGTATACTGGACAAACCTTTCCTGACCTGTAGGATAGAGAAGTTCCTTACACCACAGGTACAGTACACTCTGAGTTGTCTTTTGATATATTTCCACCAAGCGGTCTGGTTTGATTCCACATTGTTTGGTCCAATTTGGTGTTGTAAACCCTGACCCTGCTTGGTAGGCAGGGATTGAGGGCAGATGCATCCACTACCAAATAGCCTGGCATCATAGCCATGGGACATGATGAAGCCTGCCGATAAAATCCATAAATAAGAGGAACACAGTAAACAAAAGCAACAGTGGAGGACATCCAGCTTTCGTGTTTCTTCTTGGTGTGGGGCTGTCAGTCACAAGAAAGTGACAAGCTTTGTTTGATAAAAGGCTGCTGTGCAGGTTGCAAAGAAAACTACAGCTGTTTGACTATTAGATTAGAGATTAGATTCAATTAGATCAAATAGAACTTTTGGGAAGGTTCCCTCAGGGAAATTTAAAAAAAGATGGCTCCGTTATTTTCCGTCATCCACTGTCGCACAAGTAGAGAGAGTCTGGAATCACACAATAACAGCGCTGCCATAGTAAAATGCTAGAGAGCACATTCTGTGGTTGATGAAGATTGTTATTGTTGGTTGCATAGCAGGAAGAAGAATGATGGCAGTCAAGCACTTTAGCCTTACTTTGCAGATTGACTAGGCTGCATTATGTCCATTATTAAATTTTTATGATTCTATTGACCAATTGAGAGATCACAGTATGTGTAGCTGCACTCTTTAGGGTCAGACTGGTGGGCTTGGTACCCCAATTGAGGGATTCCAAAAAAGGAGGACAGCGTAGATGAATTATTTTGGTACCTTTCCACACTAAATTACATACCTCTGCGAACCAAACTGAACTGGACTGCTTGTTGGAAGTGCAGCTTTCGTTTGATTCTGATTTTGCACAACAGACACTTAAAAGAAGTTCATTTGATTCTTGTTTTAGATCATTGCTCAGGAATTCCATCACACTTTTCTACTCAAGCAGCCTAAAGTGGGTGTGCAGGGGCCACCAGGTAAGTCAATATGTGTTTTTGTCTGAAGAAGTAGGACGCGCATGTTAGAAAAAGAGTCCACTTTGATGACATTACAGGCCACAGCGAAAGCACTTTGCCTGAACTCTTTTCAGCCCACTGAGGCTGGTTCTGTCTGTACTTTTCCTCTCTGCAATATTAATGACTGATCCTACGGCCAAATAACTCTGAGTGGGTCGTACTGAGGTACGTCCATTTATGGTTGTTTGGGTCTATTTTGAAGAATGTGACCACTAATGATGCCATGGTGACAAACATGAGAATTTCCTCCATTGGAGTAAAAGGTTTGCTGGTAAACAACTTAAACCAAGACTGAGCAACTGTAAGGCATGCTTAGTTGATCTCCAGTGAACATGCAGTTTACACCCTAGTGATCAGAAAACAAAGATAAAAGACTTCACCTTGCATGAATTTACAAACAGTGTTACTTAAGCTGACAGCTCCTGGAGTGAAATCTTCCTTTGGTGCTCCTAATTTAATGCTTTGTGGTGGGATAACCAGAGATCTGAACATTAAGTGCATTTCATTTGCATGACCTAAATTCACCACATGATAAAATATTCCTCTACCCATTATACTGTGGAGACTACTGTGTTGAAGTTTTTTGAAATGAATGACACTTGATAGCAATAGCAATTTAATTCATATTGTACTTTGTAATGGGCAAGCTGACTATTCTTTACACTGAGGATAAAAATGAAGCAAAACAAACTATAACATCTGCTTATAGTGGTGAATAACAGAATTTAAACTAATAAAGCAAACACAAATACACCAAACATTAAAAGCATAAAGAAAACAAAAACCTTAAAAAGCGATGATGCGCATGTTGCACTTGGGCAACAGAAACACTTTCCATGCCACATGTGTTTGTTTGCACTGCACATTTGCACATTGTTTCTGCTCCTGACATGTTGATTTCCTGTGTGGCCAGCCAAGCGTTCTGCCCCTGGCTCCATACCACTCACCCCAGCTCAGAAGATCACCAAACCAGCCAGTAAATACGGAGTGCCTTTAACCGTGAGGAAGGTCCCAGACGCAGCCAAAAAGCCTGCAGAGAGGAAACTGGCTGTGAAGCATAAACCGGTTTGTAGATTGTTGCTGTTTCTGTTGTTTGTTGTTGAGCTCCTAGTCAGCCATGCTAGAAGCTTCTCCCATCTGTCTGTGTGAGTCTGTGCTGCTTATATCATAGTGTGTTGGCAACCTCTGAACCCCAGTGTCATATGTTGCTCAGGCCCCTCTCCCAGCAGCCCCCCAGAGAAGAGTGAGTCAAGTGGAGGAAGAGAGGAAAAAACAAGAGGTACAGATGAGAGCCCCAAAAAACTTAAAATTACTCTCCGATTTTCCTGCATTTTCTCTCTTCATTTAATCAAACATGAAAGTCCCTTCCCTCTAGTATCTTTAGTTTCCCTCCCTCTTGTACAACTCGAACCCTGTGTACTCTCATCTTCTGCTTAGTATTGTGCCTCATTTTCCCTTCTCTGTTAACCAACCTTTCCATCCTCGCCCGCCTGTCCTGCGACAGCAATGCTGCTTCGTCCTTAACATGAGGTTCTTAAAGGTGTCTTTTTCTGATCAAGGTGCATTTTCTTCTCTCTGCAGGAGGGTATCAGGAAGAAAAGGATGGAGCTGATTGAGAAAGAGAGAAAACAAAGAGAGCAGGTGGGTGACAGCTTTAGTCCTACTATGAAGTTTTGCTGTCACACTTTTATTGAATTTCTGTGTTGCCCTCAGATGTTCCTGTTAAAAGCAGAGCAGATGAAGAGATTCGAAAAGGAAAAGGTGGGTGGAAAATGAAGTCCTATATTGTTGTTTTTTTTTCCCTCGTTAATAAAACCTCATTCACAAAAGGGAAACTCTCAAAAATTCAGGAAATTTGAAGAATGTTTTGAATGAGCAAAATTATTTGCAACATAATGAAAAAAGTATCACTCACCAAGATGTTTGGCAGCTTGTCTGGTGGCTTTAAGAAACAGAAAATTCAGTGCATTGACACTAAAAACAAGTACTAGGAACACATACAGACAAATATAGCTGGTTATTAAGATACAGTGTGGAGTATGTAGCAACTTCTTGCAGAACAGGCATGTTTGAAATAGAACGAATTATTCACAAGTACTGTATATTGAAACAAGAGCATAATCACCAATACAGCATAGTATCGCAATGTTTTGTCTGGTGATATTTTGTATCGTCTCATTGACCAAGTATTGATTTTTTTTTTTAAATTAATTGTTAATATGAAGTCAAATCTATGATAATGAAAAAATAAAATCAACTGTCCAGTGAGGTTGGCGGAGGTGACATCATAGAGCAGGAAAAGTTAGTACAACAAATATAGCAGCACCTGGGGAAAGATATTAGGAATGCAAGCAGGGCACAAATGAGATGGACCTGACACATAAGGTTTGTAAAATGTGCTAAATGAAAATAAAATACAGTGTAAATAAGACAAACATAAAGAAAGACAAATGCTAAATTAGCTTAACAGTTGAAAAAAAATTGTATCACAATACTCACTGTATTGCAAAATGGAAAAATACAATAATATTGTATCGTGACCCAAGTATTGTGGTCACTGGTGATTCCCACCCCAAGTCAATTTTGTCTGTAGATTTAGAATAGACCTTTTATATCTAGGTAGGATGGGGTCCCCCTCCTCAGAGGGTGCCATCTTGCATTGCCATGTTTATGCAGCAGCACAGAACAGATAAGGCAGTGTTTTGTCTTTACTTGGTGGCCATCCAAAACGCACATGTTGGCGGACACAAAGAAGAGAGTGGCTGTTGTGCACAAAATGGTTTGCAACTATCCATGCTCTTAATGGTGAAAACTTGACAAATAGAGGATCATACTTGGCATGCAACACAGGAACTATGTGTCCCTAAAGGCCACTGTCACACAGAAAAGGTTAGCAAGGGAGCCTTTCAATCAAGAATCTGTCTGTTTGATATTAATATGAATATTGTTTGATATTAATTATCTCTCTTAGTACATACTGCACCTTTAAAAAGCCATAGACCTTTGTTTACACATGATTAGATACAAAGGAAATGAGAAATGCTGATTTTCAATGACTGTGATGAGTACAAAACTGCTTCATCACTCAGACCCCAAAATAATACCTCAGTTATTAGTCAACACATCTTATCAAATATGGATAATAATCTTGAAACTGCTGAAAGACTTTGATAAATAAGCTACCTGGTATGACAGGATATGTTGTAAGGAAAAAACAGAGTGCATCTTCCTTAATTGAAGATATTTCATGTCACTGCTGCTTTGCTGTTTGGACGGATAAAAAGCCTTGGTAAAAGTCCTCTTAGGGCCATTGTCTCTGTCTAACCCTGAAAGATAATTAATCTAATCCACCGCAGATCAATCGAATAAACCAGGCCAGAGAACAAGGCTGGAAGCATGTATTGAGCTCAAGTGGAGGCAGCAGCCCAGAGAGGAAGGTGAGGATGTCCACCATCCTGTTTCTATTATAGCCTACACTGTGTCATTCACATTCAAAGTGTTTCATGTTTTTGGTGATCGCCCATTTCTAACATGGAAGATCATTCGTACTTTGTTTGTATACAGTTTCTTCTTCTCACCTCAACCTTCTTTTGCCATATTCTCTCAGTGTTTTGTCGGCATTGGAAAGAGGGCTGTCCCAAGCTCTGTTCAGGGACCCGCTCCAGTCCCCAGTAAAAGCCCATATGAACACTTCCATGCTGCTCTGGATCAAGTGGCTAAACCGCACCCGAAAGTGCTCAGCAGAGAGGGATCATCAGCTGGACCAGCCAATCCTAGCCGGTAAATTCTGATGTCTGTGGTTTTTGTGAACCTTAAGTCTTAAATATTTATTTTAATGGTATTGCCTTGGTCTGTTTGTAAGAAGTGTACCGCCTGCTGCTGGCCCAGTGCTGCCAAACGGTCCATCCCGACCCTTAAACCCCGGCGCAATCAAGAGGGAACTTCAGAAGCTGCAGCATGCTTCCAGACAAGCCCACATAAGCAGGTCAGTAACACAGCCTCTCACTATTTATAAGAAAATAATTTATTGAAACTCTGCTCTGTATCTCATGTAGTCAGATTATTTAACAACCACCATCTGTTCCTCAGGCAGCGATTGCAGATGGATCATGTACGAGCCTATCAGGTGGAGGAGTTTTTACAGCGGAAGAGAGAAGCCATGCTCAACAAAGTTCGTGCTGAGGGACAGCTGGTATGTACAGTGACTCACACATATTTATTTCCTTTGAAATGAGAGTGATATAATGAGTATTTCATCCAGTTGCTGAACTATTTCCAACACAGTCATAACAGCCCTTCTAAGATCATAACTGATGCTTTTAAAAGCAAGGAACCTCAAAGATCCACATAGTTTGGGGTTGACATGAAAAGCCTTAGGGGTCTTCACTTTACAACAACGCTCTTAGCTGTCGTTTAATGAAAACTAAGTTGTAAAGTATCTGGTGAATCTCTCTGATGAGTTGCAATAGTATTTGATATTATATATTAATACTTGTGTGTATATATATAGTATGTATCTGCAGACAGTGTCGTGCAAGTTCACGTTAAAGGTGATTAACTCGTAGTTCAGTTCACTCTGCTCTGAATAACTTTTTTTTTTGATGAAATCATTTTTTCCGTCTCTCGTCAGTAGAGGCTACTGAACTTCCATCCTTGATCCTAAATCAACAAAATTTCTTAAACTAAATGGATTATTAAATTCTACTCGAGAAAAATCCCATTTCAGTGTGTTCTACGGATTAAACGTGAACAATTCGCAGCTTTAAACGATGGAAACACAGGCACACTTGCAACTACAATTTGTTGGCTGAATACCTGACTAAAGATTCTGACTTTAACCCACACCAGGAAATCAGTTTCGTAAGTGAAAATGTGGATGAGATTGTTTTCATGTCCTCTTAAATAGAAGAGCTGAGGGTAATGAAAAACATAACAAACATAAAAAGTGAGTCGTTCTTCATCTTTAATGAAACTACACCCCCCTGAAACAATGCAAGTTTTTTTGCCTTGAGTTAGAATTCTAGTAAAACTAATCTCCAGAATGAACTACACACACATTCCCACTTATAAGTTACAAAATGAGCGGCTCAGTTCAGTGCTCACGTAAATATGAGGACGTGGTCATGCACAACACTGTTACTGAATTTGCTTTTCCAAACCCCTAAATGATGAAATATTATCATTATTAACAGCAGTAGTTTGCATAAAGCATCATGTAAGAAAAGAAATGTTCCTTTCTTTGGTGCTCCTGTGGCCTCTGAGTGCAATTTGCTCTCTCAAAATTTTACAGATTTGTCTCCCACCTGTTAGGTTACTCTATTCTTCTTCTCACATCAATATTCTTTTCTTTGTTTTCGCTTTTGCTGTAATACACAGTGTATACACACCGTGTATTTAAGCTAAGAGTGGCAGCAGGTAGAGTTGGTCTTAAAAAGCCTCAGTTAGAAATCAGTGCATTAAAGCATTATGCAATTATTGTATGCCTGCTTTATGTTGCATAGGGCAGCAACACCCTTTAGGACCATCAAATGGGCATAAAGGTTTTACTTCTTATCTTATTACATGTCAGAGTCACAACCAAACTGTATGCTGCTGTAATTTTTCATTCAATCACTGCAAAATATTGCTTTAACAGTGTATCAATCCATTGTCAGCTATTACATTTGAGCTAAAGACCTTTTAAAAGACGTTAATTGGCAGGCAGCTTGACTTGAAATTGCCATATGAAGTTGTTATTGCTAATGTGTTGTGTTGAACTTTCTCCTGCAGGCACATAGTTGCATCCCACTGAGGTTTCTGTGTCTGTTTCTGTCCACCCACTGAGTCGAGGTCCAATAATTACTGGCCTGACTTGTTCCTTAATGACTGTAGGCTTTCTTTGCCAGCTAACTTTGTCTGTTTGCTGTGCTGCTGAGCTCCAGGATGCTGCAGGAATTGAATAATTATTGAGTTTATGTGTGCCATAAACAGTAAAAACTGAAACAGGGATAAAATATGATGCAGAGCTTCAGGGTTAGGGAGTGACAGTCCCAGTGTGTGTTTTTCTTTATTGTCTCTGATCTCTTTTTACTCACCCTATGGTCATGACAAAACTATCAATCAATGCACCCAACCTCCCGCCCTTGCTTATGATGTTGTGGCGGTTACATTTGAAAGCCTTTTTCCCTCTAAAATATGGTTAAATTGAACGGTAAACAGGGAACTCGGCAAAACCTGGCAGCTATCTATGGAAGCCGTGCTGGTTCGATTCGCTGCAGGAGGCCCAAAGCCAACAAAGAGGAGGAGGTAGGAGCTCAGGCCTGAACACCAAGCCGTACACTCCACCTCACTCACAGCACGCCTGGCTTGGCTGGTCCTCCTTCATGTCTGCACAGTACTCCCTTTGACACTCCCATAATTCAGCCCGGCGTCTCATGCCTGCTCCCTGCACAACGTGTGGTGATCCACTGTCCTGTCTGAGCTCGTGTGTTGTTTATTTCTCCTCCCAATAATGGCTGTTTTTAGTCACAAAAAGTTCAGTTTATTGCGCATCATGTCCCATTTCAAAAACCTTCACTCCATCAGTTTTGCGTTGTGTATGCAGATTATTATTTGCATTAAATGATTTGCATTGATGTTTATAAACTGTGTTGATTTTCTTTTGGTGGAACTGCTGGTTTAACGTGCTCCCACTAAACTTTGTGTGTTATTCTCTGTGACCACAGGTATTACATCTGTTTGTGTCTTTGCAGTCGTGTAGATGATCCAGCTTGTAACATTTTTCTGTACGCTCTCAGGAGTACTTGTCGAGGCTGAGGCAGATCCGTTTGCAGAACTTCAATGAGCGACAACAGATCAAAGCTCGACTCAGAGGAGAAAAGGTGTGATCCTCTTCTCCCTTATTGTGAACAAAGCTTTCAACAGTGTTTTCAGTTTTGTCTGAAGTGTTGGTTCCTGGTTTTTGTTTATGTGTTTTAGTATGATAGCGATGGCTCTGACAGCCAGGAGTCCAGTGAGGAGGCAGAGCTTCGGAGGAAGAAGATAGAGGCCTTGAAAGTGAGTGTCTGAGACAGTATGCTACACTCGGATGATTAAGGGAGCATCATACCCTTAGATCGCCTAAACCTTTGACACAGTGATGAAACTGAGCAGACAATGAAATGACAACAAAGGAGAGGAAGACTCAGCTTTGGATTTGAAGTGATCAACAGCTCCCCTTTAAACTACCTCTGCCTCTCCTGGTTAATCTAATGAGGTCAGAGATGTAGTTTGATGCTGAAACAGCGTGGGCTCTGCAGCCAAGAATCAATCCTTACATGACCTGGCAACTAGTGCAGGGAAAATAGAACAGGGTTGTAATCATCACATCTAATAACTATGCTGCTCTATTCTGCTCTCACTCACACTTTTGTAGCTGCATCTCAAAGAATCAATGCAAAGTACATTCACCAAAAGTTCTTGAGTACAATATTATAGAGAGGATTTTTGTTCAGGCATAAGAGACATTTTGTTTATTAACTTTTTCATAGAAACCAGACTTCAAATGCTGTCTTGGCTGGTTAGGTTGTTTTGAATTGGGAATAATGTAAAGTCCACCACACAATAACACAAAGCACATATGAAAGTTAAAGGCAAGGCATTACTGTACAAGAGGCGGGATAAAACTGACGTAGGAGTTAAATTCATGATAACTCACCCCTAACTAACTGACAAAGAAATAACTCCAAACAAGTTTGTTATCCCTGAGCAACTGACTCACCTTTTTGGTAAATCAAGGAAATAAGCTGTTTGAACTGGACCACTCATCTGTTGTAGTGGAATAAAACAATAGCTCCTCCAGTTCCTCTGCCATGTTTTCATGTGCACAGTTGTACAGATAAGGCAGAGCACCACACCTGGCCTTGATACTTAAGCTTGTGGATTATCCCAGGCTTTTCTACTGTATACATGGCTCCCTGTCTTTAGGTACATACAGCATGACTGCATCAGTAACAGCTTTCCTTTGTGTCCATATCTCCTTATACACAGTGCAATAGGAAAATGATTCCACTGATATTGGCTGCTTTTTAAGCTCGTGTTTTTGGGATGTAGTAGTGGTCTTGTTGTGGGACACATTTCTCCCACACAGCTGTATGCCTTTCTCTAAGCTGTTGAAATAGATCAGTCGTTGTGCTGCTTTTACATGCAACAGCCTTTGAACATATTTTGTCATGGACTGTAGGACTGTGGTTCGTTTTGAGGTCTAGTGCTGCAAAGCCAAAGCAGTTCCAAACAACAGACGGGACTGCCATTTTTGGGAACAAACTATTGATTTAAGCTGGCAGCCGTCATGTTGTTGGATGTTTGTCTCTGCAGAGGAGATTGGAGAGAAAATCGAGATTTCTATTTTTAGAAATTGTCCAAAACACATTTAGGAATTAATCAATACAGTGTATTTATAACACAGCCCAAATCCTCATACGACACAAGCAAATATACAGATCTAGGCAGCAGTGAACCTACAATTAGGGTTCTGCAAAGTAAAATGAATGTTCCCTTTAGTTGTTTTTGTGTAATGGACTAACCAATTCAGTCTATTTCTCAGCTGTTGACCAAAGAGATCTTGGTACAAAGCCTTATAAATGAATTCCTCAGGCTTCATAACAACCCTTGTAAGTGATTATGAGTAGTCATACCAACGGATAGCTAAGTTTATGAAGCTTGTATAAGTAATGAACATAATGTCTTATGAGGGTATGATTTATAACACATTACACCTTAATGAGAAACAACTCCCACAGCTTTATCAAGAGAACTAATTAAGTGTATTATAAAAAGTTGAAATTTCTATCACTCTAAAATGGGAAATGTGTTATTAATACCTACAAAATGATGTGACACTTAAAGTAACATGAAATAAAAACTGACATTTACAATAAAGAAACCAATACAGCATCTTTATGACAGTGGTACTAAATGGATGAATCACTAACTCTCTCTTAACTCTGTATATAGTGTAGTATAGCTGTAACTTTGTCGAAAAGCACCTGGAGTTGCTCACACAATAACAAAAAAGGAAAAAAAGGATAAATAAATAAATTAAAAAATCTGCCAAAGGTCTATAGTCCTAGATAAACTATATAGATTAAACAATACATGCTGCAATACATACAAAAAACGGTACTAAAGGTTTGTTTTATGTGTACACAAACTAAACTCCCTGTGAACTTTTAGAGCTGGATAAAGTTGTAGGAGTTGTTATGTTTTCTAAAACCAAGAATTGAAAAGATGTTGTTGTGTACTTTCACAAGTCCTAATGTTCACTGCTCATGACACTTCTTAAACAAATCTTTAAGTTGATATGAAAGCTTATTATTCAAAGATAGTTATAAAGCCTTAAGAACACATTTATAAGGCTTAATAACTGTGCTTTTAAAGGGATATTCCGGTGTAAAATTAATTTAGGGTCAAACTCCATGTAACACCAAGTTAGACACCCTCTCCAGAGATGAATGTTGCCGACAGCTTGCTTCTCTAGTTATACCAACTTTAGAAACAACCACGCGATAGCAATACACAGCGGTCTGAGGAGCCATAAACAAACCTCAACCAAAACGCCACTCTATAGCCGCAAATGCTCAGAACAGCACCTAACTTAATCAACAGTACATATATAGGGTCCCAGCCACAGCACTAGCCACCAAACACCTTTCAATTTTGCCTAATTTTTTTCACAAAGAGACTAAATACAACTCACCTACTCTCATCCAGCAGCCGTTTATTTGTTGCAAGACTTCAGGCCATTCCATTACGGACTGTTACGGGGTGACACAGCTCAAGGAAGAACATTTATGATCATTGCTTTATCATTTCCTCAAAGTAATAATCATCGTATTAATCATTTTGCACTGCAGACACAGGAGTTCTTCTGCCTTACCGTCTCGGTCTTATTGCATTTCCATGAAGAAATGACCATAAATGTTCTTCCTTGAGCTGCTTCACCCTGCATCACTTCAATGAGTGAAGTGAAGTCATCACTCATTGAAGTGTTCATTTTGCAACAAACACTGCTTAAATACAGTTAACAGCTTAAACAGACCTGAACCATCCCAAGCTGTCAATAAAAAGTATCAACCCAGAGTCTGTGAGGCTCAGCAGAAACGCAGGACAATCTTCGGTTGTCTGGAAACTTTGGACAAATACAGTGATCTGATTTATGAATGAACGTGGACCATCAAACTATGGGAGATTCCCGGGAGAAATGACAATACGGGAGGTGGGCACGTGATTGGTCTGAAATACGGGAGGGTCCTGGGAAAACAGGAGTGTTGGCAGTTATGTGCGTCAGGGTGTGCGTTTCTCGGCACAACAGCCGCACAAACAAACGCTGCAATTACGGGTCATTTGAAGCAAACGGTGGGCTGGCAAGCCTTATCGTCAAAAAGTTAAGTGTGTAATAACTTTAAAACTGTAGCAGCACAAATTTTCACGGCACAAACCAGCACAAACAAAGCACTAACAATCAGCACCATTTCGGGTCCATTCGGAACAAATGGGGGGCTGGGTGACCTCTGGATGACCCATAAAACAATATTTAATAACTTAAATGCCATAGCAGCACAAATGAAATTTTTAACGGCACAAACCAGCACAAACAAAACAGACTATTTTCCTAAAATTTTGCGTGGGGTGGGGGGCCAGCTTCACGTAGGTTGTTCACGTGTGTTTGACCCTAAATTAATTTTACGCTGGAATATCCCTTTAATGCCTGATGGGTCACTGAAATCTTCTGCTTTGTAACACTGCAATATACCTTGATACTTTTGACAATCAAGTCACTCTTTTCTGTTCAGACTACAGTCATGTAGAGTCACTGGCCTCTCCTTCCTCATATCATCTTTTGTGTGTCCCTGTCAGGCCCAAGCAAACGCTCGTGCTGCTGTACTCAAAGAGCAGCTTGAGAAGAAGAGGAGAGAAGCATATGAGAGAGAAAAGAAAGTGTGGGAGGAACACGTAAGCTTTTTCACTCTTGATCTGATCTTACAGCTGCGTTGGTTAAAGTATAATCTCATCTTTGGTATTGTGTATTGCTAAAGCTTGCAGCTCGGGGGGTGAAGGTTGGCATGGCAGCAGGAAATCTTGCAGTGTCAACAACAGAAACAGGATCATCTACCTCTGAAAGTCTTCTCCAACAGCCTGGTCCCGCTCAGCCAGACCCACCTGCCAAAGCTCTCGTCCTGCCTGAAAGCAAACCCTCCACCCCGGCCATATCTATGACTGCTGCCTTGAAGAACGTTGGAGCAGTCAGTATACATGAACAAAGATAATCACACTTAATATCTTTATAATTTGAGCACTAATTCTTATACACTGCCTGTGATGCATTTCCTGTGTATTTCTGTTTGGTAGATGTCTCCTCTAAAAGAAAACCAGCCTGAGCAAGAGTCTGCATCTACCATTCAGGTGAGTTTATGAGGTGTAAGTAGTCATTCATAAAGTAACAGTTCTTCTGATCACATGCAAAGTGGATTTTTTTTTTTTTTTTCTGTCACAGAGTGAGAAAAAGCAGATCCTGCGCAGACTGAACCAGAACCTTAAAGCCCAGAGTCCTGTGGAAGAAATAGAGGAGTCTCCTGCTGAGTCACAGCCTGCTGCAGAACCACGTCCTGCTCCCCAACAGAACCAGTCTGACACAGAGAAGCGTCCATCCTCAAAAGAAGACCGGAAGAAGTGGGAGGCAGCGGAACTGCCTGTAATTGCAGTTGCTCAGCAAACCTTGGAGGAAACGTGTGTCACATCAAGCAGTAAGTCCAGATTTTTACAGGACAAACCTCAAACCTGATTTCTGTTTACTTCGCAAGAAACAAAGACGTATAAATCCCCCTGCTCCGATACGATTTTTGAGTAAACTGCTTTTATTTTTCGGACATTTTCTCTTCAGCCTTCTCAGTGTCTCCAGATGATCGGCCGTCTTCTGCAGGAGACAGAAAGAAATGGGAGGCAGGAGTTCCACTTGTCCTCTCTGTAGCTCGGCAGACTCTAGAAGAGACATGCATCCCGACCATCGGTGAGTGATATCCAGTCCTTAGTGGAAACATACAAATGGGACTTCCCCCTTCTCTCTGCATGTGTGTGTATTTGTTTTGTTGCAGAGCAAACAGCGGGTGAGGTTATAAAGATGGATGTGCTGCATGAGGAAGCTGCTCGGAAGGTGTGGGGGGCCAGCCCAGACTCTCAGGTGCTGAAAGTGCTTCAGGAGGCAGAGCTGCAGCCTCTCACTCAGCAGCTGGAGGACGTCACAATTTCAGAGATTGCAAGTCCTGGTTAGTCTCCATCAACTCCTTATTTTCTTCGCAACATAATGAAGTCAAGTGATACTCCTTTCGGTACTCTGTTTTTTAGTTTGCAATCTCAAAAGAAGGAGCATTTCATCGCTGTGCAGCAATACAAAATGTGATTCAAACATGCCAAACTTACCTCATCAGCTGGTCACATTAATGATTTAAGATGACACACAAACCCACACAGGCAGACGAAAATTTAAAGTCCCACTCAGATCGTTTTTTTACTACTCTAAGTGTTCTCAGTAGTCTTTAAAATGTGATCATGAAGTTTTTAGCCAAAATCACGTCACCTGTGTCATTTTCAAGGGCTTTTCTTCTGCAGAGCTCTGGTAGCTCATTAGCAATTCACCTCTGAGTCGTTGGCAGAGACAGCGCTGCTCTGCACACTCCTCTTCATGCGAGCTTGCAGCCTAACATTGCAGGTGTAGTAGAAGTGGCAGGTAACATAGGAGCTATTCAGCTCTGAGACACTAATGTCTTTGGGGACATGATAAAAGCTAATACCATAATTAGCTTTCTTACGAGCATTGCAATCTGCTAACACACACTCTTGTTCCACGATTGTCTTCTCTACTTCTCAGAGTCTGGCCTGCATTGCAGGGCTCCGGGGGCAGAGCTTGGATTTGTGACATAGGAAATCTCACTGTGTCTGAACCCGCCATTTGGGTCTGCTAGAGAGTCACAGTGATTTGAATGCAGAAATACTCAGAAACGCAATGTTGCACTTACTTTTCGCATGATATGTCCTGTAGCATCAGAAAAATGCTACAAAAAAAAAAGAGTGGGTCTTCAAAGGAAGGTGAAATATTTTAGAGTTCACACATTTAGATATGCTCTGCCAAAGATTCTCACAGCTGACTGATCACTGTGTGCATTAAGATGCAAGCTAGTATCCTGGCTGTGAGCCTCACCCTGCTTTTGATCTTATAAGATGCTTACATGGAAATTCTCAAAGCAGAATCTCTACAAACTTAATCCTGACAGGCATCTGTTCATCTGTATGCAGTTGTGTTTTGAGCTTTCTCCATTTTTGCTCCTGTGATCTTTTCTAAGAAAGTGAAATCATGAGTAGGTGAAAGGTTTTCAGATACAGCAGTATGACTTTTTAAAAACATTTTTTTAGACACCTGCACAGGCTAGTTATTCTTATTTAGCCTGAAGATTTTTTAAGTTGAATATGAAAAATTTCCATCACAAGACTATGCTTGTTTTTGCATTACTGTGTCTTTTTGGTGACAACTCAAACTAAGATTTATTAAAAAAGCTCCAAAGCCCATGAGTACATGAGATAGATAAATAAGATTTTGCCTGCTGTGTTCAAAAGGTAAAATTGAGAGTCATCATTTAGAAGATGTATAGCAGGGTCCAATGGAAACTGTCCCTGATAGCTTTTCTAACAGTACTAATAACTCTCATCCACAATTCAAGGACCACAGAACATTATAAGACGCGTAAAAGAGGCAGCCACTACCAGAGGGTGAAATAAACAACATACTTAGGGTATCATTCCCAGTTGATTTGGTGTAATATGAGCTCTATAGCAGCGTTTCAGATTTATGTAATGATGATTTGGGTTTCTAGAAGCAGCAGTTACATTTTCCCAGATTGCACCACAGTTTAAATCCATTCAGACATGTCATAACCCTGTGCCTTCATTCCTGATGAGGGCATGCATTTCTGATATTATAGATATGCCACCATCTGTCTCAGGGTGGTGTACATGCAATTTAAAACAGGATGGTCTTCTAAATCAGTTCCCCAGGGAACCATTATTGTCTTTATATGTACACTTTGCTCTATAGTAGGAGAAAAGAAAGTGTTTATCAACATTAAACTCTGAGACAAGGTCTTGAAAACAAAGTTTATTCTGTCATCTTGAAACTCTTTCTCTAGGTAACCTATTCAGGTTTCTCAAAACCAACAGAAGTGCTTTTAAAGATTTTTGGAGCCAGTATAGAAAGTTCACACGCACAGTATGTACCTAAAAGCACATTCATACTATGGATAAAACAGGGTCAAAACAGAGCATTTTAAAATCCACTTTCTTATAAATCAACTATCAACAACTAAAAAAAACAAGTGGTTTACAAAATGCTCATCTTATTTGTCAAGTTTTGGCATCACAGCTTACCCCTCACTTGACTGACCATCTTAAGAGTGTTGTAAAACTCCAGTTTTAAGAGTTTTAAGAGCTGCTGGGTACATGTGTTAGTATATAGATAAACTCTTGGTGTTTGTGTGCATTAGTGTGAATCACAGGATGTTGCATTTGCAGTGTAGTGTTTTTTTTAATCCAGTTAAGGTATAAATTATTTTTGTCTTGTTTCATTTTCTGTCTTATTTAGCTGTTTTTTCAAAGTCTGCAAATGGCTACATCTTATACTAAATACTGATTATGACATTGTATTACCAGATAAACCGATCCAGAAAGCAGCTGTGGAAAAGTCTAAAGAAGTGTTGCCCTCGGAGCCAACGCCATCTGCTGTGGACGAAAAGCAGAGTTCAGTCACCACAGAGGCTTCACATCAGGGAATGACTGTGGAAAGTGTGGGAGGAAGAGTGACGCAGCCACCTGTCCCTGCTGAGCCTCAGGGTCAGTCTGACACTCAACTTTCTATTGATTTGATATTTCAGTCTCTCATTTCGCAGTGCATTTATTTTTAGTTGAAAGCAATCATATCTGTTTTGACGTCTTCTAGATCCAGCAGATTTAGAGTCTCTGGTTTTGGATGAGAGGCCCAAACAGGCCTCGCCTCCTCCAGCTGGTGTACAACAGGCATGGGAGAAGGAAACCCAGCAGCCAGTGTAATTTTTTAAATCTTTCTCTGCACCTGTAAATTCTACTTTTTCCCCAGACTTAAGTTAGCCATTATGTACTCAAGTTAAACCACAGTGTGAGGACTCGAAGAAGGCAGAAAAATCCTTGAGTTCTTAAGCTGAAGTACTGTATTTTCTCTGTAGACCACCAGAGGGAGACACGAGACCAGCAGGCAGTAAGGAGGCTGAGAAGAGTGCAGAAAAACCAACAGAATCTTTAGGTGAGCATCATGTTTGTGAGTCGGAAGCACTTATTTTTCCAGTTTATCTTAATTAAATCTGCTCCCCTCTCCCTCCTCTCTCAGCTTCAGCACAGAGTGAGGAGCCCCTGTTTATGAAGTTGTGTTCCCCGGCCCACCGACGCACTGCTGCCCTGGCAATGCTCTCAGCTCAGTCCTCCCTGGATGAATCATCTTCCTCTCTGGCCTCTCGCTCACGCTCCGTCTCACCCCTGCGCTCCAAACACCATGACGCCCTTCTCATAGGCCTTTCCACTGGCATGTTTGACGCCAACAACCCTAAGGTGATAACTTAAATTGGAAAATGCACTTTTGTTACAGGAGGTGATGTAGTTTAGTGTCAAAAGGATTGATTATAATTGAAAAAGCATCTCATGACCACAGCATGTGATCTATGACCGCATTTAATTGTTTAGGAGACCAGAGAAGAGCAGCTGTTGCAGAAGTTAAGGAGATTCAGACCTGCTCTAATGCCTGGTGTGGTGTCGAGGCTTATGTGATATTTTTAGTAGGACTTTAGTCTTTTTTTTTTTTTTTTTTTATTAATGAGAGGTCTGGAATAGAATCAGGGCCATTAATCACATGCTCCGTACCTGCAGAGGGTCTGATAGGACAGAGAGAGCATCCATCAACCTATATCTTTCATAACCTTCATCAGGGACTCTGAGATCCGCAGAGAGCTGGCTCGACATTGTCGCAAACAAAACGCTACACAGAATATGAATAGGCGAGGATATGTCAGTGTGTTTCTGTCTCTGCACCCACAGTAGCCACAAGCAAAGACATTACGGTTTATGGTTGTCTATCTTTTCCATTTTCATTAACCCTTTAGGCTATATCTGAAATTTGGCGTGAACCTGCACTTGTACTCGAGGGTGAACTGATTAGATTTTGTCAGTCAAAGGTCACTGTCATGTCTGTCTTATTCTTTTCTTAAAACTCCCTTCAGGCTTTACTATGACTACCCCTTCACATTTAATACATTTGTGTCCTTTTTTACTCCCTGTTGGTGAGTTATAATCTCCCCATGCTCTGCCCCTCATGTACTGCTCTGCTGGTTGTACTTTCAGGGTTCCTAAGCAAGTATGGAAAAGCATGGAAATAAATTTGATCAATTTTCAGGTCTTAAAAAATATGGAAAATGAAAAATAAAGTACAAAAAAATATTTATGTTTCCAGACTATTACCACAGATCTAATATGGTTTTCTAAAATAGAAAAGTAGGTATTTCCAAAAATAATTCTAAAAAGTAGGGTATGGAAAAGTATGGAAATTCCAACTGTGTAGGAACCCTGTACTATAAAAAGATTGAGGTTTGGAAAACATACATAATTTATAAACAGCTAGAAGTGAAAAGCAACAATCACAATGTCTCATCATGGGGTCTGTGGAAGAAAATCCGATTAAACCCTTACAGTCTGGCGATCTGATATACTTTCTAAAAAATTACATACTTCAAATTTCAGTGTCAGTTTGGCAGTACAGTGCTGTCAGGTCATTGCATGAATAAATAGCATTGCCTTGTCCTTCACAAACATTATTGATCCTTAGCTGATGTAATAAACAGAAGGAGATGTTTGGAACTATAAAGTTATATTAATAAATCTACATGATGAAACTCTATGGGTACAGTGACACATACTGTACGCATTGCATCTCAAAAGCATTCACTTAAAGTCCCACTCAGATCGTTTTTACTACTCTAAGTGTTCTCAGTGGTCTGTAAATTGTGATTTATGAAGATTTTAGCCAAAATCACATTACCTGTGTCATTTTCAGGGGCTTTTCTTCTGCAGAGCTCCAGCAGCTCATTAGCAATTCACCTCTGAGTCGTGGGCGGAGACAGCGCTGCTCTGTACACTACTCTTCATTTTAGCTTGTGGCCTAACATTGCCGGTGTAGCAGAAGTAGTAGGTATTCAGTAGCAGGTAGCTATTCAGTTCTGAGACGCTAATGTCTTTAAAGGACATGATGAAAGTTGATATCATAATTAGCTTTCTTAGGAGCATTGCAACCCGCTAACACACACTCTTGTTCCACAATTGTTCTCTCTATTTCTCCGAGCCTTGCCTGCATAGTGGAGCTCAGGGGGTGTAGCTTGGATCTGCCACATAGGAAATCTCACTGTGTCTGAACCTGCCGTTTAGGTCTGCCAGATATTCACAGAGATTTGAATGCAGAAATACTCAGAAATGCAATTTCACACTTCTCATGATATGATATGTCCTGTAGCATCACAAAAATGCCATGTGAACATGTAGACAACCAGAAAAACATGATTTTCATTTGAGTGGGTCTTTTACGGTGAATATCTGACCCCCTTCAGTCTCCTTCCTCTAGATTTTCCTTATTTGCAAACAACAAAACTAACACTTTAAATTACAGCAGATCATCCAAACAATACAAGAATTATAACAGCAGCGAAGGACAATGGATCAGATTTTTAGGTCTGTTTTTCTGCTGCTTTTGAAGGGAAAACGCGGACACAAAAACTGATAACTGATCTTAGGGTATTCATGACAAAAAATTTAATCTGTGTCATTTTATTTATCAGAATACTGAATTATTTCCAAGTTATCCTCATAAGGTGAAGGCATCTGATCTATCTGTCTTTCCTGACTTCAGCACACAGTTCATCATTGTTACATTTTCAGAGTTAGACTGTGTGTAGTTGACGTGTCAGTTTAGTCAAAGATAGACTTTGTGTGCTGAACTTACACCCTCCTACTCATGGGGTAATTTCTTTTAAGGCTTTTGTACAATACTTGACTAGACTTCTTGAGGCGGATGCACAACAGGGTAGCGTTTGAAATGTTCTGAATTTATTCTCTGTGGTGCTTTGATCCAAATTCAGACCATTTTATTTATCTGAGAGGGGTATTTTACTTCACATTTGACCAAATTTCATAAACAGAACTAAACAAAACGGAAAACAGAGTCAGTAATGGCATCCAGATATGTCAGTAACAGTAGAAATTTACTAGAGGCTATGCCAGAAAAGAAAGTAATAACAGAAACATACCTTATCAATAACACAAAGGAACAGGCCTATATTTGAATCACTGCTGCTTGGATTTGGCTTCCTTGTAGCTAAGAGAATAGCAGAGTTGGAGTATCTCTGAGAAAGCCATTACAGTGGTCCCCACTTGCCAGTATGAATTTCCAGTGTCTTATATCTCACACAAATTTGTAATAAATGATTTTCTGATTGCTTCTTATAATTAATAATGTGTTGTCTGCCAAGAGTTCCTGTTCAGTTCAGTAATAAAATGATATCTTTTTGTTTGTATTGTTGTATAAGATGCTGAGGACCTGCTCGCTGCCAGACCTCAGTCGACTCTTCAGCTCTCAACAAGACTCTGGAGCGACAAGTGATGCTAATGTGGCCCCTGATAACAACCTGGAAATCGAGGATCTGGAAGAGGCTGCCAAAGATGACGAACAGTCCGAGACAGAGGAGTAAGAATATCTCAAATTAAATCTCAAGAGGGAAACAACTCACTGCACAGTTTTAGCAAATGATTGACCTCTCAATTCTGAGGGTGGCTGATAATTTTACTGCTGACTGAGATTTTGCCTCGACTCTGATTCTGTCAATCATTCTTAAGAGCTTGTCATTTGCTCAGAAATAGCGAGGTCATTACATTCTGTATTTGATGATAGTATCCTTCTTTCTAGTGCATATGAGGACGAGGACCTGCGAGACATCCGAGCCTCTATGGAGAGACTGCTGCAGGAGGAAGGAGACCTGATGAGGAGCTCTTCAGAGGTCGGTGCAGGAGACTTCAATGGAAACCCTCCAGAGGGCAGAGAGCAAGAGCTCTTCAACAGGATAGCAGCGAAGATCAATCAGGACAACAATCAGATGGCTATGGATGATGATGACGATGATGATGAGGAGGAGGATGAGGGGGACGAAGGCGAGGAGGAGGAGGAGGAAGAGGACGATGAAGATGAGGAATGCTCTAATGGGAGCCCTGGGGATGGAGAAGGAGGGGAGCTGCTTTCCAACGGAGTGGGAGAGGAGAACCACAGCAACCACAGTCAGCTCAATGAAGAGTGGCATTCAGGTACGAGTTTGTCAAAGTCTAACTTAGTAAACTTTTTCAGTTCAGTTGAAATTAATCACTTTAATGTGGGAACAAGCCTTTTTGAAGACTTTTCTGTGATACTCATTAGTCTTGCCACTAGAACGAGTTGAGAAGATTTTATCGCTTCAGTTTGTAATAAAAAGAAAATCAGCCACGAATGAATACTTTATAACCAAGGATTTATACCTTTTAATAAGCTAGCATGCAATAAACCAAGCTTCATTAAAGTGATTCAGACTTTATCAGAGGATTTATTGGACTCCACTTTTGCATATTTTTTAGGGTCTTAATCAGTAGCAGGGACGAAAAGAGGGCTGCTACGTCTGCAGTGTATTCTTTATCAGCAAGTGTGCCGAATTAAAGAATGTCGACTTGAAATGTGTTCAGCTAGCTCAAATTTCATTCAGTTGTTTTTTTACTAAACAGTAAGACTAGGTGTTTTTGCAAAAGAGTTGGATGGTTTGATTGACATGAGAAACAGCTGTGTTTCTCTTTTTTAAGTCTCTTTTGGCAGAAACCGTTGAGATTTTTACAGAGCAGGAGTTGCTGTCCTGCCACCACATTGATACTTCAGGTAGTTTGTGTAGTTTTGTGACTTTTAGAGATTAACTTGGACTCTGTGCAACAAAATTACACACACAAAGTAACCGATCAAAGCAGTAACAGACTTGGGTAGACAGAGAAGACTCTTTTTTTTTTTCCTGAGTTAAAATGTTTTGGGGTTATATTTATCGATGGAGTCAGTAATTTCTTCTTGAAAGGTGAATCATACATTACCTATCACACAATTTCTGGCATTCACAAAGACAATTCCACAACTTAAGAGCTTTTGTTCCTGATTTCACCTGTGTATATACAGTGTTCATGTACAGTTATCATGTAATCAGATCGTTAAGTCTGAGCACAGAATTGGAAGAACTACCTTTGCATCATGATCAGATCACTCATACATTTATATGATCAGCTGATCAGCTGTTCCTGACTGTGTGCATAAAATGAAGCTGAAGCTCTGGGAGGAGGGGGGGTGCATTTGCTGTTGCAGCTCCAAAACTATGGAACAATCTTCCTGAAAACAGACTGGCCTCTTCTCTGCACCTCTTCTGCTTAGCCTTTGTTCCTTCGTAAGACGTTGGTTTAATTTCTTTTGATTTTATTTGATTTTTATCTTATTTTATTGTTTCTTTTATTGCACTGCTATTATTTTACCCATGTTATATGCCTTTTAGATTATTTTATCTGTTTTTATATGTAATTTAATTTTTTTATGTCAGACGTTGTGTCTTTATTTCTGATACTTTTATTTATTACCCTGTACAGTGCTTTGGTTCTCGGTAGATGTTTTGACGTGCTCAAAAAATTAAGATGGATTGGATTGGATATAATCTCTTCACAGTGTATTGAAGGCCTTAGTGTAGCACTCATGTAAGATCTAATCCATTCTGCTGCACCACAGATGGCAGTGGAGAGGACCAAGGCATTGAGGCTTCACACCATGACAGCATCTTCAGCCGCCTGGAGGAGCTTCGCTTCAACCTGGAGCAGCAGATGGGCTTTGAGAAGTTCATTGAAGCTTACAATAAGATAAAGGTGGGGGTAATTCTCTTTGTTTACATGTGTTAATGCTGGAGTGTAGGACTGACTGAATAGATGTTTGTCTTTGTGAAATTTAAGGCTATACATGAAGATGAAGATGAGAATATTGACCTGGGCTCCAGTTTGGTCCTCAACATCCTGGGAACTGAGCATCAGCATCTGTATCCCAACATCCTTCATCTAGTGATGGCAGATGGAGCCTATCAAGAAGGTGAGTGATGGTGGTTTTTAGTTCAAATGTGACAGCTCAATCATTTGATGGTATTTTATGTTTGCAGATTTTCTGCTTAACCTTAGCTACAACCTTTAAGACTTGGATCTTTTCCCTTGTCCCTGTGCTGAGTTGATAGTGCAGAGCTCCGTAAAAGTCTAACCTTTTCCTTCACATTGTTTCACACATACTTTTCTTCTTCACCGCTTGGTAACAAGCTGTCTGCAGTTTTATTCTATCGCAGCTGTCAGACCGAGGCCATGGCAGATACAGAGAGAGGAGGGGGAGTATTTTTGTGGAGTTTGACAGCTTTCCCTTAGGATGAGCGCAGTCTTCAGATAAACCCTCTTTTGATAAGTTCTTTTGTTTTCTATTTTTACTGCCTTCAGTAGGAGAAGAAGGGGATGCAAATGTCACACATCTCCCTTGAGGATCCATCTGAAGATCTGTGAAAGATGCAGTTTAGAGTTCCCATCCATGCAGTAAAAACACTGGAGCTATTTTAAGAACAAACTTATATACTGTAGTCATGCAGCACTGTCAATCGGCACCAGTCACAAAGAAATTATCCGTCAGATGTAACTTTAGAGTCTTTGGATTATTGGTCCCATGAATAAGAGCTGGGTGATTAGTTGGATTTTAATCTGATTTTGACTTCCTATGATCCTAAAAATATGATCATTGAGACTGAACGATATTGTTCCACCTGCTGTGTTGCCTTCATTCATACATCCTCTGAAGCGCACACCCTCCCTCTCTTTTCTAACAGCAGAGCGTGGGTGCAGCTCCTCCGCTCAAACAGCTCTCACTTTTACTTCATCATGAGCAGCTCGGAGTTCTGGAGTATGAGGAAGTTACAGGTCCCGCTAAGATTTAGGATGGACCGCTGTATTTTTAACATGCAACCGTGGTAGACTATCAGGCAGCCACAAGTGGAGTGTGTGTGTGTGTGTGTGTGTGTGTGTGTGTGTGTGTGTGTGTGTGTGTGTGTGTGTGTGTGTGTGTGTGTGTGTGTGTGTGTGTGTGTGTGTGTGTGTGTGTGTGTGTGTGTGTGATGTTGACATGTAGTTACTGTCAGACTGGTTTGTGCTCAAGTCCTCTTTTTCTCTGTGAAGCTCCGTTTTTAAAAGTTATTAGGGGGTTCATGTTTTCTATGATTGACACCTGATACATCCTATAGGCGTTCAGGGATTGCGTAGCTCACCCAGGGGATACACTGTTTGAGCCAAGCGTCATCACAGCGACTCTTGGCGATTCTCCCACCGAATCCGCACAACGCTACTGGTTTCTGGAAATGAAGAAAAATCCCCAAAATACTGAGAACTTTTTGGCTTCAAATCTGTATACAGACGGGAGGCGGAACCAAGTTGTCCATAGTATATACAGTCTATAATAAACACCCACATCCTACAACCCTGGCCTCTCCTATTATCAAATGAAGAACAGTTCAACGCATTGACTTAATTTTATTTTGAAAATTAAACAGATATTTTACTCAGTAACCGCATACAACTTCAGCAGCTGCCCATGCTGTGCAGCGGCGTCCGACAAAAATAGAAGCCTTGCGTATCTGATCCGGCGCGCATTTGATCCGCCTGCCGTGCCGGAGCGGAACCTGTGGGTTTTGCCCGTCAAAGTGAGAGACATTGTTCTGGAACATAATAAATCCAAACCCAAATCTTGATATTATAAAGGAAGTTATAAAAACGCTTACAAAGACTGAATGATTTGTTAGATCTGCAGCCTGTGAGAATATGGAAGCGATAAAAGGCAGACATGCTTTGCTAAACAAAAAGGGTAGGCTGTTTATTTTGCCACTTAGTATGTTTTAAAGAAATTTAGTTTTTCAGTTCAGCGGAAGCAAAAGTCATATCATGAATAATTATTTTTAATTGTTGTGTTATCAGTATCAATCGATATAAGTGTGATAATGATGCTCATAATTGAGCCCCACCACACTGCAGGTGAGATGTAACAGAGGCATAAATATCATGTCCTGAACTTGCAGTGTGAGTAGTTATAAAGGCTACCTGTGCAGCAGAAGACCAGCCACGTCTTCATTCAGCAAGCAAGAATGAATTTATTCATCAGTGGAGTCTGGTGGCTTTGAAGGCTGTTTCTTGCTAAAAATATGGTGCATCTTACAGCAAAGGAGTCTGCTTCTGTATGGATCCTTTCTGTGATGTTGTCAGACTTAAACAATAACTATCTGAGCTTTTCTGCGGCTGCTCCTGTTCATTCTTTTCATATGAAGACACGTGGTTTACTAAAAGTCTATAGAGAATCATTGACCTTTGACCCTCAGTCCAAACATAACTCTCTCTCCTCTCTCTTTGTCTCTCTTTCAGATAATGATGAATAATGTTTCCTGCGACTTCGATTGCGGCTGCTGGAGGCTTCGACAATCTACGGCTATCTGACGTCTTCCTGTGACGCACACCACGGACAGAAGGATCTATGCATGAAACGAGGCGGCCTAACGTGTGTTTCAGGCACACTTGCATGATGAATAAGTAGTACACTCCAGGCTGCATTTCTTACTTTTGACTATCCTCACCTGACACTATTTTCTCACCAGTGTTCATTCAGAAGTGCATTATCATACTCATGTTCGTATTAACCAAAGTTTACGTCAGTTCTCTGTCAGATGTTCATGAGTGTTTGTTGTTTTCATGTTGAGTCTTAGCATAAAGCTGATTGCGTATTAGTTTGTTGCAGGTTTGGTGAGAATCTTTTATTTTGGCGGGCAAAGATCTGGTCGTCTCAGGTGCTCTCTTTCTAATTATCACAAACTCGCCCGTGAAGCTTTAAAACCAGGTCAGACTTCAAACCAACACACCATATTTTACTGAAAACCAGTTCAACCTCCTTTTCTTACAGCTCTTTTCACCAAACAAGATAAAAAAAAAAAAGATTATTTTCCAGATTTCTTACCGTTTCAGTTAACCTAGATTAAACAATCTGAGAAAGCACTTTGTCCCCAGGGTACTGTAGCAAGACTGTGATGAGCATCACAGCAGCCAGGGGTGTACTGATGGTGTGAGCGATGAAGCAATGGTACAGATGTTAACAATGATTCCTAACTGATTGTAAAGTAATAATTGTAAATCTTTATATGAATAAACACTTTTTTAGCAACCTTGAGGGCTTTAATTCGTGATTTCTTTCTCTCTAACTGGACTTAAATGTGATGTTACCCAGTATTTAGTTCCAATAATAGAAAATGTGATTCAAGGGCGCAGGTTTATTGTCCCCCTCAGACCTTCCTCAGACCCTTCACCTTTTTGGCAGCAAGATTTATTTGTAGTTTCATTCCTAAGGAATAATAAAACAGGCCTCCAGTGTTCTCCTAATGCCATGTGTGATTTAGCGTGACAGAAGAAGAGAGTGTGTTTTCTTTGACTTTGAGCACACCAAACTCTGACAAAAGCATTCCTCTAATCACAATAGATAACTTTTGTCCTGGGGCTTTGCTGCCTTTATGATTTTTCTATCCCTGTTTTCAACGTATAAAAGTAAGTCTGAAAAAATCTGAATATTGTGGAAAAATAACCTTTTTCTCATAAAGTAATTCAGACAGACAAACTTAAATATGTTCCAAATCCTTCCACCTTGAGCAAAATATTTCAAGACTTTTCCATTTTAATTTTGATGATTTTAGCTTAAAGCCCATGAAAATCAAAAAACTTCAACCAAAAAATCCTTACCTGCATATCACTTTCTGTTCTCCCTCCCTGTTTCCTGGTATCTCTGCTGTCCTGTCAAATAAAGGCTAAAAAGCTAAAACATTTATCCCCCCCCCAAAAAAAAAAAGAAATTTTCCCAAAGATCCATTTAAAATCACTCAAGATACAGAAATCTCACATTCTGAAATGTATGTTCATTTATATGCTAAATACTTAGTCAAGGCTCCTTTGGCACGAAATTTTGCATCAATGTGGTGTACCACCGAGGTGATCGACCTTGAGCCCTGCTGAGGTTTTCCTGAAGCCCAGTTTGCTTTGATAGCAGTCTTGAACCTATCCCATAGGGATTCTGACAGATTATCAGGTTCAGGTCAGATCAGATAGCCGGTCAATCAAGCACAGTAAAAACACAGCAAGCAAACCAGTTTCCTTTAGTTTTGGTGCTGTGGGCAGGTGTCAGGTCCTGTTGGAAAGAAGGGAATCCATCCCTTCATCAAGCTTGTCAGAAGATGGAAGCATGAAGAGCCATGACTCTGGACTTAATTAAAGACAGTAGACCAACAGCATCAGATAACATGGTCCCCCAAATTATCACAGACTTAATAAAATGCAAAACTGACTTTTATCTGAAAACAGGACTCTGGATCATTGAGCAAGAGACATGAATATCATATAACATCACAAATCAACTGTACAACGTTTTGTTTGTCTTTGGCACAATATGTAAGAGTAAAAATAAAGTAATTAGATAAGATTCACTACCCTCTGATTGCTGTTTTCATTTTAATTCTGTTAAATCCTCTGATTTTGAAATGTTCTCCCTTGTGTCTATAAAAGTCATTATTTCTATCTATTTTTTTTACTACATATTAGATTTCACTTTGAACAAGAGCAGGTTCAGTGTTTGGGTTTTATTTTACATATTACACATATACATATTTGAAAAATATACAGAAGCCCCAAGAAGCAAACCAGTTTTTATTTTGCTTTTTAACTGTACTCTAGTTTTGTTTACGTAGTATTTGTGATTTCAAACAGCAGGGAAAAGCCATTTTCCAGCATAATCTCCTGATTCATTCCTCACACATTTTTATCTAGAGAACAGGAAACAGTTCTGAAAGGCATAAATAATGATTTTCTTGTAACTATTTTATTTTATTATAAGGGCACATTTTTCTGCAAGTCAGATTTTTGGCTAAAACATTTATCACCTGTTGCTAATTTGAAAAAAAAGAAAATCTGAGAAATAAATTCCATTAGACTTACAATGAACCTCTGCTTTTTTGTCTCAGTTACCTTGCAGGATTTCTGCAGAAATATGTATTTTTGGTGAAATTTTTCACAGGACTTTTGACTTTGCCAAGCAAAACACCAGTTCCCATGCTCTGATTTTAGGTTGTGGAGGGTTCTGGTCTTTCAGCAAAAGCATTTACAGGCAATACAACCGACCAGATCATTCAATATTCATGCTTGCTGGTGGTGTTGTGTTTGTTTGTTGTTCCCTTTAGTAATTCTGTTTTATGGCCTGCTAGGAGACTAGTATTATGCATGCATGGTCGTTTTATCTCTGTAGTGATTTGCATTTTTTCAGAGGCATTTACAGAACACGGAGGTAGGCAACGGATAAGCGCATGTGGGCTTCTGACAAACTGCTTCTGGCTTTACTTCAAGTATTTCATGAGGAAATGGCATCAGACAGCTGAGCTGGAGTCATGTCAGAGTTGCACTGCTGGTTTTATTCATTCCAGTGTCAACTTTTTGTACTTTGAAACTGTCTGAACGAGAGACTTGACTCTAATTTGTCTAAAATATGTCTGTTTTTCTTGGGCCTGCAGCAATCAAACAGAAAAGAGATCTTGATTTTTATCTCACCAGATGAATGTAATACATCTCTTCAGTTCTCAGTTTATGATAGCTACTCTAAAAATAGACAGAGCCATGAGGAAAACAGATCAGATTCTAATTATGTCATAGGGTAAGGTTTCATCCAAACAAACTTATTTTCTGTTTTTAAACATAATGCTTGCTCTGATTTAATTCTGGGTTGAGATTTTCCCATATGGCCCGTGTTTGGCTCTCAGAGGGAAATAAAATCAGCCCACAGAGAAATACAGGCACTGAACCGTTATCACACAGCCTTCATTGACATTCAGCTTTGCTCTCTAATCTAATTTGAAAGCAGGTTGCCTCAGGCTGGGTTAGTAAGTTTGAAAGCCTTATCAAAGTAATACAAATGGAGATCAGTCGGTGGGAGTGTCCTGATCTTCACTGCATATTGAGCCCTGAAGATTTTTTGTCTAGTCTCAGTTACGATGTCATTATTTTAGAAAGAGTCGCATGATCCTGAGCTTTGCTTTTTGCTGCATTTCAGCACTTTTTATCCTGAACATCTCTTTACAAGAGAGAGGGGGATATTTCTGTCAGGCTACATGGAAATTGGGACATATGTCTTGTCATTTCATCCCTGCTATCCTCATCCACATTTATAGGCAGTGACACAGCTGTCATCTCCATCATATGAGTGTGTGTGTTTGTGTGTGCGCAGTGATCTTGTTCTTGCCCTTAGGTTCAGTCATCATGCAAGATTATTGCCCACAAATCATCCCTGCTGCCTTCCTGAATAACATTAAGCAGTGTTTGCCGGAGCTTTTTCACAAAAACAAGCCTGAATGTGTGCAGAACATGAATGTGGGGTTAGACATACAGGGGTCAGGCTCTAAAGGAGGGCAGAGAGGCCATTGTCTGAGCAGAGATGGAGGGGCGGTCTCGCTGCCTCCTCACAGTGAGGAAATATGACCTGAGGGCCCCTGCCGGCTCCTGTGGGATCACATGTGACAGCAGAGAGCCACCTCCATATAAATCTCCTTCTTTATTGCTCTTTCTCCTCCCCTTCATCTCTCCCTCTTGCTCAATATGCAGCGTCCTCAGAATGAGATAAAAATAAATCACATGTTTATTGTCTGGTTCTTTCTCACTCCTCCTCCTCCTCTGCCTTGAGTTTGATGCTTTGCTGTGAAGTTATAAGGAGCCAAAGGTCTATTTTAAGAGCATTTTCAGCCGATGTACAATCAGTTTTCTTCTGCATCCAGTAAAGACACTAACAAGCAATTTCCAAAGCAAGATAACTGTCTTTTTGCTGCTGTTTTTAAAATAATTAGAAATTTGCAATGTCAAACAACCACACAAAAGATTGCAAGAACTGCTACAATTTCTTAGATTATACTCAAAATGTTGAATTACATGGGGGAAAATGTGCACTAGTTTGTTGTCCCAGGATTAACATTGCTGCAAGAAGAAAAAAGTGATACATAGAAAAAAAAACTTCAAGTTTCCTTACTGTGATGAAAGTGTGACCACCAGATGTCACTCCCTTACTAACAGCACTGAAAAAATTAAAAGACTCCCCTTGAAAGTCATTAATTAGATCCCGTATTGTTTCTGTTTTGGCCACGTGACAGTGAAGTGTCTTCACAAATAGCTAATGTCGGAATAAACAGAAACCTAAGTGGGCATGCTTTTTAAATGCAGAGGAGAAAGTATTTATTTGGAAATAATCATGAGTATTTTATTTTATTTCTTTTGACAGAAAATTATGCACATTTCTGAGCTCTAATAATGAAATGAAAGACATATTTTCCAGTCCGCCGGGGAAAAGATGCCGCTCTTTGACACATCATTAAATTTCATTTATTCGATTCAGTTCACGCCCGTTTGACAACGATGGATGCCGCCTTCAGGTACGCCTCGGAATTTTACACTTTCAACAGTGTGAAAACGATACAGCAATGAAGTACTTACATTTTAACACAGCATGGTATTTAGTTAGATGGATTGACGTACGAATATTATACGAAGTGTGTACGAATATTATTATATTTGCCTATATAGACACAAAAATAGAGATAAAATAAAAACAAATGTGACATATAGAACAGAAGTGCAGTAGAAAAGGATGATTATAGTTAGATTACATCTGATACTTTATTCAGTCTCTTTTACAGTGATGATGAGTAAGTTTCATTATTTTCTTGAGACATCGTTTTATTTTTCCAGATAGCTCAGGTCAATAAGAGTGGTTTTCATGAAAGTTTCTTTATTATTTTTCTTATTATTTTTGAATAGTTAGAAATGTCATATTGTTGGACATATTATTTTTTTGGTGTAAGTCTGGCTTGTTAGTACGTTTTTGCTGGACTGCAGACTCATAGTTGTGTTTAGAATGTGTGTTCTTGTTTGTAAAGTTAAAGTATAAGAAAAAAGCTTTAACAGACTATGGAAAAGGAGAAAAAAGACACAATATATTTCATTATATATATTCAGTATATATATAATATATTTTTTACCAATAAGTGTATATGTTTTTCTCTGTATGTGTCTGACCAAATATCAAAAAAAAGAAAAAAAAAAGAGAGAAATGTCATATTGTTAAACTACTTTATCATACTACCACATGAAAAAAAGGTCATTTGGGGCTTTTACGATCTTTAAGTTTATTTAAACATGAACATCTGATGTCAAGTTGAGATCTTAAGGAAACAACAAAAAAGAACTTGGTATTACAAGAAAAGTGAGTACATAAAATGAATAGGCCCAGTTGCATGTCTGTGTAGGGTGACTTTAAATATGTTTAAATTAGAAACAAAAGGAAATTTTGTGTATTTTTTAGCTGTGAGGGTTAAAGTTGATGTCACGAAAATTTAGTACATGCAACATGTAAAAAAACCAACAACAAATCTTTTATAGCAAGTTTGTGACAGGAGCACCTTTCTTCTGCCTACAATATAAGCTGTATGATGTGAATATTTAGAAAGAAGAAATGCAAAAAGGTGTACAGTGAACACAAAAAATCGCTGCAAAACAAGATAAATCCTCTTTTTTGTTGTTGTTGATGACATTAAGTAGACCGAGTTGGTCACCATTCAACTCATTAACCCCTGTTTCTAACTCCCACTCGTAGTTTGCTGTTTTTTTCCGACAGCCCGTGAAGGCCTCACAATCCCTCCCCCTCTCCGCTTGTTTCCAGCAGCAGAACAGAAGTAGCGTACTAGCATGGCGGTGGGAGCAGTTGGAGTTCCGTTGTCTCGCTTGTTTCCTTTTCATGTTAGGTTTTATTTAAATGTGTGGTAGGGATTTCTTTATATTGGAACTTGTATATCTCTTTGACCAACCCCCTGAAGAAAGAAAGTATTTTTTTCTGATGCGGATACTCGATAGAAGTGCCTTGTAGAAATCTGGTAGCTTGCTAACTAGCAGAAATTGGGAGATACGAGGCAACAAGAGGAGGAGTCCTGTTTTGGAAGAGGTAAGCTGACTTGCATTTGGTAGAGGATTTATTTCTATCTATTACTGATAAAACCCTGTCATTGAACAAAGTTAAAGCAAGCATTTGGAAGGTACCGAGCCTCTAAAAACTTCTTAATACTTCAAATGTGACAGCAGTGAAGTGCCCCCCCGCCACCGAGTGGCTTTTGCTTGTAAAGTAACTTTAATTTGCTGTTTTAACTTTTCACACCGCCGAGAAAATCACTGCTGAGTGTGGTTAAAGTGTGAACAAACTCTTAGGAGTTTCTTTCCATGTTTTTCATACTGTTACGTAATGTTGACATTTTCAGAGTAACGTTACGCTCCTGCTTAAAAACCCTGCAAAATTAGGATTTTGTCTCAGGAAAACCTTCTTGTGATATCTGGATTCATGTGTTCTGTGACATCAGGCTGATTTCCTTGTAGTTTCATCATTGCATACCAGATACAGAGAATTGATGACATTCCGGGCTGAATTCTTTGCATGTTTTTCCTTTACAGTTACAAATCATGGTTCTCCACTTGCACAGTTTCTGCAGGTTTTTTCTGTTTTTCATGGTGTATAAATCCTAAAAAGTTCTCAGGTGTTATGATCCAGGGTCACAGCTTGCAGGTGTAGTTATCCGATCGACTAAATTAGATTAACTTACTGGTAAATCCCTTACCGGTACACAGGACGAGAGTAGCAGTGTGTTTGCCTGTCTTTCACATCGCTGCAGTGTTGAATATGTCAGTATGAAAACGTCTATACACTGAAGTCCCAACAGGGGGATCAATATTAAATTAATACTCCATATGCAGGGTTTTATATGAATTCCTTTTCCTAGATTTAGTGAAAACTGTTGCAGTTATGTTAGGTGTAACAAGGCTTGTGATAAATGGGAAAATGCTATCTTGCTCCATGAAATTGCTCAGATTTTATCCATGTGTTCCTGTTCTTATTGCACAACAGTTTGTTTTTTATTTTGTTTCACAAAGTTTGACTTCAAAGTCCTAATGTGTTGCCTTATTTATTGTGTCATGAAGTAATATGATAAAACAGTAAGGGATGTCCTTACCAATTTTTTTAGGCATCCTTTTTTGTGTGTGTGTTGATGAAAGCTGATACTAAGTGCTGATCTTAATCAATTAACCATTACTTGTGTTTACTGACATATTAGAGCTGTTACACGGTTAGTTTGTTTCTAAAAATCACAAAAGTAGGAAGCAACTGATATTGATTTTTGAACATCCAATGCTTCAGACATCTATCACTCTGTGCTAAAACTAACAGCAGGCTCATCATGTTTGGACCATAGACTGTATATACTATGGACAACTTGGTTCCACCTACCGTCTGTACACAGATTTGAAGCCAAAAAGTTCTTGGTATTTCCGTGATTTTTCTTCATTTCCTGAAACCAGCATTGCGTAGTAGTGTTGTACGCATTCAATGGGAGAGTCGCTGCAATTACGCTCGACTCGAACAGCGTATCCCCCGGGTGAGCTACGCAATCCCTGAACGCCCATAGGCTGTACCAGGTGTCAATCATAGAAAACATGAACCCCCTAATAACTTTTAAAAACTGAGCTTCACACAAAAAAAAAGAGAACTTGAGCACAAACCAAACTTACTGTAACCACGTGTCAACACCGCAAGCAGGGGGGAGAAACATTTATGTTCTGTGTAATAGATTTCTAAAGTTTATCCACATCTCCATAAGCTTTGCTGGCGGAGGCGGGATTTATGACCTATACTGCATCCCGTCACCAGAGGGTGCTGTTCTCGGAGTGGCTTCACCCAACAAGGAGGCAGACGCGTCCATTCTATATACAGTCTATGGTTTGAAACCATCGTGTGTGTTGTCGCAAACTCTGCTGTTAAGTTCTGTTAGTCTTTCCTTGGTTGCATTAGTGAACTTGCAGTTTTCCTCTGCATGTTTAGTTTTTAGATGTTGTAAAAAAATAGTATTGAACAAAGCTCCACTACCCCCATGAAAACATTCCCAGCTGACAACTTTCGTGCAGTTTAAAACAGTTTCTGAACTATAATTCAGCTAACTGAAGGATTTTAGTCAGCAAAGTAGATGGCAGCTCAGCTCACAGCCCCCAAAGCACCCAAGAAATAGTGGAGAGAGACAGATTTTTTACGTGAGATTACTTTACTAAAAATTCTTTTCTGATTCATTTTGTGGTGCGTTTATTTGGAAGGGAGGAAACCTCGGTGGATGACTCAACACTGGTCAAAAAACCTTTTAACAACAACACTAAAAAGTCAGTTTTGTCTTTGAGGTTAGCAGAATGCCATGTGAACAACAATGCAGCTGAAAACAAAAGCACAGATATCCAGCCATTCCAATGTGACTCAGTTTGGTGTTTTCTAAACAATATTTAATATCATAACCCTTTAGGAAGCCCTGAAAATTTCCCATGTGCAGTCAGTGAACCCAAGAGCACACAGTTCAAGCCATATGTGATGTCTGTCAGTTGCATACCATGACCTATTTCCTGTTTTCACTGACGATTAATTTGCATATCTTGACCCTGCTTAAAGCTGATGCAGATGCCATGGCCACAGCCGAGGAATGGGAGTGACGTGACAGCCCTGGTCGCCTGTCAACATCATGTTTTTCCGCTGAAGTAGAGGCAGAACGCACAGAGAATGGACGAGTCAGTGTTGTTGGATTTACTTGAGTGCCCTGTTTGTCTGGAGCGCCTGGACGCCTCTGCAAAGGTCCTCCCCTGTCAGCACACCTTCTGCAGACGATGCCTCCAAGGCATTCTGGGCTCACGTGGAGAGCTGCGCTGCCCAGAGTGCCGTACGCTAGTGGAGTGTGCCGTGGATGAACTCCCCAGTAACATCCTTCTGGTGCGCTTGTTGGATGGCATCAAGCAGAGACCTCGCAGGGCTGGTCCTGGGGCCGGGGTCTGCACGAACGGTACATCTGGAGCTGTGGCCAGAGCGCACAGCAGCGGGAGCAGGGACCAGGGCACCCCAGGAGCGCAGCCCCAGCGAGCCCAGGCTAAGAGCACCCTTGTCCGGGTTAGTAAACTCACTGTGACTGACCATGGATCATTGAGCATGAATATGTGTTTCCCATTGTTAGGGTCAAGCTGAAACAAAACAGAGAAAATCTGTGTGGATTAAAAGCAGCATGTTGCATTACTGGCTCTCTAATCTTTCTGTGGATTAACGGTTATCATGGTGATCCCAAGCCAGCCAGTTGACTAGCAGCCCGACATTATAATGGCAGTGATTGAGAGCAGTCAATAGTTGAGCCAACAAATAAGTCTGCTCTCTGTGTGCTGACTGCAGCTGGGCTTTACTCTTAAGAAAGGTCCTCAGTTCTTACTTTGAGACAATGCTGCACGCCAAAGTCTTTCCCTTGAACTTGAAATCTCTGTTGTGCTGTGGCTTCTAAATGTACGTGAGAAAAGCAGGGTGGGACTACATGGTGGTTGTTTTATCTGCATTACAGAGAGGAGGAGTGGCAAAGTGTGGTTAGAGAAGCAGCAGAAAATGAGGCCATGTAGGAAGCCTTGTTTTAGAGTTTTATTGAAGCAGATGAAACAGATGATATTTTTACACAGGGACGTAAAAGACAAGAAATAACACCTTAGATTTCTTTTACAGTTTCTTTCTGTGAACCCACGGAAACACCGGTGTTATTTTAACCTGATTTTATGGAAAAGCATGGCAGGCTGAGGTGTTAGGGTTGTAAATATCCTGGCAAATCTTGCTGTAAAGTTTTGGGAACATTTGATGGACCTCTCTGGGAAAGTTAATATGAGCTTTTTTATTTTACCATTTATGCTGCTTTCCTTGAGCTGCTCAGACTTTTAGTTGATGTGAAGTAAAAGTGAGGTTGGAATGACCTGCAGCTGTGAGGTACAAAGTTATACTGATGCCTTTTCATGACTATCATGGTAGATAGAATTCAATATAATTACAATTAGTAAACATTTTGCAATACTCCTAGTAAATCGAAAGCATGTAATGTGATTTTACTGTTGCTGGGCTGCAAATTATGTACTTAAACTCAAGGAGAACTTTGTCAAAAACTCACTTTTGATGATTCGTACTAAATCTGATTAATGCGGCAGTTAGATAGACTAACCATGTCATGAAAACCTGGCTTATGCAAAATGTAAGGAAAAAAAAGAAGGTTTTGCAGCCCCTTTACCACCTGATAATAACTTTCCATAGAAGTCAAAACTGCATTGTATTGATTTGAAAGAAATTGCAAAGATGTGTATTCGTATTAGTATGCTATACCAGTTCCAGCCGATATCACTGGAAGAATAGGAGGATGTAACGCAAAGCAAGAGTTGCATTTACCAAGATAATTTCCGGGTTAACTCCAGGTTTTTCAGCACTATGAAGGTGTATGCCAAACACATACCCTGCTCCGAGGCAGGTTATGTTTAGGATCAGAGATCAGTCTGTCAAAACGCCACCCATTGGCTTTAACTCATTAAGAGGGGAAGAAGAGAAACACCATCAGGATGCTCTTCTGACCCACATAATGACACGCATGAAGAATATTCATAGAGTCATACACTCGTATTAATGAGAGATGTCTGTGTAGGTCATCCAGGTCATGGTTATCTTCATTGAAAGAGTAACTGGACATTTCTCCTCTCTTCCAAAAGGCTTCCTCAGTTCTGATTTGGTACAAATGTTAATAAAGAGTTAGTTATTACTACAGCTCCTTGACATCAGACTCTAACAGAGACTGAAGTAGGTTAACACGAGGTTCTTAAAGTCGTAGTGTAGATGTGAAATTACACAGGCTTGTTGTTTTGATTTGTTTTCATATTTAGTTTTGTTATCCCTGTAACACTCCAGGGCTGCAGCTGAAATATGAGTTATGTCTGCATCTGCCGCACACAGCACAAGAATCAGTCAATTAAAATCAAAGCCAAAAAATCCGTTTAGGAGAATAAATAGGAGTCATAACAGCCAAATCGAATAATGGAAAAGTGATATCATGAGTCTTAATTCGTGCATGACTCGTCAGCCGTTTTTCCGGTATTTTTCAAACACAGCTGTGTTGGTTGTAGCCTTGATTATGTGTTTAGCTTTTTTGTGTTAGTTTTGATATCACAGCTCGCCCTGGGTGCGTAAAATATCACAATGTGCTGCTGGCAGACTGGTTCAGTACAATTTGCTCTGTCGGGGTTAGTGAAGCCAGATAACCTAAAGATACTCAGGGTATGTGTAGACGCTGCTATTCATGCAATAATGTCTTTGTCATGCTTACTGAAGTGTTGAGGTCTGTTGTCAAACTTATGTGACTTTGGATCAGACTGTAAATGTGTGTAGAGATCACATCACACAGAGCAGGTAGAGAAACATCTGCATGGTAGCTGGTGTAGTCCTCCTCCAGTGATTTTGTCAGTAATTGCGCGAGCTTTTGATTGTCTCTGTTCAACTTTCTGCAGTTCTCGACTTTATTTCAACCAGCACTACAGCACTCAATATATCTGCATCTCCCTCAGTTCCCCCTCCAATCCTAACATGAGTCTAGTTCTGCTTGAGGTTTCTGCCTGTTAAAGGAAGTTCTTCCTCTCCACTGTAACTTTTTAAATGCTGCAGAGTGTTTGGGACAGAAATGGTCTGATCTTGAGAGGCGGGGCTCATGTCATGGTCTAGACCATGTAAAGCCTCTCGAGATAACATTTGTTGTGTATTGTTGCTATAAGAATACAGATTGATTATTAATACTAGATGTGGTCACTGCTGCTTTATTGTACTTAAGTATATGTTTGTCGTGACGATGACTTTCCAGGTGACTCCTTGTGTTTAAACTAAGGACTAGTCGCTCCTCTCTGAACATTTGTAGCACGTGTTTTGCAGGTTACAATCAGTACGATACGAGATCACGTGATACAATACGTTTATTGTCCCTTCGGGGAAACTTGTTTTGGACTCCGGTCTAACCCAATGCAATGAAAAAGAAAGCAACTTTAATCTGTTGTTTTTATCAGATAAAATTATATTGTCTGTTAGAGAGCCGATGATAAAACACTCCTAAAATCATCTGGTAATTAAGCAGAGAAGCGTGTTTCTAGCACCTCGACTCTCATTGTTGTGAGTTTCTTGATTAAAGGCAGTAATTCTATGCATGTTGTTTCAATATTTTCCTGTCTTAATCCTCCGTTCCATGCAGAATGTCATCACAAACACCTGAGAGAATAATAAAACAAGTCATTAACAGAAGCAAAGTCAAGATCAAATCATCTTTCCTCCTGGGATCATTATTTCTAGCAAGCTATAGATCTACACAAATTTAAAAGAAGAGAATATTTGTCTTGCCATCAATGTAGATTATTGTGCATTCAAAACCTTAATGTCAAGATGAAACACTTAAAACAGAAACCACACAGCCCCTCTTTAGTTTTTGCAGCACTCGTCTCCACACTGGGAGGTTGGCGGAGATGAAAAGATGTCAGGGTCTTGTGTAGAATTACTGGAATGTCAAAGAGCTGATAATGTGTCTGCTTGGCCATGCAGGTATGAAGATCTGAGACATCGCTGTAAGATCGCTACTGGGGGACCCGCCTCATTTACCACACTGGTATCATTTCACAGTATCCGTCTTGGTTTGAAAGCTGTTTGCGTTGTGGAATTTCCCTTGATTCTGAGGAGCCTGTTTGCTGGAGATAAAGAGGTGGACACTTGAAACTACCACATTCTTTCACCTCGCTCTTGTGTTTTCTAGGATTGACAGTTGATTGTAATCCGTCAGTGTAGGCGTGTAGGGTAAAATCCTCCCCCATGAAAGTGTTTTGTCTGAGTGTGTAATTGTAAAAAGCACTCAAAGCTGCTTCCTTAGTTTCTTACAATTTAGCAGAAAGCACAAATGGCGTCCCTCGTGTCTTTTCTTCACTCCTGAGGCGTTCTGCTAGTGACAGAGAACAAGAAAGGACACGGCTGTGCAGGTGTAACGTTTTTACAGCATAAAAGGCAGAGATCAAAGCTGTCACTGATTGCCGGTCTGATCTGTGCTCAGCGCTCTGTGGGGACTGAGCGCTTCACTGCCCCTGGGTGACACCCTCAAGTCCCACTTCTTTATTGTTCGTTGCCTGTCACCCTGTTTTTCAGGGGAATTTCGAGGTTTCAAGCAGCTCCTCTGGTGTCGTGCCCCCGGTTCAAGCTGAGCTCCACCTCACAATTCTTATACGACTGGGAGGGGAGGGAGGTGGGGACCGCCTGACAGATGCACAACAGGGTTTTGTCTCGAGCCCCCTCTGATCTCCACGACTGAGCGACACGTGTAGAGCGGCCAGCAGAGATTTTTTGTGTGTATGCAAGGCTACCAGTAAGAGAAGCTGATGAGTGTTAAGTGAAGGTGTCAGGACCAAAAGGGACAAATGTTGAGTGAGTCAGCTTTCTGCCCCCTCCTCTTACTATCTCCAGGGTTGCTGCAGTTGTTGTTTGACTCTGCTTGTTGGCATTTCTTTGATGAGGTAAATGAAAAAGGCTCGTCGTGATTGTGCTGTGGTTGTCTGGCCCTTCACAGTCAGGTCAGTGACTCACCTCCACACTGGTGCTCTGTTACATAGATGTTTTGTCTTCCTCTCTGCCTTGTTGACTCACATAACACAATATTTTGTTCACACACATTGAGAACAGATCGCTCAGTGGAAATTTTTGCATTAGAGCGGGTCTGGCTATTGAAGTGGTCTCCAAGCCAAAGGTCAGAGTTCAAGAGTCACAACTGTCAGGGGTTGGTACCAACCATAGAGGGGGGGAGAATTAAGATGTATTCACACATGCACAAAACTCCTGGAAAAAATGTTCAGAAACAGCTTAACATGGCAAGGGAGGCTACAATTACAACCCGACGTCTCACAGACTATCGATAAATATATATAAAAATTTAATGTAATGCACTTGTAATTTTGCTGCCAGCCAACGAGGTTAACAATGTTTTATTGTTTTGTCAATGCAAACAGAGGCAGCCTGTTGAGGGACACTAATTTCCACTGTTTGAATATCTACACAGGGACTCGGTATGATGCATTCAGGTTCTAGCCATGCCTTTATGTTTCATCATAAATGGTACTCTTAAACTCAAAAGGGCGTTTAAAAAGGCATTATTTGCACATTTAGTTTGATAGACCTGACAGCGCATCAGCTTCGACCCTTTCTCATAATGTAGATATTTAAGCTGCAATACGACTGATGAAGTTCACTCTAGTCAAAGCAAATCTTTTTATTTTTGTCTCATATGACTACATGAAGCTGTATTTTCTCTTCATTTGACCAAAAGTAGTAGGGCTGGGCAATAAACCGAAAATTTACTGTTACCGAAATTTACGACAATAACCAAAGTCATTTGGCCCATGTCAATATATTTGGTACCAAAAAAAGAAATAATTTAAAGTTGGTTTTGGATGTGTGTAGGTAGGCTATGGTCTCATGTCCCTTTAAGATGCTGTCCTACGTGGAAGATGTGACTCCACCCCATCCAGTCTGTAACAAAGAGGGAAAGACAGGTGAGGAAATGGAGGACGGTTCAAAAGTTGTAGCAGCTGGAGCGGCGTCTGAAGTAGACAAAGTTAATGTGGGAGGGGGTGAGCAGCTTGTGGAGTGGTTATCGTCCATTTATCATTATCGAGGTGAACTGCTCAATATATCGGGATATTGATTTGAGGCCATATTGCCCAGCCCTAAAAAGTATTGTAAGGCTTTGGAAAACCAGCCACCTTGAATTTTTACATCTGTATCGCTACAGAAATTTGAGAGAATTTCAAGAACACCATGTGCAGTGCTAACCTTGAATTTATCATTTTATAGCTCTTATTTTGTAGTTTTTTCTAATGAAAGTGTAAAAAACCTCCCATATACCTCAATCAAATTTGTGGAAGACAAATTGCTTTGATTTTTGCACAAACACAACTTTAATTGTGGACTAATGCTTTCTTCATGGGCTATAATTGGTAATAACAGCCCTTCTCAGTCTCAGCTGTCTAATAGATGTATGCATGTGTGTGTGTGTCTTTGTGTGTTTAGTTGATAGGAAATGAGACACTATTCTTTCCTCAGCTCTCGGGGATGTAATTAGGTCATTGTCTCCTCTTTAGTAATGAGAGCTTTATTTAAGGAACGTTTTCTCTCTCATTAAAGGCCTCTTAACGTTGATTCCCCATCCTACTGCTTTTAAATCCTCTACTCAGACATCATCTGAATAAAATCTGAACAATCAGAGAGTCGAGTGTTGCCTTTTCAGCCATCAGACATTTGAAACGTTTTCCCTGAGTTATTTTTAAATCAAAGTTGTTCTGTGTTTCGTCCAGTCTCTTTGTTCTTGATTTATTTCTCCAGAGAAGAAGAAGAATGTTGTTTATGACTTCCTCATGTCAAGGTATCTCATTAAAATTCCTCTGTACCTCCTTCATCTGAGGTCGATGAGTCACGCTGGCCCTCTTTGATGACATCATATTGTTGTTGAGGCCTTTCCTCTTGGCCGGCTGGCTGACCTCTGCCTGTGCGATACAACCCCATCATTACACCCGCACACTGCCCACACTCTGGCAAACACATACTTACTGCTTTCTACTGGGAACTTTTTCAGAGAGAGCTCGGGTCTGCTCATTCCTGCTCTCTCAACACACTCGCACTTTTCTCTCGCCTCCTCTCTATTTCCCACGGAGGTCTACAAGTAGCCATGACCTTCTGGTCAGTTAGTGTCAGTGGCTTTAAGAGCCACCTGTAATTTTCTCCTGTAAGACACTGACACACAGGCTGTATTTTTTTTCTCATATTCCTGCCATGTAGGCATACACCTCCTCCCCTCTTGCTGTCTGATCCAGGCTGGAGCCTGTTAAAGGTCTAATGAGATTAGAGTTTATTAGACAGTGAGTCGGCACTGCTCCCTGTTCTCCTCTTACTGCTGACTCTCATTCTGGAGAAACAAAACACTTGTTATTTAGCTAAGCTACCTGTGTGTCTGAGTCTCTGTGGCCGCCATGTGTATTTACACACTAATCTAATATGTCTTAAGTCAGCTTGTTTATTGTAGACAAGTGCAGTTCTTTCAGTCACAGATTGGTAGTTATGTTTTCAAGAGATTGCATAAAGTGTCCCAAAGCATGTCAGTCATGAAGGGTAATTTTATTAGAACATTTTGTTCTTGTCAAGAACTTTTAAATATGGAAAGTTACTTCAATTGTTGATATCCAACTATCCTGGGGTTGGGTCATGGTGATGACATGCTCGGCAAATCAGCCCAAACATTCCTCTCCCCGTCAATGTTTCCCAGCTGCTCCTTGGGTATCCTGAGATATTCCCCGACCAGGTGGGATGTGTAACTCCTCCAATAGGCTTGGGCACTACCAGCTCCACCCAGCTGTATGGAAGAGACCTGGCTGCAGACAAACATAGTTGAAAGTTGGATTTCTGCTTGGATCTCAGCGGTTAAAAGAAAAGTTGTTCTTTGTGTCGTTCTCACAATCTTTAAGAGTAACAAATAAAACATGGACTTTTTACATCTGCTGTCTGATACTTCCAATCACTGCCCAGAGCTCATAACCCTAGTCGTGGGTAAGAGCGTAGACTCAGGGCTACATCACGACCTTTGCCTTCAGTATTGAAGTGCTTGCATCTCTGCTGATCTCGCTGACAATATCGTCAATCTTGTGATCCTACACTCTAACAGGTCCACAAAAACCCTTCCTCTGTAGAATAAGCTGATACAGACAGTACAGCTTTCAAATCCAAGTAGTGAGATAGTTGGGGCAGGTATAAATGATTCACCGAAACAGCAACTGAACACCCCTTCCTTTCATTATGATGCACTTTTGGCTGTTTTCTTGTCTAGACCATTGTATAGTTCCTCCATTGTTGGACAGACCATAATCCGACCATTTGGTTTTAAATAGCCCAGGAGGAATACATTTAAATGTTAATTTTTCCACATGTGCTGCTCACACCTTTGTGGATCCTTTCTAAAAATAGAACATATTAAATGTTTGCTGTGATTTCTTGCAGCCATGACTGACTCTGACACAGTGAGGGAAAAGGATTTTGAATTAGAAGAGTGTGAGCATATGGACATTATTTACATTTCCAAGTGAGTCAAGCTGTTTGGTTTACATAAGAAATATAGTAATGGGAATTTAGTTTAATGATATTTTGGTTTCATCATGATGGAAAGCTGTGTGAAGTCGTCTTAAATGGTCTCTGATGTTTTTGCTTTTATTTAGGCCACCTTTAAAGTAGGAGATTCTGGGTCTTCTTTGCTTGTGAGACCGGTGCTTAGAAATATGAACATCTCTCTCTGTGGAGCTGGAGGATGTTGAGTACAGACGGTTGTGAATCAATTTATCCATTGATTTCCTGTCCCAGCCATCCTGCACAGGCTCCCTGTGGAGTTGAGCCGCTGGGTTAGAGGAGGGATACCTGGACAGCAGCCTTGAACAGGTTGGCAGTCAGTCACTCTACAACATACATAAACACATTCATCATCACTTTCACGCCCATTTGCAATCCTCACATGCCTTCCAATTCAAATCATGCTTTGGAAAACACACAGGGAATGAGCAAGTGGCCACTCACGCAGTGGAAAATTACCGTCCCCCATGTGTGGGTTTCCATAATTCCCAGGAGAGAAGTTCAAAAGACCAGATCATGTGATTAAGGTGCAGCCACAGCCTCCTCATTGTGGTGAGACACTGCTCCCCCAGTAAAGGGTGTGTGCCTTTTCTTTGTCTTTGTGAACACTGTCCAGACTCTCAGAGGAAAGGGTTAACTTGTTGAGCCTAATCTCTTTTTAACCTCTTTCTCCCAGACAGAGGAGGATGTTTTGTGTAAGTGTGTCTCTGAGGAATGCCATGAGTATTTGCAGGTCACTGTTTCGACTCCAAACATTATGCCTGTCCTGTCTTGTCTTACTTGCCAGCTCACGTTCACACTCTTCACCTAGCCTACTTTGAGTGTCATGTATTTATGTGTACTTGGTGATATCCTTGTTGTCAGACATAAAAAACTGTTCTAGAGTTTCTGGAAAAATTGGTCATCTGTGAGTACGTGTCTGTCACACTCATTAAGTCTTGAGTTTCGATGATGATCCTGCATGCGGTGACGTGTCTGTGCACCTGAAAGCCCCTGGGCGGACTCAGCTGTAGCAGTCCTATCTTGTTGCAAGACCTCTTTTCAGGATCATTCAGAGAATTACCCATGTGGCCAACATTTTCAGCACGGTTTGGACTGTCAAGTGATCCGATAATTACATTTAATCTCATTTGTAGTTATTGTAACAAAGAAGTGTTACAGTTTATTATTTCTGGTGTTTTTTTTTTACTCTGAATTGTGGGTGGTCCTCCGCTCTGAAAATGCCACATTTGTCATTAGCCCCCCTGCTTCCTCTGTCCATATTTCATCTCCTGCCAAGTCTGTCAGTATGACAATAGTAAGTGAGGATGCCATGACCTTTTTACCACCTCTGTCACACCTGCAGGAGCCATTGAATCCTTTCTGTAGCTCTACCTTTTTTACGTGTGGTCCACCGTTCCCGGGGAAAAAGTGTTATAGAGAGCACTTTAAACATACTACCCAGCAGGTTTGGGCAATTAATCAGATTTCAGTTTTAAGCGTGATTATTATGATCAATGATGATTCAGTCATGATGTTACACTTGTTTGGTCCTTAAAGATGAATTCACACTCCCTCCTTTTCTTTTTTGTGTGCTCTACCCCTCCACTCAAACAGCTCTCACTTTTACTTTATCATTAAGAGCTCAGATCAATGTGCAGCAAGGATTGGGAACAAGAGGAGGTATCTCCAACATGTTGTGCAGCAGTTGTACGAAGTATCGGGTGGAGAGAGGAGAGCAGGGAGAGGAGCGGGGGAGGATGGTGTCTGTCTGTTTAAATAGATGCTATCATTTCCATGTGGGGTGCATACTGTTTATACCTTTGTCATGTCTTAGCCACGCAACAATAATTTTCTGCTTTATTGTTTTTTTCTAAGAATTACAAGTTTTTATGTTTAAGAAAATTAAAGCTGTGCGTGTGTGAAATGCATATGTCCAATCATGAGTCATCTCTTTTTATGAATTATGATCTCAGTATTAGTCAAAATAATGTTGAAATAATAAATTTTTTTTTACATGTTATAACAGCCCCACTACCTAACTAAACATAAAGTACTGTATTCACACGTGCACTGCACACACAATTTTTGTGGTAAGCAGCATGTGTAAATCCAAACAGGTCATTTTTTTTGTATTTTTTCCTATTAACTCCTTTGTGAAATTTTTGCAAGAAGTCAGGTGTGAGCTAATGTGGGCGCAGAAAAAAATTAGAAGAATTTACCTCGGACTGTCTGCAGGCTACTCTGATGATGATAATGTCATGTGACTAGGGTGTGATGGGTGCAATCTTCATGCACATAATGAGGCAGCTCTGCACAGCTTTGTGCTCGCAAGTATGTTCTTTTCCACCTATTTGTTAATACTACATTGAAAATTTGTATTGGTATGAAGGCAGATTACTGTCATTGCACTTTGCTTCTCTTGGATAACTCATTAACATTACATGGTGGCTACCGCAACGTCCATTGTACATCATGACCTCCCCCTGTTGGGCAGCAAAAACTTGAAAACAAAAGATTTGTGAATGACAACTTGGAAAAATTTCTGAGGCAAGCTGTCCTGAAATGTACCAGGAATATTTTTGGGGTGTGCATTTTTGAAAAATGCTAACATCGCGAGCTAAAGAAACATCGTTTTTATTTGAAGTAATTTTATAGATTCAATCTGTTATTGGATTCATACTTTAAGAATATATTTATTCCTTTATTTCTGAATTTAGTTTGCATTTGCAAGTTACACATTTTATTACTGCAGTTGCTTATATTTTTGAGTAACACGTTTATTATGGTCTTTCTTGTTTCAGTCGGTCATAATTTTGTCTTTTGCTGTCGGTTTCTGTTTTAATTTCATTTCTGTTTGGTCATTTGTGCAGTATTTTGGGCTGGTTGTGTTTATGAAACAAACCGTATAAATTAAGTCAAGCTGAGTATTTCACACCTGTTATTCCACTTACTTTTTGGTGTCAACTTGTGCACCAGAATTGGTGTTAAGTGTTGACACCAAAAAGTTTCCCAAATGCCATGAGAGGAATTTATTAGCTTGACTGATTGTTTTGACAGCTGTTTGCCAACATGTGTCTCATTGTGTCCCCCCTTTATTCCCAAGATGGCCCTCATACCTGCCTGTCCTGAACAGAGCAGTTTGACCTCTCACCCTGTGTTGTGATTGGTGGAGCAGGAGTGGTCATCCATGGTAGTTTGACTGCTGGCATCTTAAGTGTTCAGTTCCCATCCCTTAGGCAGAATCAGGGTTTGTTAGGAGTTTAGTTTTTAGTTGTTTGACCTTTGGCCTGAAGCCCTGTAACTGAGTCTTGGTGCATCTTTAAGCAGCAGGTGACGGCCTCTGGCCCACCTAGCTGCACCAGAAATGTGTTGGTCCAGACCTCCTTCTGAGATTAATGATTCCACCTTTTACCCTCAAATCTCTCGCCTTTCTTCTGTAAGCTGGTTGTGTTTGCTCTTCTGCTCTAAGCGGAGAAGTTTCCTGTTTTTCTTCGAGGCCCAGAGTAGCAGTTAATCTGCATTTGTCCCCTGAGTGACATCTTTGTCCCAGCTGTGAGAGGGTACTGGGTTTGCAGTACAAAGTCAAGTCCATTACATACTGTAATTCAGAGCAGCTATGTTTATTTTTGTGTATTACTGCCGAGCCAAGTTTCAAAGGGGCAAGAAATCTGTGACGACTTTGTCCAGACTGAGTTTATATTTTATACCTTAATTCCTTTATGTCCGCCTTGATTCGCTGATCTTTGTCTCATGATTCAGGAACATTAAGTCATCAGTGTGTTATTTTGTGGCTAAAGGAAAACAATTTTATGCTTCGGTAAGAAATTATTAAAAGCTGAATACATTTGATTAAGAAAAAGTCCACTATTTTTTAATCAAAGACAGTGTTCAGACTGTCATGAAAAAACTCACAGCATAAGTTTGAGTCTTTGGCTCTCACTTTGGTTGAATCGTCACTTTTAGTGTCAAATTCCACAGGGTTTTTTTTTTTTTTTTTTTTTTTTGTGTGTGTGTGTGTGTGTGTGTCTGTGTCTTTACGACCAGCTGGCAGTTGGTAGCTGACTTTGCAACAAGTTGATTGTCCGTCAGTCGACACAAATCTAGTGCCTCAAATTGTAAAAGCTGCCATTAGTGACAAGACAACCTGAATCGAATCTTTGGTTCCAGCAATTCAGCCTTTGGTCATCACAGTTTGGTCATAAAGGGAAATCATAAGTGTTAGCTGGAAGCTGAGTGCGATAAATAGCAAGTTGTTTTTATTTTTAGACTTAGTGTGGGTTTGAAATCCTGGGATATTTCCAAGTGACCAGATTTCAAGTTGTTCAAACTGTACTTAGATTTTCCCCTTGCTGGAAAGGCAATTGATACTAAAACTCTTGCTGTGTGACAATTGGATCAAATCACAAGAATGGACAAGAAAAAGGCAACGTATCATCAGCTGATTAAAACTAAAACTAATTTGGTGATGCGTTGCTACATCTTGAACAACCCACAGTGTTCAGAGTCATATCTTTGTCAATTGTAGTTTTATTTTTAGAGAAAAACAAAACTCTAAATATTTTAAAGCCAGTTTCTGTTAAAAAAAAAAAGAGAAAAAAACCTACAAGTTTTCAAGCCTTTGTCACCCAGCCCTAAACAAAACTCTTGGTCAAGATTGTTGAACACCACATTATAGAGTATTCTGGTTAGCAGTGCCAGATTGGTTTCAGAGTTTGGCTAACATTAGCGAAACTCGCACCAGCAGCCCTCCTTGCAGGTTACTGTCCACATGCCCCTGTTTTTTACTCATTGACACATGACTCTACATTTCAGATCAAAAAGCTGAAAATCCAGGCTATTTTCTAAATGTCATTTGCCATCTGTACTTGTTTATATCCAGGTGGTAGAGCATAATTGCAGCCTGGAATAATCCTATGTCTAGCATTTCAGTCCTTCATTAACAAAAACAATTAATAATCCCTTCAATCAAAGATAACAGTACAATGTGCGCAATGATAATGAAACACATTATATTGTGGGTAAAGCCTTATTTAAAAAAAAAAAAAATGCAGCCATGTTCCCAAACTGAGGTGGCAGCATCAAACCCGAAGTGATGTTGGTCGTAACATCTTTTCTGCAAAAATGTGGATTTCTGTATTTCAACCATCTCTTCCACCTTTGTTATCAAATTCTGAGAATCCTTGAGTTTATTCTTGATTGTGAAAATCATTGAGCCCTCGTTGAGTTTCCTAAGTGTCCAAACCATTGGTGCCAAAATACCCTTGAATGAAATTTTTTTAATGATTTTTCAGTTTAAAGTGAACGATTGGATCAAGGTTCTTCAGTATCAGAAGGACTTTTTGTTCCAGTCTCTGAAATAGTAAAGAGAAAAGCTCGACCGATTTTTGGATTTTTTCTTTGAATAGAGAATTGAATAAACATCTTGCATCTTGAAATACAAAAATGACAAATGTATTTGACTCCTCTCACACAGGAGTTTGGTAAGTGAATGATCTGTAATCTATCTGGTTTACTTTTGAAATACCCTGTCAGTCAAACTTGTGCTCTCAGCTCCTACACGTGTGGGGTCTCTGTCTGACAGGTTGTGATTAATTACTGATGTGGGCTTGAATGGGGGAGAGATCTGACAAAGGCCGGGGGTCTGGGCTTTCATTCATGATATGTCATCTGCACAGACGTCCCACGACAAGCACTGACTGGCGGATCACAGTCACGCTCCCATCCCATAATAAGTGACTGTAGGAAAATGTACTTTGAGCCTTGTTATTTGACACAAAAACATGCCAAACCCTCTGCCAGTGTACGGCCTGACTAAGCCGGGTCAATGTTTGTTTGAATGACTCACAGACTGATTTCAGATCTGTGTGAGCCCCCATAAAGCTCACACCCACAAAACACAGGTGTGTAGTGTGTACACAAACAGATCTGTGCCAGTACTATGATGAAATGTCTCGGCAGATCTCAGCCAACCAGCGTGTGTTTATATTCTTCCTAGTGGGAAGGTGTGATCTTCATGCTTGTTATGTCAAGGAGAGCTCCAACAGCTATCAGGTTTATTGACACCCTGATTAGTTTTCAAGCATCCGTCTCTCCTTCCTCCCAGAGTTTACTCTGTTCTGAGTAACCACGGTAACCTGGGATGTTTGCAGTGAGTCTGCACCGGCAAAGCTGTCTACTTGTCAAATGTCTCAAGTCCTGTAAGACCAGCCAGTGTGTTTACCTCTTCATGGCTAGGTTGACTATGACCAGCTAATGTCAAGAGATACATGAGAAGTAGGCTAGCATGCGTTGAGGAAATGTGCAGAATTCAGTTAAATGTTTTGGGGACAATATATAAAGACAAATGAAGAAAGTGTTTAGTTTCTAAAGCTGTGTCCCAACTCAAGGGCTTTTCCTTTCAAAAGATGTAGACTCCAAAAGGATGCATCTCTTGTAGCAAGCATAGACGACTGAAGTCGAACAAGGATGCTGTGATAAAAGTGCTGTTGAAATGTGTCTGTCAAAGGATGCAGCCCCTGAGCTGAGAAACAGATAATGTCTTCTGCTGTTTAACATGTATTTTAAAGCTCATGTTTGTCACATACCAAAGAAATGACTAGGGCTGCAACGATTAGTCGACGTTATCGATTACGTCGACATGACAAATTCATCGACACGAAAACGAAGGGTTGACGCGTCGTGTTATTGTTGTTAAGAATCACATGCCGGCGCCTCACGCTAATCTATAACTGCAGTGCACTACAGGATATGCTGGGGGCAGTAGCGCACGCTGTTTACATCCCGCGAGCACACACAGAAGAAGAGTGCACACGTTATGGCAGAACAAACTGAAAAAGACGCTCCAAAACTCCGACCCAAAACTTCAAAAGTTTGGGAACATTTTACGGAGAACAAACCAAAAAAACATGTTGATCAAAGCTCAGCTTTCCTACCATGGCAGCACCACGGTGATGCATGAGCACCTGAAACGCCGACACCCCGGAAATAGGTGTTTATAAATAAAGAAGATAGTGATTAATCGGACGACTAGTCGATAGATTAGTCGACAAAAAAATAATCATTAGTTGCAGCACTAGAAATGACCCAAGAAATGGCTCTACTTTTTTTTTTTTTTTTTCTACATTAGTTATTCCATGATCAACCCTTTTCCATCACTTAATTGGTCTGTGTGTGAATATGGCCCATGTAACCACTGGTTAGTCTGATAGGCCATACTAGAGCTGGGTGATATGGCCAAAAGTGCTGCCTGGATAAAGTTTCTTTTAAATTAAGAGGCCGATTTTCACCCCAAAATGAAATTTGGTGAATCCAGCCAGTTAATTAGCTCCTATCTGGAGTCTGGCTCTCTTATAAACTTCATGAATACTTTATTTTCAACAGTGCTAATAGGAATCAGTTATTTTGCAGTATACTATGCAAATACACTTATGTTCTGTCTCTTCTATTTTTTTAATTCCTATTTTTTTGTAAGGTTACTTTGGACTGTCCGTTCTTGCCCATGGTGTGTTCCAGTGAGTAATATAGTTTAAAACAATGGAAAAGATGGAAAGAGTTTGTGGTGTTGCCTGTCCTAGCTGTCAATTTGTCAAACTGTAAGTTGACCAGGACAAACTAGGACAACGGTTTTTGTCCTGGTTTGAGCTAGTTGGCATTACATTTTCTTCAGTGAGCCTGCCTCTAATTATGACCGTGTTTACAACCTGCTTCAAATATCTGTAAGTTTGCCTTTCTCTATCCCTGCAACATGATTAGCTTTAGTTTATCTCCTAGTTCTCTCTGGCAACTAGGTGGTTTAATCAAATTCTAATCAAACATTTGTTTTATTTCTGTTGAGAAAAATTATATGATGATAATTATTTATGTTATTGCCCAGCCCTAGGACACATACTGTTTTCATACACTCTTTTAGGTTGTGTTCATCATGTGCGTTCATAATGTAGCACTACAAAGTAAAATCAATCATTCATCAATGGACAACCTCCTAATCATTCCTACGCTACATAAAACAATAACTGGCCTGAGGTGGTTTTGACTCTTCCATATCATGTGGAGTTAAAACCAAACTATCTTCCAAAGCATCACTCTGAGGGCTTTTTAAAAGAGGACTGACTCATCTAGTTAAAATGAGGAACTGCTCTGACAGTGCTGTCTTACAGTAGTCTATCATCTGAATGGGGCCCTAATTTTTGCTTATTATCCTGCGGCAGAAGAACTGGTTGGTCTTATTTCAGGCTTTTGCTGCAAAAAAATGTGTCTGCAATAAAAGCTTCTTTTATTGGTCTATTGGCAAAGCATTACAGAGAACAGGTGGAAATGAGGAGAGTGAGCAGTTTTTTCTTTGTTTTATTTACCTTTTTTGTCCCCCAAAGGCAAAACACCTACGTCATTCAAACCCCTCTATCAGACATACTCATAAGGATAAGAAATGGTTTTATTACACCGATTAGTGCGTACTATCTTGCTGATAGGGTTGGCAAATGCTGCTTTATCATAACAACAGACTGTACTTTCCCTTTTTTGACTTAAAACAACAGCCATCTGCTGGTAGGGAGAGATACAACAAGGCACATAAGGTACATTCTCTTTGAGAATGGGCTGCAGACTTTGTGCTGCATTCAAGTGCAATTTCTTGGCCAAGGCACAAGCAATATAATTTAATGCAACAGTCAGCCTTCATCACATCTGTTTCTGGAAGTCATTTAGTTGTGTCCAGGTTTTATGGACCCACTTTAGTAAAGGAACAAGAAACTGAAAAACTTTGGGTCCAACAGCTCCCAAGATACTCATCTTTCTGCTTCCCTACAGTACCTCAAACCTTACTTGGCATTCAGCAGAGGTAAAGGAAGCTAGCAGCTACATGTTACATCTGGGCTGAGTCGAGGGTGGAATGGACAAACACACTTGGACACTTTTCTTAAGGAAGTGAAAAATGGTCAGTGCTGGGCTTCTTCTTCTTCAGTCTGAGAACAGATGCAGTGTTTGTGCCTTGGCCTTTGGCCAGCGCTGTGTCAATATCCTGGCTCTGTTTGTCCACTGTAGAGGCGTTACAGACACTGGCCAAGGAAAGCAAATCTTCTACTGTTGCCCACCAGTCTGACGCGCAACACTGGACAATTGAAAGATAAGACAACAAGTGAGAAAGTCCGACATTTAGTAACAGGAAGAAGACATCTCAAAGCTGCTGTTCAAGGAACAGTATTGGAGTTATCTTGTTGAATTTCCCCTTGGCTTGCATCTTTCTGCTCCAATCGAAGTCGGCCTGAGCAGAGCAGAGCAGAGCAGGTGGCTCACCCTGAAAGACTAAGAGGAACAAAAGGCCACAGACACTGCACGCTTTCACTCGCACTGTGGAGAGTAATGTGAGGAAATGCTTAGTATTCAGCTCATATTGACTGGTACTCAATACACAGATACTGTGACATTTGTGAACTAATCCCTCTGTAGCTTGGATACAGACTCACTTCCTCTGTGTTTCTCCTCTTAGCTCTGATGGTTTATTAGATACCTGATATCCAGGATGCCTCTGATTTTACGCTCTGAATGCTGAGTTAAGCTGTGGCTTTTACTCAAACAGGGAAAACAACTTACTTGGGCTTACTTTAGCCCAAATCCTATCATTGCTGGTATTAAAGAATGCAGTGTTGTGTCTTGCTGCCTGGGTATACTTAATTTTTACATTTCAAACTTGTCTTTAAGGCCTTAGTCTCAATTTGATACAGAAACCTCTTTGTGGTCTTCAAAAACAAAACGGACCTTTTCTTCATAAGTTAGTAAACTAAGATAAAGTCCCATATAGTCTATTTAACAGATGTAAAGAGAAATATTTTAAGTCATTTTTGTTTTAATGTTGATAATTTTGGCGTATAGTTCTTGAAAGTCAGAACTCCAGCATCTCATTTTTTAAGAATATCCTCCAAGATCAATGAAAACACTTTTTAAAATATAGTAAGGCTGAAATTCAGAAAAGTGACTTTGTTTGTACACCCATTACCTCATTAGACTTCAGTAAGACCAATCGCTGCTTCAATAAGGCAGGCTTAGGGCTGATCAGCCTTTAGCTCTACCAGCAGCGTCTGTCTGGTCTGTGTTTCGGGGTATGTGTTTCTTATTTTACTCTTGAATAATATCCCACAGAATTTCCCTCTAGTTCAGGTCAGGTGGTGGCCAGCCAATCAAGGACAGCCGCGGCAAACCATTGTGGCGTTGTGGGCAGGTGCCAAATCCTTCTGGAAAAGGAGATCTGCATCTCCATAAAGCTACACAACCCAAACTTTGCTAGATATGCTTTTTTTTACCCTTTGAGCAATACGCCATAATTGTCAAAATGAAAATAGAGTTGGAACAAAAATGCAATTTCTCTACAACCCAATATAGATACTTCTAAAAGATTCCAAATTCACTGTTTGTAAAAGTGCTAAATAAAGTAATCAGATTAAAATGTGCATGCAGATGAACAAAGTGTTTAATTTAAACGAACTGTGTCATGTGTGAAGAGTTGTCTTGGCTGTCTAATGTGCTGAAAATAGGCAATAGTAATACTGTTCCTCTTGATGCTGTTTCTGCAACAGTTTGTTAAAAATGCAGGAAAAAGGAAACACTGCTATCACTGTATACCTCCATGTTGCTCTTCACTTGCCACTTGCTTTGCACCAGAAATTTGGCTCTATTCCTCTCTCACATTCATGACTTTGGGTTTCTTTTTTTTTTTTGTTTGTTTAGTGTTGATTCTTTTTCATTGTTCAATCATCCTGAAGCTCGACAACCCTGAGTTTTTTTCAAGCCCCTAGCTAAAAAAAATGTGTCAGCTGCAGATCAGTTTGCTGTCTAATTATAAGCAACATTGAAAACATTGAAAAGTGGAAACCTATAGTGTCATATGTGGCAGACATGTTCAGTGGAGATAATTTAACCCCAATCCGGAAGAAACCATTGGGATGAGTGTTAACATGGACATCTGAATGTGAAATATTATGAACTCCCCAATTAACAGAAATGACTTTTCCTTTACTGAGCTGGATTGGCCTAGTTTCTTCAGATTGATGCATTTTTGGCCATTTTTATTCTGATCAGGCTTTGATTGTGAGAGCTCTGAGTAAGCACAGATCATGATAGATAGTGAAAAAGTGACCGGGGAAGATTCACCTCAAGAGTGTACATCACACATACACACAGGATAGTATTATCATCCAAATAATGTGTGCCCCTTTATCAGTGATGGGACTGGGATCATAATAACTGGTAAAGACACAGAATTAAGCCTCTCTAACTAGAGTTAGAGTGACGGAGAAGAACCCTCTTTTCAGACTCAGGATGTTGTGAGAGTTTGTGAACAGACCTGTTTACACCATAGCCTCCGTTTTTTGGGGCTGTTTTCGTGGTTGAGAAGGTTTCTACCAGAAGGTTTTCTTCTGTGTTTGTTATTGAAGAAGTTTGCCCTTGGAGCCAAAATATCTGCAGACTTCTTTTCCTCTCTAAAAAAAAGGATCCTGTGGCTACAACTTATAAAATCAATAAAAAATGCAGCCTCCCCCTAAACTTCTAAGTTTTTTTTGACACTTTCTGGCTCCATCCCAAGCGCCTGCTAACTTCAGCATAGCTTTTTTCCCCGTTTTACTTCCAGACCTCCATCAAAAGATACAGATTAAAAGGACAAAGCTCAAAAAATAAAGTCTTGTCTGAATGTCTGAGCCACAAAACCATATCTTAAGTTCAGGTTGAGGCCAACAAGCCTCTCTTCCTGTCTCTGTCTCATTTTCTCTTCAGTCTTTTGATCTCACACTGTTTCTCTCCCCTCCTCGTTCTACTTTGCTTCCTCGCTCTCCCTCTGACGGCTCTGAAATGTGAGTGGGCTCCTGTGAGAACTGTTGTTAAGCCAAGTGTGTATGAACTGGCACAGAGTTTAAGAGTTGTTCTTTCACTCTTTTTGTCAGACAAGCTGACTGGGTGATCCCAGGGCCACCCAGAACCAGCCTTCACCCTTCATATGGGGCCAGCCAGGTAAAGAAAACCAGCCCGTACACATTGAGGGATGTGCCAGCTCATGTGCAGGTGGTTTCGTGCAATTGAATTTTTACAGTAGAGCCTAGACATACACTAAAACAACCGGAGCTTCATGAAAACCGCATGTGTGACAACCCTCAAGTGTGTTCATATGCTGTGCCATAAATCCATACCGCCTTCCTGCAGGAAAGCTTTCCTTCTGATGATTAATCTATAGCTTACTAAGTGCACTCAGCTCAGAAACGTCTTGATCATACGACCATGTGTCAGATGTTTTTATAGACCCACCACCACCTTGAGACAATGTTGGTCCTGGTTTTCTGCACATGGCAGCCGTATGGGGTCTGCGATCAAAACCATTTTTCTCAGAGTTTGCACAGTCTAGCAGAAAGATTCCCATGAGCCCCCAGGCTGCACCTACGAGGTCGAGATCTGGCATTAAAACTGGGGTCAGTGAGTGAGTGGTTAGCCTCAGATGTGTTTTGTAACTAGCACTCAGGGATGCTGAGGATATTGTCTCTTTGAGTACCTCCATTAGAGGTTTTGTCAGGGGAGTTTGAGTTTCTCTACCACCCTGCTGTTGTCTTACTCTTCTTGTTTGTATTTTGTATTTTCTTCTTTTTTGTAAAAGGATTGATTTTTGCCAAAATAGTACATCTATATTTGATGACATTTTCTCAAATGCGCTGTTCTCAGTTGTCCAAAGGGTACAAACATAAAAACACAAAGACGTGACTCAGTCTGTGGAAACCAAAATGAAAAGGAAAGACCGAACTTTCACCCCCTGATGCTGAAATAATGCTGTCACACAGGGACCTTCAGATTAGAAGAGCAGCTCTCGTCACAGCAGTCTCATGACACAGTTTACTCATCTGGAGCTGTTGTCTCACTCTCTGTCTGAGACAAAAGAAAAACTCCCATTCTCTAGTTTCTATGGAAACTCTACTCGGGGGCACTTTTGGGGGGGCTATTTATGGTCTCCTGACAGTGTTGTGAATCTTTGGAGGGAAAGGCATTAAGAATCCAGCCATTAGTTTGTTCTGAGGGAGCAACCACCCTTAGTTAATGGGCTATCACCTCAAACAGTAACTGTCGATTTGGGGAATAGACTTATTTGCTTTCTTGCTGTGAAGTTAGTAAGACAATCAACACTGCTGGCATGTTTTTTTGTCCTGAAACAGAAGGCTACAACAGAAAACATAGCTTAGCATTAACACTGAAAACTCAGGAGTGGCAACAAATGTGCCAAAATCAAACTTAACTCCTATCAAGTTGAGGTTCTGCTGTGGCACAGCTGGTGGAGCAAGTGATCTATGTATAGAAACTATCCTTATTGCCCTTGTAAAATCCTGACGTTATCTTATGTGTCTTTCTCTCATTCTCCCCTTATTTTCTTTCTCTTGGACTGTCCTCTCCAACATCGACTGGAAAAGCCCCAAATCATCCTATTTTTCATCCACTGTGAAAGCTTTATGACTCAGATTTGTTTTCTTTCACGGAAATGAAAAGCAGACGATCATAAGAACATTTAGACCTTTACTGCCACTTGTGAAAAGTGTACGATCTGTGATTAACATTTCAGCAAGAAAAGCCAAAATGTCTGGTGAAGCTGCATGACATTGTGATGCTTTTTTCCCCTTTCTGCAGTATATGTTGTGAAAATACAGTCATTAATACCAGTGCATTTTAAGTGCTTAGAAACAATTAAATCCTTAACAAAACAATTATTATCACTATTCATAATTAAGATCTCTGAATCTATTTTCTGCTGTCAAATTAAATCTCCCTCCCACTCATGTCACACAGTTTTCAGCTCTCTGACTGCAGCATGTAGAAATAGACACAACAAGAAGAAGAGATTATAGGAACAACACATCTACATCAACTTGACTCATAAAAACAATTGACTCACTGACAAAATCTGTCGTTTCTGTCAGTGTTATAAATGAATCTGCATAATGAGAATGGAAACTGAGTGATGTTCATGCACTGCAGGTAATTTTCAACAGACGTTTTTTGATGTTTATTGAAGAAGTGGTGGCAGCTTGACATCTTCAAGTCATATGACTGATATTGCTTGTCCTGTGATGGGACTATCATGTCACACACTTGTAATGTCCTTTGATAAATCATTCTGCACTAATTTTGGGGTATCGGTTCAGCTTCTCGAAGAGGCTGGAGGCTGGATGAACTCTCAGCCTTGACCTTAAGCTGCATCTAACCCCCTTTTCTCCGTCCTCAGCTGTCATGTCTGATAAAAGCATAAACAAGGATTTAAAAATAACTTTCAGAAATAGGAAAGTCGTCAAAGTAACCGGAAACTAGAAGCTTGTTGTACATTTGAGAATATTGTGCTGTGCGATCAGGGCTTTTTCAGTCTAATATTTTTTTCTGAACTACTTTGTAAATGAATGAAATAAGTGTTGTACAAGTTAGAAATGTTATATTTGGACATTACAGTGATGAATTGCCGTAATTTTAAAGAAATTAATACCATTTGCTGAAAAGAGAAACATTAGTGTTAGATGAAATGTTGAGCCAAAGACATTTTTATTAATCCTAAAATGTTGCCATGTTTTTCATTGGTGCTCTCTCCACTGTGCAAACAGAAAAAAGCAGTAAACATAATGAACGAGCAAGAATCAGCTTCAATAAAAATCTAAGCAACACTCGGCTTTTGTGAAGTGGGAATTATTTATTGACTTGACCACAGTTTGTAGGGAGAGAGCGAGGCAGTAAACCGTTCAGGCTTTCCAAGAGCTTTACTGTATGACAACTCTCTGTGCTTGTTTGTTTCACTCACTACATGGCAAATGAGGTCCCACACATTAGTCCACACTCTCAGAAACACTGTGAGCAGTCTGGAGGCCAGATGGAGGCTTGGATCACATGTGAGAGGAACAGGAAGTTTTCAGAAACCCTCCAAATTCTCCTCCTGTTCTTCCTCGTGTTTTGCCATGTTGCTAGGTTTGGTAAAAGCGTCTCTTAGATGGCCGAGGAGCGGGATTCCCCAAAAGTTGTTTGTTTGAATAACCAGCTTGGAAAGTTGTGAATCAACTTGTAGTTTGTTTTTGAAGCTAACTTCACCACTAGATTTTTTTAGCTGTGTCATTGTGTAGAGAATGTGGCAGCTGAAAAAAGCTGAAAAATGAGTTATAACCGTCATTTTTATTGCTTTGGTTATGAAGTTTTTACTGGACTCTTTTTAGCTGATTATTCTTTCAGGTATTTGGGGGCGGCCCAGAGCAATAAAATACTAACACAAACCTTATCCACTAAAACACATCAAAAGGACCTTGGAAAAACAGTCAGTTATTCGTAAGAGAGTAGAGGCAGTATTAGAAGTGAGATTATCAGTGACAAGGTAAGTTATTTTCTGTATTAGGTTGAATTTCCAATGAAAAAAAAAAGTCAATATTCGCCACTTTAAAGTGTCTGTTTAGAGCTCTGTGGGTCAAGTTAGAACATTGACTGTATATAGAATGGACGCCATCTGCCTCCTCACTGGGTGAAGCCACCCCGAGAACAGCACCCTCTGGTGACGGGCTGCAGTATAGGTCATAAATCTCGCCTCCTCCAGCAATCCCTATGGAGATGTGGACAAACTTTGGAAATGAATTACACAGAATATATATATTTTTTTCCCTCCTGCTTGCGATGTTGACATGTAGTTATTGTAAGACTGGTTTGGGCTCAAGTCCTCTTTTTTTCTATGCAGCTCAATTTTTAAAAGTTATGAGGGGGTTCATGTTTTCTATTATTGACACCTGTTACAGCCTTTTGGTGTACAAAGAGTGCGTAGCTCGCCCGGGGTACACGCTGTTTGAGCCAAGTGTCATCACAGCGACTCTCGGCGACTCTTCCGCTGAATGCATACAACGCTACTTCCTGGTTCCAGGAAGTAGAGAAAATCCTGGAAATACAGAGAGCAATTCGGCTTCAGATTGGTATAATGACGAAGATGGTGCCAAGTTGTCTTTAGTATATACAGTCTATGAGGTAGAAGTATACAAGAGTTTGTCTTTGGGTAGTTTTTTTTTTTTGACTCATGGTTGACACTGAAGCAAGATTAGTAAAAGATGTACGTTTCTGTTGAAGTACCATTTTGTGCAGAAAAACTCTACAACCAGGGCTTACCTCAGTGAAAGGGTTGATCTGATGTTTCTACTTGTGTGTGAATTTCTTTGCTGTTTTAGTTCTGTTTTTATGTTAACAGTTAATATGTTACAAAGCTACAAATCAACACATTAACTCGTCACTGTGCATCCTGCAATAAATTGTCTTGACTTGAGTGAAGAAAAGTGGCATTGACTCATTTCCTACAACCATCCCACTCATCCCGGAAAACCACAACCAGAATCACCACAACACCAGAGCTCCTCACATTGCCATTAAACACATAGGAAAAAAGCAGAAACTGAAACAATGATATGAACAATTTAAAGACCCCCTCCTTGTCTGACTTTGTGTACGTGATGAGTTGCAGTTCCATGTCTGGTTGGTTTGGTCTGAAAAGGTCTCTCTTTCTCTCTGACTATCGCTCCAATAAGCTTGATACCATCACCTTTTGTCTGCCTCTCTTTGTGTGCAGCCCAGTTCCTGGGTTTTATGCCAAAAAGGCCTGAGGTTTGTAGACAGTGTGGGGAAGTGTGCTCTACAGTGGTCATTAAAAAGGCCATTAGGAATCAATTTGAACTAATGCAGCTCTAATGGAATCAAGATGGCCCCTGCTTCTGTATTCCTCTCTCCTGTCATGTGTCAGGTCTTGTGCCACGGTGCAGGTGGCAGTGATCTTTGATCAACAGTGACTTAGTAATGAATCACAAATGCCCCCTGATGACCACCTGGTTAGTCTGGCAGATGCTGCTCATGCTGATACTGTCTGACATGTCTGCTCCTGGAGATATTTGTGGAAGTCAAACCAGACAGGCTGCCCCTCCTCATCCTGCACACACTGTTTTGGCAGTGGTGCCCCCTGCTCAGTCTGGGCCCCCTGCAGAGCTCCTGGAGGTATCCATATGGGAGTGGAGTCACGTCTGGCACATACAGGGGTGGGATAAAGGTTTATGTCTGCTGTGGTTACACACTACACTTGAACTGCTGACGGAGCAAAAGCAACCTTGATGTTTTCACTGTACAGACAGGCTGCTGTACTGGTGTTATGTTTGCTGCATTGCAGGGTTCAAACTGTAATTTTTCTCATCTGATGGAGTCCATAAACCTTTTTCAAACTGCTTCATGCCAAACCTAAAGTTTATGTCTTTATTGTTTCAACAGCGTCTCCTGCAAACATAACTGTGTAAAGTCAGGCTGTTAAAGTAATTATCCCCATTTGACCCAGTCTTCCCTCCCCAGCTCGACATGCATGCATGTGTTTTTATGCACGTCTGCTCACTGGTTGTTGACATTTGGCTGTGCTGCAGAGCAGAACACTTTGTTAATTCACTTATAATCCAGTGCTGTGGAAGAGAACACTTTAACAGCCAAATCCCTTTAGCACACAGGTCTAATTGCATTATCTGCAGTACAGGAGTAATTGCACACACACCAGCTGATGCTCTAAACGTCGAGCTTAATCACTGTCTTTTCCTTCACTCTCTTTTCTCTGTCCTTGTTTGTCTGTCTGTCTCAGATTCATACACCCTGGTACATAACACGGGCTGGCAAAGCAAACATGATTATGGAAGAGTTAGTTTTGAATTCTAATAAGGCGACTGAGCACAGCCTCTTTATCCAGCCACAGAGGAAAACTAAGAGTGCTGATGCTTTAGACCTCTGTATTTACTAGACTTTAAATCTGCAAACCATGGCTCCTTGGGCTCATTCAGCCATGACCCACTAGGCCCACAGTCAGACCCTGGCAAATGTTGGCCCATCGGTGGGCATCTTGAGTCCCTGTTTTTGCTGTGTGTTCCACACCACTGGCACCAGTTGGCCCCTCAGTCTTGGCTGATTGAGTTTGTTGAAACGGCAGGGGGGCCCATTGTGAGAGAAGTGATTGACACTCTGATTAGCTGTTCAGAAGGAAGAATGGATGGATGCCTGAGAAGAAAAACAGATGGCAGGATAACTCCTTTAGAAGTTGTTTATGTTGATGAATCCAAATGAATCGCTCTCCTGCATCCCTGTTTGCATAGTATTGATAGGATTCTAGGGGTGGGAATCAACAGTGGCCAACAATTATTTCAACTGTTTAACTAATTTGGCATTTGTCTTTCCTTTATGTTTGTCTTATTTATGCTGTATTTTATTTTTAATGTAGTACATCTTGCAAACCTTATATATTTTTGTTGTACTAACTTTCTCTTGCTCTATGATGTAACCTCTGCCAACTTCACTGAACAAACAGTTGATTTTATTTTTCCATTATTATAGATTTGACTTCATATCAACAATTAATTTGAAAAAATCAATACTTGGTCAATATCGCGATACAAAATTTCACCAGACAAAATATCGCGATACTATGCTGTATCGATTTTTTTCTCCCACCTCTATTGGGTTCCTACCAAATTTATACAATTTCCTGATGTGGCTCTTTCAGAATAAAGGTATTTCAACAATTAAAAAGGTAGAGACTTTTATTTTCAAGATTTTGTCAGAAATCAGATGTTTCTATTGCAGTGGTTCTCAAATCCAGTCCTCGAGGCCCACTGTCCTGCATGTTTTGGATGTTTTCCTGCTCCTACACACCTGATTTAAATGATCAGCTCGTTATCAAGCTCTGTAATGGCTTAATAACGAGCTGATCATTTGAATCAGGTGTGTTGGAGCAGGGAAACATCTAAAACATGCAGGACAGTGGGTCTCGAGGACTGGACGTGAGAACCACTGAATTATTGGATAAACTAAACAAATAAGTCTGGTGAAGCTAGGATTAAGGGGACGATTGCAGAGGTTAGAACCAATGAGTGACGGTCACATCCCACTTCATTTTATTCTTTTGGACTCAAGACAGCTGAGTCACCAGTTGAAACCCACTTTCAGGTAGGTCAACCTGTTATAGCGGAGATGCAAATCCCAGCAGCACTGTTATTTGCTGCCATCAAACTTGAAGAGAAAAGAGCACTAGCCTAGCTGATTGCTGCATCCTGATGCACTCTAATCGTAAATCTTGACACCCGCTCTAACACAAGGAGGAGAGGTTCTGCTTTGATCAGGATGCAGTCCATTTGTTGCTGGTCACAAATCACTCTGTTGCATTTTTATTTTTTACCCGCTGCCTCGGCCATATTAGTGCTGAGAGGAATAAATCTCCTGTCAAGTGAGGACTAAATGTATAATGTATTTGTGTACTACAATAAAGCCTGTTTAAGCTGGTGATGACAGCATTGCAAAATCAATGCCATGGCAGACTATAACACCAGTGACAGTATTGAAACTGCCTAGTTATTTATTTAAATACTAGATACATAAATAAATCTTTAAAAAAAATACCAACACATGGACGCTAATTTCTCACTCACTGGTTGCTGCATGCATATGTACCCAGGGGAAGTAACCTCAGTGTGAGCAGTATTGACCAGGCATGAACCAGCATGCTTTGGAATAATCCTTGGAAAAGTAAGAGCAGACCTAATCTACATTCATACTGATATCCTCACTCCTCACCATGGTAGTCCATTTCTACCTAAGAAATCTCAGTTTGGTCACCTCAACACTGTTACAAGAGCCAATCAGCAACATCTCGCTGTATAAAAGTAAAGAAAAGTAACAGAGGGAGCAGGCAGCATGTTTCTTCATGAACTTAACCTTACTGTTTCACAGTTAGCTTACTCTTTTATTATGCGTCAGCTGCTCTGCGACAGAAACTTTGAATGGAATGAAAACTCCTTATTTTCATCAGCTGTGGTTCAGCGTTACATGATGTCTGTAAACATCCCACCTCTCTTACAAGATCTGAAAGATCCGCAAACTAGTAGGGGAGAAAAATTTCGATACAGCATAGTATCTCGATATTTTGTCTGGTGATATATTATATCCTCTCATTTACCAAGTATCGATTATTTAAATTAAGTGCTAATATGAAGTCAAATCTATGATAATGGAAGAATAAAATCAACTGTTTGTCCAGTGAGGTTGGAAGAGGTGACATCAATGAACAGGAGTAAGTTAGTACAACAAATAAAGCAGCACCTTGGGAAAGACATTAGGAATGCAAACAGGGCACAAATGAAATTGACCTGACACATAAGGTTTGCAAGATGTGCTACATAAAAAAAAATACAGCGTGAATAAGACAAATGCTAAATTAGCTAAACAGTTGAAAAAATTGTATAGATCGCAATATTGTATTGCAATACTCACTGTATTACAAAATGTTAAAAATCGCAATAATATATTGCGGGGCCACTGGTGATTCCCACCCCTACAAACTAGTGAGGAAACTTTTCTGGATGTGGGTAGAGTACCTCACTTTCCTTTTTCAACTCCTCAGACATGATTTGTGCTGCAGGAGTAGCCACACACTGTGGGTCACTGTCCCTGCATCCCGAAGCTGTTCACCGCAGTGTCCTCTGTCTTCTGTCCTCTATCCTCTGTCCAACCAAAAGTACTTTTTTATGCATGTGCAGAAAGGGAGAGCTGGGAGTTGGTAGTTGTGCGCAGCTTCTTGGCCCAGATTCAGGTAAGGTAGCAGTTGGCTAATGTCAGCTGATACTTTTTTAACAACTGTTTAGTTTACCTGGAGCTTTAAACTCATTTTAGAGAGGGCAATGTTTTCTCACATGCTTTTTGTGACGTTTTGTGACACCAATGACAAAGACCTGACCCCGTCTCCGAGCTGCAAAGTTGCTACAAGTTTTCTCTGTAGTGGAAGTAGAAGAATTCAGGCTGGAGGTTATCTTTAGTACTCATCTGTTGTTAAAGAGGTCAAAAAATACAATTCGTTACAACTTATAACATCTCAAATGTGGTGTGAGGAGGAGGTTGTGAAAGCAGCTGTCTGGCGCCTAAATAACTGGTATCTTGTTCCATGTTTATCCAGCTGATAGAGGGTAATGACTCATTAAATCCTCAATTATCAGCGGTAAATCATTTATCTACTATCTGAGATGATAGTCCACCGAATCCCTGTAGCTGGAGTTACTCAGATGACATCTTATTATTTTACACACTTGTTAGTATGGTGATGAGATCAAAGTATAAGAGCAGCATAAGAGTTTATTTTATTTGTTGCTAAGACCGCAGTTAATGTCAAAGGCTTGAAAATAAAGACAACAAGCCCCTTTTTGGATCAACAGACTGTTTTTGTTACCTAGAATTTAAATGGGTTGTTGTTTCTGCGGCTAATTCTCTCCTCTAAATCATTAAAGAGGCCCCGAGTCAGAGGAGTTTTACAAGTCTGATACAGCAGCAACCAAACAGTGGCTTTTGTTGCTGCATAATTACACCCATAAACCTTTACCCCAGATGTTGAGAACAAATAAAGAGGCTAAGTGAAGAAAGAAAACATGCTTGTCCTCAGTCAGACCGGATCTCCAGTTGTCTGCTATCGCCGCTTTATGGTATTTTGACGTGAACTCAAGATTTAGGGCAGTTCTTCAGGAGAGTTCAAAGCGATAAAAGTATGAAGATCTGTGTCTCTGCAGCCAGCGATCACACTTTTTAAAGCTTTTATGTGGTTGCAGCCCTTGAGCAGCATGATCTTCACCAGAGGGGGCCTTTAGTCCAGACTGAGGCTGCTCCTACATACAGGTCTGCTACGACCACAACAGCTAAGTCTCTATGCATGCAAACTGGAAGTTAACACCCCTCAGCCATCACCCATCTCCAGTTTTGCTCCATCTTGCACGCCATCTTAAAGGCCCCCATAGTCAGTCATGATTTTCTTCCTCCCTGTATGTGAAGTCAAGTGAAACATGAAAATGCACGTCTGCTGACAGCCTCTATTTTACAGAGCCAGGACAGGGAGATCAAACCCCAGACAAGAAAAAGGCAGTAACAGTGTGAGACCAAAAAATATACTGATGGAGATGTTCCTGAACTGCCCACAAATCGTTGACGGTCCAATTATCAGCAAAGATGAAACAGAGCTGACTCGCATTTTGTCAGTGGGATAGCTGTGTCTGTGTATATGGTGCAACACTGAGGCAATAGCATGGGAAGTTAGAAGTGATAGTTGGAAAAAGCTATGCATATCTATTTTTAAAGGCCAGGTGTGTAGGAGAGGAGCAAGACAAAATATGCAAACTCATGTCTAACTCTCAGAACCATGAATACTTATCTGCAACGCAATACAAATTAGGGATGCTCCAATTAGCTTTTCTTGGCCTCAAAACCAGAAGTAGATATTTTAATACCAATGTGTGTGTCATAAAGCTGTACACTGCTCTTGTCATATACCGAATATATATATTTTTTTCAAATAACAAACAAAAAAATGCAAAGATGTTTTCAGCTTATTTCAATTGACTGAGTCAAGTTAGTGTTGTTGTAGATCTCATCATATCATCACATCATAACTCTGCATGTCTCACTTGCGCAATACCAGCTGGTGGCTCCTCTCTTCCTACTTCCTGCACTGTCCTGTCTTGTCAAACAGAGGCCAGAGAGCCAAAAAACAAAACAAAACAAAAAAGCTCAGAAATCAAAACACTTCTGCTAAGTATGCAGTAGTGCACACTTGAACTCAAAAGCAGGGGAATCAGTCCAGTGTACAACAAGGCTCATGGAGAAGATGTCAGAGCTCCAAATGTCTGTTATAACACTAACAGCAGTCTCATCATGTTTCAAATCCCCTCTCCCATTGTCCCTAACTTTACCATACAGCTTTGGTAAGGCAACAGTTGAAATAGAGCGTCAGGCTGACAGGACATACTGTACATCCAAAGGACAGTAAAAGCCAACCTTTACCATAACGAAGAATGCTGGTGGTCCAAAGTAATACTTTTAGATCCCTCTTTCCTCTGATCATTTTGGCCTTTACTCCATCAGAGGAAAGAGGGCTTTGGGATGGGCTGCGAGCTGAGCTGCTGTTAGCCCATTTGTAGGGGCTCAGCCACTTTTTCGGTCAGGAAGCATCAAGTGTTTGGGATGCTGAGGGTCTTACAGGGTTCATAAAAGGTCTCTTCCTGTCCAGAGAAGACAAACCTGGTTGATGGGGGCTACAAACAGAGTTAACAACTGTCAAGCTTCTTTATTTCAGAATTCAGACTAGCATTGGCTGATAGTGGAAGTTTCTTACTGAGCAGCCAAGCCTGATCTGATTGAGGTTTTGATTAAGTTGTTTCATGTTGGCCCATGCTGATGTCCATTGGGGAAAATTATATCCTAAAGTTGTTTATTTTAGATCTGCAAAAAGGCTCACCTTCTTGTTCCTGCTAACAGACAGGACATATTGTTCTTGTACAGTGTGGCGTACATGCTAAACTCTATTAACTGACACTTTTATGAGTCTGGAAGTGAGGCCTTAACATGTGCAAAAGTAATTACATAACAAAGCTGAATTTGGACACTGCGCTCCAACTGCAGTTTTTTTAAGTCCAGGTCTTAGTGTACAGATGTGCACTTACAACCTTTGCAGTTTTAAGGGGGTCAAGTGTTTCATATTTAGTGTGTCATTAGATCACATTGGCCTCGTGTAAGCCTGAACTCGTTCTGTCATTTGCCACAAAAAAATGGCAGAGCTTCAACTTTCATTTGCATTTTCATCACGAAACTCCCTGCCAGGCCTGGGTGGGCTCAAAAGCCCTGTTTCCCTCTGAAAGGAGGCCCAGTTCCAGTGCAGTGTTGCAAGGGGGCTGCAATTCCCCCTCCTCTCACCTCCCTCTTTCCCTCCCTCCCCACAGGCAGGACCAGCAGAGCCAGAGAGCGATTGGCTCTGTGCTTTAGGCTGTGTGATTCTCTGCAGCAGGGTAATGTCACCCCGGCTCACCATCACAGCTCATTCTGTACTTTTATTCTCTGAGCCTTTAAACGGTTCATTAGCCTTTAACAAGACTGCAGAGCCCGCTCCAAACCCTGTCTTAACCTCCCTCTCTCTCTCGCTCTCTCTCTCTCTGTCTCTCTGGATCACACTATCACTCTGCCTGAGCTCCAGCCGTTTGTCTTATCCTATCTCTGTCCATACTCCTCGTCGACTCTGCAGTTTCACTTCCAGAGTCCAGACCCAGTTTGTGATTCTGATCACTGCCAAAGACGTCTAACTGCACTGAGGATAAATGGTGGGGGGTGGGTTTGGACCGCAGCCTTCTTCATGGACACCCACCCTGAATGGAGTACATTGATGTTTCTCTATCCTGCTACTCCCCCCTTACTCACCCTGTCCCTCTTTCCCGGGATTGTCATTCTCTGAATGGGCCTTTCAGGACTCGAGGCTCGCAGACTGAGATACAAAACCTTCCTCTGCGAGATAAAGGGACAGAGCCTTGGGCCCTCTGAAGGCGTTAGTCAGCTAGTCACAGCCAGCAGGACTCATCAGACTTCAGCTGTGAACACTCAACATAAACTCTTTAACCATCAGGAAACAAACAGGGCAGATTACTTCCTCTGAACTCACTTCATGTTGTTTCTGCACCCTAAGTCTTAAACAAGTTTGGATACTGTGTTGATAAAAGCAGAATGTGATGCTTTTACAAATCATGTATGTGATTGAAAATAGTGCAAAGATAACATCACACTGTATATGCTCAAACTGAAACAGTTTATCGCTCTATGAAAAGTATGTGCTCTTCTTCAAACTGATGCCAGTAACTTGGCTCAAAAAAAGTTTTGCCAATTTTCTCTCAGGAACCCAATTCTGTCATTGTTGAAAAGTGATCATAGACTCTATGGACAACTTGGTTCTGCCTTTCGCCAGTATACAAATTTGAAGCCAAAAAGCTCTCGGTATTTCCACGATTTTCCTCCACTTCCTGAAACCAACATTGCGCAGCAGCGTTGTACACACTCCACCACTAGCACAGTAGCTTTGTACACATTCGGCGGGTGAGTCACTGAGAGTCCTTGTGATGACACTCGGCTCAAACAGCGTACCCCCCGGGTGAGCGAACCAATCTTTGTACGCCCATAGGCTGTATCAAGTGTCCATCATAGAAAACATGAACCCCCTAATAACTTTTAAAAATGGACCTGTAAAGAAAAAAAGAGGACTTGAGCACAAACCAGTCTTACAGTAACTACATGACAACATCGCAAACGGAGGGGAGAAAAGTTTATATTCTGTGTAATTCATTTCTAAAGTTTGTCCACAACTCCATAGGGATTGCTAAAGGAGGCAGGATTTATGAGCTATACTGCAGCCTGTCACCAGAGGGTGCTGTTCTTAAGGAGGCTTAACCAGTGAGGAGGCAGTAGGCATCTGTTCTTTATACAGTGTATGATAGTGATGCATGAGAATGGATCTTTAGCCAGTATCATTTGCACCAAAACCGATGCACCCCTGTTATATCATTATAAAGTGGACCATGATTTACCTGTAGTAGAATTCATCCTTATTATTAATCCTATCAGAACAGTCTGTTTTAGAAACAGTGAAAACTCTTTTGTTTTGAACTGGGGTTGTTTGTGATTCAGGGGTGACAGATCTGACTGTTTTGAACTTACACTGCTTCATATTGACTGTTGCTAAGCTGTTAGCAGTGCTACTTTGGGCCTTTGCTTGTATGTTTCCCAGTTCACAGCTCTCTGCCTCTGCTCTGGTACCTTTCTGTAAACTCAGCTTTGATAGGTGATTATTTTTGTTTGAGCCCAGCTAAGCCTGAACACAAAGCGGGAGCTTAAACCAAAGTTGTTTTACTTTAGATTTGATTTCATTAGTATTTGTTTAGTCATTGTGGTTCATAATTGTACAGATTTTTGTTTTCAGTGTTTCCCCAGAAGCTTTATTGGTGTATCTTTTTATTTTTAAGAAGCTGTGAACAACTCCATTTCATTTCACTACATTTGTGCTAGTTAGAGTAGAAAGGTCAGAAGGTCAGGCTAGAAATGTGTTCACACCAGATGTAAGGCAAATTTCTTCTTTGATCAAATGCAAATAGTGCACATAAGATAGGAGGACTTCATTGATCCCCAAATGATATGGGTTCCTGAAAGGCGACATCCCCTTTTATACTTGGTCTTGAAATATTTATGACCAAATCAGCTTCAAGGCACTAAATTCCAATCTGATTTTTTAAATACTGAGTGTTTTCTTAAACTGAATCCCAGTCAGATTCTTGCATTGTGTACAAAACCTGCAGACCTTTTTATTTGTGTGTGTGTTAATAAAAAATAACTGAGGTACACAAGTCAACTAAAATATGTTTTAGGTTTAAGCTACTCTCTTGGATTGTCAACCAGCATTGAGGTAGAACTTGCATAAAAAAAATCAGTCCACTCAGTCTACTTGAATGTTCAGACAGAAAAATAAATCACAAATCCATTTAGCGCCAGTCGTCAAAGCTATGAATTCAAGCACCTATCTGTAATCTCTTTGGCTTTTTCTCTCCCTCTGGGATTTTTATCCCTCCTTTGTGAGCCATGAGTTTGTTACTGCTGCACAGAGACCTTTTTCTCTGTTTCTTTGGTTAACATATTCTTGATTCGAATGCATGTATAGTTTGCAGTTGTCATATTGGATTGGGAGCGTACACACGTGTTCTGGGTTTGCCCATCCGTATGTGCTTACAAAGAAAATGATAAGGAGGACATGAATGTGGGGCTCCTACCTCATCTTTCAAAAGAATATACATGTGCACGACCAGCCAGATGACAACAACAACTGCTGCTTGGCAGCCTCTGGGAGCTCTCCAGGGACACAGGACAGTCTGTTATAATCAGAGTGAACACAGCTTTACTGCTACCACCTCTCACAATCATGAATATGTTACAAGTGAATGTCTTTGCTTTTTTAGTTAGAAATGTTTCCAAAATCCAAATTTGACAGCTGATGATTGGGGTGAGACAATCAGCACAAGTTTCCAATTCCTGATCAGCTGAAAAAAGCTCAGATCTGAAGACTGAAATCCTTGTGTTTGTGAACGTATCAGCACTAAAAAAAAACCCTCTGGTGTCTTCAGACTGAGTGAGAAGCTGTTTGTCGAGACATTTTTCTTCAAAGAGCAAGAATTTAAAACTAAAACCTGTTTGCATGTGTCGTCTTGAAATCATGCAAAAAGTGCATAATTGCAGCTCATTATTATACTGCTGTAAACCACATGTCAGCTGACATGTGACATGCTGCACAGAAATTAACCCTCAGCAGAGAAAGACGGGAGTATAGATGCTCCACCATTGAAACAGAACAACAATAGTAGCTGTTTTCTACCTGAGATACACCGGTGCCAGTCCTAGCTAACAGGTCATCAACATGAGTACTGGTCAGCCCTTCATAGCCTGGAGCAGCAATTAAGTGAATCCAGACCTTGTCCAGTTTTGGAAACACAGTGTGCACTCAGGGTGACATTATGAACTGCAGAGCTCAGTTTCAAACTTCTCTGGAAAGGCAAATCTTTTTTGGTTGTGTTTAACCAACACAAATAATTACACGACACCACTGTTAACCTTGCGCTGGTACAGGGCAGTGAAATAATATCTTTCTTTGTGTTTGAACACATCCATCCTCTCCCCCTCTTCCTTCTCTCAGTCTAACTCTCTCCCTCTGTTTTCAGGGCGTCCCACAGCTCCCCTGTGCCAAAGCGCTCTACAACTACGATGGCAAAGAACCAGGTGACCTCAAGTTCAGCAAGGGTGACATTATCATCCTGCGCCGGCAAGTGGATGAGAACTGGTACCACGGGGAGATGGGGGGAGTCCACGGCTTCTTCCCCACCAACTTTGTCCAGGTCATCAAGCCGCTGCCGCAGCCGCCGCCTCAGTGCAAAGCTCTGTACGACTTTGAGCTGAAAGACAAGGAGGCAGACAAGGACTGTCTGCCTTTCTCCAAGGTGAGACGCTGCAGCACTCGCTGCTCTGCCACGTGGTCTCTGTAGTAAAACAAAAATACCTCTTATTACTCTGACACTCTGTCTTCTAGGCAGTCATTTTCTCGAGTTATGTCAGGACTGTTAACGAAAACACACAGAGAAATGCTTTATATTCCAGCCAGACATCTTGATGAACGGCTGTAATTAAGCAGCAGAGATTGAATGCCATACAGAGTCAGGCTTGGCTTAACTACAGTAATCAAGCGGTTATATCTGTCCAGCTGTTTGGGTTATACTTAGAGGTTTTTGTATTCTTTCATCAGCTGTTTACCCGCCTCGTGAGCAAAACAGAAACACGCTTACACAGTAGTTTTCCATACAGTTAAATGCCCTCGACCCCTGTGTTTTTACTCGTGAGGATGTCCCTTTAATAGAACATGGTCCCTGCCTCATTATTTCTGTTCAAGGTTTCTTCCTGGAGGATGTGAATCTAGCATCCTAAATTAGGCTCCTCCTCATACAGCAGCCCTCATTTTTTTTTTCTGTCTTCAACTCACAGGATGATATCCTGACTGTGATCCGCAGAGTGGATGAAAACTGGGCAGAGGGAATGCTGGGAGACAAAATTGGAATTTTTCCCATCTCGTATGTGGAGGTAAGGAAACTAAATGTCAAGATGTCACCAGTCATCAGTGGTTTTCATGCCACATAAAAACAGCAAAGTGCAAGGATCCTTTGAACTACCTTCCTTCTACACCTTGCGAGCTGTGTACCAGACTTCTTCTCTGCCTTTTGAAATCTTTCACAGAGCCACTGAAGGTGTCTTTGAAGATTTGACTGCCACAGTCTCTCGCTCCCTGAGCTCCACAGGTCTCACTTAAAAGCTTTAGGAATAATCCTGACATAAGTACGAAGTAAATCTTTGTCCTTTAGAAATGATTTCATTTTTTCATATGAATGCTGTCAGTGGCGGTGTGCCGTCTTTTGTTGTGAATTTTATCAAAACCTTTTAAGCGCAAAGAAAGAATGTGAGAATCGCGCCCGAGTCCAAAAAAGAAGCTGCATTGACGTGTTTTGTTGTCATTCTTTCTCAGAGACTGTGACAGTTTTCTTTATTCCTTTCATTCGTTTGCAGTCCCTTTAATATTCATTTATTTATACTGCGCAGAGAGGGAGGCAGAAACAGAAAGCAGGCTGTCTGAAGCTATACGTTTTTTGGTTTTTGCACTGCAGGAGCCACAGAAGCAGAATAGAACAGAATATTTTGATGTCCTCTGAAAAGATGTTATGGTTTAATATTTCAGCTGCAAATGCAGAACCACCGCAAACATATAGAGCAGCCAAAATGTTCCTTAAGTTGTGCACAATCACTGAATATCCAGGCCATTGTTTATTATTGCCTCAGGAGTTTTTGTTGCTTTTTCACTGGTTTATATTCCAGCTGCTCCCCTCGAATTCCACAATAAAAATCATCAGTCGGATCACCCAGAGTTGACTTTGTATTTGCCAATTTTATCTCTGCACTGTTTTTTTTTTAGCATTATTCGACACACAGCATTGCAGGGGCGTGAGTGTGTCAGGCTGTAAACGCTGAAGCGGCGTCTCAAAATGGCCCTTTAGTGTTCATCATTCGAAAGGTTTTACCAGGAGCTAAAAATCCCACAAAGGTCTCCCCGTCTGCAAACAGAACAACCTGGTGATAAAAGTAGCAGAAACACTGAATAAAGCAGTTTTATGTTTGGGATCAGGGTTTGTCTGACAGCCTTTGGCAGCAGAAGGGCATCAAGGGGGGCTCTGAGCTGAGCCGCTTGAAACAGACTCGCTTTGTTGTATATTGTTTTCACTAGGACCCAAATGATCTTTTTACATCTTCTCTTTCTCTCTCAAAAACTCTTACCCTGCAGTTTTAACTAAGAAAAACAATAAATACCCTAGTTTCTAGTAGGGGTGGGCGAAAAAATCGATACGGCATAGTATCACAATATTTTGTCTGGTGATGTATCGCATCGTCTCATTTACCAAGTATCAATTTTTCAAATTAATTGCTAATATGAAGTCAAATCTATATATTGTAATATTGCAATATATTGTATCGCAATACTCACTATATTGCAAAGTGTTAAAAATCTCAATAATATTGTATGGTAGCCCAAGTATCGTGATAATCTTGTATTGTGGGGCCACTAGTGATTCCCACCCCTCGTTTCTATGGGTGTCCCAAAACAACTTTTTTACTTCTGATATGATACTGATACTGTAGCCTTCAGTATTGGCTGATACCGATATTGATCCGATATTAGCACAAACTTGTGCATGGCAAGTTTTGCACTCAGCTGCAACGTCTTTTTTAGACTTCAACAGTAAATACTCCCGCACGACTGACATCACGCCTACTCCTTACTACTTTGTTAGTACCTTAGTACACACTGTTGTTGTGATCATGTGGGTTCTGCATGCAGGATCTGGCCGCTGCTAGCTAGAGATGATGGAGCGGAATCTGGAATGGACTGCTTGTATCGGAGCACTAATATCGGAGATTTTAGATGCAGGCCGATATAATCCAATGTTCGTTTTTTTGCTGACATCGGATAGATTTTGGATATCAATATTGGATCAGGACATCCCTACTTGTTTCACACTAAAATTCAATGCCCTTTCTTCGCGCTCCTCTGAGCTGTAAGCTATAGGAGTCTAATCTTTACTTGGTCAATAGATTTAGTCTTTTGTGAAGAAGACAGTTAGGTGACTGTAAAAAAGAAGAAAGTTTGAAATGTTTTCATGTGTTGCTGAAAGCCGTCTTTTATAGAAAACTTCATAATGTGTCATACAGCAAACGAGGACTCATAGAGACTGAGTGGGAAGTTTGGTGCCATGCTGAACTGAGAAATAATCAATGAAAAGCTGTCAAATTTAAACACCATACCAAGAAAAATCCAGAGATACAAGACGGATGTGTTGGAGAAAGTGTGGCTCTGTGGAGGCGAATCATTTTCATTTATTCTGGGACTGCACCAAACAGAGGGAATATTGAAATCCCTTCTATAAAACATTAAACAAAGCATTGAAGATGCAAGTACCCATGACTTTTGAGGGTCTCTATCTGGATCATGTCCTATTTCTGGAAAAAAAGATACAAAGCTGCTGCTGCTGCTGCTGCTTCTGTCACTTTTGGCAGCCAGTAGTCAGTTACAAGAGAGTCGATTAATGCAGCAGCAACTACAGTTGATGATGACAGCTGTAGAAAATTAAGGAAATGCTGACCTTCTTTTTTTGAGGATCCAAAAAGACGAATTCTATCAAAGCAAGTGATCCAATTTATAACCCCAATTTGTACAGATGATGTTCAGCTCCGCCAAAAATGCATGCTCCAGCCCTACTCCCTTTTGGAGGATCATACATCAACATAAACGTAAGCTCTCCTGGTTATCATGTAAATAGTTTTATGCCTAACCATTTCTCTAAGGAGCGTGTGCTGAATGTAGTATACATAAATGCATTAAGGACAGGATTATAGAACCATGAGGATTTACACAGAGTAAGAAGAAGAAGAAGAAGAAGCACTTTATTGATCCCCGAGGGGAAATTCAGGACATGAGGCCATATTATTTTCATTATAAATAAGCATAAAATAGACTGCAACAGAAAAAGTAAAAGTATCAAAGTGCTGTTTATTTTATAATATGTCTTTTTACCAAACTAAAAATAAATTTAGGGCAAAAACAGCCAAATTTCAAAACCACTGAGTTAAGAGGGTTTGCCTCACTCCCCTCTTAAAAAATAAGATCTATTCATGCCTAAAAGTGAGTTTTGGATTTGATAAGGGTAGGTTTCTTTATTTTGTGTTATGTTCCCAGCTCTGTCCATGTCTTATGTGCTGACATGTCAGAGATAAACCTGCACAGGTACTCTGCTGGATTGGAGTTAAATGCTTTGCTTTTATGTCCTAAGTAGAGGGAGCTGCTCGGGGCAACATGTGACAGTGAGTGAGAGCGCCCTGTGATTAACTGAAACCTTTTCAGTGCTCCTCCTTTGATTTTTACCTCGCAGTAGCACATGAAAGCGTCTGAAAGGGTCACAAAGCCTGCACTCTAGGGCCTGATGTAGAACCATCAGCTCCCCCTGACTATTTTCTCTAATTTAAGGATCTCATAGATCACAGTCTGCCCTCCATTTTCACAGAGCAGATTGAGATTGAGATCCTCAGTGTCAGTCGTTCCTGTGATAAAGAGTGACAGTTGTCATGATTGTTTTCAGTCTCTCGGCTCCATCACCTTTGCCTCGCTGTTATTTTCACCTTACAACTCTCTCCTCACCACCCCCCTCGCCTCTCTTCCTCTCTCACAGTTCAACTCAGCAGCTCGTCAGCTTATAGAGTTGGACAAGCCGTCAGACACCAACGGGGACTCTGGTGAGGGGGCCTCCTCGGGGCCCCAGAGCAACGGCGCTCAGCGGGCAGGGGAGAAGAAGAACAGCAAGAAGCGACATTCCTTCACCTCTCTCACCATGTCACACAAACCCATGCTCGCCCCTCCTCCCCAGCGGCACTCCATGGAAATCAGCGGGCCGGTCCTTATCAGCTCCAGTAACCCCACAGCAGCAGCCCGGATAGGGGAGATAAGCGGGGGGCTGTCTTGCAGTGCACCTTCACAGGTAAGATGCTCCACAGGAAGGGAGAGGGAGGGATGCTGTTTCACTGCAGGTCCAGCATTTGAAGTCGTGCATAAACAGACCACTTACTCTGTCAGGGTCCACTATTTGAATAGGGCTTGGTTCAGCTGTATGTTACCTCTGTCCTTGTGTGCTTTCTGCTTCTTTGTTTACAGTTTACAGCTGTACATTCACTGTTTCTGTCGAAGTCGAAGCATTCATTCATGCAGTCTTCTTTTTTTTTTTTTTTAGTAAATTCTGGCATTTCAACCTGGTTATCTGTTGTACGCTTTGAAGTCTTGAATGATTTAAAGTAAAAAATAAAAAAAACATTGAAAATTCTTGCTTTTGAGACGAACAGTCTCAGATTGTAAATTCTGTAAAACACAGTGTAGTGAGACATCTTGCATCCTTACTATCTCTGCTGAGTGTCACATTCAAATTAGCTACATATAAACAACAGGTGAACACATGCCATCTTAGCAGTGACCAATGAAACCCCGTCAAGGCGTAACATTTTTAGGTTCAGAAGCCCATAAGTCAACAATGGAAACAAAAGACGTCCCTGCAAACAGCAACATGCTTATTTGAACATGGGGGTTTGTGCTTAATGTGTCTGAGGAGAAGGCACAGTGACTTCAGCACAACAGTCCAGTCTGAGCCTAAGTTTTCTATTTTCAGTCCTTCATCGTAACATCTTGACTTCAGAGCACTTAATCAATTCCTCTCCTACCAAAACACCGTGGGGCAAACTTTAACCAGACTACTCGTTAAAATTCAGTCATCCAAACTAAACTATTATGCGTGACTTTAGATTTTTGAGTGAAACATCCCCATAAACATTCTGTCCTGTTTATGTTTAGCTTTGTAACTTAGCAAAGCTTGTTCGTAGAGTTTCCCTATCCTAAATAGAGAAAAACGTACAATGAATATCAACCCAGCAATTTGCATTAAAAAAATCTACCTCAAACAGACACTAAAATTTTAAATGAAGACATAACCAATATAGTTGCTGTTAACCTGTGAATCGGCCACTTCTGTGATCTATGTGGTCAAACTTTGAAAAAAGCAATAAAAAGACTTTTTCTGGTTTGAGAAGAAGAATCTACGCTCTGAAAAGGATCCTGTCTGCTACGTTCTTGACTTTTAGATGAAAAATCTGAGGTTATAAGTGTCAACAAAGCACTTTAAATGGGCTTGACAGCAGCTCTCTGAAGTATTTTACTAAAGTATGTCCACCAAAGAGTTATTTTTTGGTCACTCATTTTGGCCAAGAATGAAATAGAGCTGAAGTTTGGGAATGCCAGAATCCCTTCAAATCAGTGAACCGGATGAGTGGCTTCCCTTAGCCAGCTAATTTGTCTCTATCCTGTTCAGTGGTTTTTAATTGTGACCGTGTTTACAAAACAAAAGACACAATACACATTCCAGCTCCTTTCTTTTGTTCCTGCTATAAGTTTGTTGCTTCTTAGAGGCTCCACTCTCCTTCTGTCTGCAATTAGGCCCACTTCCCTCTTCCCCACCATACCAAACAGGCCATTGCTCCATCCAAGCGTTTGAAATTATGGATGCGTGACTTCACTCGTCCGCAAAAACGACTCCAGCTTAGCCCTCAAGGTTTCCACACCAGTCCCTACAGGAACTCACAGCTGCTTAATGGTTGGTAGCTGCTGGAGATCAGAGCTGGACAGTCAGAAGAGCCGATTTACAAGCATCCTGCTGATTTATCTTAATCTGAGATGCTGTGGCTTTGATTCAAGAGTGCAAGAAATGATCAAGTTACCTGTTATAGGCCTGTTAAAAACCATGAATTCATTTTGCAGCCATACTAGAAATCATGTCCGCACAGTAGCTGTTTATTAAATATTAAGGCAAAAGACTTGCAGCAGTAGCCTCAGATAGCTTTCACAAGTGTTGTCCCACTTTGGTGCTCTGGGAGTTTGCAGTTGGTAGCATACCTCTACATTTCTTACATTTACTTCTTTTTTGTTTGTTTTTTTCTGTGTCTGGATACTGCACACTCACTGAAACACCATACTTCAAAAGTCCCTGTTGGGCTCAATCATTAATCTTTCGCCTGCAGAGCGTTTATGCGCTTTGTTGTAAAGAGAGAAAAGGAAGATGTTCGTCTGCAGTAGGAGTGAAACTTAAATCGCTTCTTTTTTCAAACAGAATCATGGATTGGAAATAATATATGCACAATCAAAAGTTTTCACCATGCAGAAGATATAATGGTGTTTTTTCTATGAGTCCACATAAACCCAAAATCCTTGTCAGAAGGCTTTAAGAATTAAAGAAACTTATATTTTAACTTGTAAAATCCTCCCAAGTGACAACAGAGCCGATGGATTAACAGATCTCTGCTGTCTTAACTCAACCACAATAAAAACTACTCAGGTGCTTCATGCACAGGCTCTTACCTTCCCCCTCCTTTCTCTTGCCCCCGTCACCACGTACTCATCTGCTCTTCCTTTCAAAACTCAGACAAAAAACAACAAAGGTAATACCCAGCTGCCTCTGGGGCTTTAGAGGTCTGTCTCACACATGAAAACAACTTCCATCTATTCAAGCACCAGACAGGACACAAGGGTGAGTGATATGCTGAAAAATGTCATTGCAGCGACTTTTAAATCTTTGCAAAGAAACTTCAGCAAAAAATACTGAGGAGCACCAACCAAAATATAAAGAGCACCACAACTTCAAGATAGTGTAAACACAGTACTCTACCATCCCACAGGCTTAACAGTGAAGGTAGTGCATTATGCTACATTGCAAAGAAGGACTTTCACAAATACCTATCTTTACTTGTTGCGAAGTTTTTTTCAAATAGTCGCTGACTCTTTTTTTGTAATAAAGATGCAAAAAGTATGGTTACAGTGCACAGTAAAAATTGTATCCTGAGATGCAAAGATCTCAAGCTTTCCACAGCAAGATGTGATCAGATAAAATTCACATTTTATCTACATTAAAAAGTGGCTTTTTGTAACAAAAAACACCTTTAGCCACATGTCAGAGCCATGGTCAACCCCCTTTCCTGTAGTTCTTACTTTGAGATGACTTGACATTTGGTTGATTTGTTGGTGAAACTCCTGTATCAGAGCCTTCCAAAGTCTTTGAGCCTCTCCTGAAAACTGAGTTCTGTGAGTTGCCATCAACAATAGATGTTCCCTCTGAATTCTCCTCTTTTTCTCTGCTCAGCTATTCTGATTTTGTTCAAGTCAGGTCTCTGTCACATATTAAATATCAACAATGAAGGTAAGAATTGAAGGCTAATATTAACCGACCTAAAATCAGCACCGACAGTTAAAAATGTCAAGCTCATGTTTGATTATTTATATAAACATTGGGTTGAAATGTGATTAATAATGTCTGTGTTGATTTTGGCAGCTATTTCAGATTCAGTCTTAGTCTTAAGACAAACATGCTTGAGTCACATTTTGTCCTTTATAGTTTTAGTCAGTGAAAAGTCAAAACATTTTAGTCATCACTTAAAGCCAAAGCATTTTCTGTCTTCAAAGTAATTCAACTAGTCAATCAGGACTTGGTATCAAGGTTGTACCTAATGTTTAAATTTGCAATGCTCCACTCTCCTCTCACTTTTTTATTTAGTTGGATGATTTTGTTGCAAAATCATCTGCTACACTGTTCTCTCCAGTCTACTAAGGTAATATAGAGAAATGACCCTTACTCCACATCAAAAGATCTAGATCTCCACATCTATTCTTCTTCTGTTTGTGGGGTGTGGGAGTCTGGGCTCAGGCCCTTATGTACTTAAGCCCAAGAAACGGCCATGGACAGGCACCCTGCACAGACTCTCATTCACTAGGTCCTTAGCTGTATCTTCATCCTCTGTGGGTTATTGCTAGGCCTGAACGATATATCGTTTGACTATCGTCATCGCGATGTACGTGTGTGCGATAGTCACATCGCAGAGCCTGCGATATTGGAGGTGAATGAACTCATTTAATTTCAAGGGTAACCGACTGAGATACACTCCATGTGACTCTGCATGTGCTGTGCAGCGATCCACCAATCGCCTTCGTCCTTAACTCAGTTGCCAATCAGACTCACTTCTCAGTTGCCAATCAGACTACCCTGCCAGCTGTCAATCAAAATCAGGGAGGAGAAAACCCACCCCTGCACATGTTCTGCACATGGAGGGAGACGTGTGTCCGCTGAGAATTACTTTCGGAACTTTACTCATGACTATTAAGCCCAACAAATAAGAACTGTATGGGTTTTAAATTGTACATTTCCGTGGACCACTCTACTATAAGCAGTGCGCGTTTTGCGAGGTGCATGCAATTCTCGGAGGACATGCGTTTCTCAGCACAACACCGCTAACAACAACAACAACGATCGCAAAATGAACAACGAACAAGCGAAAACCACCGAAAATGAAGATTTGTTGCCAAAAAGAAAAGGAAAGTCAGTTATCTGGAATTATTTCGGTTAAAAGAAGGATGATGTCGACCAAAACACGTCTTCTGTGTTCATCTGTTGCCACAATAACGTCCCAGCACAATAAAAGCTAAAAATATCTCTGAGACAGACAGAAGCCATTCTACTAACATTCACAAAAAGAGGTAAGATCAGAGCAGATTAACTGTCCTCAAGATTTCAGCAGTGCAGCATAACATTAAGTGCTATTCAGGTCATCTGGTGAAAATACTGTATTTTTAATATCGCAATATATATCGCAGGGTTGAAAAAATCGCAATATTATTTTTTTCCAATATCGTGCAGCCTTAGTTATTGCTGAACAAAGCTGCAAAATGTCTTACTAAATATGACCCCTAACATTTCCTCAAACAAAGATAGATCAAAGTTTTGTCAAGGAGCTGTTAACGGCACAACCAGCCAACCAAAAACAGCAAATATCATATTAAACTGTCGTCTCCCTGGTCGCTGGTTGTGTTGGGCTTTTGTCACTGACATGGAGAGTTTTTTTTAATAAGTGATTTGTTTTTTTTCTTGTTATTGTCTCATCTTCATAATGAAAAAAGGCGGTTAACAAACGTTGATCATAATTTACCTTAATGACATAAACACTGCCAAGAGACACACATTGCTCTTCACTGACAACGTGGCGCATCCAAGAAGGCATTACCAATCAACCACCGGTCACTGTACTGGTTTTAAAGGGAAATGAAGGAAAAGGGTTAGACCACAACAATATGCACATTGTAATAATGCTCTCAGGCATACTTGGTGTTGCACAGATTAAATCTCAGGAGCAAATTCAATTGAAATGGTTGCAGTTTCAAGCTATCCTCACAGTAATAAAGACCTGAAGAAAAAATACTTGTAGGTAATAGCAAGGGAACAATAAAGAATTAAGAATTTGTCTTCTACTCATTTTCAGGCTTTTTTATTCTTGTTAATGAGGAATAATCAGTAAGCCAGTAATAACTCTGAATAAGATAGAAGTCTGAAAAAGTTCCAAATAGTTTTAGTTTGAAAGTGTGCTCCACTGCTCTTCAGTCCACTGTATGTCAAGGCTGTGAGCTGCTGTGAATGGCTTTAGATAGTTTTTTTTCCCCTTTGGGATCCTTGCAGTCTTTGTAGTTTTTCTCCTTCTTTTTAAAGATGAAATAGAAAAGCAGTGAAAATACACCCAGTCCAAGTTCAGGATCAGAGTAAGTTTGTTTGTCTGTGGCTTCAAGGACTGCTGAAACTACTAGAGGAGACAATTTCTCTCAGCTCTCAAACTTTGCATGACTTCAAATCTTTATCCAGTCAAAAAAAAAAAAAGAAATAGACATAAATGATAAAGTTTGGAAAAGTAACATTAAAATGTCTTTTACAACGTAATAGTTGTTAGTTGGAGAAGATTTTATGCCTGCTGTGTATATGTTGTCGATTTATATGTTGTTGATTTAGGTCTGTTGACTGTTTTGGCATTACAAAGAATTTGTGGAAGACAGAAAAGACCATTTTTCCTGAATTATCAAATAAATATATGTAAGTAAGCAAAACTGTCCGCTCTGCTCTTAGTTTCAAGCAGTCGTTTGTAATGTAGTGTCACATTTGAGCATACTTTGACATTATGTCTTTCCCTGGCACACCCAGCGAACAACAGATAAGGAGAGAGTGTAGATTAAATCTGAGGCTGGCATGCCCTGTGGAAGGTTCACCTTTAGAGGTGGCTCAGTCTGGGGCAGTCATGCATGCACAGAGAGTACAGGCTACAGGGAGATATTGTGTGTCCAACAGTATGGCCTTGTTACTGGGACACCACCATGACTCACGTGGATCACTGCTGGGGGAAGCCGCCTCTCTTCACATGTCCAATAAAACGTCCCGTTGTGTGGTCAGCTGGTTTTCTTTATCCACTCAGATCATCAGACCTCCGCTGTGGTTATTGCTAAGTCACCAGGATACAGTCCCACATGTGTTCACTGCTGTTTCGGATGATTCATTTACATACAATGTGACAAGAGAGTATTTTTAGCACCACGTTTATTCCCTGTGAGTGGGCAGAGCGTGCCCTTTACACTGGATTCATTATGTTATATTTAACAGTCCCTATTTGTCCCCGTTTGTTGACAGGTCCACATTTGCACAACTGGACTAATTGTGACCCCACCGCCAAGCAGTCCTGTCACTACAGCAACGGTCTTCACATTTCCTTCAGAGACGAGCTACACATCTATCCCTGTGGTGGGTGGACTCCTTTGCAGCTCTTATAAATCTCTGACAGGCAGCAAGCCAAAGAAACAAAGAGAAAGTTGATCATTGGTGGAGTAATTGATTCAAAGTGAGCGTGGCAAACAATGAAAACAGCAGAGAGAAAGAAAGTACGTCGTTCAAACGGTGTCTACATAGCTCACCCATTTGTGTGTGCATGTGTCATTATGAGCTATTCTTTGAAAAAAATCAATACTTTGTTCCTTTTAGACACTGTATTCTTTAAATTGATAGAATCTGTGCTACTTTTGGACTCAGCAGTCCAATAAAACTCCAGAGCTCTGGAGAAAGAAATGATGTACAATCATATTCGGAGGCCAACGCAAAAAGAGAGAGAGCAGCTGTGATTAATAGAGATGAAATGGTGAGTGCAAGCTCCACTCTTACAAAAAAAAAAGCAGTTAGCAGAGGGATGAGATGTAATTTTCTGATTGTTTCATAGTGGTATAAACCCAGTGGCCTCTGCTTTAGAAAGTTCCTGGATTGTGTAGCGAACTGCACTTCACTATTAACATCCACAGGCAGCGAATATGGAAAACTAACTCTGATGTCTGTTAATGACCCACAAGGGATAACACATAACTTATTTTGAATGCTCTTTAGTACCTCAGATGCTTCCAACCCCTTAAAGGGATATTCCGGCATAAATAAAAGTTAGGCTCAAAAACACTGTAACACCAAGTAAGACACCCCCTCGAGAGATGAATGTTGCCGACTGCTTGCTTCTCTAGTTATACCAACTTAAGTAATGACCGCACGATAGCAATACTTAGCAGTCTATGTCTCCATGCACAAACCTCAGCCTAAAAGCCACTCTATAGCCACAAATAATGCTCAGAACAGCACTTAACTTCATCAGAAGTACATATAGGGTCCCAGCCATAGTACTAGCCATCAAACATCTTTTTTGCTTAGCCTGTTTTTTTTTAGCAAAGAGACTAAACACAACTTACCTACTCTCCTCCAGCAGCCGCTTGTTTGTGGGGGAGCCCTGACGAGTCAATCACCGAGTGCAACGGAGTTTGCAGCTTAAGGAAGACCATTTATGATTATTACTTCATGGAAATACAATCAGACCAAGACACTAAGACAGAGGAACTACTGCGTCTGCAGTGCAAAATGATTATCATGATTATTATCACTTTGTGAAATGATCCGATGCACTCAGTGATCGACTTGTCAGGGCTCCCCCACAAACAAGCAGCTGCTGGAGGAGAGTGGGTGAGTTGTGTTTAGTCTCTTTGCTAAAGAAATCAAGCAAAGCTAAGAGGATGTTTGATGGCTAGTTTTATGTCTGGGACCCTATATTTACCATAACTATCCCTTTAAATCTGTGCAGCTTCTTGGTCATATGAGTTGATTAATTTATCCTTGAGAAAGTGTGATTTAGTTTATTTTTCATCATGCATAAGTTTTTACAGTATTATGCATATGACCAGTGTACTGTCACCTCCTGCCGCTAAACACTAAAAAAATCTAATCATTAATGAATGTGCCGTCTTGTATGGAGAAGACCTGGCATGTAGTTGAAAAACTGCTCAAACTACTACCCCCCCTTTGGTTTTAATTAGGCAACATCATCCATTGAACTTCATGAAGCTACCTTAGACAAAGAAGATCATTTTGTTTTTGATCAGACCATCCGTCTCGTGACTTTTCCCCTCGGATGCCAACGTGCAATTTAGTAACTTTAGACTGTGAAACTATGTGAATCTGTTGTTCTGTCATCTATGAGAAGTGAGACACAGTTTCTCCGTTATCTCATTCAACAAACTCCGTTGAGGCAAAAACATGAATAAAGCTTTGGAGCAGAAATTAACTTGTCTGACACACTTCTGCTCCAGGTGAAGAAAAAAAAATCCATACAGCTAAAAATGTCCTGAAATCCCTTCAGTCCACACAAATCAGCAGGCATACTTCCTGTCTGTGGATGTGTGTGCTCTGGCATGTGGAGTTTTTGAATGAGCAGGAATGTGTACACAAAAGGTTTTGCTCTCCGCTCCACTTGGGAGCCCTACATGATGTTTTCGTACAGATGATTTCTCTGGCCTGCAGGCAACCTAATTATCTCAGCTCAAGCGTCATCTGTGAACCGAAACGCACATCGACACTCTCACATACACACAGGGCTAAACACATACCACAGGGCAGCCGCTCTCCTCCAACGTTGTGTCATGGAAGCTATTACTGCGCTGCTCAGTGCTGCCAATGTTTGCTTTGGAAAGACTAGTCTCACCCCTGAGTACAGAGCTTGTCTTTATTATCCTTCTAACACGTTGTTCACTAAAATGTGATCAAGTTCATGTTTGCTTTAATGGGCTCTATTTTGACAAAGCAGGATTAACAGATACACCAGTGTATTACACCTGCATCCTCAATTTTTCCTACACACTCAAGTGTCTGTATGACTACGTTTCCATTTGTTTTTAGAGTCCTGCAGCACAGTGCTTCAGCTCATGGAAGAAAATGAGGCTGTAAATGCAGCAAATAGTAAGATTATCCAATCACATTTTAGCAAAGTGTTCTTTACTTGTTTGCAACAGAGATGGTGAGTTTATGTTTGAGAGTATTTCACTCTTTTATTAGGCAAAAAACAGCTTTCCACAGTGCCACCAGATTCCATGAGTAAAAAGCAGGAAATTTACCTGACAGAGCACCAGAGTTGCTTGTCCTGTTACCCGTATTGTTTGAGTCTTTTCCCAAAAGACAAAAGTTGTGTAGAGACTATAAACCTGACAGTGAGCAAAATCAAACACGTTGGTTCAGAAAACGGCTCTGGTCTGGATAACTTTGGGCACTTACAGCAACCATTAAACAGGGAGGGGTGTTTATTTGTTTGTTTGTTTGTTTTGTAACTGGTTCATTTCAATGTTATTAAAGTGATATTCTGACGTAAGTTTAAGTTGTTTAAGCTGTAAGCCATTTGTTTTTGGGGGGGCCCTGACGAGTTGATCACCAAGTGCAGTGGAGTTTTGCAGCTCAAGGAAGAACATTTATGATCATTACTTCATGGAAATGCAATCAGACTGAGACGCTAAGACAGAAGAACTACTGCGTCTGCAGTGTAAAATGATTATTATGATGCTTATCACTTCATGGAAATGATCCGATGCACTCGGTGATCGACTTGTGAGGGCTCCCCCACAAACAAACAGCTGCTGGAAGAGAGTAGGTGAGTTGTGTTTGGTCTCTTTGCTAAAGAAATTAGGCAAGGCTAAAAAGATGTTTGATGGCTAGTGCTATGGCTTGGACCCTATATGTACTGCTGATGAAGTTAGGTGCTGTTCTGAAGATTATTTATGGCTATAGAGTGGCGTTTTGGTTGAGGTTTGCGCATGGAGACATAGACCGCTGTGTATTGGTATTATTTGGTCATTACTAAGTTGGTATAACTAGAGAAGCAAGCAGTCGGCAACATTCATCTCTTGAGAGAGTGTCTAACTTAGTGTTGCGGTGTGTTTGACCCTAACTTAATTTTACAACGGAATATCCCCTTAAGGTTACAAGTCTGGCAAATGTGAAGCACTGGATGACTCAGCTTTACCAATATGGTGACTGCCACCAATAAGCTTCAAAACTCAACCTCACAAACAAATGGGTTATGTCACCGATGCTACGCCCAGTCATTATACAGTCTTTGGGTTGCACCAGCTCTTCATAAGTTCAAACTGAGCCTAGTTTAAATGCAATGTTAAAAAACCAACAAGTTTCAGTGTTTAGTTTAATGTGGACTTGAATGTCTGACGCTAAACGCTGCTGATACAGAGCTGCTGCCACAGGTGATGGGGCTTTTGTAGACAGACTCAAGTGGACACTTAAAGAGCTGCAGTTTTTAACATTACCATAGTGGTGTCATTCCTAAAGACCAGGAGTCCCAACAAACCAAAAGCCAAACATGTTTTAGACCTGGTTCTCCTGATACTCGTTTTTGTCACTGCAGTTTGGTGACTCTGAAAACAGGGATGTTGCATCTGTTTCATACTTGAACAGATCTCTTCCGCAAACAAAATCATCTGTGTTTGCAGGTATTTTCTCTCTGTTATTGTCAGACACTATAAATATCAGTCTGAGCCCGGTGGTAACAAAATCAGGAGTGGATGAGCTCTGACTGGGGACATTTCTCTGCAGCAATCAAAAAGCAGCCATAAAGAGTATGTTTCATGGATGCCTACTGAGGCAATCCTCTGGAGCTTTTCCAAAACTTTGTGTTCCTATTAATTATTCAAAGTTCCAAAAATGTAAAATTAGGGCTCAGGTTTAAAAACATCTAAATTCCTCTGTAATTATAGCCATGTAATCCAGTAGCACACTGTTGTAAGAAAATGTCAGGGCTCTTTTAACAGCAGGCTGTGATCTTCAGCCCTCAGTCAAAGACCCAAGTTTCTTTTGACATTACAGACGAGGAAAAAAGGGAAAACATGTGAGTCATGCCCAACTCGCTCACGCTTGGTTTGAGAGTTGCTCTGAAGTGTGTCTGCAGACATGTTTTTCGTTTCATATGGTCCCAATTAAATGCTGCAATGGGTTTAACTGTAGCTATGTGGTCTCCTAGCAACAAACAAACAAGCAGAAAAGGAAATTCTCAGTTGCAGGGGGAAGTCAGGGACAAGACTCCAATATCTGCCAAACCAGACTCTCCCTTTAGTATCTGCAAAACCAGAGGGAATATCCCAGATGACAGATGATCTCTCATTCTCTTCCTTTCTTTTGTGACTCATAAACAAACTGGTTTCTCTACTTGCGTAACACTCACTCTCTTTTTTTTCCTGGAGCTTGGGTTTCTTCTTTTTGTCTTTCTGCTTCTGACTGAGAGGAACCAAATGATGAATCGTTGTGAAATTGTAATTAAACCCTTTCTGACTTCTAACATGATCTTCTGTTCGTCTTTTACAGGATGCTCTCCCACCACCCCCACCGCCTCCCCCGCAGTCCTCCGCTGATGGAGCAGCATACTCATTGGCTGGGGGACAGAGACCTTCCCCCAGCATAAGCGACCAAAGTGGGAGACAAAGACCCACAGTGTGAGTTATAAAAACAGTCCCACAGTAAAATATGCAGTCTTCTTAAATGTGCAGTGAAATGTCAGAGTCAGTTTGTGCACCAATGGCTCAGGGCTCTGATGCAAATGCCGAATTCAGAGGGGGGATGGGAGGTGGGTTAGTCCTCGTCTGTCTACCTCGCTCCCCACCCCCTTCAGCTGTCAGTGTGAGGCTGCAGCATGTGAGCATGTGCACAGGTGAAGGGGTCAAAACCTGTGGAAGACAGTCTCCTGGGTCCTATTGGAGATCCTCTCTCTCACCCCTGACTCCTGACCCCGCTCACCTTTACCCTCATTACTCGCTTTTAAGACCCCACACACCTGACAAGAATTAGATCCACTCATGCCTGCTCTCCTGCCGTCATCTGCCTGTGCGTGCATGTCAGACTCTGAGGCATTCGTGTTCCCTTCCCCCCCGCCGACATGACTGAAATCAGACTGAAAACATCCCAGCTGAGACTCCTCACTGTGGTATTGGCTGCCAGTCTGAGCTGCCTGTTCTGTTCTGGCTCTGCTGTAGAGAGATGACCCGCAAATTGTTTTGTCCTCCAGTGCTGATTTTCTCTGGGTCAGGGGCCACAGTCCCTGCTGGAGGGTCTCAGAGGAGATGATGACAGATGTACAGCTAGGCAGTGGGATAAACCCAGAGCAAATGGCACGCTGTGACAAATAGTAAAACTGCTTTTATTCCACCATATGGGGAGGAAATCCTCATGATGGCCCTGTTAGCTCCATGTTTTTGTCTTTTAAAGTCCAAAGACTGCAGAAAACATGCATGTACTCTCAGTCATATCTCAGATTTGTTTCTGAAGAGGTATAAGGAAGCCCAATCTGGCCACAACATTAGAAACACAGACTCAGACTCTAACTTACTTCTTACTTGGGATGGGCGAAAAATTATAGTTCATGATATATCGTCAGAAAAATCCTCTGTGATAAATATTTGCCAATATTTGTAATGAAGAAGATGTTTCTGAGCAGATTTTGACTATTCCAATTGGTGTTCTCAAGACAAAATTAGTCAAAAATATAGGTTGGAATTGTAATATTTTTTATCTGGACTTTTATCGTTATCGCCAAAATGGCAAATCTTATCGTGATGAGTTTTTTAGTCCATTTCCCCCATCCCTACTTCTTACTTGACTCTAACTTCCTTCCAGCTATTGTATAAACTAGGGGTAGAGCTAGAGTAGGTAGAGTGAATTGTGATGAACAATAATGTAGATTGGATCCGTGTCCTTTCCTCGAGCTGCTTTGACACCTCAGAGCAGAGCCCCACTCACTGATCCACACGCTCTGAACTGTGGGTCAGCAAACTGGCAGCTTTAGCTTTTTTCTCACCATGTTTGATTTGGCAAGTAACAGTCTGGCTGGGATTTTCATTTCTGCGTCTACCTGTTTAGACGGGTGACTCATTCATTTTAAATCTAAAATGATTAAAGATGCAGACTGACTGACTCATGGTCAAAGAAGCAGCTGTGAAAACAGTTACTCCCGACAATCACCACAAATAGTAGCTCTGCCACAGCTCAGTTAATTTGATGATAGATAGACACATTTGTTTTTTTGATGAAATACCTTTGTCCTGAAACCGCCGTGTCAGGAAATGGCATGTTTCCAACAGTGCAACTTAAACCAATTTAAGCAGTAAAACAGATTTCTGAAAATACAGGCGGGCGAGCAGGAGAGAATTGAAAATGCACAGGCGTCATTATTGCATTTACAATCCGATTTAGAGGGTTAGAGGGGGATGTTTTTTTTCCAAATGATGATCTAATAATGTTACTACAAAAACAAAATATACCTTGAATATACCCAGAATTTCAGACCATATCACCCACCCCTGGGTTAAGCCTTAACAGAGCAAACAGCCCACTCATCAGTGAAATCAGTGACACCCTATTTATACCTTATCATGCATAAATCTCAGTAGAAAGTGACATTACAATGTGGTTTTAACTTGAGCGCCTTAACTTCAAGAGCAAGCCTCTAGAGGAAACATGAGGAACTGCAGTTTTTTTGCACCTCTGTATTGATAAGGCAGGGTAAGCCAAGTTTGTATAAATAGCACATTTCAGCTTGTGCTTCATACAACACATGAAAAGAATCAGATCAGAAGAAAAAAAATGGAAAGAAAACATTTAAAAGTCATTCAAATGTAACTTTTCAAATCAATATGGAAAAAAAGGTAGTTAAAGTCAAGTATTATGTCTGTGTAGGTTCTCATTCATTCAGGTCATGGTTATCCACTTCTTTGTTGAAAGAGCAGCTGAACTTGTTTGAGGTTCTTGAAGATGTTTGGCCTTTCTTCCAAAAGGCGTCTTCACTTCTGACCTGAAGACCCTCTCTTCAACAAAAAACTGATTAAAGTAATACTATTTCAAAATAAAAGCATAAAGGGTACGGTGCATTATTGTATAAAGACATGAAAATAATTTAAGTAATTGGATGAAAGCAGCTGTAAACTGGTCAGTCTTCAACCTGTATTTAAAAGAACTGAGAGTTTCAGCTGATATTTCCTGTCAGGTTGTTTGGGGGTTCAGTCTACTGGCTTCATTTTTCATCAGTGGGGTTTGCTGTTTGTTAAATTCCTGACTTTCTTCTCTTGTTGTTGTTGTTTTTTTATCTAGCTATGTGGCCATGTTCCCCTACACTCCCCGTAAGGAGGACGAGCTGGAACTGAGGAAGGGAGAGATGTTTCTAGTGCTGGAACGCTGTCAGGACGGCTGGTTCAAGGGCACCTCCATGCACACGGGCAAGATCGGAGTCTTTCCTGGGAACTACATGAGCCCAGTCAGCAGGTCAGCCATGAGTTCAAGCTGAGTCATTTATTATTGTCAACATACAGTACACTAAGACATGCCCGGTGTCTTGTTCATCTGTATGAGATGCAGGGGCAAAGGTTCATACCAACACCTGTTTATACTTTTAGAAATCTGTCTCATCAGTATTTATTATTCTAGCTCTGTGAAAAAGACCTCTTGCAGGCGATCATGAGAGCCTTTTTGAATGTAGGCAAAAAACTAATCCTGAACAGTCTGATTAATGCCTCTTTTTACTGCTCAAAGCTCCCTTTGTTTGTCACATTAAGCTTTACATTTGTTAATGACATAATTAGGTTATATTTTATAAGTCTAAAACACATGAGCAAGACTTGACCATTGACGCAGCAAAGGAAATTCCCTCATTATGTAATAGTCTTCATGTTGATGGAAAACATTAAGCATCAAAATTAAAGTTCCAGGTCGTTTTGCAGCTGAAGCCTCTTTTGTTTGAGTCATCCAAACTCAGATTGGTGAATGAGGTTATTTTGCTCGATTATGGAGGGTTTAAAACACTCTGTGGATCCTTGAAATGACTGTGGGGAATTTCTCTTAACATAAAATGATGAACATTGAAAAAAAAGTAGCCAGAGCAGTTGAGATAACCTTAAGGGTGTATGAGCATTAGTCACTGCATGTCATATGCAAATGAAACCCTCAAAATGTCTTTCTTTTTATTCTGTCCCTAAAAATCTAAATGAATAATAATGAAAATTAGCTTTTTTTAAAGAGCACCTCTCCGAACCAATTGACTCTTTTCTTTACAAGGGCAACAAAATAAAACAAGACGGTCACACAAGGAGAGATTAAGAAATGTCCAAAAGAAAAACTTATCAAGTGTCCGTGGTTCAAAGATTTCTTAGTTTACAAACATTTTAATCATCATTCTGCTTGTAAAATGATCAACTTTGTTTTTGCTGTTTAGATTAAGCAAGTAATTGATGAGACAGACCTTATGTTTTGGTTGTGTTCCTCAAAATGAAGTGCTGATTTTAGCACTGATTTCTGCTGCAGAAAAAAACTTCAAATTTTTTTTTTTAATTTGCAATTTGATTTATTTGAATTAAGTAAGACAAGACATGTTTCATAAAAGATTTCTGTGTAGAGATTGGTACTTATACATAATAATAACATAACCTCATTACTTCCATTTGTTGTACAGTTTAATTGACCTTTGATTGAAACTTTGAGCCTTTGTTGTAGGCGCACTTTTGCGCTTTAGGCATTTAAAAACACTCCCCAAAACTAACACCACAATAAGCAGAAGTACTGCCGTAGGTGCTGCTGGACGACCTGGTCTTACCTGACTGTTCTCTGTCTCTCATCAGAACTGCGTCAGGCAGCACGCAGCCCAAAGTGGCCATGAGTCTGTGCACTCAGGCAGGCAGAGGTGTCACCATCGTCAGCCCCTCTTCTTCCCCGCTCGGTGCGATTGTTCCGGGTCCTGATTTTAACAAACCCCTCGCAGTGTGCTCCAGCACTGTACCCGCCAACTCCCAGCCTGCAGCTGTGGTCACAGCAGCTCAAACAGCCACGGGTCAGCAGCCAAAAGTCCCTCTGCATGTCAGCTCCCAGATGACTGTGAACCAGGCCCGCAATGCAGTCAGAACAGGTATGCAAGTCAGGGGGAAACAGCTGCTTACCATGCATTATTATGAAGGAAGCATTTTTTTCAGTTGTGGTGTTGTTTTTGCAGCTGCTTGTCACAGTCAGGACAGACCTACAGCTGCAGTGACCCCCATCCAGTCTGCAACACCCGTGGCCTATCTCCCACACCTCGCCGTGTGCTCACCGGCTTCCTCAGGCCCTGCCCAAGGCTGCACCCGGGCTGGAGTGGCGATGAGCTGTGCCGCTGCCTCTCTGACCCCTCCCAACGTCAGCGCTGCATCCCTGGAGGGTGACGGATTGAGACCCGTACCTGTCCTTGCAGTGCCTGTGAACAGCTCCGCTCTAAATCCTGCGTCTAACAGCGCAGCTCTCGCCTGCCGACTGGACAAGGACAACAAGGTTAGAAATGCTTTTAGATGTTTGGAGCTTCCAGGAGCTCAAATTAATCCTAATTTATCAACTTCTTCTGCAATATTCACTTGTTTTTTGCAGTGGATGATTCATGTTTGGTTGTAAAATCTTAAATAAGTTGCCAGATGGTGTCAGTTGTTGGGAGTTTGATACTTCTGATGATATATCTGAAGAAGCTAATCACACTACAGAGATTCACAAACAGTAATCAACAGGAGACTTACTATTACGCACAGTTTGTTTCTGTCATATATCTAAACAGACTGCTGACATGTTGTTCTTTAAACTTTTAACCACAGTTTGAAGTCAGTCTGTGCTAAAAATAGGATTTCTTCGCCCACATCGGTGTCTGACAGCGCTTAAGAAGCAGACAGAATACCTGTCTGCGGTTTGTGGAAATTATTTGTGCCTGTATGCCTCGGGAGTTGTTGCAGTCCTCTGATATAAAAAAAAAATCTTTTGCTGCAGAGGGAAAAGAAAAGTCTGCTGAAGCTGTTGTCCAATAAGAAGAAGTCTCGTCCCTCACCACCCTCCTCCCCCACCCTGGAGGCGGAGCAGGCTGCAGTTGGAGAGGTGCTCCAAGGTGCAGTGGGCCCTGAAACCTCCCCTCCCTCTGAGCCTGAACCTGCTGCTGCTGCTGCTGCTGTCGCCTCTGCAGCTTCATCATCCTCCTCCTCAGCCCCTGAGCCCTCCTCCCATAGGAAGAGCAGCCCCCTTGATGGATGTGCACCCATCGCCCCGCCCCCTCGTCAGCCCTGCTCGTCTCTCTTATCTCAGCAACATGACGCACGACCCATCATATGTGAGAGGTACAGAGGTGTAAATATACTTTCAAATAACTCTGAACTGATTTTTTTTTCCTTCTTAAAGGGATGTACAGACCAAACTGATGTTTTTTTGTGCATCAACACAACTTTACATCAGCCAGCTGCTTCCATGAGATTTATTTTTCAACTCGGGGAGAAATTTACATCCAAAAAGTCTTTCAAGTCCCAAAGTCACAGAGAAAACATCGCGTTTTACTGCATTATTGTGCTATCTTGTCTGCTTTCGTTTTCTGCAGTCAGAAAGATTGCATATGATTTCTACCTTTGCATTAAATCTTTGTCATAGCAGAGCAGAGCCCTGTACCTATGCAGAGTCCTTTTATACAAAGCCTGATGTGCAACTCTTTGAAAGTGTAACTACAGGTCAGAGCACTGCAGACCACAGGCCCTGTGATTGTTCTGCTCTGCACTTTTTCATTTTCTGTCTTTATAACATTTAAGGTATCACCTCTGCCACCCTGCCCACAGTGATCTGGCAGCTGTGCAGTCCATCTCTTCTAACCTCTTCTCTCTTTTCGTCTTTGCAATAACTGCAGTTTGTTCAACTGCTGCTTAATATCTATCAGCTCCAACTCCAACACAGTATTCTCAGATTTGGTTGCACATACAAACAAACTATGCTTATTAAGTAGCCAGGTACTCTGCTGCTCTTTGTGTGGATCTCTTGATTCTTGGTGCTGAGAGTGGACCTCAACTAAAGCAGGATTGTGAACTGAGATTTTAAAGGGGCACAGATCACCATTTCTAGTCATGGGAGTGGATGCTTAAGGATAATGCAACATTTAAAACACCAATGACAATGCAAAGGTACTAAAAGGGTTCTGACTTGACTTTATGAAAGAATAGTTACACATTAATACACGGAAGCTCTGCAGACAGTGCAGAGAGGATTTAAAACTGCTCTGCTGAACAAACTACAGAGCGTCGTTTCCAATATCAGGTGGAAACGTCTTCATGTTTCTCTATCAGAAAACAGAAACACCCACACATATTAATTTGTGATGAACTCAATCAGCTGATGATAACAAAACATGAACCAGATGATCTCTGTTTTACAAGTCCTCAAACGAAACACCTGTTGGACTCAGTCGCTCTAAGCTAAAGTTAAAATCAACCAAACAACAAGTCTTCAGATCATGTTGCAGAACCAAACTCAAACTTTCCTTTCCTGTCCAAACAAGGAGAATAGTTTTTTCAGAACTAATTACAAGCAAATTACTCAAGTCCACCCTCAGTCAAAAATGCCCTCTGCTCCTGGTCTGACACAGCATAACACTTGATCAAAGGCATCCATCTCAGTCCCTGACTGCGTCTCTGTCTGTCCTCCCCAGGTACAGGGTGGTGGTATCGTATCCTCCCCAGAGTGAGGCCGAGCTGGAACTCAAGGAGGGCGACATTGTGTTTGTTCACAGGAAGAGGGAGGACGGCTGGTTCAAAGGAACACTGCAGAGGAACGGCAGGACCGGACTGTTCCCGGGCAGCTTTGTAGACAGCATTTAACTCACACACGCACACACACACACAAGTACAGTGAACTGCGGTCACTCTCACCATGACCCTGCTGACTGCTGCTAACCTCTCTACAGTTTGTCATCGCACAAACTCACCAAACTCATCAGCTCTCGTTAGGCTGCTGGGACTGAACCATCAGACTGTGAGAGAGCTGCAGAGAAGAACAGAACACTTCAGCATTGGAAGCACAGAGGACAGAGTTCGAGGAGAGCACACTACTCATGAACCTTTTCCTTTTTGTTGGTTATTTATATCTTTGTAACAATTCAGCTGTTTAATGTGTGCCTTGTACTGTTCCTCACTTTATTGTACATAAGGACACAAAGATGATTAGTCCTAAAACAACAAGTATGAGCTGTCTATAGATATATTACGCATTTTAACTTATTGCATAGACTGGCCTTGTTATAGGTGGTGCAACACATTATGGGGTTAAGCTGGCACATGCCTTATGCCATTATCTGTTGTACTTTTCCCCCTCTGACTGCTGAAAACAGTTTGACCATCATTTCAGTCTACAAATAGGACAGCGCCGAGCTTTTTGCAGAAGCCGTCAATGCAAATATTTCACTTAGAGTATGATCTGGTAGCACGTCCAGTTTGAGAAGTATCCTGATAAAGATGGAGGCCAGAAAAAAAAGCAACGAAAGAGGTAAAGAACTCCTCTGGTGCATTAAAAGAGGCTGCAGGCTGAGCTGCAGCTAACACAAACTCAGTCTGTACTCAGCATGAACTTGACCTGTTTGTAGGTTAAAATTCCTTTAGTACATCGTGAGGGGCTGCAAGCTGAGCTGCAGCCAACATGGACTCTGCCTTTTTGTAGGTTCAATATTTGTTGCCGTTCATTTTTCAAAATGTTTAAAACCACCGCAGACTTATAACAGGGTGTTTGTTCTTATTCTCAGATAAGTGAAATCCATTAAAGATAAGTCAAACAGTTCTAAGATGAGCATCTGTGTTTCTACAACTCTTCTCAATATTACAAAGGGGCTGCAAGCCAAGCTGCCACTCACAGGAAATTGTTTCATGTTTGAGATTCCTTTGGTGTTCATTGTTTAATAAGTTTTCGACTACAGTCAGATTTTCAAATTAAGAGCCTTCATTTCCCCAAAGTAACAAAGCAGTTTATTAAAACCTGTGAATATTTTAAAACCAAGTAAAGCAGTTTCACATTAATAATTCTAACTGGCGTCAGGAGGGAGTCTGGGCAGAGCTGTTAGATTGGCTCAGCTTGTGACCAGGAGCTGTTTTTATATCAGGATTGCCTCAGTGTAAAAGAAAAGGAGAGCTGGGGGTATCTATATCAATTAAAATTAAGAAAGTTAAAAACATTATAATCCTTCAAAGAGAACACACCCAGGTCCATCAGATAGAGCAGATAAAAACAAATGAGCGATGTCATCCTCTCTTTACTGTAGGAAACCACTTCTGCAGATCTGATGGCAAAGGATTGATCAGCAGTGTTGAACATCTGAAGCTCTTTTACTTCACAGCATGTGAAAATTGCACACATAGCAAAAAAATCCCTCCATGGCTTCCAGTCTTTTGTTTCTCCTGGCGTGGCGGAGAAAGTGCCAAGAGCTGTTACCGGCAGCGATTAAATATTTGCATTCAAGTAGCAAAGCCTTCTGCAGGAGATAAAGTGGGGATGGATGTGTTGCAGGACGGTTTGGTGATGCCTTTTTAATATGCAGAAAACACACTCCAAGTTGGACATCACAGATGAATATTGCTTACTTTGTACTTTCTTTGTATTCACTGACCCGAGTAGCTCCTCTCCCAAACCCAGACGTAGCTCTGCATCACAGGAGCAACAAAACAATTCAGTGTCAATGCACAACAGATTCTCTTCTGTGTATATTTATGTTTATTTACAAACTCCACAGAGGCTGACGGCTGCTGCTGCTCTCAGAGAAACTAACCTGTTCTTTTTTTGTTTTGTGTTTTTGTACACTATAACTCATTCCTAATGTGACTTGTGGCAATAAAAACACAGCTAGCTAAAGCACAGAATGTTTGCCTAAAGGAACATATCATCGTTTCACTCCACAGGGAGAGATATGTAGTGTAAAGAGAAGGTTTTATTGAAATCAATCACTTTGACCCCCTTTGTTTTGTTTTCTTCTTGGGTTTCTTGGGTGTACATTTCATCTACACACATTTTTAAATCTTAAGTGTTGTGTTGACTTGAATTACTGTATGATGTCTTTGTGATTGGAGGGGGTTTTGGTGCTTGTTAAACGTACAGAGAATAGGCATTTATAGAATTAATACTTACTTGGAGAATGAAAAGCAAATCTAATAACATATAATTTATCTTCTCCTTTTGTAATGTCCAAGATATATTGAATAAATGAATAAAGAAGAAAGAAAGAAAAAAACTGAAAATGTAGACTGACCCCACGACACTTAATGTAATGTGACTTAATCATCTGATCTTGATGGAGTCCTTTGAGGCTGGAGGGGGATTTAAACACTTTAAAGTTGAAGCAATCTGGCCTTGTGTGGCTTGAGAGTGAACTTATTGACTGAACTGAACCCATAGTTTCAACTTTCTACAGTCTTTTGATGTTAATTGAGAGGGACCACTGTGTAGCTGACTGCTGGAATATGTCGTAGTTTGTTTGAAGTGTGGAGGAGGATGGTACAAATCACTGTTAGGGCCTGTTTTTGTCTTTTGTCTTTCTGATTTGGTACTTGTGTAGAATTAACCTGATTTGTTGCATTGTTGTCTTGGCAATCACCACACCGACCTCAGGCTCTGTGCAAAGTTTTTCCTCTGAGTGTCTTTTCATGTCACTGTTAAGCCTTTAATAGAAACATCGATCTTAACTCCAACTCAGATGTTACATATTTATGCACTATAATAACATTTCTAACTGTACATATTGTTCATGCATAGGCTGCACAGTTCTGAAAAATTGAGCATTTCTCAAAGGAGGGTTCTTGCATCTTTAATCCTGGGCCACGTCGGGATGTACGATGAGATCTCAGTCTGAAAAGTTTGGAAATGAGCTGTAGGATTTCTTCAGCCCACAGTCAGGAAACAGTCAGGCTGCAATAGCTGCTACAAATTCTTTAAGGGCATCATGAGAGTGTGTCCATGAAAAAGTTCTTGTTGCCGCAGACAGGCTCAGACTGCCATTACAGAAAGGCTCTTTGTTTAAGAGTGCAATGCTTGTTTTTTTACACCAGTGTAATGTCACTCTGCTGAAAGCCACCAGACTCCACTGACAAAAACGCAGATTTTGATTTGCAGTAAGGGGGAATTGCTGGTCCATTGCTGTGCTGATTTGTGAGTTTGATTATGCATTTGTGCAACTTTTTTTGTGTCTGATGGTTAAAAAAAGATATATTGCATAGTATTTTTGAGACAATGCATGAAAAAACACATCTAATCAAAGTGCAGGGTAGACCAGCAACTCGTATGTTCTGCAAAGTCCAACTAATGCTTTTTTCAATGGAGTTTGGTTGCTGTCATGAAAAGGGTGCATTGCTTACTGTCAAATAAATAGACTTTTTAGCTATATGGGGAGCTTTTTCCCGATCTTACATGATATTTGAAATCACCTACAAAAGCCTGAGTCTGTCAGCAGCAGAGCAGGTCATATTGTGGATGTGTTTTAAGATTACATCGGCCCCTAAAAGATCAAGATGCAGCTACTACAGCCTGTTTCTGCAATCTGTTTTGAGCTAAATAAAAACTTTCTTTTTTTTACTTTGAAGTCATCCAGACCCCAGGATTCACGAAAAGAGGCCCATGTTTAGAAATACTGGAACATCCTTTTACATTTAATGAAATATATTTTCACTTATTGGGATAGAGGCAACTTAAATTAGCCTGATTCAACTCAACAGATTTTCCTCATGCCAAGGTGACTTACTTGATTTTTTCTTCTTCTTTTTTTGTCTGTAGTTAGTTTGTTGTATGTCTGATAATGGTGAAACTGAAATCATCTTATTTGGCACAAGTCTCTTATGTGAAAAACATTCTGAAGTATTTGAGGGAATAGCACATTTTGTAAAAATCGCTATAACAATAAAAGCTAATGGTTTCCATAATTCCCTCAGGCTGCCTCATTGTTTCATGACAGTCATGAAGTGCTCTGTTTCCCTCTGTGTTCTCCTGTGACTGTGTGTTATGTTGGTCATTTGTAGCCAGGGCACAAATGTCTTACCCGGAGTTTCATCCAAGACACAGACCGGTGATGACAGGACTGAGTAATCGTGTCCTTGGCGTGCTCTCTTTTTCTCTGTTACAAAGCCTGGGCCGCCTAAAACACAAAGGTACCTAGTTGTACTAAAAGTAAATACACGTACTATAAATTAACAATACAAGACAGTTGTTCCTCATGAAATATATTGTGGAGTTAGTCACGGTACATGTGTTGATAAATGGTTCTTGCTGTGCAGGAGCTCCCCCTGTGACTTGCAGCAGAGCCGAGCGTTGTAACGAGAGGTGAGCCTTCCCAGAGTGTTCAGCTGCAAAACGCTGACAGGAACTGACAAGCACCCAGAGAGGTCATTGTACTGCACACGGGTCCCTGCAGAGGATGGGTTACCATGGAAATAAGTTATTCCAATGTCTGATCATCAGACCGCACTGAGCAGGAACAATACAGATATTTCAGTGCACATGTATGGATTTAAATCAACACATTTGCTTCCTAGAAACTAACTTTGTTTCAGCATGGCGTTGGTGAAATTATTCATATAGAGTATGAAATTCAGTGCGTTTAACTTAAACACCTACTGTTTGTGTAGATAAGAGTCAGTTATGTAGGCTGGGGAGGTTGTTAAGAGTTCAGGGAGCTTTAAGGTCAGAAATATCTTTATATTGTCGATTCTCTGGGTGTGCCTGCCAGTTTATGTCACTCAACAAAAGGCCAAGGTCCTCTAGAAGTCTTTACTGTACAGGATAACAGATAATATGTCGATGTTTACATTCCTTGTTTGAGTTCAGTGTTCTTTCAAATGTTAAAGAGATTTCAGGATATAAATTTCCATGCTAAATAAAAAGAAACAGAGTTAAAACTTTTCTTTCTGCTAATTTAGAAAGCGCAATAATAGAGTTGCAGGGGCTTCTTCACAACAGATCAATCTAATGTGGAGAAATTTAGAGTTCTTGTGAGGAACTTTCACTTTGTGTCGAATTTGGCATACGCCCGACAGATGGAGGACTCTTTTCTGGTTTTGTCCTAACGATGTGGGATTGGTGTTTCAGACAAAATATCTCATCCTGGTCTCTTTTACAGCTTCATTTGTCTCTGGGAAAATGTTATGGATAAGCTGTATCTGCTCTGCAGCATGCAGGTGCTAACTCAGTCTGATCATCCTCCTGTAGTTTCAGATACTCAGCACATTTACATGCACAGTCTAGTCGAGCTAGGATTATGTAGCTCATCTAGGTAATTTCACAAGAATCAAATCAATGACAGAAACATGTCCTCCTCTAGTATGGTAGGTGGCCACATGCTCATTACCACTTGGTTGTCTTCTGGTTGACCTTTGTGTTTACATGTTTTCCAAAGGTCCTGTCCTATCAGACAGACACAATAAATCACTTTACTGATCAGCATGTAAACACACTGATTGAAAATAACTAGAAATAATCTCCCTCCTGATAGTCTTGTTTGCTTGGTCTGACCACAAAGAGACAGCTTTATTCTCCTCACAGGAGCAAAACAAGTAAAATACACAATAAAATTCACACACACATTTTATTCCACACATTTGTTTTTTCTATCTATCTTATCTGTGCTCATAAAGTGTATTTTCTACGAGGCCATGCTGGTCTAATAGTCTCAGTGCACAGCCTTCTGCAGACACGCAGGTTCAGTTCCAGCCTGCAGCTCCTCCATATGCAGGCACTCAAATGTTTATCTATTTATCTTAGCTTTAACTTTTTTTCACTTATTTCCTCACACAGCTTTTTAAAAAGGTGCTTTTATACAATTGTTTTTCTAATCTGTGCTACAAATATTTCAGAAAAATAATTTGAAAATTGAATAAAATGTCATTACTTTAGCCCTAATCCCTGTTGTTCACTTCAGCTTCAGATTTTTATATTTAAATTATGTTCATCTATTTCTGCACTCAGTTAACCCATTTTATATGTTTTTTAGTTTATTAAAAGATACTTTTTTTACAATTTATTTTATTTATGTACTTGTTTATTTAAACATTTGTCACAATAGTTTTTACAGAATTACAGAGATATACATTCAAAGCAATGATACAAACATGAAAACTTTGTGCCTGCCTTTAGAAATACATTTCGAGTGACAGAAGAGAGATTCAGAAAATCACAATAAAGAAATCATTAAAGTTTTAGTCACGTCTCTGAATAGAGGCTGAGTGCTGAGCAGTGAATACGTGCTCGACTCAGCGGGTCATAAATATCAGAGTTATTACAGGATAGTGAGCGGATAAAGAGCTTTATACTGTGTGTCTGAGTTTGTACGTGCATTTGAGACATATTTTTTGAGCTTCTCAGTGTTGTGTGTGTACCTAAGCGTGCATATTGTGGATGAGACAGCAAAACACAGTTTTGTTGACAAGTGTCATCAAACCAGAAAGGTGTGAAAGAGGATAATAATGTCTCATTGTTGATGGAGGCGATCTGAATACAAATGAAGCTCTGTTCATGTCTCTGCCTCGCACAATGACAAAGTTTAGTCATTAACACAGTGATACTGAATAATTCATGCAAATACAACTGTTTGTGTAGCTGGAGTTTCTCTGCTGCAGTGTAAGCATGATTCACTCTGTCAGGTTCAGAGTCACAGGTCGTGGATGTGATTTAACGTCAGAGGATCAATCCTGCAGAACGTCTCAGTGTGATGGACCGTCCAGGTGCAGGCCGAGGCCACGCACTCCCATCAACATCACTCACTGTGGTTAACACCTGAGACGGCTCTGCTGCATGAGAAATATGTTTCCATCAGGGACAATGATGCATGAAGCAAACAGGAGAAGGGATGACTGCAATTAACAATCTGTGAGCTATTACAGTGTGCAGGATAGGACGCCACGGTCACCAAGTGTCAGGACAAATAATTAATCTTCTTAACTCGAAGAGAACTAATTAATCCTTTGAAATATGAGCTCTATGATACTGCATTTCATGCAACTCCCCATACATGGAGGCCTTCAAGGAATATTAATGGGGTTCAGTAAAGTCACAGATATCATACAGCATGTTTCTTTTAGTGCTACCTATGACCTTTGCAGCCAGTCACAGGTAGCAAGAAAAAAAAGGAAAATTCTCACTTTCTTTTTGTAGCTTAGGATCATGACGATAAAGATTCATATAAACACGTGTGATAACTTTAATTACCTTTGTTTTGCTGTAAATTAAACTGAATGATTGAGTCCCTTTAATGACCTTTTAATAACAAATATGGAATAGCTTTGGTGACCCTGAAAGTCACCAAACATCACCAAAAACTTCACTAACATCACAAACTATAAAAATGTTTTATGAAGGCAAAGATGTGTCAGTAATAAAGTGTTTCAATAAAGCTCCTGTGAAGAACTTTTGATTTGTGTCAAATTCGGCTCCTCTTGTGGACAAAACAGTCTCTGCTCACATTAATTGTTGTTTACATGTATCATCAGCAATTACTGACAAAAGGTCTCATCCTGCAAACTTTTTATAGTCAAAAAATAATTAACTGTGAATACTTTATGTGGAAATTTTTAAAACAGTGCTCTTTCTTCAGCTGCCTGGCTCACACCTACCCTGTCACAGTTTCAAACATCAAAACTATGACATAAAAATTGCATTCTTGTCATTGGGGGTCTGTTTCATTAGTGAGAAAAACTCCTCATAGGAACTTTAAATACAATTTTTTTTTTTTAAATCTACACATAATCAAAAAAAAAAAAATCTCATAAAAGATTTTTTAAAAATCATTTCATAAATGTAAACATTTTTCATACAATACATTTGGAAAAAAAGGGAAAAATCCTTAATTGAATGTGAAAAAACATTTGATAAAAAAGTCTGAGTGAACTCTAAATTATCATTTTACAAAACACAGTCAAGGGTAAAGGATTGTTTGTCAATCAAGGTGAGGAGTTCAATCCCAGGTCCTGCTGTCCTCACGACATAATGCTGTCCTTGAGCAAGACACTTAAACAGTCCATTTTACGAAGGTCATTTCACAAAAATAAACAAAACAAACTAATAAACAACAAAATTTGTCAGAGTAGAAAAAAATTTAGGTGTAAAAGTATGTAAAAATATATTATGGTCAAGAATGGGCTCTCTGCACCGATCCACTACTTCCTGAACTTAAGGCAGCTCCTTAACTGATTAATCCAGGTGTGTCTGATCAGTCACACCTGGATTAATCAGTTTGGCCAATAATGTAAGACAGGAAATAAAGGAGCTGCCTTAAATTCAGGTGCATAGGGCCCATTGACTTTTAACACAAACTAAACTAAAACTTCTACGTCGCCTCCCTCCTGTGCTGTTGTTTGCTCACTGCGCCATCTACCGGCTGAAAACGAGCAACACAACTACTTGACAAACAAACATGGCGGCCCCCATGAGCTGCTGGTCAAATGCTTTGGGTGTGAAGTAATCTTGTCTGCTGGTGAGTTGGTCATGTATGATGAAATAACAAGAGTCGTAAAGAAGGTGAGTGTTGACAGACTTGAGTTTAGTTCAACAATATGACGGTACTTTCTGAAAGACGGATGGTGTAGGCTAGGTTAGTAGACACGAAATTACCCCAATAAATATAAACAGCTGCTGCAGACAGAGCTTTAAATCATCAAGACTGTCATCAATTTACCATTTGTGTTGACCTATATAAAAAACAAATGCCAAAAAATGTTTATCAGTCATGTTTCTAAGTAGCGAATGTTATTAACTTCACCAAAAGACTCATATCGTCAATATTTTTTATTGATCATACGTAGGTTTACAGTAACTTAATGATGCCTTCACGGGTTTCAAATCGGTCATTTTCTCTTAACAAATGGTTGGAGTTTTAAAATAGTATTATTTTCAGTAATTATGACACTAACTGAGAAATAAAATGTTTCTTTTGGTTAGTAGTTGGCCTGACTATAATTTGTTTAACTTTGATATTCAGTATAATGACATATTTATCCTTGTTATAAGGTGGACATCCACAAAATGTCTGTAAACATGATAAATGTGTATTTTTATAGCACTGTGTATCGACTTACGTGTCTTCAATACTTTCTGTTCACATCAGGCCAATATTTTGATGTCTCATAGCATGCTTATCTGTAAGGCTTGACTTTATTTCTTAGTACTTCATCTTTTTTTTCTTAGTGTTTTGAAGAATATCTGTGCTGTGTATATATAATACATGGTAAGACTTATTATTGCTTAGTATTAGAAAACATCCTCATAGATTCTGATTTAGTTGCAGGTCTTCTATGCACATAAAAATAATGTGGACTGCAAGTATTTTCTGTCTGTCTTCTGGATTAATACAATTGATTTTATGACTGTTTATTTGATCTTTTTTTTTGTTAAACGTTTATAAATTATTACCACAGGCCATTGTTACACATTTCACTTGCTTTGTTTGTCCAAACAACCTCTCAAAATCCAAAGACTCCTCATTATGATCATAGATGAAGAGTAAATGCAGCAAGTCTCTGTATTTTAGAAGCTGTAAGCTGAAAATGTTTGACAATTTGGCTGCTCTCTAATGCTGATGTGCTGCTGTGCTGTGCTGTGCTGTCCTGCAGTGAAGTGTCCACTATGTCCAGATTGGCAGTGGTGTGTGGGGGCTCCAGGGGCATTGGGAGGGCCGTGTCCCGCCTCTTAGCAACAAGAGGCTGCAGGGTGGCGATTGTCTCCAGGAATGAAGATGTTGCCAAGGCCACTGTGAAATCTCTACATGGAGGTAAACATCTTTGTGTTTCTGGCCGTTTCACTTTTATAGCCAGACTATATGAACACTGCTGGATCTGTACAACCTTTCTAAGGCTCAAAATAAACATCACAACCTGATTGTTCATTTAAAGGGTTGGTCCTCCCACAAGTATTTTTCCTTCAAATATGGAAAAAGCGACAGAAGTTGTAAAACTCTTAACAGACAGTACTAAAGGGACAAAGAAAGTGTACTGGATGTCCTCTTCAACAGGAAAACTTGTCAGGAACTACCCTAATGTGACTGTACAGAACTGAAGACCAAAAGGAATTACCATTACTTTTTACAATAAAACAATAAAATGCAGGTGTAATAAATTAAAAATACAAAAGTAGTGGATAAAACCAAAATCATGGAACAACATCAGCGAAAGAAAAATGTAATAACCTGTGTATAATTCAAGTGAAAGACAAGCCATATGGATGACTGAATAATTACATCATAACTGAAAATGTTAAATACTGTCCAGTAAGTGTAGGAGCTTTTTGAATCCATAAGTGGCAAAATATTATCTTAAATACCACTGATCTGTTATACCTGAATCTGATACTACAGAATGCAGTCTTGTATCCTTTGTGTTATCTTTTGTTTTCCTCTCCAGCTGACCACGTGGCTCTCAGCTGTGATGTCTCTAAAGAGCAGGATGTGCAGAAAACCTTCGAGATGATCCAGAAAACCTGTGGTAACATCTCTTATCTTGTAAATGCAGCTGGCATCAATAGGTGAGCCTGATACAAGTTATCTTTTCATGCAGGACTGAGCTTTATTGTTGACTTACAGTGTATCACTGTGTCTGTGTCTGATCAGAGATGCTCTGTTACTGAGGATCAGGCCTGAGGACATGCTGCCTCAGCTTCACACTAACCTGCTGGGCTCCATGTTGACCTGCAGGGCGGCTCTGCGTAGCATGCTGCACACTGAGGGGGCTGCTGTTGTTAATATAGGTATGAAAACTGAACTCCAGACACTGACAGACACACAGGAACATTCCAATAAAATGTGTCGGTGTCTAAGGTTAAGGTTAGGCTCACTAATACACCCTCAAGTGAGTGAGCTCTTTGATAAAATCTTTATAGCACCAAATCATGTGCTTTCCATGAGTCCCAAGTCCTGCAGCTATAACTGTGGTACTAACCCAGAGCTCTCTGCGAACTTGGTGAAGAGAAGGATTTGATTGTTCAGCTCCCCACTGGATGCAAACAAATGAGTTTATACGAAGTTTTCAATGACGTGTTTCAGAAAAGAAAAACAACTGAAGCAAAGCAAGCATATAATAATATTTGTAAGTTTCATGCAGCCTATTTTTTTTTTTTTTTAATCAATTCAACTTTTAAGGGATTTTTGTTTGTTTTCCAAGTAAATAATTATAATGGGTTAACATTGATGGCCTTTAAGCTTTAGTAAGATGCTTGAATATATAAAAACTCTATTGTAAATACAGAAATATTTCCTGGAATCAGCATTTTTTATCATCTCGTAGCTTATCTAGTTTCAAGGTTATATGAGATGCCCAAAAGTGTGTCCTACTTCTAATCTTCCATCTAAAGCCCTGACACACTCACACACTGCACACTTGATGTCATAAATATCTGTAAGGGGTCAGCGCTCAGGCTGGAGGTGAAGATTAAAGGTGCTTTTCCACCACAGGAACTTTCCCCAAAAGCCAGGGACCTTTTGGGGAACTTGTTTTGACCCCTTGAAAAGCCCTTGCTCTGAGGGTTGTACTTTCCAATGGCCCAAGACTTTGGAGGCAGAGCCTGATAATTTCATTTACATCTAATAAACAGGCTGTTGATTCACGTATCCAATGCTGAAAGCTCTGTGTGCGCCCACACACACACACACGCAGAGGAGGGGAGAGAGATTCTTGATTAAATCCTACATAATCTAAAGTTATCTGACCAGTAAAACTATATGTATACATTGATTTTGACTTTAAGTATATTTTACCATCTCAGTGATGCTTTTAGGGTGTTATCACAGTTTCAGGGGTTAGACAGACACCAGCTGAGCAGAGAGATGGATAAACAGATAAGGGCCATTAAGGACTAAGAGCAAATATTTCTGGTAACCTGTTATTTAATAATCAACACAGTCTACCTGCTACCAACAGGATTTGCGACAGCTTTCTTTGTAAATTAAAAAATAATAAAAAGTTTTTTAAAAAGTTCTCCAACAAAGAGCTGTGTAAGTGACTCCAGATACCATCCCTGGAGGTCATTTGTCTGGTTTTACATTATTTACCAAGGACTTTGTTCCCACTGGAAACAGACAACAAGCATCAGGAACCATTTGGCACCAGGAAAAGAACTTCCTAGAATTAGAAGTTATGGGTGCTTTTGGTTGAAAGGCATTTTCAGAGTGTGTTTATGAACCCACTGTTCTTTGTGATAGTAAGAGGTTTTCAGTTTGGTCACTGGGTGGCAGTGTGGATTCTTGTTCCCTTTTTAAAGCTGGATTCAAGTTTTAAAGAGTTCACTTAACTTTTTCTTCACTTGAGTCAATTTTCTGACAATTATCTGATTACTTCTATTGTTGGTTTTAAATATTATTTTCCAGTTTTGCATGAAAAAATAAATGAATGAACCAGGATAACCTGAACATGTTTCATGTTAAATGAATTCAAAGAGTAGTATCCTACGGCTGCTTTATCTGCTAAGAAGTTTAACAGGACATGTTTCTGTTGTTTTCAGGTTCTGTTGTTGGTATGAAAGGAAACAGCGGTCAGTGTGTGTACAGTGCCAGTAAAGCTGGTTTAGAGGGTTTCACACGCTCTCTGGCTAAAGAAGTGGCTTCACGTAATATCCGAGTGAACCTGCTGGCTCCAGGTACACCACCACTCACTCCATCCTTGTCTTCTACCTTTCCTCTCAGTCCTCATGTTTTCCATGTCTTCACAGTCCTCTTCATGTCCTTGCCCTCTCTGACCTTCAGGTTTCATCCACACCGACATGACTTTAGGGCTGAAGGAGGACAGAGCCCGCTCAATCCCTCTGGGGAGGTTTGGCGAGCCGGAAGAGGTCGCCCAGGCTGTCCTCTTCCTTTTGGAGTCTTCCTATGTTACAGGACAGGTACTGGTGGTGGACGGTGGATTGCAGCTGGCCATGTAGGGACTGAGGCTTTCCTCTGGTGTTAGCTTGACACGTAAAACAACAGAGCACAGGAAGGCAGCTGAAGCCTCACTCTGCCTTTTCTGGAACTTTTACATGTCTGGATTTAAGCTCCTGTGAGGAGGTCTGAACTGGTTATGAAAAAGACCGAGCAAACAGAACCGTTTGCAACAAAGTTCACTTTACTTGAGAGCAACTTTTGATTTTTCTGTCTTTCCCTTTAAGCTTGTGAATGATGTTTCCATTTTTGCAACCTTGTCATCAGGTCAGAATAATTCAAGAGACAGCGACTGCAGTGTGTCCCTTCGGTTAACCCTACTGCAATATAGTGTATTGCATGTGAATGTGATACCTCAGAGACAATGTGTGAAGGTTGATCCGTCTCTTGAAGGTCCCCTGGAGGCAACAGGGCCCTGAGCAGCTGCTTTCTCTTACAGCTCAGGCTGGCCCTGAGCCATCAGTGTTCTTCTCTGTCATGATGCGCTTCATTAACAGTCTGAATGGTCAAGTGCTTGTATCAGCTCATTCTGACTGACCCAAATAAAACATGCTTTTTTAAACTTTTCTCTCCTGTAAAGGTCTGCAGTGAAAATATTTGTGTATATTCTTTTCGTTCGGACCCAAGACAAGCCTGAACGCAAATGAGGTTGAAAAAAGAGAGAGAGTATTGGGAGCTGGTGTTACAATCAAGGTTGATGTGGGGTCCAAAAACTCTGCAATCTTTTCTACATCACTTTGTTTACCTGTCTGAAACTTGTTCTTACTTTCTCCATCTGGAGTCAGATACAGCAGCTCAGGTGTTGGAGAAAGAGGGGAAAAAAAAAAAAGAGACAGTACAATCGGTAAAAAAGTCTTTAAATTACTGTAATTTTTGACAAATTAGGTTGACAAATATTCTGGCAAATACTCTGAATTATGAGATTGGAAACCATGAGTTTGGGACCAAAATCTCCTGTGTCCCCCTTGGATTTCTTCATTGTTCTAAGCCAGGTAAATCAATCATAATACAAATTATTTTAACTGCATCCATAACTAAAACTGAAGCTGACAGAAAACAACTATGACGTGTACAATTTACACTATCAGCAAATAACAGAAGAATCAGAAGTTTTTTCAAAAAGAGGAGAAAATGATCCAGAAAACTGTCTCTGCACAAAAGTTATATATATCTGCCCTTTAATCAAGTTAAAGACATTTACAGGTTAAAGGCTCACACTTACTTTCTTCGTCCTCAGTGTCCAGGAGGAGCTCAGGAGACAAAGAGAGAGGAGGGAAAAGGTCAGACAAAGATCAGTGAGGGAAAAGTTTCTGATGATTGAATATCAGATTCAAAAGTTTGCACTTAATTGAGTGTTGATACTTTATTTTATTCTGTTAGTATATAAAACATTCAATACAAACAAGGAAAAATCTCAAATGTGAATGAAAAGGAGCAGAAATTTGAAAAATCTTATCGAGTCTGCCCCCTTTTTCACAAGATATTAATCAGCTAAAAAATAAACAAGAGCTGCAGGCCAGCATGTTGCACTGTTGCACTCTGTGCTGTGATTCCTGTTGGTTTAGTTATCAACATCAATACAGAGGGCTCGATTTTCGTGCCTTGCCGGCAGTGTGACACAGGTGCGGTGTAGGTCAGGTCTGCCACACCGATAAGGCGTTCCCAAGCATATTTTGGTATTTTGGTGAGCGGCGCAGCCCAGCGTAAGTATCCCCCCTCCCTAACTCAGCTCCCCCCAGCGGCATAAGTCGTAAAGAGGGAGGAGAGAAGGCACGGAGTGGGTTTAACACAGCCGAGACCCGTTTTTTCACCAATCACATCAGCTCCTCTCCTCACCTTTAAATCCGCCACCGGCGAGGCGTATTAAAGTTTTCGTGGCGTAGTCGAAGAGATCAAAGCTGCGTCCGAATTGCCAAGTAGTAGTCGAAGTAGTAGTCGAAGTAGTATCTAGCATGTCCGAATTGGCCACCGGAGCGAGTAGCATGCTACTTCAGATACTACTTCAGATGCTAGACACGCCCACATTGTAGGTTGGTCTCGGTGCATCCTACGGGCATGCTACTGACCCAAAATGCACCGCGGGCTTCTTCTTCGTCCTCTTAAAAGTTGTAGAAGCGCATGTGATGCTAGCGCCACCAGCTGCTCTGCCTATTTAAATGTGTCGCGAACGCCGGCTGGCCACAGCAGCGCGCACCATGTCGGAGCAGCAGCAGCAGCAGGCGGGACCGCAGCAGTACAGATGTAAGTTTCATGTAACTTCACACACTGTCCTAAAAAATGTGCGGTTGTATCTCTTTGTCATGTCATGGTGTCATATTTGCCCAAGTAATCATTTTATGAGTAAGTGGCGACATCATGGAGGTAAAGCTCACTTATTCCATCATTAAACTGCACAGCTGCAGTACTACAGCCAGGCCCGCAGATGAGGGGCTTCAGTTACCACTGTCTGCACGGGCGCAGTACCTACTCTCTGCCTGCGGGGGTCGTCTTTCCCCACCGCTCGTCTAGTGTGTCCGAATTGGGCCAACGTTTTTAGTATGTAGGAGTAGGATCTAGCAGTAGCACGTAGCAGTAGCATGTAGTATCCGAGCGGGCAGTTCGGACGCAGCACAAGAGATGGCTGAAGACAGCGATGTCACATGATGGTGACAGACGGCAGCCCCTCAACAAGTGTCACTGTAAGCGCTGCGGAGGGCATCCTCTACACTGTCTCATATAAGCACAGATGGATTTGGATGATTCAGGTATGACAGGGTTCAGAGCCTTTTCTTGCTTTCTTCGCCCTTGGTGTCCAGAAGGAGCTTAGGAGACAATGAAGAGGAGGGAAGAGGGAAGAAAGGGTCAGTTTGTGAGAGTCTTTAAATTATTATTCAAAGAATGAAATGTTATCACAACTTTGGACTTACTTTCTTCGCCCTTGGTGTATGCATTGAGTTGTCCAGGGATGTCCTCTGTTGATCCAGGTCTTGTTTGGTTTTCCTTTGGGTTCTTCTTGCTTCATAACTCCAGATTGTTCCATGTTTCGGTGGCATGACAAACAAACATTCAGGTCCTCTTGAGAGCCCAGATCCTGCGTGGTGATGTGGTACATATATGTGTGTGTGTGTGTGTGCGCCCTGCCAGTGGCAAGGGAATTAAAGGCTCCATATCCCTGACATATGAAGAAATAAGGGGTCCATACCCCTGCCATTAGAAGAATTAAGGGAACATATCCCTGAAATATATAAATAAGGGTACATATCCATGAATTTCAAAGAAAATAATAAAGGGTACATATCCCTGACATATTAATAAATAAAGGGTACACATACCTGACATATAAAGCAATAAGGGGTCCATACATCTGACATATGAAAAACTAAAGGGTACAAATCGTTTACATATGAAAAAATAAAGGGTACATATCCCGGACATATGAAAAAAGGGTACATATCCTTGACATATGCAACAAATGGGTACATATCCCTGACATATGAAAAAAAAGATACATATCCCTGACATATGAAAAAATAATGGGTACACATCCCTGACATATAAAAAAAAGGGTACATATCCCTGACATATGAAAAAATTAAGGGTACATATTGTGGTGTGCCTGGTGAGTTGTGAGGACCCAGAAGCAGACACAGAGACAGAGATGAACTTAAGGTGTAATTTTAATGTCCAAACTCAGTTTTAAAGGCAAAAAAGAGGAAGTCAGGTAGGCTGGTTGGCTGGCTGTTGTGTGGACTGGAGACACTGCAGGAAAAACAGAGGAGAGGGAAGTGAGTGAACATACAATAAATCAGGAGGCCAGGAGACGTGTCTATACCACTTGGAAGTGAAGACAATACTCAGGCGCAGAGGCTTCTTCTTCTTCTTCTTCTTTTAGGTTAACGGCAGTTGGCACTCTTGTGTACGGTGCATTACCGCCCTCTTCTGGCAATTCTTATACAAAACCCTGTGCACCACCCATTCCCATCTCATACACTCACACATTCATACTCCTACCGACTAAATCCTATCAATCAACCCCGTCACCCTTAAAAACTTGACTAACACTCTCACATGTGCCCTGTCCCCCATCTGTAATACTCCCTTTAGTGTAAGGTCCTGCATACCCAATTCCCTCAACTTATTTCTCATCTCTCCCCTTTCTATCTCATATCTCCTACAACCCATTAGAACATGCTCCACTGACTCCTCGGGCGCTGAGGCTGAGGGCTGCTGGCTTCTTAAAGTGCCTTGATTGTAGATGTAGAGCAGGTGTGTAGTCTCACTCAGTCTCAGCGACCAGGGGAGGGGAGGAAGCTCTGGAAAAGAGTAAAGCCAGACCAGGCAAACAAGGAAACACAGGAGGTCCAGCCAAAATAAAACAAGAGGAGGAGGCGTCTCACCACACATATCACTGACATATAAAGCAATAAGGGGTCCAAACATCTGATATATGAAAAACTAAAGGGTACACATCGTTTACATATGAAAAACTAAAGGTTACAAATCCTTGACATATAAAAAAAAAAGGAACATATCCTTGACATATGAAATAAATAGGTACATATCCCTGACATATGAAAAAAAAGGTACATATCCCTGACATATGAAAAAAAGGTACATATCCATGACATGTGAAAAAAAAGCTGCATATCCTTGAAATATGAAACAAATGGGTTCATATCCCTGACACATGAAAAAATAATGGGTACACATCCGTTACATTGGAAAAAATAAAGGGGACATATCCCTGACATATGGAAAAATTAAGGTTAATTACCACTGACATCTGATGAAATACAGGGTCAATATCCCTGACATATGTAAAGAAATAAAGGGTTCATACTTCTGACATATGAAAAATAAAGGGTTCATATCCCTGATACATCAATAAATAAAGGGTCTATATCCCTGACACATAAACAAGTAAGGGGTCCACATCCCTGATATATGAACAAATAAAGGTAACATATCCCTAAAGTTTGAAAAAGGGTATATATCCCTGACATATGAAAAAATAAAGGGTACATATCCCTGACATATAATAAAATAAAGGGAACATATCCCTAAACTTTGAAAAAGGGTACATATCCCTGTCATATGAAAAAATAAAGGGAAAATATCCCTGACATATAATAAAATAAAGGGAACATATCCCTAAAGTTTGAAAAAAGGGTACATATCCCTGACATATGAAAAGATAAATGGTACAAATCCCAGACATATGAAATAATAAAGGGTACATATCACTGACATATAAAAATAAGGGAACATATCCATGAATTTTCAAAAAAAGGAGGGGCCGTACATCTGACACATTATACAAAATAAAGGGCACATATCCCTGACATTTGAAAAAATAAACAGCACATATTCCTGACATATGAAGCAATAAGGGATCCATATATCTGACGTACGAAAAACTAAAGGGTAGATATCATTAACATATGATATACAGTATATAACATATCCTTGACATATGAAAAAATAAAGGGTACAAATCCCTGAAATATGAAAAAATTAAGTGTACATATCACTGACATATAAAGCAATAAGGGGTCCATACATCTGACTTATGAAAAACTAAAGGGGACATATCGTTTACATATGAAAACTAATGGGTACACATCCCTTACATATGAAAAAAAGGTACATATCACAGACATATGGAAAAAAATAAAGGGTACGTATCGTTTACATATGAAACAATAATGGGTACACATCCCTTACATATGAAAAAAAAAGGTACATATCACATATGGAAAAAAAAGGGACATATGACATATGAAAAAAGGAACATATTCTTGACATATGAAAACAAGAGGAACATATCCTTGACATATGAAAAAAAAAAGGTACATATCCCTGACATATGAAAAAAATCAGTGTACATAACTCTGAAACATGAAAATGAATGAAATACATCTGACATATGAAAAACTACAGGGTACATATCATTAACATTTGAAAAAATAAAAGGACACATCCTTAACATATGAAAAAATAAAGAGTACACATTCCTTACATATGGGAAAAAAAAGGTTACATATCCCTGACATATGAAATAACTAAAGGGTACATATCCCTGACATATGAACAAATAAACAGTACATATCCCTGACATATGAAGCAATAAGGGATCCATATATCTGACGTACGAAAAACTAAAGGGTAGATATCATTAACATATGATATATATAACATATCCTTGACATATGAAAAAATAAAGGGTACAAATCCCTGAAATATGAAAAAATTAAGTGTACATATCACTGATATATAAAGCAATAAGGGGTCCATACATCTGACATATGAAAAACTAAAGGGGACATATCGTTAACATATGAAAAATAATGGGTACACATCCCTTAAATATGAAAAAAAGGTACATATCACAGACATATGGAAAAAAATAAAGGGTACATATCGTTAACATATGAAAAAATAATGGGTACACATCCCTTACATATGAAAAAAAAAAGGTACATATCACTGACATATGGAAAAAAAAGGGTACATATCCCTGACATATGAAAAAAAGGAACATATTCTTGACATATGAAAACAAGAGGAACATATCCTTGACATATGAAAAAAAAAAGGTACATATCCCTGACATATGAAAAAAATCAGTGTACATAACTCTGAAACATGAAAATGAATGAAATACATCTGACATATGAAAAACTACAGGGTACATATCATTAACATTTGAAAAAATAAAAGGATACATCCTTGACATATGAAAAAAAAAAGAGTACACATTCCTTACATATGGGAAAAAAAAGGTTACATATCCCTGACATATGAAATAACTAAAGGGTACATATCCCTGACATATGAACAAATAAACAGTACATATCCCTGACATATGAAGCAATAAGGGATCCATATATCTGACGTACGAAAAACTAAAGGGTAGATATCATTAACATATGATATATATAACATATCCTTGACATATGAAAAAATAAAGGGTACAAATCCCTGAAATATGAAAAAAAGGTATATATCCATGACATGTGAAAAAAAAAGCTACATATCCTTGACATATGAAACAAATGGGTTCATATCCCTGACACATGATAAAATAATGGGTATACATCCGTTACATTGGAAAAAATAAAGGGTCAATATCCCTGACATATGTAAAGAAATAAAGGGTTCATACTTCTGACATATGAAAAATAAAAGGGTTCATATCCCTGATACATCAATAAATAAAGGGTCTATATCCCTGACACATAAACAAGTAAGGGGTCCACATCCCTGATATATGAACAAATAAAGGTAACATATCCCTGAAGTTTGAAAAAAGGGTATATATCCCTGACATATGAAAAAAGAAAGGGTACATATCCCTGACATATAATAAAATAAAGGGAACATATCCCTAAACTTTGAAAAAGGGTACATATCTCTGTCATATGAAAAAATAAAGGGAACATATCCCTAAAGTTTGAAAAAAGGGTACATATCCCTGACATATGAAAAGATAAATGGTACAAATCCCAGACATATGAAATAATAAAGGGTACATATCACTGACATATAAAAATAAGGGAACATATCCATGAATTTTCAAAAAAAGAAGGGTCCGTACATCTGACACATTATACAAAATAAAGGGCACATATCCCTGACATTTGAACAAATAAACAGTACATATCCCTGACATATGAAGCAATAAGGGATCCATATATCTGACGTACGAAAAACTAAAGGGTAGATATCATTAACATATGATATACAGTATATAACATATCCTTGACATATGAAAAAATAAAGGGTACAAATCCCTGAAATATGAAAAAATTAAGTGTACATATTACTGACATATAAAGCAATAAGGGGTCCATACATCTGACATATGAAAAACTAAAGGGGACATATCGTTAACATATGAAAAAATAATGGGTACACATCCCTTACATATGAAAAAAAAAGGTACATATCACTGACATATGGAAAAAAAAGGGTACATATCCCTGACATATGAAGAAAAGGAACATATCCTTGACATATGAAAACAAGAGGAACATATCCTTGACATATGAAAAAAAAAGGTACATATCCCTGACATATGAAAAAAATCAGTGTACATAACTCTGAAACATGAAAACGAATGAAATACATCTGACATATGAGAAACTACAGGGTACATATCATTAACATTTGAAAAAATAAAAGGATACATCCTTGACATATGAAAAAATAAAAAGTACACATTCCTTACATATGGGAAAAAAAAGGTTACATATCCCTGACATATGAAATAACTAAAGGGTACATATCCCTGACATATGAACAAATAAACAGTACATATCCCTGACATATGAAGCAATAAGGGATCCATATATCTGACGTACGAAAAACTAAAGGGTAGATATCATTAACATATGATATATATAACATATCCTTGACATATGAAAAAATAAAGGGTACAAATCCCTGAAATATGAAAAAAAGGTATATATCCATGACATGTGAAAAAAAAAGCTACATATCCCTTGACATATCAAACAAATGGGTTCATATCCCTGACACATGATAAAATAATGGTTATACATCCGTTACATTGGAAAAAATAAAGGGTCAATATCCCTGACATATGTAAAGAAATAAAGGGTTCATACTTCTGACATATGAAAAATAAAAGGGTTCATATCCCTGATACATCAATAAATAAAGGGTCTATATCCCTGACACATAAACAAGTAAGGGGTCCACATCCCTGATATATGAACAAATAAAGGTAACATATCCCTGAAGTTTGAAAAAAGGGTATATATCCCTGACATATGAAAAAAGAAAGGGTACATATCCCTGACATATAATAAAATAAAGGGAACATATCCCTAAACTTTGAAAAAGGGTACATATCTCTGTCATATGAAAAAATAAAGGGAACATATCCCTAAAGTTTGAAAAAAGGGTACATATCCCTGACATATGAAAAGATAAATGGTACAAATCCCAGACATATGAAATAATAAAGGGTACATATCACTGACATATAAAAATAAGGGAACATATCCATGAATTTTCAAAAAAGAAGGGTCCGTACATCTGACACATTATACAAAATAAAGGGCACATATCCCTGACATTTGAACAAATAAACAGTACATATCCCTGACATATGAAGCAATAAGGGATCCATATATCTGACGTACGAAAAACTAAAGGGTAGATATCATTAACATATGATATACAGTATATAACATATCCTTGACATATGAAAAAATAAAGGGTACAAATCCCTGAAATATGAAAAAATTAAGTGTACATATTACTGACATATAAAGCAATAAGGGGTCCATACATCTGACATATGAAAAACTAAAGGGGACATATCGTTAACATATGAAAAAATAATGGGTACACATCCCTTACATATGAAAAAAAAAGGTACATATCACTGACATATGGAAAAAAAAAAGGGTACATATCCCTGACATATGAAGAAAAGGAACATAACCTTGACATATGAAAACAAGAGGAACATATCCTTGACATATGAAAAAAATAGGTACATATCCCTGACATATGAAAAAAATCAGTGTACATAACTCTGAAACATGAAAACGAATGAAATACATCTGACATATGAGAAACTACAGGGTACATATCATAAACATTTGAAAAAATAAAAGGACACATCCTTGACATATGAAAAAATAAAGAGTACACATTCCTTACATGTGGGAAAAAAAAGGTTTCATATCCCTGACATATGAAATAACTAAAGGGTACATATCCCTGACATATGAAAAAAATCAGTGTACATAACTCTGAAACATGAAAACGAATGAAATACATCTGACATATGAGAAACTACAGGGTACATATCATTAACATTTGAAAAAATAAAAGGATACATCCTTGACATATGAAAAAATAAAAAGTACACATTCCTTACATATGGGAAAAAAAAGGTTACATATCCCTGACATATAAAATAACTAAAGGGTACATATCCCTGACATATGAACAAATAAACAGTACATATCCCTGACATATGAAGCAATAAGGGATCCATATATCTGACGTACGAAAAACTAAAGGGTAGATATCATTAACATATGATATATATAACATATCCTTGACATATGAAAAAATAAAGGGTACAAATCCCTGAAATATGAAAAAAAGGTATATATCCATGACATGTGAAAAAAAAAGCTACATATCCTTGACATATGAAACAAATGGGTTCATATCCCTGACACATGATAAAATAATGGGTATACATCCGTTACATTGGAAAAAATAAAGGGTCAATATCCCTGACATATGTAAAGAAATAAAGGGTTCATACTTCTGACATATGAAAAATAAAAGGGTTCATATCCCTGATACATCAATAAATAAAGGGTCTATATCCCTGACACATAAACAAGTAAGGGGTCCACATCCCTGATATATGAACAAATAAAGGTAACATATCCCTGAAGTTTGAAAAAAGGGTATATATCCCTGACATATGAAAAAAGAAAGGGTACATATCCCTGACATATAATAAAATAAAGGGAACATATCCCTAAACTTTGAAAAAGGGTACATATCTCTGTCATATGAAAAAATAAAGGGAACATATCCCTAAAGTTTGAAAAAAGGGTACATATCCCTGACATATGAAAAGATAAATGGTACAAATCCCAGACATATGAAATAATAAAGGGTACATATCACTGACATATAAAAATAAGGGAACATATCCATGAATTTTCAAAAAAAGAAGGGTCCGTACATCTGACACATTATACAAAATAAAGGGCACATATCCCTGACATTTGAACAAATAAACAGTACATATCCCTGACATATGAAGCAATAAGGGATCCATATATCTGACGTACGAAAAACTAAAGGGTAGATATCATTAACATATGATATACAGTATATAACATATCCTTGACATATGAAAAAATAAAGGGTACAAATCCCTGAAATATGAAAAAATTAAGTGTACATATTACTGACATATAAAGCAATAAGGGGTCCATACATCTGACATATGAAAAACTAAAGGGGACATATCGTTAACATATAAAAAATAATGGGTACACATCCCTTACATATGAAAAAAAAGGTACATATCACTGACATATGGAAAAAAAAAGGGTACATATCCCTGACATATGAAGAAAAGGAACATATCCTTGACATATGAAAACAAGAGGAACATATCCTTGACATATGAAAAAAATAGGTACATATCCCTGACATATGAAAAAAATCAGTGTACATAACTCTGAAACATGAAAATGAATGAAATACATCTGACATATGAAAAACTACAGGGTACATATCATAAACATTTGAAAAAATAAAAGGACACATCCTTAACATATGAAAAAATAAAGAGTACACATTCCTTACATGTGGGAAAAAAAAGGTTTCATATCCCTGACATATGAAATAACTAAAGGGTACATATCCCTGACATATGAAAAAAAGGTACATATCCATGACATGTGAAAAAAAAAGAGCTACATATCCTTGACATATGAAACAAATGGGTTCATATCCCTGACACATGATAAAATAATGGGTACACATCTGTTACATTGGAAAAAATAAGGGGACATATCCCTGACATATGGAAAAATTAAGGTTAATTACCGCTGACATCTGATGAAATACAGGGTCAATATCCCTGACATATGTAAAGAAATAAAGGGTTCATACTTCTGATATATGAAAAATAAAAGGGTTCATATCCCTGATACATCAATAAAAAAAGGGTCCATATCCCTGACACATAAACAAGTAAGGGGTCCACATCCCTGATACATGAACAAATAAAGGTAACATATCCCTAAAGTTTGAAAAAAGGGTATATATCCCTGACATATGAAAAAATAAAGGGTACATATCCCTGACATATAATAAAATAAAGGGAATATATCCCTAAACTTTGAAAAAGGGTACATATCCCTGTCATATGAAAAAATAAAGGGAACATATCCCTGACATATAATAAAATAAAGGGAACATATCCCTAAAGTTTGAAAAAAGGGTACATATACCTGACATATGAAAAGATAAATGGTACAAATCCCAGACATATGAAATAATAAAGGGTACATATCACTGACATATAAAAAAGAGGGAACATATCCATGAATTTTCAAAAAAAGAAGGGTCCGTACATCTGACACATTATACAAAATAAAGGGCACATATCCCTGACATATGAAAAAAATCAGTGTACATAACTCTGAAACATGAAAATGAATGAAATACATCTGACATATGAAAAACTACAGGGTACATATCATAAACATTTCGAAAAATAAAAGGGACACATCCTTGACATATGAAAAAATAAAGAGTACACATTCCTTACATGTGGGAAAAAAAGGTTTCATATCCTTGACATATGAAATAACTAAAGGGTACATATCCCTGACATATGAAAAAAAGGCACATATCCATGACATGTGAAAAAAAAAAGCTACATATCCTTGACATATGAAACAAATGGGTTCATATCCCTGACACATGATGAAATAATGGGTACACATCCGTTACATTGGAAAAAATAAAGGGGACATATCCCTGACATATGGAAAAGTTAAGGTTAATTACCGCTGACATCTGATGAAATACAGGGTCAATATCCCTGACATATGTAAAGAAATAAAGGGTTCATACTTCTGACATATGAAAATTAAAAGGGTTCATATCCCTGATACATCAATAAATAAAGGGTCTATATCCCTGACACATAAACAAGTAAGGGGTCCACATCCCTGATACATGAACAAATAAAGGTAACATATCCCTAAAGTTTGAAAAAAGGGTATATATCCCTGACATATGAAAAAATAAAGGGTACATATCCCTGACATATAATAAAATAAAGGGAACATATCCCTAAACTTTGAAAAAGGGTACATATCCCTGTCATATGAAAAAATAAAGGGAACATATCCCTGACATATAATAAAATAAAGGGAACATATCCCTAAAGTTTGAAAAAAGGGTACATATCCCTGACATATGAAAAGATAAATGGTACAAATCCCAGACATATGAAATAATAAAGGGTACATATCACTGACATATAAAAATAAGGGAACATATCCATGAATTTTCAAAAAAAGAAGGGTCCGTACATCTGACACATTATACAAAATAAAGGGCACATATCCCTGACATTTGAACAAATAAACAGTACATATCCCTGACATATGAAGCAAAAAGGGATCCATATATCTGACGTACATAAAACTAAAGGGTAGCTATCATTAACATATGATATATATAACATATCCTTGACATATGAAAAAATAAAGGGTACAAATCCCTGAAATATGAAAAAATTAAGTGTACATATCACTGATATATAAAGCAATAAGGGGTCCATACATCTGACATATGAAAAACTAAAGGGGACATATCGTTTACATATGAAAAATAATGGGTACACATCCCTTACATATGAAAAAAAAGGTACATGTCACAGACATATGGAAAAAAATAAAGGGTACATATCGTTTACATATGAAAAAATAATGGGTACACATCCCTTACAATATGAAAAAAAAGGTACATATCACTGTCATATGGAAAAAAAAGGATACATATCCCTGACATATGAAAAAAAGGAACATATCCTTGACATATGAAAACAAGAGGAACATATCCTTGACATATGAAAAAAATAGGTACATATCCCTGACATATGAAAAAAATCAGTGTACATAACTCTGAAACATGAAAATGAATGAAATACATCTGACATATGAAAAACTACAGGGTACATATCATTAACATTTGAAAAAATAAAAGGATACATCCTTGACATATGAAAAAATAAAGAGTACACATTCCTTACATATGGGAAAAAAAAGGTTACATATCCCTGACATATGAAATAACCAAAGGGTACATATCCCTGACATATGAACAAATAAACAGTACATATCCCTGACATATGAAGCAATAAGGGATCCATATATCTGACGTACGAAAAACTAAAGGGTAGATATCATTAACATATGATATATAACATATCCTTGACATATGAAAAAATAAAGGGTACAAATCCCTGAAATATGAAAAAATTAAGTGTACATATCACTGATATATAAAGAAATAAGGGGTCCATACATCTGACATATGAAAAACTAAAGGGGACATATCGTTTACATATGAAAAATAATGGGTACACATCCCTTACATATGAAAAAAAAGGTACATGTCACAGACATATGGAAAAAAATAAAGGGTACATATCGTTTACATATGAAAAAATAATGGGTACACATCCCTTACAATATGAAAAAAAAGGTACATATCACTGTCATATGGAAAAAAAAGGATACATATCCCTGACATATGAAAAAAAGGAACATATCCTTGACATATGAAAACAAGAGGAACATATCCTTGACATATGAAAAAAATAGGTACATATCCCTGACATATGAAAAAAATCAGTGTACATAACTCTGAAACATGAAAATGAATGAAATACATCTGACATATGAAAAACTACAGGGTACATATCATTAACATTTGAAAAAATAAAAGGATACATCCTTGACATATGAAAAAATAAAGAGTACACATTCCTTACATATGGGGAAAAAAAAGGTTACATATCCCTGACATATGAAATAACCAAAGGGTACATATCCCTGACATATGAACAAATAAACAGTACATATCCCTGACATATGAAGCAATAAGGGATCCATTTATCTGACGTACGAAAAACTAAAGGGTAGATATCATTAACATATGATATATAACATATCCTTGACATATGAAAAAATAAAGGGTACAAATCCCTGAAATATGAAAAAATTAAGTGTACATATCACTGATATATAAAGAAATAAGGGGTCCATACATCTGACATATGAAAAACTAAAGAGGACATATTGTTAACATATGAAAAATAATGGTTACACATCCCTTACATATGAAAAAAAAGGTACATATCACAGACATATGGAAAAAAATAAAGGGTACATATCGTTAACATATGAAAAAACAATGGGTACACATCCCTTACATATGAAAAAAAAAGGTACATATCACTGACGTGAAAAAAAAAAGGGTACATATCCCTGACATATGAAAAAATGGAACATATCCTTGACATATGAAAAAAATAGGTACATATCCCTGACATATGAAAAAAATCAGTGTACATAACTCTGAAACATGAAAATGAATGAAATACATCTGACATATGAAAAACTACAGGGTACATATCATTAACATTTGAAAAAATAAAAGGATACATCCTTGACATATGAAAAAATATAGAGTACACATTCCTTACATATGGGAAAAAAAAGGTTATATATCCCTTACATGAAATAACTAAAGGGTACACATCCCTGACATATGAAAAAAAGGTACATATCCTTGACATATGAAAAAATGGGTACATATCCCTGACATATGAAAAAAAGGTATATATCCATGACATGTGAAAAAAAAGCTACATATCCTTGACATATGAAACAAATGGGTTCATATCCCTGACACATGATAAAATAATGGGTATACATCCGTTACATTGGAAAAAATAAAGGGGACATATCCCTGACATATGGAAAATGTAAGGTTAATTACCGCTGACATCTGATGAAATACAGGGTCAATATCCCTGACATATGTAAAGAAATAAAGGGTTTATACTACTGACATATGAAAAATAAAAGGGTTCATATCCCTGATACATCAATAAATAAAGGGTCTATATCCCTGACACATAAACAAGTAAGGGGTCCACATCCCTGATATATGAACAAATAAAGGTAACATATCCCTAAAGTTTGAAAAAAGGGTATATATCCCTGACATATAATAAAATAAAGGGAACATATCCCTAAAGTTTGAAAAAAGGGTACATATCCCTGACATATGAAAAGATAAATGGTACAAATCCCAGACATATGAAATAATAAAGGGTACATATCACTGACATATAAAAATAAGGGAACATATCCATGAATTTTCAAAAAAAGAAGGGTCCGTACATCTGACACATTATACAAAATAAAGGGCACATATCCCTGACATTTGAACAAATAAACAGTACATATCCCTGACATATGAAGCAATAAGGGATCCATATATCTGACGTACGAAAAACTAAAGGGTAGATATCATTAACATATGATATATATAACATATCCTTGACATATGAAAAAATAAAGGGTACAAATCCCTGAAATATGAAAAAATTAAGTGTACATATCACTGATATATAAAGCAATAAGGGGTCCATACATCTGACATATGAAAAACTAAAGAGGACATATTGTTAACATATGAAAAATAATGGTTACACATCCCTTACATATGAAAAAAAAGGTACATATCACAGACATATGGAAAAAAATAAAGGGTACATATCGTTAACATATGAAAAAATAATGGGTACACATCCCTTACATATGAAAAAAAAAGGTACATATCACTGACGTGAAAAAAAAAAGGGTACATATCCCTGACATATGAAAAAATGGAACATATCCATGACATGTGAAAAAAAAGCTACATATCCTTGACATATGAAACAAATGGGTTCATATCCCTGACACATGATAAAATAATGGGTATACATCCGTTACATTGGAAAAAATAAAGGGGACATATCCCTGACATATGGAAAATGTAAGGTTAATTACCGCTGACATCTGATGAAATACAGGGTCAATATCCCTGACATATGTAAAGAAATAAAGGGTTTATACTTCTGACAAATGAAAAATAAAAGGGTTCATATCCCTGATACATCAATAAATAAAGGGTCTATATCCCTGACACATAAACAAGTAAGGGGTCCACATCCCTGATATATGAACAAATAAAGGTAACATATCCCTAAAGTTTGAAAAAAGGGTATATATCCCTGACATATAATAAAATAAAGGGAACATATCCCTAAAGTTTGAAAAAAGGGTACATATCCCTGACATATGAAAAGATAAATGGTACAAATCCCAGACATATGAAATAATAAAGGGTGCATATCACTGACATATAAAAATAAGGGAACATATCCATGAATTTTCAAAAAAAGAAGGGTCCGTACATCTGACACATTATACAAAATAAAGGGCACATATCCCTGACATTTGAACAAATAAACAGTACATATCCCTGACATATGAAGCAATAAGGGATCCATATATCTGACGTACGAAAAACTAAAGGGTAGATATCATTAACATATGATATACAGTATATAACATATCCTTGACATATGAAAAAATAAAGGGTACAAATCCCTGAAATATGAAAAAATTAAGTGTACATATTACTGACATATAAAGCAATAAGGGGTCCATACATCTGACATATGAAAAACTAAAGGGGACATATCGTTAACATATGAAAAAATAATGGGTACACATCCCTTACATATGAAAAAAAAAGGTACATATCACTGACATATGGAAAAAAAAAGGGTACATATCCCTGACATATGAAGAAAAGGAACATATCCTTGACATATGAAAACAAGAGGAACATATCCTTGACATATGAAAAAAATAGGTACAGATCCCTGACATATGAAAAAAATCAGTGTACATAACTCTGAAACATGAAAATGAATGAAATACATCTGACATATGAAAAACTACAGGGTACATATCATTGACATATAAAAATAAGGGAACATATCCATGAATTTTCAAAAAAAGAAGGGTCCGTACATCTGACACATTATACAAAATAAAGGGCACATATCCCTGACATTTGAACAAATAAACAGTACATATCCCTGACATATGAAGCAATAAGGGATCCATATATCTGATGTACGAAAAACTAAAGGGTAGATATCATTAACATATGATATATATAACATATCCTTGACATATGAAAAAATAAAGGGTACAAATCCCTGAAATATGAAAAAATTAAGTGTTCATATCACTGACATATAAAGCAATAAGGGGTCCATACATCTGACATAAGAAAAACTAAAGGGGAAATATCGTTTACATATGAAAAATAATGGGTACACATCCCTTACATATGAATAAAAAAGGTACATATCACTGACATATGGAAAAAAAAAGGGTACATATCCCTGACATATGAAAAAAAGGAACATATTCTTGACATATGAAAACAAGAGGAACATATCCCTGACATATGAAAAAAATTAGTGTACATAACTCTGAAACATGAAAATGAATGAAATGCATCTGACATATGAAAAACTACAGGGTACATATCATTAACATTTGAAAAAATAAAAGGATACATCCTTGACATATGAAAAAATAAAGAGTACACATTCCTTACATATGGGAAAAAAAAGGTTACATATCCCTGACATATGAAATAACCAAAGGGTACATATCCCTGACATATGAACAAATAAACAGTACATATCCCTGACATATGAAGCAATAAGGGATCCATATATCTGACGTACGAAAAACTAAAGGGTAGATATCATTAACATATGATATATAACATATCCTTGACATATGAAAAAATAAAGGGTACAAATCCCTGAAATATGAAAAAATTAAGTGTACATATCACTGATATATAAAGAAATAAGGGGTCCATACATCTGACATATGAAAAACTAAAGAGGACATATTGTTAACATATGAAAAATAATGGTTACACATCCCTTACATATGAAAAAAAAGGTACATATCACAGACATATGGAAAAAAATAAAGGGTACATATCGTTAACATATGAAAAAACAATGGGTACACATCCCTTACATATGAAAAAAAAAGGTACATATCACTGACGTGAAAAAAAGGGTACATATCCCTGACATATGAAAAAATGGAACATATCCTTGACATATGAAAAAAATAGGTACATATCCCTGACATATGAAAAAAATCAGTGTACATAACTCTGAAACATGAAAATGAATGAAATACATCTGACATATGAAAAACTACAGGGTACATATCATTAACATTTGAAAAAATAAAAGGATACATCCTTGACATATGAAAAAATATAGAGTACACATTCCTTACATATGGGAAAAAAAAGGTTATATATCCCTTACATGAAATAACTAAAGGGTACATATCCCTGACATATGAAAAAAAGGTACATATCCTTGACATATGAAAAAATGGGTACATATCCCTGACATATGAAAAAAAGGTATATATCCATGACATGTGAAAAAAAAGCTACATATCCTTGACATATGAAACAAATGGGTTCATATCCCTGACACATGATAAAATAATGGGTATACATCCGTTACATTGGAAAAAATAAAGGGGACATATCCCTGACATATGGAAAATGTAAGGTTAATTACCGCTGACATCTGATGAAATACAGGGTCAATATCCCTGACATATGTAAAGAAATAAAGAAATAAAAAGAAATAAAGAGTACACATTCCTTACATATGGGAAAAAAAAGGTTACATATCCCTGACATATGAAATAACTAAAGGGTACATATCCCTGACATATGAACAAATAAACAGTACATATCCCTGACATATGAAGCAATAAGGGTTCCATATATCTGACGTACGAAAAACTAAAGGGTAGATATCATTAACATATGATATACAGTATATAACATATCCTTGACATATGAAAAAATAAAGGGTACAAATCCCTGAAATATGAAAAAATTAAGTGTACATATTACTGACATATAAAGCAATAAGGGGTCCATACATCTGACATATGAAAAACTAAAGGGGACATATCGTTAACATATGAAAAATCATATCCGATCAACATCAACATCCGATCATTGAATCTGTAAAATAAGATGAAAGGATCGATGACATCATCGATGACATCACAAAATGTGATGTCATCAGGGTTAATATCCATATTTGGAAAAAAAAACATTCTCAGATGGCATTACAACATAATTGTTTATTTTCAAATTTGAAAAAAAAATAAATTCCAAAGACGTGTTGTGATAGTTGTTTATTTTTTAATTTGGACAAAAAAATTAATAAACGCACATTTCCAAGACAATGTGTGCATTTGTATAATTAAATATTTTAATTGGTTTAATTGATTTTCTCCTTTTGATTATGACTTTTTCTCTTTTTTTGTAGGTTTTTTTGTTTTTGTGGGAGTTTTATTTTTTATTTTTTTATGGTTTTTTTTTTTGTGTTTTTTGTGCGCGCACACACACACACACACACACACACACACACACACACACACACACACACACACACACACACACACACACACACACACACACACACACACAGAGTGTTTATTCAGGTGTTAGGAGACTGAGCAAAGTTTCTCTCTTATCTGAAGTTTTCTGCTGATGTTGTCAGTCTGACAGACTCTTCTCTGCCGTAGGAATATCACACAAAGATAACCAAACACAGGTGGTGCTTTTATTGTGAAAACAAACAGGAAGTTTATGTCAAAGTTGCATTATATTTGCATGCGTTGAAACCTTTCAGATGTTTGTTTTTCCCCTGTAGATTAGTGTTTCCCATTTTATACCAGAGCATCAGTCTCCTCAAACTTATTTCTGTGTGAATAACCTCTTTATAGCTAAGACCAAACTAAATTAGCGACCAAAAATTCAGTCCTGAAAGAAAAAAAAGTTCACAATGAAGTGCTGTTTCTTCAACATTCTGTGCCACAGTGACTTAAACCATCAGGCAGCCACAGGTGAAGAGAGGAGAACAGGCAGGGAGAGGAGGCAGAATTGTGTCTGAAAAGCAGAGGGACAGAGTGAGCAGGACAACAGAGGCTGTTGAAATCATGATCACATGTCCATCTATGGACGATGCAGATTTCACAGTCTTCTGTCTGTTTTTATTTTGAGAGACTTTACAATGCAATGAGACAAACAAATGCTTGTATTTATCTGGTACAATATGTAATCAATATCTACGCCCACTGTATGGAACATCTCGTCCGGCTCTCTATTCACTTATACAATGTTGGAAAAAAGTTTGGAATATTTTCTTCAGTGTTTCGTGTAACGTGAATGATCCTCCAACAAACATGGCTGAACTGACTCAGACTGTGATCCAATGCTGGCGAGAAATCCCGGTTGAAACTCTTAGCAACCTAGTGACCAGCATGCCCAAACGTGTACGTGCATTGTACAATGCTAGAGGCGGTCACACAAAGTACTGGCTGTATTGTTGTTATCGTCTTGTTATGTTTGATGTTGCTTTCAAAGATGGTCCACGTATTTTGTGGCAATTTAAAATTACAGCCGTTTATTTATTAAATACCGACTCATGATTTTATGCGTTATTTCTATGGCTTTTTGTGAATCATGAGGTGTCCGCCCTACAATTTTTTTGAGAAACAAAATAGTTTGATGTGAATTTCAAAAACATATCACAGAGACCAGGGAACATTAAAAAGTCTTTGAATAATTCTCCAGAAAGCAGCAGACCGCGTTAAACACGAGGCTGGGGTTGAATTGACAAATATTCCAAACTTTTTTCCAACACTGTACTGTTAGTGTTCAGCTGTTGCATGTGCGGCCTTCAAGACTTACATATCTGATGTAGATGAAGCACCAAGCCGTCAGTTTTCCCCTGGGGTATCAGATTTACTGTATGTAAGTGAGCTCTCTAAAGAAATGAATAAAAAATGAATGAGAACATAAAGAAATCACGACACACAAAAATCGTTACACGGTGGATAAAAGCATGAAATTTGGCATGTATGTCCCTTAGGTCATCCCAAAACATCCTAGAAGGGGTGCCCCCAAAAATGTCAAACAGGAAGTGAGTTATTGACAAAATTCAAAATGGCCGCCTAAACAGGTGACAGTTTACTCAAAAAACACCTAAAGAATGTCAAAAAATCATGAAGTTTGGCACACATGACCCTTGGGTCATCCTGAGACATCCTAGATATAGTGGCCAAAAACAGGAAGTGGATTATTGACGAAATTCAAAATGGCCGCCTAAATTGTTGCCGATTGATTCAAATAGCCTATTGAATCTCAGAGAAGCATACTATTTGGCACATATGTCCCTACGGTCATCCTAATACATCCTAGAAGGGGTGCCCAAAATAATCTGAAACAGGAAGTGAGTCATTGACTAAATTGAAAATGGCCTACAGTGTTGTTGATTGACTCAAAAGTCATCTAAAGAATCTCATAAAACTATAACGTTTCTCACATGTGTACCTTGGGTTATCCTAAACATCCTAGAAAGGGTGCCAAAAATAATCTGAAACAGGGAGTAAGTAATTGATAAAATTGATAGATGATGCAAATGAAGGGGCAGAAAGAAAGGGAGATGACGCTCACGGTGCAGGCATTATTTTTCAAAACCCTATAAATGCATACAAAACTATTTGAATTACAACCCTCTGCATTTCCCCGGGCTTGGGACCGGCACAAGTAGAACACTGGCTTGTGTCCCATTGAGGCTGCATTCATTCATCCATCCATCCATCCATCTACCTACTAATCTATCTATCTATCTATCTATCTATCTATCTGAATTGTGTCCCATTGAGGCTGGATCCATCCATTCATCATCCATCCATCCATCCATCCATCCATCCATCCATCTTCATGTCTGTCTGTCTGTCTGTCATCATATCTCTCCATCTCTCCACCCATCTCCATCCATCCTGAGTGGGCATGCTACTGTCTGTCTGTCTGTTGTTTTGTCTTTTTCCCCTCTTTTCGTCTTTTATTGTTTATCTTTTTGCCAAGCGACTCACATGTCCTATTCACATTTACCAGCACATTGGCATAATGCTGTACAAGGTAATCCAGCATCCTGGCACCAACACTTCCGAGAACAGAGGGGCTCAGCTTTGCAGCCACACTTAAGGAGTTCTCTGCAAACTTTGGCAGCCTCTGGCAATCGTGTCCATAGCGGTCTCCACAAATCATTGACTTTGGTCCATCGAAATTTGTCAGGAGATGGTAGAGACTGGATAGCTTTTAAGCTATTGAACCAAATCCTAGACTGATAAACTGCTCGATGTGCATGCTGTAGCAATGCAGCCTGTGTCGGAGGAATGTTTTCCATTGACAGAGATTTCTTCGCAAACAGGTCCTTCCTTAGGTCATTGACATTTTCAGTGTCAGTTGTCTTGTCGTACAGAACACAGGTGTATCTTTCCAGTAATGCAAGTGTCTTTGATTCCACTAGTCACCTGCCATGTCTCGGCCTAAAAATAAGTTGTGCCTATACAGTATATGAGTGCTGGATCTATGGTCATATAAAGTTGCCACAATATATTACCTATATATAATCATTCATAGGGCCTACTAGAAGTTTTTTGGAAAACAATTTTGTATCTGGCATCAACAATGTATCACTCACAGAAGGATTAATGCGTGAAGTCATGTCTTTCAGAGTACATTTCAAGCCAATTTATTCTCGTTTAAAGGTCTTTAAAACATATTTTACACATCTTTCTTGGGTGGCTTTGGCCAAATCCTTTATTATTGGTCTATTTACAATAAATGAAAATCTATAATTAGCAGATTAAGCCAAAATTTCAGAATTAGACCACATCTTAGGAATTATGGTTAATTTCTGGCGGCCATTTGGGATTTTCCCCTTTAGAAGGCATTTAAACTCACATAAACAGCTCTCAGCCTCAGCTGCTGGAGCAAACACGGGTCGCAAATGGCCACCTATAAAGAAATAAGAGTGTGTGAGGAAACCGGAGACCTTTCTGGACTTTCAGTGGATAAATTTAATAGAAGTGAGATAAGGAGCGATTAAAATCAACAACAGCAGTTAAATTAAAGCATCTTTGTGTGATGGGAGGTGTCGAAAAAGGAGCAGTCTGCTGTTTTACTTTTATTTATTTTTTTGTCAGCAAGCCCCCAAAATACAAAAACCAACAAAACACAAGTCTAAATCTCTGGATTTTCCAACTTTCTTATCCACGCCTTTACTCTCACCTCAAGTCCATAGTAAAACAAAGACTTAAAGTGTATATTTAGAACTTTCCTAAAACTTACTGGACATTTACTTCTGTAGCGTTACAGACTTAGTGTCTGAATTTACTGCTTAAAAGTGTTATCAGATATTTGAAAACAAACTGCAGCTGCCCTTCAACCATCAGTGCTTGTTTACATCAGGGTGGTAGAATCATCACATGCTGCATTGATCAGATTAATTCCCCCTGAAGAATGAAACAAATCAAACAGTTCCAGACCAGGTGAATGGGTTTGGCTCATAGACTGTATATGGTCCGGAAGTGCTTGACTAACTGATAGGTGCAAAAGTTTTGGAACTGGTTTTTGGAGGTGAGGCTGCTTCTTGTTTCTGACTGACATTTTTCTGGTACTGAAAGGCTTCGACTGTCAGTCAATCTCAGAACAAAGAATCTCACCATTGTTTGCAAAGGTGTCCTAAAGCATTGAGAAATAGTAATATTTTGTTATATATAGCAGGTAAATTCAAAGTTCTCTGCACACAGAACAACCACCCTCTTCTTCATCTTCCAAATGGTACATTTCACACTGCCGACAAGATATAAACTTGTAAACAAGTTTTAGTGACTTTTATATTTAGGAGATTGAACCCAAGTTTGGACATACTTGTTAATATTACATTCCATTCATCACAAAACTGTTACCTGCCAATAAATACTGCAGACTGTACCTTTTTTTGGAGCAGCGAGTGCTACAAAAGTCACCAGACTTCACTGACAGGGTTAGTAACTTAAAGTTGAAGATTACTGGAGTTGCTTGTCCATTACCACAGATGTTTCCTAGTTTTTATTCTCTGTGTTACGATGTGTTCTAAATATATTAAACCGAAGTCACTGAGACTTGAAAAAACAAGTTGATAGTGGTGGTGGGAGACCATTTACTCCCATATATGTAACTGTAATCTGGCAGTTGTGAAGCACAATATATCAGTGTTGTTTCTGGTTAAATAAAAACAAGAATTTAATCAAATAGTACATTTTGACGTGTATTCTTTCTTTGTAATGTTGTAAAAATATAGTCCAACTCTACTTGGCAAAAACAAGAACTTTATGTGTTCCCCAAAAACTTCCATTTCAAATTCACAAACATTTCAAACCTGTGGTTTTTAGACCCCAAAATGTGAGCAAATGGAGCCCAGGTTTAAAAATAGAGAAATGCCCCTTTAAAGAGGCCTCTTGGTTGGGTCTGTGGCCTAGTGTGGATTGAGAGTAATATACTGTGAACTCCTGAAGTTTGATGTTGGATCTAGTATCTAATATCTGTTTTCTTTTGGTAAGAAATGTTACGGCGAAATAAAATAGCGAACAAACTCTACAAAGTTTCTTTCAGAGCATCTTTCTCCTGATCTGCCCGTCATTCTGCTGAGTCACTGTCCCACCACAGCAGCCCATGTGTGTGTGACAGTCACTCATGACTAACACTGCTGACTCCAGAGTGTCTGGCCCGGTCCGGACCTCTGTGTCCCAAGCCCCTAAATTTGATCAGTTGGTCTTTTTCCATGACTGCAAAGCGCCCAAGCATGTTTTTCCCTCCCACCTCCCCTGAGAGACCCCCTCTCACTGACAGCACATTTCCCCCTCTGCAGCCAGCCCCCCTGAGCCCACCTCTGGAGGGGCCTGTTGTGGGGCCGGCGTGCTGGGCTGCAGCTGGATGAAATTAGTAGTGGTGGAGGTGGGGGGTATTTTTAGCTCAGGGAATGTTTTGAGTGTCTGGTCACAGCTGTGGACCTGCGGCGTGGACAGACGGGGTTGGAGGTGACTGTCAGTGATCAGGGATGAGATTAGAAATGCTGCGTGTTTGTTACTCTTCGCTGTTACCACCAAGAAAAGAAGAATTTATCCTTTTTTCTCCTCTTTATGTTCAGTATGTTTCACTCTTCCCAAAGGATTTTTAAGACGGCTATTTTCACTCAGACTGATAATGTGATTTTTGGCATCATTGCTCAGGAGGAGGAGGAGGAGGCCAGTCTGTAAAAACACCTCACGCTGTCTCTGTAGAGTTTTATTAACTTTCATAACCTAAAATAATATCAGGAGAACAATCCATATACAGGCATTGATTGGCATAGAAATGTGCAAACACAGAAACTGTCAGCTGATGCAAGACAGAAAAGATGTCCATTTTGTAAAGTTGAACAGAGATCATGTAAATTGTAGTTATAAATATACCTTTTAAAACTTTCCACCAGCTAAAGGAGAGTAAAGTTGTGTTTTATACATCCTGTTTGGCACTGTACAAGTGTCCAAAAGTAACATGCAAGAGGAAATGTGTTTGCATTAACCTACAGGTGATTTAAAGCTGTGAATATATTCATAAAAATCCATAATACAGAGAAGATGGTTTAACCTGTGAAGAAGAGGTTGCTGTTATAATTTATGTCAAGGTTGCTGGTCGAGTCTTTTGTTTCATACAAAAATAAAATGGACAATCTGTGACGTCTGTGTGACAAGAACACTGAAACCTTCCACAGCACCCTCTCTCTCGGTGAGGACGTTTTGATTCACACTTTGAAAATAAACCATCCAAAAGAGAAAATTGCAAAAATGAACCAATGTCACCAAAGTTATCCATCTGTCCTCTTCACCTCTGCTACACTCACTCACGTCCCTCCATCACTCACATATCAAAAACCTGCATTTCTTCATCACTTTTCTTTCCTGTGTCTGTTTAACCCACCATCCTCAGGAGAAGTATTTTGGTATTTTTTCAAACTGGGAAGAGTTGTGCATTTTGGGGGGTTTAAATTTCTGACAGGAAAAAAAAAACTCTAGGATTTACCCCAGTAGATTGCTTCATCCAGCAAACAGGCTGCATCGTCTGCAAAGTAACCCCTCAGGACAAATATATGTCCACGTTAAGTTCTTGTTTTCCCCACCTACAGTCTCTAAATGCTGTTTTTGATGTCTTAAAAACATTACTGAAAGACTTCCTGCAGAGAAAGACCTCTTTGTTAGCAGAAAAGAGCTATTTTCTCACTCCTATCGAAGGCAGTAAATAAGTAGTTATAATGAGCAAGGATTAGGAATTGCCACCTCAGCAGGGTTTCTTGTGTCCTTGTTTGAGTTTATTACAAAATAATACACCCTCAAAATTGAAAATCCACTGGAGCAATCCTAAAACTTTTTCATTTTAGTATTTTTCACACCAAAATGTTTAAAATTCAGGCCCAGATTCAAAAATACCAGAATCTCCTCTTTCCTTTCAGCTCCCACAAAACTCATCCAAGTGTTAGCATCCTTCCCCTATACCCTTATTTCCTTTCCTTAAAATCCTAATGTAAGGCCCGGCCTTTTCACATAACTGTCTGCTAATCCATGAAAACTAAACTCAGATTCTGTGATCTCCTTCGTCAAAGCCCCCATGCTCTGAGTCATTCAGCCTCCTTTAGAGTTGGTGCTACGTTTAGATATGCTTTTATGGCACCACTTAAACATGCATAGTACTTCTATATTTTATTTCTAAACCTGCTTTTCCTTGAGATCTTTACAGACATGAAAGGCACTTAAAAAGACAACCCTTTGCAAAACAGAGTCTCATGAGAGTTTGTGTGTATGAGCAGTCTTTCCTCCATCAACACTTTTCCAGGTCCAGTTGATAAAATGAAGCTTGTGGGGAAAAAAAAAACTTGATGAGTTCCTTAATATAATGGGTTGTGTCAGACTATAAAAACATACAAAAACCACGGCTGCACCGGCTCGCTCTTCCCACTCTTAAGTTCTGAGCTGGTTGAGGTTACATTTGTCTCAGGAGTGCTGGGAGCAAGATGCAGCTGTCAGGGTTTTTTTTATTTTTTTGTTGGATGATGTTGCAATTCTCATGTTGTGTCCTCACAGGTCGTCACTTTCCACCAGGCCACCAGGCAGCGGGCTGGACTCAGGGAAGAAGGCTGCCTTCACATCCAGGCCTCTCTCTGTCAGTGCAGCGTAGCGGCTAGTGGAGGGACGCACCTTCTTGGGCTTTGGGAGGTTGGGCTGCTGCCACTGAGCTGAGGACAGAGCAGAGGGGGGGGTCAAAAATGTGCGAACACAAGACTAACACTTTGTTCAATGACTCATGCAAAAATACAGCTCTCTGCAGCAAGAAAAAAGCTAAACAGAAACGAGAGAAAAATGAAAAACCTCAACCTACTCTAAGGAGTAAGCAAATGAAATTTAAGAATACTATTCAGAGTATTTAGAAAGCTTTGCTGATTCATGTGTGCATAAAACACTCTCTTGGCCATTAAACAGAGCTGTGTCAAAGTTCAAATGACTCACAGTTCATTCCTCAGGAAAAATAACATCCTGTAATAGCTTTATTCAGGATATTTTGTCTCATAGATTTCCCTTTTCGAAAGTGAAAACTTACTGTGGACATCGAGGCGAGCAGTGCTGGAGACAATACCAGCGTCATTCTTGGCTGAAACTGTGTACCAGCCGGCGTCTTCTTTCATAGCTGGCTGAATGATCATACACAGGTAGCCACAGTTGTCCTGGTGCATGCTGGGAGAAAAATTTGACACAAATTAGAGGCTCTGCAGTCCTTTTTTTTTGGTAGTTTAAGCAGGCACTCAACACTCCAAAGTTTCTTTGTATGTCTGCTGTACAGTATTTACCTGATTCTGTCTGTGTTGTGAGTGAATGACTCATTCTCTCTTTTCCAGAAGATTTGTGGGTAGGGAACTCCTGAGACCCGACACTCCAGTCGCACAGGATGACCCTCAGCCACGCTTGTGTTCTGCAGCTTCTCCACAAATGAAGGGGCCTTGTGCATCTCTTTGGCTGTGGAGATAACGTGTTACAGAGGATTTATCTTTGTCCAAAACATGCAAACACATCACCTTCACTCAGCTGTTTGTCTCTGCATACCTGCAACAATGAGCTCCAGGTTGAAGGAGTTCTGCCCGGCTCGGTTGCTTGCAATGCAGGTGTAAATTCCTGCGTCGCGGCTGGTCACAGGCTCAATGACCAAAGAGTGCACGCCATTTTCCCTCACTAGCATCTTGTGGGAGGAGTCAGGGCGGATAGTCTGTCCGTTCAGCTGCCAGATGAGGTCAGGGGTGGGCAGGCCGCTCACCTAAAGAACACAGCAAATGTTAAAATTAGCTCAATATGTGGATGCTTATTTGTAGAGCTTGTTTTTGTTGGAGGAAATGAGAATATCGGCTGCGTGTGTGAATCTACTGGGAGGATGGAAAGAGCAGTGTTTGGATTATCTGTCTGTGTTGGGTTTTTTGCATAAGCTGGGTCGCCTAGCATGCTTTGCAATGGAAATTAAGTTCTCTGAGCAACATAAAAAAAACTCATCTCTTCTATTCCAAGTCTTCAGCTGTTATTTCTGTTTCCTGTACCAACCTTCTTGTTTTGTTTTACCTCTATTGTGCACTTCCTATGGATGTAAGAATGGGTTATTACAGTTTAATTTATTTTGTTTTATTTTTGTGTTATTTTTGTGTTATTTATTATTCTTTTCCTCATCTTGATTGATTATTTCATTTTATTAGCATCATTTTGTTTTTTGTTGTTAAATTATAATTATTACTATTATCTTTTTTCCCCCCACTCTTGTCCATTGGGGGTGGGGGTTGGGGTGGGGGATAGGGATTTAATGCCTAATGTTAATGGTGTTGACTCTCTAATATTGTACTTTGTTTGAAAATTTCAATAAATAAATTGTTTAAAAAAAAAAAAATAATAATAATCTCTCCTTTCAGAGTAACCAAACACCTGCTCCACGCTGCTTGTCTGAAAAAAGTGTCACTATAGGCGTGCATATGTGCAGATAACCCACAGTATTCACAATTATCACAAAAAAGCAGTGATAAGCATTCTTAGAAGCCGCCAGGTACATTTTAAGAAGTTGGGAGAATGGAAAGTTTGCAAAGCACCACAAATGATCTGGAAATAAATATCTGCTTTAAATATCCTTGACATTAAAAGACTAGGGTTATTTCAGACCAGCGTAAGAAAGCAGTCTTTTTATAGTTAGTTAATTGTGGGTCTGTTTTAGTTTATTGCATGTACTATTTTTCAAAGGGCTTCAACAAGCTGGAGGCAAGACAAGGTGACTGAGGCGAGGGAAAAGAGAGACTAAGGCAAGAGGTGGAGGAGGGTGTGATTGAAGAAAAACTTGATCCCACTTAATCCCTGTAAGATGACACCTCCGAAGTCTCTCAGTGCTCTTCAAACCATTCATAACAGGGGGAAGGAAGTGATGAAACATTTCTTTTATTCCCTAAAGAAACCGGATTGCGTGTAAAGAGAAATGTTTCTTTGGCAGCGCAGACATGGAGCCTCCCAGAAAGAAACTCAGACACTGGATTAAAGGGCAGATCTGAAATGGTTTTCTTTATAACTATGATTAACATTTTCTCTTTGGTGCGGGCATTTTTCTTTTCCAGTCATGTCTGTTTATGTCAAGTTTAATCCTAAAACCATCTCCACATCTCTTTTATCAAAGTGAGGCAGCATGGATCAGAAACTGCAGAACTGGTGCACAGGCACTTAAAACACAAGTCTGCTGTGAGCTGATCGCCATTAATCCTCATGTCTTGGGAATAATACCTTAGTTGTTGTATTCCTCATGTTTAAGATCATATGCTCTGTCTTTTTGACATGCTCTTTTACTCCCAAGCAATTTCAAGTCATTCTCCCACCCTAAATCATCGTTTTCAGAAATCACCTTAATATCTTAAATTTGATCCTTCGACTCAAGTCAAAGAGTGATTCATTACATTTATTGAGTAACATTGCTATGGCCTCTTATCTTTTAACTTCTCTTACTGCAGCATCTTTCTTTCACAGTGAAGTTTTACACCTTAACCTTTTAATGTTGCAATTTTTTCCTTAGTTTTCCGCATGTTTACTTTAGGATTTTATTTTAGGATGCCCAATTCTTTTTAAATGCACGTGCCCATTTTGGATTAAAAAATGCCCCGCAGTGGTTAAGTAAGGGATTATCTACCTTCAGCAGTCTCTTCCCAAAAACACTCTTATTTATTTTTTTATGGAAGCTGCAGCAGCCACCACAAAGGCTTTTATCACAACATGTTTCTCACTCACCCCTGCACAAGTTGCACACTCATAAATAAAAAGGTGTGTGTTTACCTTGCAGTCCATCCTGCACAATCGGCCTTCCTGAACGATGAGGTCACCTGGCGCCTGCAAGAAGTGAGGGCGGAAGTGACGCTCCTGGATATTATCGTTCTCATCCCCGCTGTCTCTGGATCTAGATCTGGGTCTGTAGAAAAAGCAGAAAAAAAAAGTGTTTGAGGTTAAAATTTGACTTTTGGAACCTTTCAAAGATATGCATGGTGCAACTCTGAATCATAATAATAATAATATTTATGGACAAATTTTAAATTTTAACATTTAAATTACAGTTCTGACTTAATTTTTAGTATTGACGTAAATTGGCTTTGACTTGGTGTAATAAGAACACAAAAACTGCAATCCAAAACAAGATGATTCTATAACCTCATGATCCTATTCCAAATAATATGATAAAAATCAGTACAACAGGTTACATGTGCTGCATGAAAAATTCAAGATCATCTAAACTATCACGTCTTCCCTCTTTCAAAGACATGAAGTGCACATTTCCTGTATTATCTCTTGTCTCTAAATCTATACATCTCTCTTGACCCTTCATAGCACATTGGAACTGATGGTGTTCCTGTGACCGTGTCCCACTACAATGACTTAACCACTTATCCTGCATGTCAACCAGAGAGAGGAGAAACAGAGTGGGAGACATAGATTTTTATCTCAGCCTCACCCAAAACATCTCTGAGCTCAGTGAGTCTTCATCGAGATAACAGACTACAGGTGTTTCGTGAGTGTGATTAGAGCAACAGAGCAAACAGGTGTTCCCTCTTATTAACGCTGAGCTGTCTTTCTTGAGCAGAACATTGAACAAAGGAGGAAACTGCGCTTCAGCTCACAGCAAATATTTGAGTAAATAGATGTGCGTGGTCTAGACCTGCTCTTTTTCTTTGGATAATGACTGTTGTGAATTGGCACTATATAAATAAAATTTGATTTGATTTGATTTCGATGCTCATTGGTGGTTTTTACATCAAAATGCTGCCATTTGAAACCTGTGTGAGTGAGAGAGAGCAGTAGTAGTGCAGATGGTGAACAGTTGCACATGTGCAAGCCAGCCCGCAGCTTCAGGTTTTACTTAAAACAACCAAGATCTCTTGTTTGTCTTTCCTCCCCCTCTCCTGTCAGTCATCAGAATCCCACCTGCGCATATGTCCAGGTGTGGAGCGCTGGCTTCTGCCTCGCTGGTTCACAGCCTGGACCATCATCCTGCCGGTGCAGCTCACTCTGCCCTGTGAGCAGAGGAAGAGAGGAAGCTTATGAGGTGTTGACACTCCAAGCAGCAGTCAGACAGAGAAGAGGAAATCAATTGTGAGTCTTGGAGCTGAAAAGGCGACAAGAAAGCCTGTAGCACATGAACTTTTGACACTCATCAGGGCTTTAGTGATTTCCTGTCTCATTCAACGCCCTCTTCCTCTTCAGACTGGGGACATTATCTCGATACTCATAATTTCTCACTAATGGCCTAGTGCATGCTTTGTTTTATTTCTTGAGTCATGCACAGAGTTTTTCCTGCACTTTTTTTTTCCTGCCAACTTTCTCTCCTGAGCTCTGCGCCGTCTGCTCACCTCGGGGTTGCCTGCCATGATGGTGTAGTTGCCGTCATCATCCAGCGAGGCTGCAGCTGTGTGCAGAGAGCAGGTCCCATCGGCGTCACGGCTGATCCTGTAGTGCTCACTCCTCTTTGAGATTTGCTTGCCATCTTTAAACCAGTACACCTACAGGAATGAAGACCAAACACTATCAGATAAGTCATGATCGAAAAGAGTGACTGTCAAACGTAAAAAATATGTCATGCACCATCTAACCATTCTAATGTAGAGCTTATATTGCTCTTCTCTCTGCTTTTGTCTTTCTGCTTTCCATACATTTCATCGGTTCATTTTGCAGCCTGTCATCACCATGTCATTAAAATGGACAGAACCAGGCAGTCAGCCCAGTCCACTGTGTGTGCATGCAAAGGGCCTCCCTTATCACAACACAGAGCATATGTTTGACGTCTGCTCCCTTCATCACCAACCTCACACATCAGCAACTCCAGAGCCATCAGGAATCCCTTAAATATTTCATCTCATATTAAGCATGATCACCAGCAGTGTCTAACCTCCCACCTTTGGTTTGGGGTCTCCGTGGACTTTGCAGGAGAAAGTGACTGGCATGCCCTCGAATACTTTGTAGTGCTTCAGCTTCTGGTCAAAGGATGGCGCCACCCCCTGGCCAGCAGAGTCTTCATCGTGCTGGACATCGTCGTCTGATTCCTCCACTGGAGAACGCTCCAAACGGAATTCAATCTCACTGATCAGGCGCTGCTCGAAGCTGGAAACCTTGTATTCCTACATGCCAGAGAAAAAGAGAGAAAGAAGAGGGTGAACAATTCAGAGAAACAGCCCACCAGTTTTGTGTAAACATGTGGCAAAGAGAAGCACATTTAGGGCGAGCACAAAGCCATCAGTAAACCTCGTTTGCTCTCAGCTAGATCTTTTTCACACAGATATTAACCTGTCGTCATTGTCACCCAAACTACCAACTTTCTCCCAATTTCCAAATTTTCTCTGCCCAGATGAGCCACTCCTCCTCCTTCCAAACCAACTCCATCAATCTCTCATCGCTGCAGCCCTGCTGAGGCAGAGAGGGAACATCTGTGGAGCATCGTGGTCTGATGACACATCACACAGATAATGACAGGCCTTGGGCACAGCTGCACAACCAGCATTTATCCTGCTAAACTCACTCTGCTGCACGTCAGCGATCACAGAAGTGGCTCAGCTAGATCTGCAGGGGGATTATCCTGTTACAGTGCCCAGGCAGCTGCAGCAGCAAGTTGCCTTTTGCAACCGGACAAAGTAATATATCCAGTTAGCCTTTCTGCTGCTGCTTGAATTTCTAATGCAGAGAAACAGTGCAGCATGTGTTGCATGATGAAAGCAAAGAGGGAACACAGTGAAATCGTGGAAAAATCAAACACGCTTGCACACAATCAAGCTTGATTCAGTGTTTGGATCAATTCAAACTCACTACAACACACACAAAAACTGCAAAGGGTGCAAGAGTCGAACACATGCTCAGTTAATGTCAGCCTATTCTTCGGTGTTTACCAGACACACCTCCCTGTGAATGGATCACACAGTGAACCCGTATGACTGCCTTTTGTTCCCTTATCAGCTGATTCCCAGGCCTAACCCTGTGCTGGCCAGCACATACTAGCTTTTGAAGTTTGTGTGCATGCTAAAGCAAAGTGATGTTTTCAACAGAGTGAATGAAAAACTAAGCAGAAGGTGACACCAAGAAAAAAATAAAACCTTTTGAGGAAATGTTTCTCTTGCAGGTGACCTGTATGCCTGTTGAAAGAAAAGGGAGTTTGTTTGTGTGCTGCAAGAGGAGTAGAAATTCAGTTTAGGAGCAAAAAAATTGACTTCATGTCCCTAGAAACGTATCTCTATTCTCAATCGGTTCCTGCTTGTACTTAGGTTTGCTCTGCTTGTGCTAACTGGGGAAGTTTGAAGGGTTTGTTGCATGAAATATCTACGAGCAGGAGTAACAGTTTAAATAGAAGTAGAGCAAATCTAAGTACCAGCAGGACATTTTTGCACATGTATGGAAGGTTTGGATATGAAGCCTAACAAATCTCAGAGCAAAATCAGTTAAAAATGAGGACCACCTCTTTTCAAAGATAGAGAACTAACTGTGCAAACTGTTGTGTTGTCACTGGGTGGAAACAAATTTACTTAAAGTGTGCTGTGTCTGTGTGTGTGCATCTTAAAGCACATGCAGGACATAAATGATCTCTTACACACCTGTTGTATTAATTTGCAATGTGCTCAGAGTCATGCAGTGCTGCAGTGCCTCAACCAATCACAGTGGTCCAAATGCAAACAGGCTACATCACACAGGGATGGCACTTCAAATGTCAAGGTGGACAAAACTTGTTCTTGTGATGTTCTCTTTCACATCCATCATGAGTCTGCTTTTACAAGTTTGCGCTTTCTTGGAATGAATGAAGATGCATCATGCAGATCCAGTTTTCTGTCTGTGTCCTGCTATCCTTGTTCTTGTGGTATGCACACAGGGGGTGATCAATAATCAGCCTTGCCTAATATTGGAGGCTAGTATCCAGAATTGTCCTGATTATCTGTGTCAGTGTTTTATTTTACTGATTGCTGATATATTAAAGCTTCTGGCCATGATTGGTTATGAAACAGACAGGAAGGACTATTGATGCATCAAAAGGATGTACAAAAGTAAAGCAAAGTATCTTTACACTGAGGTCTTTATACTTGGCAGAAAAATCTGAGCTCTTATTCTAAAGATCAACCAGAAGTGGTTAACTATTAACTCTATAAATGATTTAATAAAAAGGTTAACTTGATGAAATATTCGCTAACAATATTTTAACAGAGTCTGTTCCTTGTTTCTTATCATAAATTTTGACAGACTTTTTTAGTTTTTTCCTATAAATGCCTACAGGTCTTATTTTATAAAGCTTACAACCAATTTCAGGATGAATCTCTACAACTGTGGAAGATTTAACAGCCACATTTCAAATGAAACTAGTTTGAATACTTAGAATGTCAAATATTTTCTTTTTATGTCCATGAGGCTTGGTAAAAGTTACAGTAAAATTATTCATACAATATTACAGATGATTCATGAATAAACAAACATTGGGTGGAGGTGCTAAACAGAACTTTCTTGTGGTGCAGATTCAGACAAATTGGCTGCACACGTCTTCAAACACTCCCTGACATGTCTGCAGGGACGCTACTTTCGACCAGTTTGCATAAACAAAGCTTTTTAAGGAGGCCTCTGGAGGACTTTGCAGTGTTTATACCCTGCTTTCATAACTCGGTCTTCAACAGTGTTTACAGGGGCTGAGGGTGGGGATGTGCTTCAATAAACAGAACATAAAGAAAAGCCAGAAGTCATGAGATGGGAATGACACCAGCAAAGCATCAGTGCACAAAATAGAAAGGTGCATATGGGTGTTTGTCTACATGCTACCGAGTGATTTATGTGCAGAAATAACAGGAGGGTGGGTTTATGTGATTTATCCCTCTCAGGTGCTCAGATGATCCTGATAAAGAGCCAGCATACCTGTGTGACCGGCTCCTCCTCTGTGTCCTGTGTGTTTAAGACTGTGGCAGCGTTGTCAGCACCCAGCAGTCTGCGAGCCATCTTCTCCTCATAGGTTAACCTCTGGAAGCAGGGATTAATGGGGTCAGCCAGGGTTAGTGTGTGAGTTGCAAAAACACACACTTATACACACCGTCAGCTACTTTCTTTGTCTGAGCTGTGTGTTAAAGTGATTTCAGTATTCATGAAGGAAACATTATGACTTTATCTGAGCGTGCGTTGCACAAAAGCTTGTTTAAAGAAGCTTTGATGGAAGTTAAACTGTTTCATGAAAAGTTTGGCATCAATCGGTGTTACTAAAAACACTCATTCTCTAAAATCCATCAATGTTTTAATGATGGAAAAAGGCTAGTTTACACACAAACACACACATACACACACCTGTTGACCATTGCTCATGCGCTCCTCCTTAAAGCGCAACTTTCTCTCCAAGTCCTGGATGACAGCATCCTTGGACCCCTGGATGTCAGAGTCAGATGCGATGCGGGGAGTCCTGGTGACCGAGGACTTCTTGGGGAAGGCTTTACTGCAAGAGGAACAAAACAGAAACATTTGTCAGCATTAAAGTGTCTGACCTGTGACGCAAACATGTTATCTCTACTCCTCTTTCCTCTCTGGCTCCCTCTAATATCCACCCTTATCTGGACATGTCCAGCCATAGCATTCCTCAACGTGTCTTCTTATCTCTCACAACTGCAGCAGGAATGCCGGGTGAGAGGGGGAGAGCAGGAGTGAGTGAGAGAGAGAGAGAGAGAGGGGCTGGTGAAAAACTTCTGGCAAAGAGGTGAGAGAGGAATGTCCTTTACAGAGGGAAAAAAGTCAATTTCTCCCTCCAGGACAGCCATCAGAGGGGGACTATCTGCACAACAAGAGATTTTTATCAGCTGTACCAAAAATCCTTCCACCCAAGCTCAGTCCACGTGAGCTTTAAGAAAAACTCTGGTGGATTCTGACAGCCAGCACCTTTGCACACAGTATCTACATAAACTATGATCATGAAACTTGATTGTTTATCTTGCTTCACACACCTTTTGCTCTCAGGTCCATATTGGTGTGTACATATTGGTGCCATATGTCTGTCAAATCCCCTGTACCGTGACAACACTCGTGCCTGTGTGTGTGGGTTTATGTGTGTGTTTTAAGGTGCTCCTTTTTCCTGTAAACATGCTCTGTAAAAATGTAAACATGTCATCTTTCATCCTGAAGACATCCTGCCTGTAGCTGGCAGCAGGTTTATCTGACCAGGAGCTCTGAGGCTCTCTGTGTACCTTTAGAAACTCACAAAATTTATGTAACATGACAGACACTATAAAGACGGATCCATATGTGCAACCTCAGTTCCATATGAGCCGAGCTACATTGTAAAATATTGATAAAAACAGAAGCTAATGGTTTCTAACTTAGCATGTATCTGACCGGAGATAGAGCTAAGAGAACAAATCAAATGTTTCAAGTGTTTTTGAAAGATATATACCTGTTTTAAAGGGCAACAAGCTTTAAAACAGTTAGGATAGAGACACAATAACTTCATAAAAGTTGTGTCATGCTAAAGACAACGGACAACAGATTAAAATTAGCATTTATGCTAACTCCGACATATTTACATTGATGCTTTCGCTGACACGTCAATTAATGTGCATTGTCATAACCAAATAAACACACACTTTAAGGATTTCGTTATCTACAGCACAAAATATTATCAAAAGATAACAAGAATCTGGAAAAATCTCTGTACTGAGTAGACAAGGCCCTAAACCAATGATTAATATAAACTTTGAGCCCTCAATGTGGCCCTGCATTATAAACAGATATGACTCTGTTGTGGAAATCACTGCATAGGCTCAAAATAACTCTGAAAAAGTATTGTCTGTGAACAGTTTGTTGCTACATCCACAAATGTTGGTTAAACCTGAACAGTGCAAAGAGGAAACCATGGACAAAAATCATCAAGAATTGCTAGCAGGGATCTGACCAACAAAATGTGACTTTCTTTTCGGAAATCATGGACCCCACATCCACAGCTTTAAAAGAGAGGGGGATTAACAGGGTTGTCATGTACTGTCTTAAAGTTGGTAACCCTGATTTGAATTTGAGTTACATGATACTTTTGATACTCACACAGTCCCGTTGCCTTTAGGGAGGCCCAGAGCGTTGACTATTGGACTGCCAGGTGTGGGAGGTGTGGAGGGCAACACTGAGGACAGAAAGCTGGAGGCAGGAGAAGGAGGGACGGAGGAGAAGGGCGATGACATATCTGAGTGTGCTGGAGACATGATAGGGGGAGGAGGAGGGGGTGGAGGGGGAGGGAAGTCTTGGGCGGGGCCTGATGGCGAGGACAGGTTACTGGGGCTGAGGAAGGGAGGAGGAGGAGGCGGGAAGGATGGAGAGCTTGGAGACTCCACACTGTTAGCCTTGGTGAAAGGGGGCATGACAACCCTGCTGAAAGGCTTGTGTGAGGAGGGGGGAGACAGGGGGGAGGACAGGCTGGACCCAGAGGAGCCTGAGGACTGGGTCATGAAGCCCGATCCGCCGCCTGGGCTCTGAGCGGCGATGAACTGCTTGGGCCGGGCGTAGTTGAAGGTGCTGGCCTGCATGGTTGCGCTGCTCTCCAGCTCCTGGAAGGAGGGAGGAGGGGGGAGAGGTGGAGATGGGGGGGCAGGTGGGAGCTCTTCCTGAGGTGGTTGCTGAGGTGGAGGCGGGACTTCCTGGTTTGGCTGCTCTTGTTCTTGTTGCTGTTGCCAGACGGTAGCTTCTTGCTGCTCCAAGAGGATCTGTTCCTGCAGCTGCTTCAGCTGAGAGGCGTTCCTGTGGAGCAGAAGACGATGATCAGAAATCAAAAATCTGTTTTCTAGAGAGGATTTTTAATCACTGAGGGGGAACAAAGTCACTGAGTCATAAAAATGTTATAAAATCATACAGCTGCTTTCGATTGGTGCATAAAATTTTGGCCTATCCAACTGTAGTTGGAATATAACTGGATGAAATGTTTGATACCAGATGAGAGCACAAAACATGTCGGTGAAACTGAGTGAACAGATGAGGAAGGAACACTTGGACTGTGAATATGTCAATAATCAAAGATTTAAAGCTTGTTGAGGATTAAAAATGCATGTTTTTATTCTTCCTATAGTCTCAGGGTACAAGAGTTTTTTTCATGCAGGCAAATCTTTAAACACTAACTTGAATATTTTCAATGTTCACTTTACTGTAAGCTCTCACACATTTGCTGCATTGCTTGCACTTTAATTAGATGTAACAATGCCAATGTTTACAGTCCCTCTCAAAAAATCTAAGAAATAAACCAATAAAGAAGCAGCTGTAGGAGCCATAATGTGTGTTTTGCCTGAGTGTATCATTTGTTGTTTCATTCCTTTCATGGTCATGATATCATCTTACTTTATCTTACTTGTACCTGTTCAGTTTAGTGGCAGGATTCAGACGAAGATGCTGAGTGGGCTTTCTGTTGACTGTCCTTATCATCCTCATTATCATCATTGTGGTTTAAGTTTGTAACTAACTGGTTTGTAGTAAGAGCTGAAAGTGATCCTTAAAGTTGGTCTGTACTCACCCTAAACACCTGTGTCATCCTGCATTTTTTAAGTATTATTTTTAAGGTTTTAATCGTCTCATAAAAAAAAAACACACACAAAAAAAAAGAAAAACAGAGACAGTAAACTGAGTTAGAAACAGGGTGAGAAAAAGCCATGCCAGAATCAAACCCAGGCTGTCTGCTTGAGGCATAACCTCTGGAGCATTAATGTAGACTACTAGGCTAGCAGTATCCCAATTCTGCTTTTATTATTCACAATGAAATGACACAATTACAAAAACTTTTGATGCATTTGATATCAAAACAGGCTGTTTCTGTAGTATGCAGTGAATCATCGTCCTCTGGGGGCCAGTTTTAGACATAAAAATGAACATTGTTTGCTTTTGCAGTTCTTAAAGAGACGTCACTTTTAATCTATGTCAGTTTTATAATCAACTCCTCACAGCAACTTTAACTTGTTCTGCAACTGCAGCTACTTTCTATCAGCCTTTAAACAAACAAAGGTGCACTTTACATTAACATGTGCTTTACTTCTAAACCAGAATCTAGGCCACATTCTTGACAATACTCTTTAGCTAAACCAAATGAAGTCCATCGTGACCCACTTTGGGACAGCAAACAGTGAGGATTTGTAACTCTTGCACCTCCAAACTAACTCAGCCTGCTAAAGCAATGCATTATATCTGTTTATGGGATAGAATAGACACAGTGGGGGAAATATCTTTTAAATTTTTTAAAGAAAAAAAAAAAGTTTTTTAAAATTTAAATTAGAGTTTTAGCTGGTCTTTGTCATGAAAAAAAAGTTGAGGAACATTTAAATCCTCATTCTTTTAAATGAAATGAACAGTGGCTGGAAAACCTTTCAAGAATAGGATGGTTTTCAGTGGTATCTGGTCGGCATGCTGTCGCTTATGTCAACTGTGTGTGTGTGTGTGTGTGTGTGTGTGTGTGTGTGTGTGTTGCTGTTCTGGGAAGGAAACCACAGCAGCAGCAGCCGCTCACACTGATAGGTTATCAGCCTTTGGGCCTCAACAAAGACCTGTTAAGCAGTCAGCCTGTTGACAATAATACATCTTGTGTGGTAGAGCAATCAGGAGAGAAGTGAAAAACAACTCGGTTTATTTTAACCGTCTAACAGACTGTAACAGTGCAGCTCAGAGTCAGGGGTCAGGTATGATGTTTTTCTATCTGAGGTCGAGGTGTGGCCCTGAATGGCATTGTAATGAAAGAAAAACAAAATTTGTAAAGTTGTGGTGTCATTTTGCCGGGGATGGGTTGTGGTGATGAAGTATTGTGTTTTCTCAGAGAGGTGTGGTTATCCTTTCTCTCCCCCGCAGATCGGTTGATTCACTGTAAAGTCACGTCATTGTGTGGGAGAGGAAGGCATAAAGTTTGTAATGTCATCAGCTTTGAACATTTTATTTTCTCATCGCATGAATGAGACAAACTCGAACAGCACCATGGGGGGGATTTAAAAAAAAACAGAGGGGAACTTTTGGAGGATCTCCATGAGGACCAGAAGGAGGACAAGACTCTTTGGGAAGTTATAAACTCTCAGAGTAAACCGCTATGTGTATGTGAGGCTGATGAGTTCTTCACAGGCAGTCTGCTCTGGATATACAGTCCATCCCAGTGCTGCATGTTGTCAGGAGTCCACCAGGACCAGTTCTCGTGCCCAAATCTTTTCCAGATGTTGAACAATCAGCAAAGTCTGTCGACTATTTTTCATTTGTGAGATTGCAAAGAACCCCTTCCCCTCAGCCTCCTGTATTCTTTCTTTTTGCAAACAACACCAGTGAGTATTTTACAGACCTGACAGTGAAACAAATCCCCTCACAATCCAACAGCTACATGACTGATTACGCTGTCCTAGCCAGTTATTTTGGTCCAATGCTTGCCTCCTGGGAGCTGCACAGACCCAAATAAATAGCTCTAAAAAGTCCACCATGATCATTCCAGCTTGTCCGAACCTGGTTTCCCTTCTCCAGACCACAAAAGCACACAATTGATCCAACGTGTGTCCTCCTTTTTGTATACATTCTTTCTGTGCATTCTCCAAACGTCTCCTGTTCAGGCCTCTCCACCAAAAGAGAGCTTTTACAGGAATAGTTTGGCAGCTCATGAGACTCGCAGCACTCTGCTTCCTTTTTTGGCTGTGTTCTTGGAGCGTCGGGGAGAAGCACCCTGCCCGTCTGCTCCAGCAGAGAGGAAACACACTTAATTTCCTCAGAGCCTCATCTCCCTCAACCCGACACATGGCTTTACTGCCTCAGCATGAAGGACCTCAGAGACCTTTATGTTTCTGACAGGAGAGATAAGACTGAGGGAAACAGCTCTGTTTGAAACTGAACCTATGTTTTTGGCAAAGGTATATGGATATAAATCTAGAGCAGGAGGAAGGGTGGATGTTAACCAGCTGAAACTTTGATCACTTCTTTGCCATAAAAGGATCTTTCTATATAAAGACACGACACCTCTAATGCTTTATCAAAATCAAGATCTGTTTATAAGACATGGATGTAGACGCTGTTATGACACCAACTGGATTGTGGACTGAGCCCCGAGCTCGGTATTCTGGCAGTCACCTGTTTGGAAGGCTAGAAGCAGCACTACATTATTTCTCTATATAAATGGCCATTGTAGCACCTGAAGGGAACTCCAGTCGGTCATTACTTTGACTCTAAAATAAACCATCAGGTACAGGTGGGTGTTTCCAACCAAAGGGCAAAAAACTTCCAGACCTAGAGACACTTTTCAAAGATCTGAGAGCCCTTCAGATTGGCGATTTCTAGCTCCTCAGTGCTGTCTGAAGACAGTGACTATATTATCTGCTTCACATGACATCTTTGCATGTGATAACACAACATAAAAATGTCTGTGATGCTATAAAATGCTTAGAGAATAAAACTAATCTGAACTGCAGCACTCCAAGACCCTCCCCTGACAGTTCTGCACTCTAATAAACATCAACCTCCCGAGGTGAGATCTTTTAAAAGGGGGAAAGTAATGCTCTAAAACTTTGGTACATGCAGTGAAACTAATGAGTTCATCTAAGGTTCCTGATCCCTGTGATTGCAGCTGCTTTCATGCATTAAAACTAACATTAACTTGTTGAATAAGTTTACACTGCATTGGCCTGACTATCCTTGCAGTTTCCTCTGCAAACCACTTTGCAACCTGCCTCCATTCAGGCCCCTTCTTTTAATACCCTGTCTGTTTTTCTTTTCTGTGAAATGCATTGTCATTGAGGCTTGCTCTGTCTTTGCTTCTGCTCTCCCTGCCTTGGCTTCTCATGTATGTGCAGGAAAGGGAGGGAAAATGTGCTCAACCTAGCCCAGGCTTCAACAATCAAGTGAAAGGCAAGTTCATTTTCTGGCAGACTTATGCACAATCACACTTCTCTGTGCAACCAGTTTGTAATACATTTTTAATTATATCTTTTCTTTGAGAACCAAGAGGGGACACACTTCAAACTGCCAGATATGATCATAAAATATGATCATTTGTTGTTGGTCATAAAGCCCCAGATTCAGGGAGGACAATAAAGTTTTACAATCAATTTGTCCATCTGCATTAAAATCATCCAAACACAGGTCAGCAGATTCACAGTCGAATTACTTGGTTTGCAATTTTGGCAGCTTTTATATTTGACCGTGCATAAGAAGGTCAGCTTGTATAATTTGCAGCTGCATGAATAGCTTTATAGCCCACTCAAGGATTTACATCAAGCATAGAACTGGATCTTTCTAGACTCTGTGGACCCTGCAGCCTCAGGCTCTGATCATCCAGACCGCTTCGACCACAAAGTGCAGGACAAGACCGCCGTATACGCAGACTGTGTCCTGTCCTTTCATCCCAGCTGAGCTCTGCTAAATCCTGACCCGCACCCTGGGTAAACCAAGATCTACAAATGGCTTGAGAAGCAGAGCAGAACTCCCTGGCTCTCTCTCATTCTCTGACCCTGTGGCTGAGCAGGGCTAAGTTAGGAGGGAAGTGTTCCTCTGTCGCCATGTCAACGGCTCTGTGTTTTTCTGCTCTGGTCTGAGCCAACCAGCCCACAGCGCCCTACGCTGCTTTGAGAGAAAACCTCTCAAACTCTGCTGTCTGTCATTCTGCAACACAGCTCTACTCTTATTTCTTTCTCCCTCATTGCCTCTCTTTCTTGTCTCAAATTCTGGTGGTATAAAAGGAAGGGCATCAACCTCTTCCCAGTTTTATCCTGCAAAAAATAAAAAAAACTTTCCTCAGGCTGGATCCTCTCTGCAAATCCTTTAATGAGGCACAGAAAGAAAGTGAAATTGAAAAGGTTTAGATAAACCTTGTCTGAGTAAGTTTGTTTCAGTTTCTACATTTAAAAGCTCATTAAGTAAATCCAGGAACAGTCTGACAGCGACTAAATTAAAGGGGAATGATGTCCCAGTCGGCCTTACCCCGAGACATGCCAGACACAGCAGGTTTTAACCAGCAGCATCTTGCTTTGATAAATGCAGACCTCAACATCTTAAATAGTCGTGTTTACTTGCTGCAGCTTGTTTGTGCTTCCTGAACAAAATGACCCGGCTGCGTGAGAAACTCATCCCTGTTACACCGAGCAAGCTGTGCGCCATCCACAGGTCTATCCACAGCTGCAGGAAAAGACGGAGCCGCTTTTATAGACCCGGCCAGCTGATGACAGGAAGTATTTAAGTGTACATAGTCAGTAATGAGGGCTTTCCTTCTGTAAACAACAACATGGGGGGGTTAAGACGTGCTTGTTCTCTGTCCGGCTCTGTAGGTGTTTATAAACAGAAAGAGCGAGTTTAGGAGTTTTTCCAGGCGGTGCAGGGAAAGAATTAAGACAGGGTGTTCACAGAGCTCTCGGGCTAAAGATGCACTGTGTGTTTGCAGCACACCTCTGTACATGTGTTTCTACAAACACCTGGAGCTGAACAACAACATGACCTCGTGATTGGTAAATGATTTACAGTCAAACAGAGCTGTGGTTGTATCACACCTGCAGTACAAACACAAGCTCTGAGGTCATGACACTCATGGTGCTTGAACCAGCCTGTCAGTTCATGACAGCAGCAGCAGGAGATTTAGTCACCAAAACATTGTTGATTTACACACCTTTTAAGTCACACAAAATGAGGTGCGTGTTTTTGTGCAGCACCTGTTCAAGGTATTTCCTCATCTCACATTGCATCATCACAACAGTACGTCACTGTGAAGCTGTCTGATGCCCTCGAGCAGAAGCAGCCTGACAGTGACTGTCTGAATGACTGTCAGACTCACAGACTATGAGTAAGACTGTCTGTCTACACGACAACACATGTTACGTCTGACCTACGTAAGGCCTGATCAATACGAGGAAGTGTGTTTATGTCATCTCTGGGTGGAAATGTGTCATGACTTTCAGGAGATAGTGAGACTTTGTCACACCAGACAAGTGTTTAAAGCCTGAGCAACATGGGGATCTTGAGAAGAGACAGACACCAACACTTCAGAGTGCGAATACTTTTGATTGTGGCATTTAAAAAAAAAAAAAGATTAAGGATTGTCAATTTGAGCAGAACATTTTAATCAGTGTTGTCAGCTGTCTCAAACTGAACACAATCTGCTGCTGAATGCAGGCAGGCAGGCAAGTCACTTACAGCCAATTGTAATGCAGTATAAATACCTTGCAAATTATGCAGTATAAATGTTTCACAAGCAGCAGTAGCACAAGGTTCAACACAAAATGATGTAACACCTTACAACCTTACATGCCACGGATTCTGCTGCATTCAGTAAAGCTGCAGGAAAAGGCTACTAAGCAAAAACAACATAGTCCTGACTTAAAAATAAGAGGAATAAATATCCTTAAAATAGTGGAAAGGTCATAGAGATGGTATGCGCTGGACATTCAGCCCATCATGTTGGTGATAGAGATAGCAGGTGGATTTGTGAGTCCTTTTTTCTGACTAACTATTCAAGTAAACCTAAGCTATAAGATCATAATGAGTTGAATTTTTAATTTTATATGAGAGTTTGAGTATAATTCTAGCTGGACTAAGTGAAACAGAGTACCCTAAATTGTTTACTTTAGTTATTTTTATTGAAAAAAATTAGAAGCTCTATTATCCAGTCAAATACAAGTACTAGATAGAGACTCTCATAAGCAGGTACTCAGCATTTGAAAAGATTTGATCTAGGTCAGAGGCCAAAAACTACTTTTTAAACAAACTATTTGATGAAAGAACATGAAGGATGTAATTTATAGTTAAAGCTCCTGTGAGGAACTGCCAGTTTATGTCAATTCTGGCACCCCCCTGTGGACAGAGCAATAATTGCCTTTCTCATCATCCACATGTTAAAGTTGTGTCTCCTGCTGACTTTTGAGAATCAAATATCCTTTTTGTGAATATCTAATGGAAAGAGAATGACACCTGCCCCATCACAGCTTTCAGGCTTTTAGATAAAAACATAACCAGGAAATTTGTCACAGATGGCCTTATTTGCTTTTGTTTAACATAAAAAAAGCACCAAAATGAATTTTAGTCTAGTTCATAATGTCCTCACAGCAGCTTTAATACACATATTCAACTAATTCTGGTGTGAACATGCAACTGTTTTCTTGCTTGCTATAGAAAGAAATGAAAGCTCTGCAAACTTCCGAGTCAAAGCATCTTCTGCAGGACAGACGATGCATTAATGAGCTCACAACAAACGTAATCTAAGAGGCTCTACAAAAAGAGCTGGTACAGACCGGACTCTTTCTTTTAATATTTACAACATTAAGAAAGGTTTTATCCCATCTTACAGACGAGAGTCTTATCTCATCAAAACCCTGACCGGAGCACTTTGCAGTGTTTAAGGAGTTACAGTGGCAAGAAAAAGCTTCCTTTTAATGAGCAGATCCAGGTTCATGTTGGATGGCCATTTACCATCACCATACTGACTCTATGCCTCAGTTGGACGATTCTTTAAAAAAATATAGATCAGAAGTAAATTTTAAGTTTTAAAGTCATAAATAAAAGCTGTTCAAAATCTTACTGTGGGGGTTCAAATGTAAAATCCTAATGGGTCTTTGTTTTACACACATCACTCACTTTCTTGACTCCCCCCTCCTCTCTTGACAAGTTAGGGAGCCCCAAGTTTCCAAAAACATTTCAGCTCATACTATAAGAAGCTGTTTGACCCACAAAAACTCAGAAAAAAACAGGCTGCTGCTGCTGCTCACATGATATCCAATATGTTACAGACATGAAAAACGGTTTGATTCTCCATCTGCAGACTCTACCTTGACAGCTGACAAGTTTTCTCTGTCCTCAGCCTTTGTTCCTCTGCTGTCCCAAACTTATTTTCTGCCTCCCTTGGTACCCCGGCCCCTTTCCCCCCCACTCCCCTCGTTCTCTAATTGCACACACACCGCATAAAACAGAACCAGACTGTTTTCCTTTCCCCCCTCTCTTTAAAACAGAGAGTTTTCTTACTGCAGCCACACCAACAGCTCACGGCTGCCCTACTTTCTTTCTTTTATTCCCCCCCTCTGCTCTCTATCAGGGGCTCGTATTTCATATCCAAGTGTAGGTGAAGAGGGCTCTCTTCAATCAGCAAGGCCTCCTTTTCTCTGTCTACCTCCATCAATCCCTCCCTCTCAGCCCCACTCCTCCTCTCCCCCCACCAGAAGAAGACGGGGAGTATTTTTTTTTTTCTTTCTAGCAAGAATGCTGAAGACATTCTTCCCTGAACTGGAGTGGGAAAGACATTGCCATCAAATGGGATTAGCAGCAGGAGAGGAGAGGAGAGGAGAGGAAAGGAAAGGAAAGGAGGGAGAGGAAGAGGAGAACAGGGTAGAAGAAGCAGAAAGCAAATGATGGCTCAGGAGAAATGAAGTCAGTGAAAGAGTAAGAGCTGAGTAAGACACAAGCTCTCTAACTTAACAGTCCCTATTGTGTTAACTAATCCGTCTGACTCCAGCGGGGAGCTCTGCAAACAAACCAACCCTGATACAAAAACAGGCTGTCTACTTTAAAGAAACGAGGGAAAACCACCTCACAGAGCCTCCTTACAGAGATGCTACTCCTCCTCTCCTCTTCCTTCTCCTTCTTCTGTCTTTCTGTCCACAGTCTGAACTCACTACCTTTCCTGAGCCTCCAGTAAATGAATGGGTGTCACATTCAGCCTCTCTGTGCTCCCAGCAAACCACACACCCACTCCGAAAACATGTGATTTAAACATTAACATGCCGAGCTGTTAACCAGGGAAACACCAAGAAAATGGTCCTTCGTCCACCTCAATCATTCCTCTTTTCTTCATTGCTCTACTCCCTGATTAAAGTAACATGCCAAAGTTTTGGGCTTCAGTGCTTTTCAGTACAAAATAAAACAAAATAAAATTGAAAGAGACAGAATAAGACACAGACTTGTTTCCCCAAAAGTTTTAAAGTTGAGGAAAAGGGGGAAAGTTCGCTTTTATCTGTTCCCATATCAGTCCAACTTAAGTTTAAATAAATTATTAGTCCTCAACAAGAAAAAGATGAAGTTTTACCTTCAGTGTTGTGGTGTCTTGGTGTTGCAGCTCTGTTATTTCCCTGCAGGAGCTTAAGGCACTGCTGCCCTGCCAGGTATGAGCAGCATATATAGAGTGCAGAGCGGCCAGACAGTGACAGAGGCAGTCTCTCTCTCTCTCTTTCCCTGCATGAGTCAGTCAGTCGGAGCCCCTCCCCTTCACAATAAAGGCTCCCAGCCCATCTGAAACCAAACCCTTTCAGAATAAAAGCCCAGCCCTCTACTGTTCTGTGGCTCCTGACCGAGGAACTTCCCTCCAGCCAGGAGTCAGGAAGCAAAAATAAAAAACAGCTAACAGAGTCTCAATAGGAAGAAAAATTAGTGAATCTGAGACACCAACAGAGTATCCGTTGCTGTTTCTTATCTTTTTGTGTTAAACTGTCTCCTAGATTACTAAAAGACAGTCTGACTGAAGAGAGAGGACTGAAGACAAATTGAGAAGTTTATCATCTTAACAATTTGTTAGGTCTCAAGTGACACGAATTGAGTTTTCTCATTGTCAAATAAGAATTGCACCAACGTCCTGAAAGGAAATAAAATCCCAACTCTTTATACACAGAAACATTATCTTCACAGGAGCTATTATCTTCCTGCCATGCATATGAAATATCAAACTTCTTAATAATACCTATTGTATCTGAGCTGTTGAACTGTTGAGTGATGGCCAGAGAGTCCAAGTGTCACTCACTTCACATGCAATAAACACAGGCTGAGAGAAGTAGACACAGCAACAGGGTTCAAATGTTAAGCCTAAACTAAATAATCTTAATGCTCCATTATTATCAATGACTGAGAGGTTACAAAAAAGCCTGAAAGTTAAGATGTCCAGAAGTTTCAGTTTCAGCTTATCAGCTTATTTTCAGTCCTCTTCAAAACAGTACAACAGTGATTTTGTAAATACAGTCAGTTAAATTTCCCCTTGTGGGAATTTCCCCTTGTGGGGCTAATAAAGTTGTATCTTATCTTAAACAATAAGGAAGACTATATTTAAAGTTTCTCCAACAATCATTAATTGTTTAACTATAACCACAGCGTGTTGAAAATGGTGGCGCCTTCTGTAATACTGAGGGGTATCTTGAGGTATGGTCTGTAACTTGTAAAGGATATTTGCTGTAATTTTGTGGTCTTGGCTGCATTAGAAAACAACATGAGTTACAAAATACATGTGAGTGCCAGCTCAGGACAGAATTGGGTACCCAGTTTGCCGACTTCATGTCTTATAAGTCATTAACATGATGGGAAGTTGACGGTTTGTTGATGAGTTTTATCAATTCATGTACTGCAAAACAACTTTTTTCTCTTATATACTTTTCAAAATTGGTATAACCATATCTCAGTGTCCACACAGAGTGGCCTCGACCTGCTAGAAAAGTTAATTATTAGCATTTTATGGTAATTAATCCTTAATCCCAACACAGTATAGTGGCAGATGACAGTCTAACATGAATGTGGTCCTACTCGAGGTTTCTGCCTGTTAAATGGAAGTGTTTATTAGATGATTTTATTAGGTTTAAAATAATTTCTGGCATTTATTAAATGATATGTGTTGCACTTACTCTCAGATGTGCGCCCCTTTTGGACAAAACCTCTTCAGTGCTTTGTAGCTGACAAGGAGGCAAAGATCACAACCATTAACTGTTTGGCCAAAATATAAAGTCCCTCATAGACACTTACATATTTCACCAGTACAGCTGAGGCATGGACAGAAGCTGTTGGCTGGTAGAGCTGCAGGACTTATGTCAGACCTTTTCTGTTCATCAAAACACACAGTAAACTTAAAAATTATACGTCCTAGATCTTTCTGGTGGGTCAGTCCACTGCAGAACAGATTCCTGTGTTGATCTGAAGTAGACATTCTTGACTTTTAAAAGTTCAATGACTCTTATGTTAGTGTAGGTTACATTTCCTCTTGTCTTCGCTTCTTTACTCTGCAAATCTGGTGCAGAATGCTGCAAGGGCCTCGTTTGCCAACAGAATGGTCAATCAATTATCTTAGTATAATCAAACATCTTACCAAGCTTGAACACAGACATAAACCAGCAAGTGAAGACCTAACTATAATGACAGAAATCATATTCGAGGAAAGTGTGACGAGGATTTTAATTTAAGGTTTAACCTGCAGTCAATTAGTTAAGGCGGGGAGCTCTGGGTATTTTGGCTCTACAGTCAATAAACACTAACAATTTAATAAACAGCCCTTGGTCACAATATGTTGCTATCATCACAATCTCTTATGGTTTAATTAACTTAGCTGGTGCACAGATTGCAGGACAGGAATTTGGGGTTCTGTAGCTCCTCAGGCTGCTCTCACAAATTCTATTTTCTCACTCTTAGGGCCAGCTTGAGACAGAGACTAACGTTTTTGCCACAGTGTCAACAGGCAGATTGATTTCATGTAGCGAGTATGATCAGGTTGTTCCAGGCATCATTTCTACTAATGAGCATTAATTACAGTAGTTATGGGCTTTTCACGAACCAGAGTCAAGTATTACACACAGCGGGGTAATAAAGGTTAAGAACACTGTGTTCAGAGCCTGTTTTTAGCTTGTCTAACATCCCTCTATTAGCAGACAAAGACATAGCGATACCTTTCCAACCTCTCATTCAGATACCGGTCCTCCTGGCTTGTAAAACCAAACTTGGTGTTCTACAAACCAGCGGCTGACATATGTGCACCCTATGATGCAAACAAGCTTATCACAACCACAAAGATCTGGTTCCATTCACTGAATGATGTTCACAAATATTCAGTTTCTCAATAAAGGAATTTTTGTGGGATGAAGCAAAACCTTTTGTGGAAATTCATCATTTCTATTTTTAGGGGAGAATGTCTCTATTTTTAGAGTTCGGTGTGTGTTTTTTCTGGCTGCTGGTGAGTCACAGTGTGTTGATGGACAGTGGGAGGCCAGGGGTGCTGTGTGTGTGTAAAGTTGTAAGTCTGAGTTTGACAGTGTCTGAATAAAGGGGAAAAAATCAGACAGAGTTATGAGGGGAGGGTCTTCCTGCGTCTATAGGTGCGAGTCATCCTCTTCATGTTGACTCACAGACTCTGAGGCGAGTCAGCGGGAATCTTCTCAGTGCTCTTGGTGACAGCGGTGTCATGAGATTAGTGTGTACACACAATGTTACACCCACTAATTAACATCAACAAGTGGAAGTGGTTTGACTGGGAGTGTGTCTAAAGGGAAGCCCAGCTGATACCACACATGCAGCCACACATACAAACACACACATGGCTCGCAGTAACGGCAGGGTCAGGATCCAAGAGGAGGATCGACCTCACCCGGAAACAATGTGATCCTCCAAGTTTGTGTGTGTTAGTGAGCACACCATAACTACCGGGTGTGTTTCTCTGTGTTTAACATCGCAGGATGATCTTTCCTGGGAAGCATAGGCTGCTTTCTACGAGGGGATCACTGAGTACGGTTAGTTTCCATGCTGTCACTCCCAACCCTGCTCTTTCTCTCTCTCTCTTTCTCCCCTCATCTCTCTGTGTGTCTTTTCATCGTTCCCTTCCCCTCTTTTCTCTCCAGCCTCCTCCTGTCTGTGTTGTGAAGGTCAGCGCCGACAACTCTCTTCCTTATTTGGAAAGTTTCTCCATTCCATGCAGGTCATTCTAGCCTGAACGACCAATCCAGTCATTAGTTAGTGTGGTGTTTCAGCCAATCCTGTGTCTCCCATGTCCTTTTAAGGACTGCCCCTCTCTGACTCTGGAGATTAATGTGAAATTATCGGCTTTTCTTGCTCTCTTCTGTCTCTTGTGATTTCATCTTTCTCTTTATTCTTTTGTACAAAGTTTTTCTGTTAAACTCACTGAAAACAAGAATATGCATCAGGGAACTAATCCACAGTTTCACTTCCATTTTTAATTGGACTTGCGATAACCCCGAGGAACCACAAGTAAAGCTCTCAGTGTGTAGCCGGTACCATATGTGTTTCTCAACCAAGCATGTGTCTCACTCTCCATAAAACCACGAGTAACACCTCAACAAGAAAGTGATTGTTAATACTTCATTAGCAAGTTCATGAGTTGCACCCCATAAACACAAACACACTGCTAAGAGGAAGCTCTGAGTCACTGTGCAGATATGCGACAAATCCTGGCAGCCACAGCTCTTTGCTTAGCCATGCAGACGGAATCTACACATTGTCTCATTCAACCCAAAAGATCTTAAATTTCAGTAGAGAAGTCTTACTTTAAAAGAAACAGAAAGCAAACTGTCGCTTCCCACTGTAACACAAGAGCTGTGTATGTGTGTGTGTGTTTGTGTTACAGTGGGAGACCAGTGAGAGCTGCTGGCAACAAGGAGTTTGTTGCCTTCAGTTTGCATGCAGTTCCCCCGACAACAGCCTCACTGGGGCTGAAGAGGTTTGGAGCTACTGCAGAAATTATTCAATCATTGGAGCACGGCTATTATGTCAAAGGTAAAGGTCGAAGCTGTGTGCATTCAGTCCACATTAAAGTGGATTAGGCCATTACTCAGTTTTATCACTGTCGTCTGTAAGTATACAGAGCTTAGAAACATAATTGATGCACATGGTGTCACACTGTTGCTGGGCTCCTGTGTTTTCGTGCCTCACTGGAGCTGTTTTTGTATTCAGTGAGTGGAAATTTGAAATGCACTGATGTGAGGACAAGGAAGAAGAAGAAAGTGGTTGTTGTGTATTGAAAATAAAAAGTTTGTATTGATTGATTTTTTTAACGGTAAAAACTTGACAAAGAGAGGGTCATACTTATGATGCATCACAGGAGCTTCTTGTCCTCAAAGGCCACCGTTGCTTCACCAGTGGGCGAGGGACTTCTAAATGTTTCTAAATACTACCAATTCAACTAGGGATGAACATGCAGTCCCCGGTATCTAACACCCTTCCTCGCCACAATGCAGAGGAGTTTAGAGTCAGCACAACATCTCCTGCTCATTTAATTGCTGTTTTACTGTGACATTTGAAGTGATAACTGTGGATTAATCTTTGTTACTGTGAAAATCTGCTCTGACAGCATTAAAGCAAATGTGACAAAAATGTGTCTCCAACAAAGGAAAGAATTTCCAAAGACATTATGAACAAGGATGCATCTTTATGGTGTACAAAAGCAGATGAGACCATTGATGACAAGACTGACATTTGCAATCCTGTGATTTTAAATGCCTGTAACTGCTGTGAGGGGGGAGGTGTTCTTAAGAAACAGTCTTAGTCACTTCTTCCAACAGCAACAGTGGCTGATAAATTTCAAAATAAAAGTCAGTGACTGATAAAAGTCAGCAGGCGGAAATTTTTGTTGTTGTTGTTGTTAAATACCACTTAGTCCACAGGGGATGTCAAAGTTTACACAGAGAGACAGCACATTTCAAAGGCATGTGCTGTTCTACGCTGCAGTCTGCTGGGGAGGAAGCATCAACCACAAAGATGCAAGACGTCTTAACAAACTGGTGAAAAAGGCTGGCTCTGGGGTAGGACTCATGCTGGACTCAGTGGAGGATGTGGTGGAGAGATCTACACTGAGGAAGGTGGAGACTATTCTAAAGAACATGGATCACCCATTTCACAACACCTTGATGGACCAAAGGGCCAACGGTGGTGGACGGCTCCTCTCTCTTCGCTGCAGGACAGAAAGATTCAGATGATCTTTTGTACCAACAGCCATCAGACTTTATAACTCTTATGTAAATTATAGATAACTTAGAGACATATTATGTGAGACAACAGACAATTGAATTTCCCTTCGGGGATTAATAACGTTCTTCTTATGCTTATTCTTAGTCCTTTACTGGAGCTTTAAATAGAAAAGAAAAAAATATTTTTGATTGTTTTTGTTATTACGATATAAATAATATTACTCTTTTGTCTAATATGACACGATGAGCTCTGCCACTCTGTGTTTGTTTCTTTCCAATTTCATTGTTATTTGGCTTTAATTTTTTTAACTTGGAGATAAATTCTTTGTTTTAAGTTCTGCAGTGCTTAGCAGAAACTAGGTCTAGATATGCAGAGAGCCAACTGAGTACAGGTGTGTGATAAAGACCAGCTTTTTATTACTATTTCAGATTATACAGCCAGGCTACTACTCTGTCTCATGGAAAATTAATGAACATGATGACTTCTCTTTAAAAGGACAAATTTGTCTTGGATTCTGTTGCCAATCAAGGACCACATCTAGTTGGAAAGTCTAAGGGAGAGATTCACATCCCTAGTTTCTATGCACTGTTCCTTTAATCCGTGATGGACATCTTGGTTGTTAATGTGAACAACTCCAAGGCATTTAATCCAACAATTGGTATTACATTTGTGGTTTTCTCAGTATGGATTAGACGAGAAGTCCTGAAAGGTCAAAATCAGCAGAGAAAAAGATGACATTGAAAATAAAGACTTAAGGCCCTGTTAAGAAATTGTTGTTGTGAGTAAAGGCTGAGATGTGCTCCTTTAAAAAAAAAGAAAAAAAGTTATCCGAGACACTAAAAGCATTTTGTGGATTGAAATCTGTGCAAGAAAGCACTTTGGACTGTCAGAGCAGATTCCTGTTCTTATGAAGGACAGATGAAGCCCTGGAATGGTCCGAGGATAATTGTTGCCTTTGCTAACACTCACCCACATATCATCATAGACTGTAATATAATGCTTCACCCCTATTATCACTGTCAATATCAGGCTGGTCGCACCTACAATGTGCTGCACTGTCTTCTTCTTTGACAGGCCAGGGCTAAAACACAAAGCCAAAAGTTTGTGTTTCACTTCATGCATTTAACTGAAATGACAGTGAGAAATGCAAAATGCTCTTGTGAAACTCCACTTTGTGCAATCATACATTGATCAATACAGGAAAGCTGACATTGACCCCAGCAGTACTGAAATCTCAACTATTAACATACACACACGTAGGTTGGCATGTGCAGGATTATGCACATGCAAACACAGCAGGTGGAAACCCAACATATTGCTATAAAATAAATGCAACAACGATCACCATAGCGTAGGTTTCTGTATCAAAACATTATGATGTTTTGCAATGTGCTTTTGATATCATGTCTTGCCTCCTTATCCACCTTCCTGTCCACGGCTTCCATCATCTGATTTGGAAGGACATGGGGCTTAAAAATTTGCACAAAATCCCAGTTGTATGTCTGAACAGGCTTTAGTTATTTGTGTGTGGACAGCTGAACACTTGAAGTCCTGAAAAGAGGGGTGCTGTGTTTTTTTTAAATCAGGTTAAACCATAACTCTCTCTACCATGTTATTGGGTTTCTTCCTGCTGTAAGTTTCATATTGGTATATGCATTAGATGGTTGATAAAAATGTATGTTTAATTTATACAAACATGGTCATTTTTGTCCAGAAGAAAAACCAAAACTGGGACTGAAAAGAAAAAAAAAACAATTTGAGGCCATAAGATGGTAGTCCACAAACCAAAGGGCGAGTCATGGCGGTCACTTCTTTCATAGTTCTCCGTAGCACCCTAAGCTAGGTTTCAGTTTCCATACATAACACATACAAACTTAAAGCACAGGGTAATCTTAGCCAAGTCTTTTTTGCTGTGTTTGCTTAATTCTCAGAGCAGTACCCAAGAGAGCAACAAAAGACTGTATGCACATGGCTTGGTAATTTTAGAAGTTTAATATGAAAGCTTTTTAAAACTGAACAACTTAAGCAAGTAAGCAAACATGATTCGGTTGCATGTAAATCATTACTTGCATAAATGCACCATGAGAAGCTCAGATCTACAGGGACATACGATGAGATGGTGATGCCAATTTTCACCCCATCTCCTCGCCACCATGTGGTAAACTTCTGCTTTCTCTCCAGACCTGCCTCTTGGACCAGGTCCATCTGGCCAATCCGAGCCTCTCCCCTGAGAATTTCCTCTGATTCTTGTCCTGACGTCTGACATCAACGCCAGGCATCAGACCCAAATACCTACCAACCCTGTGCTCTCTGTCTGCAGCACAGAAAAACAGCAGCTCTATTTTCACAGCTCAGGTCTCCTGCCGTCTCCTCTGACTGCCAAGTCACACAACCACTTCCTCCATCTCATCAGCCCAGTGTTATTGAAGCAGAAATCATGTCTTACATAGGCTTTCCACAAGGTTATTTCTATGATTTTAAACCATTTATTCTAGCTTTGCGAATACATACACACCTCTCCAATGGCTATAAACACTGGTATAAAGATGGTGATGTTATTTAATACACCTGTCTTTTCAAAAATTGTGACTTTGAAACATTTTTCTGGGATATTTACAGGAGTAACATTGAGTTAGTGCTTTAAGCTTAAATGTGTAGAAATCTAGACAAATTAAAGTGTAAGAAATAACCCTTATCAGAGCCAGACTGGTTCAGGACCTGCCAGACCAAGCAAGGATTTGAGAGACCGGTACAGCTCATTTGTTGGAACAAAGATAAATATCTTCCATATGGATTGTGCATCAGGAATGAGAGTAAATTGGATCACTTGGTTGACAGATTTGTCGGTGCAAAGTAAGCTGTACAGCAGGCACTGCAGGCCCGAAAGTGAAGCTCCAAATCTACCAGTAGACCCATGTTCCAACCCAAGTCCAAAGACCCTATAAACTTTAGGCCACGACCAAAAGAATGAGATTATGAATACAAGCAGCTAGAAGGTACTTCCTTCAAACTGTGTCTGGGCCAAGCCTCAGTGACTGGATTTGGAGTTTTGACATTCAGGGGGATCCTGAAGTAGAGTTGCAATTTCTCCCCATCAAAAGGACTCACTTTAGGTCCTTAGAATATCTATATGAGGTGTACTCCACTCACAGGCAGATGTTTTTGTGTTGCTTTTGCCTTAAGTACACAAGCCAAAAAACTTCTAGTTCCCTAAAAATTGAGGTTTTGCAGAAAACATCTTTCAAAGTGGTGATTTATAAAAACTCTGTTCTCTGTATATTTTTGCGGGAACCAAAAGTGAAAATTTCAGAACACGCTGTTGTCATTACCTCAAGTTGTGCATGGCAAATATTGTTTGTATTTAGTGAATGCACCAAGTTGGCAGATGTCTGTTTAGCACTCAGTTTAATAGCAAGTTTAAGAGGAAAACTACTTGTTCTTCATTGTTTAACACAGTCCAGAGCAATTTAATACATCATTTTTAAGTCTTTGATTCACAGCACTGCAACATAGACTGTTCAGTACAGAACTGCGATGCGTAATACACATGACCACAATATTTGTGAGCATTTATCATTTTTATGCACTGTCGTTTCTTTGAAAATGGAGGAGGAAAACATACATGTGGACTGGGTCTAAAATGTCTCCTGGGCACTTTCCTTTGGCGGTTTACTGAGCAAGTCCAGTTTGAAGGAGACCTCAGCGACACCCAGTGTGCTGACTATATAGCCTATTTGGTCTGGGAACACCCCAGAATAAATCCAGGAGGAGCTGGAGAACACCGATCTAACAGGGGGACATGCTAAACCGACTATTATCACAACCCGGCTCAAGAAAAGCAGGACAAAATTAATAAATAGACAGATGGATGGGTTGAATGTGCATCAATTTTTGTCCAATAAAAATATCCAAAGGTATTCAGAGAAAAAAAAGTTTCTTTGCCAAAAACTGAAAAGATACAAATGAAATACCCACTTGGAAATAAATACTTTCCAAAGACATATTCAGTAGTCTTTGCCCAACTGTGATGCTAAGCTACATGTGCGGAAACTTGATGTACAGTAAGGAGCCAGGGTATGCTTTCTGGACAGACCATGGTATGAAATTATGAAAATGTATTAATTTATACATTATATGTTTAAAAGAATAGGATTGCATGTTGGTAGGTAGAAAACATGATTGCTTTTAAGGCAGCATTTTGCTATTTAAATAGGAGAAAATGACATACAGTAGGTCCCTGATTCTTCTTATGAAAGGGAAGATCGTAGGCTTCAAGTGGGGTGATCTGTCAACTCTCATCTATACTGATCCCTCTGCCTCTGTGTGAATGAAGCATAGCACTCCAGCTTCACCACAATATTGCCTTGTGTTAAAAATAGTTTCCATTTTGTCTGTAAAATTTATGGCTTTTCACTAGAGAAGAACTAAGAAAGTCTCTGTGCTTATTAAACCAAACTCCAGTAAAATGTTTCAAAAAACGAAGAAGCAATAAAGTCACAAAGCCAGATCCTTTTCAAAGGCTGCAGGATTTACTGTGCTCTGTTTCATAGCACCATGTGGCTCAAAGAGAAGAAGCAATATTTGTCTGGCTGTCTGAGTTGGGTACGCCACACGACAAACAGGATACGATGAACTCAGTGATAAGCTTGAGGAGGTTTTCTTAGGTCAAGAGAGGTCAGTCTGTGTTCACACATTACCTGAGGACACCAAGCGCTGCCTGGAAGAAGTGTGACCTTTGGTTAATGGCAGGGTTGTTGTTTTTACTGTGTAGTTAAAAGGGAAGGGGGTGAGAGGGATGGCCTATGCTGTCTAATTGCCCTACAGTCAGGAGCAGATTGTTCATGGCTTTAAATTCAGTTGTTATTGCTGATAAATACTGAGAGAAGCGGATTTACAACCTTATCTTGAAACAGAAGCCAGCTGTAAATCAAAAACAAGTCTATAAATCTCCTTGTGCCGTATATGTGGTTTGAAATAAACATTTATTGTAGTATGTACATGCAAAGAACTTAAACTCCATATAGAAAAGGGGCTTCTCTTTCTGTGGTAAAGCTCAGCAACACACCAGATGCGTTCATTCAGACCAAGCTGTATGTCTTTTTTAATCGATCAGCTGATTTCGAATTAAACTCGTCTAACCACTGCTTGGAGCATCATTAAAGTAAAGCAATTTATATTTGTCTGTGTTTGTTTCCATGAGAGTTTGAATAATGAGGCTGTCAAACCACATCCAGAGCATCACCTTCACAGTCAAACATTAACCTGTAATTTTCTCTCTTCTCCATGATACTCTCAGCACTGAATGGGGGCATGGTATTAAAAAGCCATAAAATGTACGTACACAGACATTTGAAAGGCAGTAACTTCTATCAGCTGGGGACAAAGTCACTAAACATGCAGCGGAAATTCTCTGTGCAATGCGAGAACCAACACTAAGAAAGTTATGGAATTAAAAACCTGTGCAATTATTGTTCCCATTAAAGTGAGTTCTGCCAAATTCAAGGACATTTATAGAAAGAACGGAACAGAAAAAACACATAAGCACATGTAACACAAGAGTCAGGTGATCACCGACTTTTGACACGACTTGTTTAAACTGAAAGTTTCATGTAAAGGCTCAAACAAAACAAACAGTCAAACAATCAGTCAGCTAACCAACCAACCAACAAACTAACTAGCCAGCCAACTAGCCCACCAATCAACTTTTAGACAGTCCAACATTGCAAGCATGGCTCACCCCAATCAAGTTCTTTGTGAAAGTCTGAAAGTATTAAAATGCACAGGTGTGGTAATAAGATCACCCGTCCTTATCCTCTCTCTTTTTCCCCATTCCTGTCTTTATTACTTGGAAGTGACCTCTGATATCCTCTTTGTTGTGTAAACAAATATTTACTCAAAACTGGAAAAGAAATGTATCTACAAGTTGGACTGAAATTCACCCGTGTCTACAGCAGACATCTGAAAGCACAGGACTATTGAAAATAAATCCATTCAATACTCCACTCTCTTCTAATAACAGGGACATCCTACCTGATCCCTGCAGAGCTCACAGAAAGGTGCTCAGGAAAAAAACAACAACACACAGTGCCTCTGTCCGGAGCTGGGGTCAGACAGAAACAATAGGAGCCATCCAGCAAAAGCCTCACAGATCTGTTTACAGCCACAGACAGACAGACAGACAGACGGCAGCTGGCAGACTCGCCCTGGCAAACATGATGCCACATTGACACCCACATAAAGACAGGGGAATGCTTTTGTCCCCAAAAAGGTCTGGGATTTCCCTGTTAACCCTTTCACAAAGCTGAGACACTACCATTTCCACCTTTTCTCCCCCTCTACCAGCCCTCCCTGGTGACTAGCCTCCCCTCGGGGCACAGACACATGTGGACACTCAGGTACTCACAGCTTTGGTTTAGGCTTGGTCGGCAGTGGAGGACCTTCTTTCCCAGGGGATGGAGACAGCTTGCCTGGGGGAGTAGGTGAGTCTGGTGCCAACTGGGCTGGACTTTGTGCCTTAGCTGGGAATTCTGTCACTGGATCAGGTAGTGGCAGAGAAGGAGGAGGTGGAGGTGGAGGAGGAGGCAGTGGTGGGGTAGCTGCCTTGGGGGGACTTGGTGGAGCTGGTGGATTTGTAGGTTGGCCATTCTGTATGGACCCCTGGCCTTTATCGTCCACCTCTGAGCCCATCTGCACAGGAGGCAGGGCTGAAACGCTGGGCCAGATCTCTAACTCCCTGATTTGGAAAGACTCACTTCCAGGTGGAGGCGGCAACTTGGGTGGCAGCTCCAGGAGGCTGATTTCAGTGGGTGGGGGAGGTGGGGGGAAGGCTGCAGTATCCTCAAATCCTGAGCTATCTCCAGACATCCCATTACTGGATGAGTCCTCAGATGCTGCAGGAGACAAACACAAATGGAAAAAGCCAATTGTTTGACTTTCATGTTGTTTTTTCCACTCTCTGGTCACCTCACAGATTCAGTTAGACACACAGGAATGTATCCCAGCTGATGTGGTGATCTAAAGCAGCAGCTGTGTGCAGTCAGGCTGATGAAATTCTTGTTTATTCAGCTCTTCCTTTGCGGTGAGTACTGTACTGTAGACACACTGTGCTGTCTGTGTGAATACACACAGAAATATTTGTGTTCTTCTGCACTCAGGGAGAGCTGGTCATCGACAATCCTGCCTCACTCCTCCCCAGAACAGATGACACAATATCTGTGACACAATAATATCATACAGCAATATACATGACAATCTACTAAACCTTTAGAAATGCCTGATAGTATCAGGCTTTAGTGTAATCTGATTGATTTCCAAGAACTTTATACATAAATGCCAAAATCTTTTTCAAAACTGACATCATTAACTCTGGTTAGGCTCTTGTATTTGGAATTTAAACCCACTTGTTTTTGGACATTTAATTACCGTGAACAGAGCAAATGTTTTCCTGTTGAGCCAACTCAGTTTAGCTTAAGTAAGAGACCACTTGTACAGGACAACAATTTGTTAACTACTCCAAATTTTTTACTGACTTTGAAGCCTTAAGTGGATCATTCAAACAAAATCAAAACTATGGTTTAAGTGCACTTGAGTTTAATTCACTTTCAATATGAAACCAAGTATAAAATGCAGGAAAGCTACTTATTTTTTTTTCCGTATTTGTTTCCAAAACACTGTTTGTTCTTTCTATCTTTTACTTTTGGGCAGTTGTTATGGTATGCATGTTAGTGTCTTTCATCTTTATATCTCTCTTTTTTCTTTAAATTCACTAAAAGCTGAACTAAGGACAGGAGTTGGAAACTAGCTATAGCAATTATCTCTATGAAAAACATCAGTTACTATAGATTGTTTGTAACAGAAAGCTGCACCACCCAATGTTCAATTTCCCTTTCAAATAAATTGTATAAATAAAGAAATAAAATGATGGCCTCTTTAGCTATTTACAATTTAGTGCTTAATTAAAAATGGAAAAATAGGTGACAAGGACTCAAAATTCATGTATCCTATTTTGGTTGTTTAATAACTCATATTCCCATAGTGACTGTTTGTGAGGCTACACTCAAGAGAGGAAGCTTGAATATTACCTATGACCAGCTGGTTATACGCCTAATTAACCTCAATATTGGTGATTTCCCAGCTGCCTGTAAAGACAATGGATAATGAAAACATGAGAAAGATGGAGATACTGAATGTTTTATGTTATTAAACATACTTGACTGCCCAGCAGCTACCATTTAGAACACAGCTTACATTAGCATTCAGTAACCTCCTAGTTGATATTAAGGTCCAAAAGATACAGATTCAACAGGGAAGGAGACTTACAATAATCTTATTATTAACAATTATTTCATGGACTACTTTTGAAGTGACAACGTCATGTTTACAGCCACAAACAAACAGCAATTCTCTATTCAAAACCCACCCATCTTGATAATTTTAAGGCTTACAGTTATGCACTATTTCGTATAAATAGATGCACCAAGAATTTGAACAACTGGTGCAGTAAGGCTATAGGCTCAACTCCATCTCTTTGTTTATTAAGATAAGTCTGAAGCTAGTTGGAGTCAGCATTTTCAATATGGTGGCTAACATCTTTGGTCTTCATAGTGCCTCTTTTGAAACATCACAATGGCGTTGCTAAGATTAAGTCCATCTCAAATACAGTCTGTTATTTGTGCAGTGGACAGTAGCCAGTGTTGGAGATATACTGCTTAGCTTTGACATCTTGTGAACTGCTTGTTGTTGGCTAGCCTTTTTTTAACTGGATATAACGTGCATAAAAATGGGTTTGTCTTGAAATTGGGGCTGTATTGACTTTTTTAAATTGCAAACTCAGTAAAACCTTCATGGAGAAAGAACCAACAAACTCACAAAAACACCAAAACAGAAAGTTTCACTGTGATGCTAGATTGGCAGCTAAGCTGACTGTTGCATTTAGACAACATTGCCAGCTACCAGTTGGTACATGTAAATGACCAACTGTGCATTTTATTCTGTTTGTTTGTATTGGACCCACCTGCAGTGACAGTGAGGTGGGCTGTGCTGTTCAAAGAGCCAAATGCATTGGAGGCTGTGCAGCAGAATAGGCCACCATCCTCAGGAAAGGCCTCAGCTATCACAAGAGTGCAGATCTCCTCTGGAAAAACAAAAATATTCACCATCAAAACACCTTAATAAGATACCAAAAGCTCAATTTATACATGCAGAATGACAGACTTGACTTTGATGAACAGTAATCTGCACAGGTGTGGAATGAGGTGACACGTTGATGCTTGTTTTGTTATGTAATGTCATGTCACGAGACATTATACGGATTTTGACAGACATGTTATATCACGACAGACATGTGATGTGGAGCGGTGATCATTTCAGACTCAGTGAATCATTTTCAGACTCAGACACACTTGGAGCAGCGGGGACAGACAAACACGCACAAATGCGAGCTCTCACGAAGAATCGACAGACAGACAGACAGACAGACACGCAAACACTGAAGCACAGATGTTCACAGACGTCTGTGTGACTCACAGCCTGAAAGTAACACCTGAAACGACCCCTGAGTCACACAGGTGCAAAAAAGTCTGACATAAATGAGCACGTGTGTCATTGTTTATCTGTTTTTTTTTTGGAGTGTGTTCATAAGCTTGATTCAGCGAGTCACAGGGGATCTCAGACTTTCCCAGGGAGTCCCTTAGACTGGTGGATTTAAGAGTGGGTGTTCTGTGAGACACAAGAGTTATTCACCATAGTCATAAATGGGTGAAAGGCTGCAGCCGACAATGAAACCATCAGCCTGGGTTTTAGCCTCCAGACAATGGTACTGATGGTTACTAATTTGATGTACTGGCTGTGGTTAACAACATGAAAGCAGTTTGAAAGGAAAGCATGCATTAGGCAGGAAATGAGGTGACAAACCTGACTCAGCTGCAGATCGAGGCTCTGCGGGAAGGAAGAAAGAACAAAAGCATAAATCAGTTTGGAGCTTATCACAAGAATTTCTTGATTACAAGTGAGTGAAAAACAGTGAAAAAAGAAAGCCTTACTTTTCTGAAGTATCCGAAAATCAGGAGAATCCAGGATCTCCTCCCCCTGGCGGTACCATCTGACTTGCAGAGGAGGGCTCCCTCGGACCCTGCACTCCAGAACCACCACCTGGCCTTCAGATGCCTGGGCATCCTGCAATGGCTGCAGAGAGGAGGATTAAGTAACAGACAGGTCATGAGGAAAAGGGATGAGTAAGTCCATAATGATGAATAAATGAGAAGATTCAGTAAGTGGTAATGAAAGGGGAAAGCTTCAAAGTTAGAGAATTAGATAAATAAGAGAGATCGCTGAAGATGACGCATGGTCATAAAACACTATTTGAGGAGTCCAGAGAGGCCAGAGGACATGGATACCACTGAAGTGTTTTCATTACAGGACAGAAAGCAGCTGAATCTCTGGATGAATCAAACCAAAAATGGCAAAAAAATAAAAAAATAAAAATGTTGTTATGACCAAAGAACCAGGTCCTGACAACCTAACCCAAATAAAGCCTCCAGGATTTGTGTCACTTTGCGTCTCTGTATGGCGTGCACTCCAAAGAACGCACACCATGCCACTGTTCATATCCCTAACTCCTAGATACCACTTGTATCACATTCACACCTCACTTTGAAAGTGCAAATTCATCTCTGGAAAGTAAATCAGCGCAATCATGAACAATCTTCAAAAGCAAAACAACCCTGGAGTTACTTTTGGGACCATTTCCAGACAAAACAAAAATGCTTCCTCCATAATTTTGACATCCACTGACATTCCTTTGTTGATCTATCTGGTGAATTAATCTACCAATACTCCAAAAATATTAAATCTAACTGTCAACCCTGTGCTTTCGATTCATTTTTGCACAAATGAGCATCAGATTTGGTCCAAAAAGCTGTCAAAGAGGGCAGAAACCTCAAGTTTACTTTTCTAAAGTATTACATTTCAACATTTGATGGCTTCTTAAATATTTGGAGAATAATTCACTGCATTTATTTGATGGTTTCTGGAATACAAGTTATCTTTTTAACATCATAACTGACAGCTAAATACCTGACTTTTGGAAATTGACTAGAAACTAGATGATGTTTTATTTGCTGTGGCAAGCATGTCTGGCCCTTCTCCAGTTCAGATGGAGCTACCTGCCTGAGCTTGCCTGAGCTGTACTGGGCTAATCACAGTTGTATGGTTGAGTGATGAGCCATTGAGATGATTTAAATGCAGTTTAATTCATCCAATTCATTCAGCTTTCACATGATTAAGAGGTTGGTGTTGGTCTCTGTCTGGAGTTTTTAATATGTGAAGGGCTGAACTGAAGCCGGCGTATGAAGAGACAACAGTGAGGGTGTCCTCTTCTTCTGGCATCCATAGACTGGCCCTGTACCAAGAGCAGTATCATGATGTGACAGACTCAGGGAGAGAAAAAGCGTCATCTCTATGCTCTCTGTCCCATTACAAAAATCCATTACACCACATCAGCATAAATACTAGCATTTCCCGAGGAGTGAGAGCTCATCCTCAAGCAAAGAAGAGTGATGTGGACTTATGTATCCATCTTACTATTTCACAAATGTGCCCTGCATTTCACTTATCTTTATCTTTAGTATAATGGAGACACACTTTAGACCTCTTCACACATTCTCACCGGCAACTAACCACTAGAAATCTTCTTATAATTTTACACCTGAAAACTTTATCAGACAGTCTATTAATGTGCATTAAACATTGATTTATTTACCATGATGTGACTCTACTCTATTTTAGATTTGATAGCAGAGTTGATTAACTCAAACATGATAGATTTGGGGGTTTTGAAAATGCTAAACTGGGTACTGGGTACATCCCCATCCCTATTCAGAACAAAGCCATGCTGCCAAATATGACGTGTTGCATGTAAATTATCAACTCTCTGTAACAAAAGTGGTTCTCACTGAGTTATTTTTTTTTACATGAGAAACACACCCATGGGTGCTAACGTAAGTGAGAGTTCATTTGAAACCCACATATTGTGAACACCTCAGGTGAATGTGATGTCTGCATTGGGTTGAATATCTGATTTCTGCCACTTGACAAGGTACTTATCTGCAAGTGTAGGATAGGGCCCCTAAATCTGAGGACATATTGTTGCAGAGCTTAGAAAAACCATCAGAATACGTGTTGATGGAGAAGTAACACTGTGGTCTCTTCTCTGCTTGTTAACAGGGTCAGAAATGCACGAGTTGGTATCCTTTAACAAGAGGCTCTTAGTGTCAGTGTGACTAAAGATTCCTCTTCCTCTCTGTGACAGTGTGTCTCTGGCATGGCTGTATAGCAGTGTAATGTACAGGTCTGACAGTGTTTAAGTGTATTTGTGTGGGTCCGTTGTGTGGGTGACATCACTAGTGGCTACCATTCTCTCACTGAGATGATTAAAGCCCACAGCAGCTTCTAAAGGAGGCGAGTGGAGGTGAAGAAAAACAAATGTCTTTTTGTAATGAAGTGGAAAATGATTTAGGGCCTGACTGGCTCAATAAGAGTGAAGGAGACCTGACCCTTGTGGGTTTGGCAGGGCCGTTTGAAGCTCTGCCTCAGCCCGTCTCAGTCTCGCCATCACAAGACCCACAGCCCGAGGGAGAGGGAGTCTGGGGCTGTTAGAGGAGTGCTGAAGAGTCTGAGCCGGAGAGGGCTGTTCATGAGCAGAAGGAGGGGCTCTCATCAAAGTGTATGTTTTATTTGACCTCCACTGCTGTAGGCCACAGCAATGCAAACTGTTATTATGGGCAGAGAGGAACACCGAGTACATCTGTATTAGTATCTGCAGATGTGCGTGTTTGTGTTGTATGCATGATGTACTGTATGTAAGTATGTAAGTAACTGGAACTGTTTTCATTGTTTGGACTCTGAGGGAATGCCAACGCTGCAGCTTCAAGAAGGGTCCATTTCTTTTTATCACTCTGTAAAATAAAGAAATGATTTTCCAAGTCCGTGTGAAAACTAACTGGCTTGCACGCAGATTTCACCTCAACTGTAACATACACAAACTTAGCATGGCTCAAACATGAATAGTTATCAAGGGCCCGAGTCACAAAGGGACTGCATGGCTTTTGTTTTTTCATTCTAAAAGACAAATTAGATATTGTGACATTTTTGACACAACTGCCCTGAAATATCATCTCCCTGTTCAGGTCGTCATCTGAACATGGACAAAAGTGAGCACTATCAGGATGAGGGTGCAAACTGCAGCTCTTTGCAGCAGATAGTGAAGAAACAGACAGTCCACCCCCACGATCAGATGCAGAACAAGAGTGCAATACATGGTGCAGCAAATATTGCTTAAATATCTTCAGCTCAATGTGCTTTTTCAGTCTAACTTTGAGACAGAGCACGTATCAAGAGAAACTAGGATTATTCTGAATAATTTTTTGCATTTTGAAATGCCAAATAACACAATGTGGTGCATTTATAGTATATCAAATAGGCACACTCACCTTAGTGAATACAGGAGGACCTGACACATCACCGCTGTACAGTGACAGAGGGCTCTGCACCTGGAAAACAATAAAAACTCTATGTGCAAACAGCAAAGCGGGTTTTTCAGTCATTAAAGACAAATGACTGCACGTTTAATATTGTGCATAAGCTACTGTCATGTAAGCTGACATTTCTTACCCTCTGAGGGGGCTGAGACAGGGACTGGACCAGGGTGGAGCGATGAGGAAGGACCTCTGGGGTTTTGGGTGATGATGAGCGTATTGTCAGGGACATTGAAGTTGTTTTCTTCTGAACTCTAACAGAAACATGGAATAAATCAGTGCTCATACAAACACATGGGATTTTCTTTTTTTTTTTTTTACTCGGAATGCTTTTAGTTAAAATGTTAAGTTTGGATCAAAGATAAATTTCACCACAGCAAGTCAGATGATATCAATAATCTTGGCTTTAGCGTGTAAACAGAGCAGAGATCAGGAAGTCGTACAGATGGAGGCAGATTTAAACAACAGATAGTGATCAAAAACATCCAGAGGATCACAAAGCATTTAAAGAGTTGCTGCAGGACTGATTGCACAATTCTCCTCATGCAGTATCTGAAGATGTATTTTGTAAGTAGTAATTTTAAGCAGCTGACTATAATCTTAGAAAGATAAACATAACTGAAAAGGTATGTTAGTATTACTTTGCACATGTGTGAGGTAAAAGAGTAGATTGGGGTAAAGGGGGCAACAGGAGAGAAGGCAGGAAGAGTGTAAAAAGTCAAACAGGAGGGTTAAAAGTACAGGGGACAACAGTGACAGGGTGATTTTTTACCAAATTAACCCTCTCCACCTCTCATTATCTCGAGTGTGGCCTGTGTAGAGGCTCAGGGTTATGGCTCTTTAAGGGCCTTTTAAGGGTCTAGTTAAGGGCAGCACACATGATTAGATCCTGCAGGGCTCAGTTGACCTGCTCAGGGGGTTCAAGGTTCATTGGGTCATGAGAGGTCATGCTGAATCACACGTACTGCGGCATGTTTCCTGATCTGGACTTAGACGCAGTCCCTTCCCCGTCTGAGTCTGATGATGAAGCTCCTGCAACAGAAGAGAAACAAAATCACTGATGGTTATTTCTCTGTAATACTCGCCTCCTATTTAACAGTAATAATGCTAATATTTAGGACATACTGTCATCAATCTAAGGAGGCTGTCTCACTGTTTTTAAAGAAATATACAAAGAGGCTGACTAAATAAATACCCTCTAACCTTCAATGTAAACCTCAGCTGAGGTATTATCTGCTCCCAGACTGTTGGAAGCCACGCAGGTGTATCGTCCTGTGTCGTCCTCGAAGGCCTCAGCGATCACCAGTGTGTGCAGGTCACCATCCCTCCAGATCTGAATGTCAGGAGAGGTGTGCAGCTCTCGGCCTTCGCAGAACCACCTGGTTAAAATGCAAACTCTGGTTAAACTCTGGTTACTGGTTACAAATCTGAGGTCCTCTGCAGCAGCGTCCTCATTTAAAACCTGGGGGGAAAAAGTATAGTTACCTCTGAGACTTTCTGTGTAGCCTATGACTCCATATTCTCCAATAAATTATTTACTAAACTCATAACTTTAACATTTATTTCAGATAGCTGATTATGCTACACAGAGGCTGCCGTGTTTATTTTGGACCAATCAGAGGCTTTCTCATCTTCTTCTTGTTTTATTTTTATTGGTGGTTTGAAGGTGCTACCACCACCCACTGGGCTGCAATGTGGAACAAAAAGAGGAGGGATAATTCCTCAATCCTGTCTTTTAGTCCAGATTAATTCTTAAATATTTTCCAAGATCCAGTTTTAAGCAGCCTGAAGAATGTATCCTATTCAGCTTATTTGATATCAGTAAATCTGAGCTCTCTCTGAATTTCAGTATGTGGATGCTGCACTAAAACAATCATTTTTTATTTCATTTAACTGACTATTTTAATTTTTAAGATGTCAAAATCCTCATTGTATGTAAACAAGTTTAAAGTGACCACCTTGTTGTATTTGTGTCTGTTTTAACTACGGTCATCTGATATCATGGTCAAGATGCTGTTTGTTTCTCCTCTTGTCTCTACCAGACCACTCCATAATATATAAAAAACTATGTTTATAAAGAGACCATACCATTATTTATTTTAAACATGTTGGGTTTATTGGTATTATTACATAAATCTAATTCTTAATTGTTTCATTTACATTTGACAAAAAATATGCAGCACATAAAGTTTAATGGCCTGTTTATATTAAATCTAAGTAATTCAAATGGATGGAAATTTTATATGCATTGAGGCCTAAATATTTCTGCGAGTGTAGGCATCTATCTTGCCTCTTTCACCCCTTTTGACATAAAAATTCTGGTAAAGTTGAAACCTGATATGATGGACCACATGCAAAAGAGATCATTACTGAAATGTATGCCAATAAAATCTTATTGAACAAGTAAGAGCCAAACTCTTAAATACCTCTGCCAAATATGATGGAGGCCTGCCAACCCCACTTACATCAATAACCACTCATTCACACATTCACACACCCCGAGGGCATGTCTGGGTTTCCATATCTGCCAAACATCAGGCAGCCTGAGGCTCTGAGACGCACTGTTACGGGAAGCAGATACACCCTTTCCCTCCTTCCAATCAGAGGTGTGTGTGTGTGTGTGTGTGTGTGTGTGTGTGTGTGTGTGTGTGTGTGTGTGTGTGTGTGTGTGTGTGTGTGTGTGTGTGTGTGTTTGGGCAGGCGCCTGGGACATGTCCCACCTCCCTGAGGTCTGCAAACTCCAGCTTTGTTCCCTGATCAGACTGAGACCCAGGAGGGATGAGACAGTCTACAACACAACCAGCGTCCTCCGTCTCATCTCTTTTCACAGAGTGATGATTAAAGGAGGATCCTCCTGCAGGGTTCACCACATCAAAAACAGGATCAAACAGCAGGGGTCACATCACCAATAACCCACAAACACACAAGAGGTGTCCTCAAATATCATGATATATGGGACTCTCTTGCATTCAGCAGCGCTAATGTCCCCTCTTTTTCAAAGAGCTCCAGGACACATCAAATCAAAACAACACCCTCCCCTAATTACACAAAATCGCCCAAGTTCCCATGGGGTCTGTGGTCTAGAGATTTAAGGTACTGATTTATGTGTCCCTATAGCATCAGTTTGTTATGTCCAAGGATCTGCAGCTAAATTTGCAGAAATAAATATACAGCATACTTGAGCCTTGGACCTTTTTTCAACTTCAGTGCAGTGCTTTAGTGTGTGCAAATAAGCCTCATACCTATTGACTTTATAAAACATAGACACTGTCTCAGTCCCCATATTGGAAATGCAGACTCAGTCTGACTTTTGATCAACCTATACACTGGTGGCGAAGGCAGGGATTGTAGTGTGGATGGGCACTTGGAAAATTAGGTCTAACTCAACCTGAAAACAATCTTTCATGTTTGGTTCTATAAGACATACTGTAAGTCAACTCAAGTAGGGTGTAAAAACCACCTGTTTGAATGCAGTCCAACATAAATAAGTCACATCACAGGAAATGTTATAGGCACTAACAGGTTAACAGCACAGTATAAGTTGATATATTCACAAACACAGACAAATGCACATGATCCAGTAAGAAGCCTGCTTGTAAATATCTGTCTCTCATGAATAACAATTTAAAAAATTACATACCCCAAATTGTTTTGTTTATTTATTTTTTAACCAGGCTGTAAAAATATTCAGTTGAAAAGGAAAAATCACATTTAAATACACCTGAAAGGGCTTCTCTGGCTTTGGGAAGCTGCCTCAAGTGGACACTCAAGGAACTGCCTCTTTTGCAAAAGGCTTAATTTATCAACAACAGAAGATGCCCCTTGATAACATATAACATCCACTTTACCCCACACTGTGTCGTCTTTTATTATTTATTATCTATAATAGTAACGAGTAACGATACAGGAAAAGAAAAGAAAGACAGGGTCCAGAAATGATGCTGAGTGGGGACCTACAGCACTGAAATCAGAGAGATCGTGAGCTCCTGACCAAGATGCTGACTGTGATAACATGGTAATTAGACCAGGCTGACACTGTACAGCTTTGTCAGTCCTCTAATAAAAGAAAGGCCACTGTATCACCTCCTGACCTCTCATCGACAGGAGGAGGGCAGAAATTCCCAAAATGCCTCAAGAACAGCTGCTCTGCTCGCCCAGAGCGCTGACCTGAAGACACCCGAATATCTCAGAGAGTTCTTCCAAGATTCTCAACATCCTGCTGCAGCGGGCATTACAGGATTTTAAACACACGGTGTGTCAGTCAAACAGCAAGCTAACTCATGTTCCAGAAAGTGATCCATCAGCCAAAACATCCAGACAAGGCTTCATTCTCAGGGATTCACACCTCTGAGAGGGAGCAGACTCTCAGACAGGGAAAGTGAATATGAGAACAGTAAGTACGCTAACAGGAGGTGAGTCAAGCTGGGTCAGACAGGAAAAATTATACGCTCTGTCATTGATGAGACGGATCACACTAAGCGATTCATCAGGAGGAGTGACAGGTGGAGCCTTGTGTCTCTATCTTTGTTCTACACTGTAGCTCCACTGGCCTTGAGAGCTGAAGCCAGCCCTTCAGCGAAACATAGGCACATGTCCAAACTACTGAGCAACGGAAACATTTCCATTTATTTAAGATCATGGACATCACCAACATAAGGACAATGATGACAGTCTGACTCTGGCAAACTTCTGACTAACTTAGCAAAATAGTGAGGCAGGGGCCATAACACCCACCTGTCTATAAGATAAGCCACATCCCCAAGAATCTGAAGCATTTAGCCATAGTACTAACATCATTTTTTTTTGCATCAGGCTGTTAACGTGTTTAATTGTGCAGCAAAAATGTACATTTTAATAAGAGCTCTGATGGGGTTTCCTTGTTTTTGGAGGAAGTGGGCACTTTAGGAACTACCACAGTTCTAGGACCCTTCTAGGACCCTTGTTATTTGCAACAGAATCACCTTGTGATCACCAAGAACTACAATTTTAGTCCTCAAATGCACTTTTAGCATCTAACATAACCCTTTTTAATGTCCGACCAGAACCCTGGTTGCATCCCTGTGTTTAGCCTGCAGGAAAACACAGGGGTGGTGGTGGGGCTGAAAAGCTAGTGTAGATCCAGAGATTGGATAACACAGGATTTGCGTTTGTTTAATATTTTGGTTTTGCTGAAGAAGGTGGTTGACTTGCACCGTTTAGTTTTACAGTATTTGATTGTTATTTTAAGGATATGCATGAGGTATTTTGCTGTGTTTGGGAAATGAGTTGTTGTTGAAATTGTTCATGCTTTCGAAACCGGTCCTGTAGGATTTGGATGTGTGTGAAAATTTGGTTGTACCTGACAATGATATTTTCTTTCTATGCTGGGATTGTATCCATTTCATGACTTTTCTGCAATTGCACTTTGTTGAGTTTCAAGCTCACCACACCAAACTTAAAGCCCAACTGACTCCTTGAAGTGCTTCCTCTGTCTTATCGCTTAACAATGTGAAATAGTGGAAACCTGACTGGCTGTACTGCAGGAGCTGACCCTGGTGTGTTAAACGATAGGAAACAGATTGTGACTTGAGATAAATCAAGAGTTGTTCATGGCACGAGCAGGGAGACCTTATCCGCCAGACTGTCAACGGAGACAGAGTCCTTCCGCCATGCTTCAAACACCCCAGCAGCTCTCTGTGCAACAGACAGTTGATCCAGACAAAGAGAGAGGATGGGACAGCACATGCATCCGGTGTAACAGGACCTCTTTACGTGAAACAGGCCAAACTCTTTAATTTAAAACTGACAGCAGCCGCGTAATCGACATAGAAGCTGATTGTTTAAGCAAAGCAATATGTCTGTGTGGTTTTGAAATCCATTTTTCTGGATTATAGTCAGCTCGTCTGGGTGGGTGCCATGTCTGCCGGGGATTTGCCTGAGAAACTCAGGTTTCTTTTGTTGCTCAAGCCTCACTACTTTCTTTTAGTTACTCAGTGCATAAATCAAATTCTTTCATTACGAATTTTGAGGCCATTTGCTTAAAGTTTGACATGGACTATATATAACAAATCCTTGTAAATATAAAAAATGGACAGTTTTTTTGCAGAGTTTAATAAAAACATAAAGAAAAGGGTTTTTTTGTGGCATATGGCATCATTACACTAATGACGGGGAAGGCTGTTGGAGGTAAAGTAAGTGTGTGTGAGGGCGTGTGTGTGTGTGACTGTAATGAACAGAAGCCAGCGAACAGCAGGATATGTTTTCCACATGGTGGCTTGAACCAGTCCAGACACCGAGTGAAGAATAGAGGGCACTTTCATGCAGCAACATGTGAAGTAAATGCAGAATTAGAGTTGTAATTCAGGTAATCAGCCTTGTTTGAATCCTATGACTTCAGTAGTTTTCCATTCTGGTTTTTGCACAGACATCTAGGATCAGGCCATTTTAGGTGAATCTGCACACAGACCTTTTTTTCTGTGTGTCAGAGACAAGAAATGTAAATATGTCAGGCACAGAACAGAGCACAATACTCATCTGCCTGCACTCCTCTGAGGGTTAAATGAGGAAACACAAACCATTCACTACAAATGAGCACAACAATAACAGTCTGTATTAATCAACCTTAATGATCCATCATTAGGCACAATTACTGAGTAGACTCATTTAGAGACAGACGGTAATGTTTATTTCATCTTCTCTGTTTCTAAGGAACGTACTGAACATGGAGCTGGAGGCCTAAACAGCAGGAGAGGTTCTCCATGAGGGGGGGCAGGACTTTGTTGAGTCATAGAAGCTGCTTTCTCACATGTTCTCTGGAAATTTTCAGGAAAATCTGCAGAGCTGTGCCTGCTGCCAACTTTATGCTATTAGTTTATCCAAAAAGGCAAATAAAGTAACAGGGTGAGTTCAAACACATAAATTGAGAGCCAGTGCAAAGCTGGACCATAAGGTCATAACATTAGAAGCTACAGGTCAGTCCTCCTCTTTAAGCTAGCGTAAGCCGTGGAGGGTGGTGCTGAATGAACTTGATTAAAGGTCACAAGCCAAAGAAAATTATTTAAAGACGAAAAAATCCTCATGCTGGAAAACTTCTCACTGCCAAGTTTTACCATCAGAGCTCTACAGACACTTTAGGGTGAGTACCAGATACCCACACAGCTTTTTTATGGAAAAAATAAAAACAGCCTGAACACAGGCACTAAAACTCTGAATTAAGAAATCTCCAGGCCTGTTGATGGTTTGCCTGGTTTTCTCTGTCAGATATAAGGTAGCACCAATATGAGGGTGAAACTCCCTTACAGCACTGCAGAGGCAAAGGGAACTAACTCAGGATTTTATCAAAACTTAGTTCAGACAAGAATTAGACTTAGCGACATCTAACAAAGTTTTCCGATTTGATTATACTCTGTTTCAGAAAAATCCAACAATAACCCTACAATAACGCCAGCCAGCATACTCCTGGCAGACTTGAGCCTGTATTGATTCTGGACTTGATAAAACACAGTAGACCCAATGCAGCAGATGACATAGCTCCCTAAACTATCACAGACTGGAAATCTCACATTGGACTTCAAGCACCTTGGATTATGGGCCTCTCAGATCTTCCTCCAGACTCTAGGACCTTGATTTTCAAATGAGAAGCAAAACTGACTCCAGCCTCTGTCTAGTCCTTGTAAAGCCCCCCTAGGTTCTTGAATCTGCTCTGACAGTCCTCTCAAGGCAGTGTTCATCCATTCCTCCCTCACATTTTCCCTCAGTCAGCTTTCCATGAATCTGTTTCCACACAGGACTTTGAGAACCATCAGACTTTCAGTAATGAGCCTCTGTGGCTTACCCGCCTTTTGAAGGGGGTCAATGATGGTCTTGTCACTTCAGCTGTCTTCATGCTTGCATGTTCTGAACCAGACAGAGCAATACATGGTGTTTAATGTGTCTGACGATTGATATGAACCCAAAGTAAATAATCTAATTTTTGAGAAATGCCCTTTTACATGTTTTTGATGGGAGGCCACAATTATCAAAATAAAAAAAAATGCTTGAAACATCTAAGTTTGTTTTAATGAGTTTGGAACAAATGATGTTTTCACTTACCTAAATAACAGGTTGAAAATACTGGTCTTTTTGAGATATTCTAATTATTGAGATGCACCTGGATATTACTTGTTTGAGTATTCTTGTGGAAGAGTATCAGAGCAGAGTAGTGGTGCATTAGCTGCATTTTAGGGGTCAAAGGTCACAACATGGTCATGTTCTTGTCTATGAAAAACTCTACAGTAAAGGTACATGAGAGTATTTATATTGATCTACCTTTGACATGTTTATCTGGCCAGTCCAAAAAGTTTTAAAGGCAATGCTCTCACTTTTGCATTGTCTCTGCACTTTGCCTTAACAGGGCAGAGAACAGGTATGCAAGATCAGAAACCAGTGTATTTGATTACACGCAATTACCCTTTTCTCGGTCAACTATTAAACAGTTGGAAAACTTTGGCCTCATCATTTGTAAGGGAAGCAGGGTGTGTTAGAAAAGCCGTCACTCGACACTTTAAGAAAATTTAGTGAAGGTACAAATTTCTTGGCAGAATGCAGCTTTACCACCCATTTCCTCTGAACACAATACCTTCATAAATCACAAGTATGCGGAGCATGCATGCTGAATAACTTGATATCAATAGGCTTCGAAGTAATGCCTCACCTCTCCATTCATCTCCCACCCTCAATGCTCCCAGCCAAGACAATGACTAAACATCCCACTCTCACAATCCACCAGCCTGTCACCAGCTCTCTGAATGGAGATAGCATGTGAGAGCACAATTTACACAACTCATTTGAGACAATTGATGCCAGATGAAGCTTGGAGCATCATCAGAAAGATGGTTTGAGTTTTACAGGCTCCCTACCTTCACTAACCTTTTTACTTTCAGATTCAGAGGAAAAGACGAACCAGAGCCCGCTGTCCTGGACTCAAGAGTGCCTCTCCTTGTCTGACCCTGTTGTTATTTGCTGCTGTTGATGGAAAAATTCATGAAGCAAAGCTTAGTTTCACCACAAACCCGAAGAAGTGGAGGCCAGAGCAAAGAGGGGAAGACAGGCGCGGGGTTCAATCACAAAAAAATGACCTTGAGAGGATGCAGGAGTGACAAAACTCTGGAAAAACACACCCACAAGTCAATTACAAATCCAGTATGACCTATAACAAATGGGTACACAAGACGCAAACTTCCTGACCCATGTTTGTCTTTGTTTCAACTACCAAGTTTGCTCATGGTGTTCAGTTTCAAGGCTGCTGACCACAGAAGGCAACCAAAGTGCAACTGGACAAGAAGACCGGCACCAGGGCTGTCTTTATCCCTAATTACAAACTACAATAGAGGTCAACTGAAACTGCCCAACCTTTATAGCAAGGAGCAGCACTGGTTATATTATCCAGGACAGAAAAAAAATCTCTTAATTTATCCAAGCACAAGATAGAAAGCTTATTGGTTTTCCTCTTTCCCATGCAAGCTCACTAAAACGAAATGACTGCAGCTCCACAAGGCTCAGTGATGGTTCAAAAACACAGAGTCAGTCAGTAAAGCGGCAAGATGTTCATTCGAACAACAGTTCAGTAATTTTCCGTGATACCATACAATACATTATGTTCCTCTGCAGGTATGCAGAAATCCCAGCATTGGCACAGCTGAATACATGATTACCGGATTTATAAAATCCCATCATTACCAGAGGAAGAATCAAACATGCCAAAAACAAAGACAGCTGATATGCTTGAAGACGATGGAAAATCAAGTGGAGATGGATAATTATGAATCAGCATATGCTAAAGCTTCACTCAAGGCTGGGTTTCAACAGTTTTTGGCTGTGTGAGCATCTAGCTGTATAGATACAACAAAATCAGGTCAGTAATCTGTTTGTTTTGTTTGCTGTTGGAAAAATATCTCAGAAGACTATGAGGAGTAAGCAGAGAGTTCAGTACCATCATGTCATCATTTCCTCTACATGCTCAGGAGGAGATGTTGGAAAAGTCTACGTTTTGTAAGTTCTGGTGGATTGTGAGATTCCCTCTCTGTCCAGACAGATTTCCACTAGATCTGGTTAAGGATTGGCTGATTACAACCACTGACATTATATGAAGTGTGTTTAAACATTGAGGCAATGTTGTAAACAGTCAAAGTGGCTGTTAGCTGATATGTAATATTCTGAATCCACTGTAGTGCACACCCTTAAACACTTCTGGGTGGGATTATACATCATTTGAGTTTTTATATTCCTTTTAACTTCCACTTTTACGCATCTAAATTTCTCCAAATGTGTACTTTTACTCTGATATATTTCCCTTAAAGTTCTTTGAACCTTAAAATTAAACTCTAAGAAACTAAAAGAATTTGAGAGGTTAAAACTGAGGGATGATGATGATGATCCAACATCACAGGCGCTCACAAACTTTGTATCACCAAACCTTGGTCATATCATGTCAAAATACAAGATGTTTAAACAAGATACATGGCCAAAGTTTTTTGGCAGCTGAACAGAAATCTGCTGTGTTTCAGCTCATTGTTGTAGTTTTAAAACCTGCTCTTACTTCTCTAGCACCTCACAACAGGCAGGGAAATTAAGGAACTAGCCAGTGAACTTGCTGGAAAATATAACATCATATAAGAGAAGTTATATATTGGTTTGTGGAGGCCAAAATAAAGCCAGAGCTTTGTGAGTGTGTGTGCAGTCGGAAGTTGGATCTCAGCTCTTACTGAGGAATGAGGCAATCTCACCAGGGAAAGTTCTTCTTTGCCGTGTCTTTTTTTACAAACATGAACTGTAAAAAAAATCTACAGACTTTAAAGTTTTAATTTTTCGTGAGGAATCAGTACAAGTCTTTGAACCATGTAGCTTGGCATATGCACAGTTATACCTGGAGTTTACCTCTGCTTGAATCTCACACACATTGTAGAGTTCATATCAAGTTAACATCTGTACTTCTAAAGAGGTTCACCAGCTCTTTAAATGAAGGATGATGTATAATACCACCAAGATATGAGGTTACCCCATTAAAGATGACGAGTTTTCATTTCTTTTTATCAGCTCAGATCCATGTGGAGGTCCAACTTCCAACTGCACATGCTCTCCAAGAGCTCCACTGTGTCTGCAGCCACACAATCAGGACACAATCAGGTACAAATGTATGTATGCTGCTATATGTGTGCTTAATGTTGCAATATGCACAGATTACTAAGAGGTTCATCGATTCACAACAAATCAAACATAATGTGTAGTGTTTGTCTTAGTGTGTAGCTTTGCCTCAAAGTGGTCAAACACTGACAGGTGTTGCTTCACTCTGTAAGTTAGATTTTACACTCTCAAGCACATTCACTTTCAAAGTTAAGCAATTGTTGACTGAAAATATACAAATTCTATACAATTGCATCAGTTTGTTTAAATATTGTTTCTGTGAGAGCAGGAAATATTCACATCCCTTAAATGTGATTGACTAAGTATAAACTATGTGCTTGTAAACACATCGCTCATACTTAGTCTGGATTAAAGATGATACATGCAGGAATCCAGATGAACAGAGCAACAGGAGCCATCTGATGATGGAGCTCTGTTAATGTGGGGACCAAGAACAGGGGTCAAAGATCAGTGGAATATTCTGGACAACAGACAGCTGCAGATGACAGTTGGAGCTCTGACCGGAAGTATTAGAGGAGACATTTCGCCGAGGAATTTAACCAAAGAGGAGGGGGCAGGATACACTGTAAAGACCCTGTAATGTTGACCATCAACAGATGATGATCAGTGATGCAGTAGAGCACAGCAGAGAATAGAGACATGTACCAGGAGGACAAACTGTACAGAGTGAATCATCATGAGCATATGTGAAAAGTGGGTCTGTGGGATATTTGTCTAGAAACTTTTTGTGAAAGTTATAAAAACTTATTTGCCCATGCACAAAAGAGCTGTGGGGTAGAACCGTGTGTGCGTCAGAGAGACTGTACTAAAATAGTGACAGACACATGCAGCAGCTGAGCTACAAATGCACACACTGTGGCACCAACATGGACACCCCCACTGCTTACCCACACAAACACACACTCAAAAACACACACTTGCATGGATTAGATTTGTAGTTTCATCAGAGGGCCAGGAGAAGTTGGTGAAATTGAGGGTGGAAAGTTTCTACATTTGGAGGAAACATTTGCTTTTGCTCACGTGGATAAACACAAGCTGTCTGTATATTCATAAATTGATTAACTAGTGTATCATTCAGTCTGTCAGCTAATGCTTTAGAAAGCTACATCACACTTTCTATACAAAAAATACAAGTTAACACTGTTTCCCTAAAGCCCAAAATCAAAGATCTGGTTCAGCGAGATCTCAACCACATGACTGCCCATGACTGTACTGTAAATCTGTAAATCTCCCTCCATCACTACAGGGTAAAGATGAAAACCTATCACTTAAACTCAACTTTTACCGGATAATAACTTCCACAAGTCAGAGAGTTGTTCAGCCATGACTTACCTGAGCCTCCTGCTGCTGCTCCCTGAGAGTAAAACCAGAGTCAGTACAGATATCCTTGATCAGAGATTGCACACTGAGCTTCTCCTCCTGACAGCATGACACACACTGAGCGACTGACACTCTCACACCAGGACTGCCACTGTGAGTCACACACTCAGACAGACACACTCACACAAACACACACAATGCTCGGACTGAGCAGTGGGGTTGAGAGGGAGGGAGCGGCCCCCTAACTGCCAAATTCCACACAAGACAGAAAGACAGAAATTACACATTTACGACTCATTTTAAGAGACAAAAACTGCTTCATTGCTTCCCACACTGAGCGCATTTAGATGATTCCAGTGGTTGTGTAAACTGTCTCCTTGTTTTTCTCCCTTTTAAAACAAGAATAAACTACATTTGCTGGTCATATGCAGCGTGAGAAAGTCTGCAATGAGCGATGTAGGGCTGTTGCAGGAAACAGATAAAGATGACCTTTTAAAGAAAATAGATTTTTGATATTGTGCTAAAAATAAGCATACAGTAACACAGTCTAACTATGTGGTTCGGAGTCAGAGGTGTTAGTGGAATTTTATAAGACAGACAAAAAAGGAGCAGCAGCAGCAGAGGACTAAGTAGCCAGCTCTCTGACCTTTATTACATGCAAAGTTAAGCTGAGTCATGTTTATGTCTTAGTTTGGAGATATGAATGGACTACTGCCCTTGGCCTAGTTTACAATAATCGAATTATTGACAAGCATGTTCACCTTCGTTATGGTAAGCTACAGTCACTGCTGGGTCATCTCCGTGTTGACCTGTGACATACTAAAAACTGTTGTACCTTTAATTTGTATGATACAACAGTTTTGCCATTTTTTGTGTCCTTTTTTCCTCTGTTGAGATTCTTTTTCACTTCCTGGTTTTCTTGCAACATATTCATGCTATTCAATCAGACCAAAGCTCGGCATGCAAACTCTGGGGCTCAAATTGCTTAGGCTGGTTTCAGTTTAACTGAAGGGCATACATGATAGACAAACAATACCCAACCTCGCTATGGAGGTATGTTAGTCCGACAACAAGAAGTTTCATTTTAGTTTTAATGAGATTATAGATGGAATTATATGTTTAAATGTATTTAAAAGTCCAATTTCAGTCAGACTGGTGCATTGTATCGAATGAAATGTAAATGTAGTGACAGTGTGACTTGGCCTGCAGAGCAAATCATGTCAATGGAGGAGATTTCAAGAGAAAGGAATGCAACCAGAAACTAGTTTCGTAAAAAAAAATGGTGTTTGTGAACAACATGTAAAGCAGAATAACACTCTGAAGAAGCTTGTGGGTTTCAATTAATCAGGAGTTTTTGTCACAGGGTTGGTGATGCCAATAAAAACTAACTTAAACCACTTTAGGAAGTGCACCCCATGTACCGAGGTTAAGTCTCAATTATACAGTGTAGGTTCAGTTCAAGCCAGGTTGTCACTCCCTTTTCTCTTTCTGCATCTCCTGCTCTGTCATTTAAATAAAGGCACAGAAATCCCTATAACACTGTCATATTGACTTACGAGTGTGGCTCACATGAGCAGAGCTAGAACCTTCAGCATTTGGTCCTCCTTGCAGGTTAACGTCCACATGTCTGCTGGTAACTCGCTGCTCTGGTCTAGTGTTTATATGCCAGTTTAACCACAAAAAGCCTACATACAACGTTATTTTCATATTGTAGATCATAAAACTGCAGAAATCATGCCCTATTATGAGATGTAACCTATCATCTGTGCTTGTTTACATCTAGGTAGTAGGGCATTTTAGCAATATGGCTGTAGCTATGAACTGGTGCTACCCCCTTGGCTTGTGGCAGGTATTTTTTCTACAGCTAAGCAACATACGACTGGCATTTTGGGCTTGCATGATAAGAACAGCTTGGATGTCTGTTTATAGATTTTAGATTGGATTATAGCTAAATCTAAACCAGATCCAAGTGGATTTTTTTCTGCACTAAACTGGTTAATCTGAGCGTAGCAAGCTTGTATCTCATATAGCGTAACTGCTATACCCATAATTGTAACTCCATTCAACATGAGATTCATGCCCGAACTAATTTAAGGATAAAATTGGATCCTAGGACATATTCCTAATTAACATGCTTGTCAAAATAACTACATGATTTACCCCTGTTTACTTCTGATCCTCTGATTTGATGGCTACCAAAACTCGCATGTAAATTCATGGACCATCTAGCTCTTTCTTTGCAGAACCTGTCTCCCATACAAACACAAGTTGGCAGCTTCTGTACTAGCCCGGCCCACAGCCTGCTGACCATCAAAAGCACCACAGCAAACTCTGGGCTTCAGCCAAACGACCCAGTCCCCATGGAAACCTCTAGTCCTCTGATGTGTGACTGCAAGAAGGGGGAGGACATCGTGGATATTAAACATGACAACGCTATGGTGTGTAGTACAGTGGCACACAGAAAGAGAGGGCATTAAATACTCTGGCCTTCTCTTTATGAATCCCACATGCCAGAGCAGAGCAGGGCACTTAAAAAGCCCTGTTAGGCCTGAACAAAAATAGCTCAGTTAAGTCAAGATCTAAATAGACCACTTTGAGTTGGCAGCACCTGGTAAGAGGAAGACAAATGGCTGTGGCCACTGTGACTACACACACACACACACACACACACACACACACAGCTCAAGACCAGAGCATAATCACAAACACTCCCGATGTTGAATTTACCCAGGTCAGCAGATGTAAATCCAGTATTTGTGGTGTGTTTAGAGCCAGAGGGCTGATGTATGATATACAGTCCACAGCAGAATGAAAGGGTGTGGTGTGTGTTTGTCTCTGTGGGGGCTCCCTTCAGGCTTATACAGACACAGAGCTCAGGATATTTTTGGTCGCTGTCAATGGAGAGCCTGAGAGCTGACCGCTGGGACAAAGCAGATGGGATTATTTGTGGTGCTTGTTACTAGGCCTGCTCTCTGGCTGGCTGTGTATGTCATACATCAGTATAAAAATAAAAAACCCATTAAGATTACAAAGTTAAGTATGAGGTAATCATTTGTGTTTTGAATTTACAACTAAAGCTGATAAACGTACATTATAGAAGGGGACATAAAGTTAAGTTTAAGAATTTGTAGGTAACAATTCAAGATATTAAAAGCTATTTTTTTGCAGCTGTTTATTAAGCACCCAGAGAAGAAACCAACCCCATCATACTTTTATTCTGTTATTAAAGGTCAGCTGGCCACTTCAGCGAATCAAGTCTGAAGTAGCTTGCTATTCAATCCAGCAGAGAGCACTCTCATCGTAACCTGACCATTGAATGAAACAGAGGATGTGTGCTGCGATCAAAGCCATCCAGTGTGCACAGTCGTGACACCAAAACATCTAAGAAGTGTCATATGCAAATATTTTGTTTAATATTTCTTCTGTATGACAACTTACTTCAGAGCAATAAGCACAAATCTGCTAGCTCATCTGTGAAGCAGCAGAGGCATTACAGTTGAGCAATGCAACATCAGCAGGTAATATGCTTCTATTAATAAAATCATCAAATGAATTATATAAATGTTTTGGGCACCGCCTTTCAAAGTGAGTTCACCCTGTACTCCAAGTTAGGCTATATGCTCTACCTCCCACTGCTTATCCCCATTCTTATGAGGAAAGAGAGGTCAGGAAAGAAATGTGTGAAAGAGGATATGGAAGGCAGAACTAGGGTGAGAGGCCTGTTTGGGCTCAAACACATTTATTTCTGCTGAAAAAACTATGGTACACCTACAAAAAGAGTTAGTTCACCTTGCAGGACATGGGAGTTAGTTGTTTATCTCAAAGTGGTACCCGATAAAAATTCCTTAGTGTTTGGAGACTCAAGGAACTGCAGTTTTTTGCAAACCTGCAATGGTTTCATTTTTTAACAGTCAAGGTTGCTGCTTGCCTGTGGCATAATTCACCATCAATTAGTTAATTAATAAGTCTTTATCTATTTAAAACCAATTCACAACAAATTTTATCTGAAATCACCATACAAAAAGAGCTGTTCCAAACTGTACTATTAATTATAGTTACAAGACCTAAACAGGTACAACTATAAAAAAAAGTGCTGCAAATGAATCAACATGCTGCAAAAACAGCCAACTGAATAACAGCAATTACACTGAGAATATGTGAACAACACAAAAACAAAAAAATACAACCACAGAAAAAAAACATGCAAAGCACTTTTGTTGTCTTGCAGTGTTTTTGTTCGGGGTGCATTTTCTGTCTTTGTGCATCTTTGGATTTGCATTGTTTCTGACTTTCCTTATCTTTCAACTTTCAACTTTGCACTTCTTTTTTCCTAATTCTTCTGTTTGGTGAAAATAAGTCACTCCCATTTGCGGCGATAACATCATGAGAAGCGCTGTACTTCCCCTAAGTGGCTATAAAACACTGGATAACAAGAGAAAGGTCTTTTACAGTCTCTGGATGTTCCCATTAATTACTGAATGACTGACAACAGCCGTGGCTGCTTTGTCTGCTCCACGACCTCCTGGGGAGAAGAAATTAAAAACCAGAAATGAGGGACATGTGCTGATGGAAACCAAAATATGAGTCAACAAGAATAAAGAGATTCCTCTCTAAGCAACATGCTGGGTGTATTAGCACAAAAACAGGTGCACATGCACTCAGAGCAGCACATACAGTTACACACACACACACACACACACACACACACACACACACACACACACACACACACACACACACACACACACACACACTGGTGCAGAAGTTTCCCACTGCAGGCAACCAAACATTCATGTGTATTTAATCAGACACCCACTTCCACGGTACAATATTTCACTGTTAAAAAAAAAGGTCTTTCAAGGGTCAGTTGACATCACAAAAAGTGGGAGCATGTTGTCAGGACAACCTTTGTTTTCGCTCCAAGGAGACCAAATGACACTAACAAAAACAGAGACTATGTCCTCTCATGATGTCATACTGTAAGAGCAATATATCCTCCCAAACTGTCAAATAAATCCAGCATGAAACCAACAAAAGCAACATTCAGAAGAGCTCTAAATTAAACATATCAGCCATGTGAAGTAAATGAAACCTCCTCTTAAAGGACAGGACAGCTGGAAAACAAGATCAGATGTCTTGCCAAATTTTGTCAAAACTCTCTGTGGGTATGACTATCATAATTCTGACTTGTGTGGGATGGGGTTTTTTTCTGGAGGAATGTTGGGCCCAAATTCAGCCAAAATCTCTCCCCAAACATGCAAACTGCTGTATGTATACTCATACTTGCAGTGTTTGAGGATGTTTACATCAGATTTTGTGCCTCAAAAATCATCAAATTTACAAATTTTGAACTTCTTTCACAACCACAATCATCGATCTTTCCGCCACTGACTAATTACAGCCAGAGACAGACCACATAACAGTCTGTGTCAGCGCTAATTTTAGGTATGTATCATAACTTTCCGGGAACAACAAATTAGATGGAGTTAATGCAATAGCTGCTGCACCACAGAGAGCAAATCTGTGGTCACATTTTTTGGTTTCTCAGCGTCTTTTGTTTGACGTCCTGTTAGCAAGCCAGGTGAGACTTCAGACTTAATACACAAGCAGCGGCCCACTTCTGGCCACCTGTAGGTTCAAGTAAATAAAACTGAGAGAAAAATGCATGATCCCCCTTCAGTCAACCCACAAACTTCCCTCAAACATGCAAACATATAAGCCTATGAAGTTTCCACTTGCATGACAAGCAGACCACCTTTCCTGTTGTGTGGCAAGTACTGTATGTAATCCCAAACCCAAAATCAGAACCAGTAAATATTTTCTTTTCTTAAACCAGTCTGAGATATTTTCTGACCTTAGCCCTGAAATATTTTAGCATTTGGATGACAAATAGCGAGAAAGCTTGGGAAATGCTTCAGTATGTCGTTCCAAAGGTCAGCCAGGACATAGCATTGAAGATTGCAAAGTAACTCCTGTCTGCAAATGTCCCCAACCAAGGTATTTATTCCAAGAATATCTGTCAACGACACAAACTTGCACAGACTGTTATTTTGAATTTCTTTCATATAATGGAGAGGATCCCTTCATTTGTGGACCTTTTCCTAAAAGGACAAGGGCCTATGCCCACTGGCAGTTCCTATTTTATATTAAAAAAAAAACCATCTGGGATATCAATATTACACCGTTTTGGAGTCCAATGTGTAAGTTTATCCCAATACTGAATGGCATAATGTTTTTTTGCAATCACAGGCATATGGTTATTTCCATCTACTGCACTTTCACTTCTTCCAAAGTTCTTATTTCTATCATTCATTATACTGAGCAACTTCATGACTATAAAATGATCTTTTTCCATACATGTAAAATTAATACAAATTTCTAGGGCTGGAAAGTAGTAATTGACTGGCCAACTTATTAGTCGATATGTGCTGAGTCAACCAAAATTCTGATCGGTCGACTTGATTTTTTTTCGCATCAATTTACAGTCTATGGTTAATATCATCAGGGGGAACGTACCTTGTGCTAATGGGGGTGTTTTAAGAGCATTTGACAGGTAACAGCCTGTCTCAGAACACCCCCCTTTTTTTCACCATTTTGGATTCACCCAACTCACTGGAGACTAGTGGTGGGCAAAACCGGTCATTTCAAAGAACCGGATCATTTCGGGTCGTTCAGTAAAAAGACCCGTTCATTTCGTTCTTTTCGGTCATTTCGGTCATTCGGTCTTTCGTTCAACTCGTTCATCCGTCTGGATCTTTCGTTCACTCGGTCTTCCGTTCAACTCGTTCATCCGTCTGGATCTTTCGTTCACTCGGTCTTTCGTTCAACTCGTTCATCAGTCTGGGTTTTTCGTTCAACTCGGTCTTTCGTTCATTTGACCCGTTCTTTCAGTCAACTAGGTCTTTCGTTCATTTGACCCGTTCTTTCAGTCAACTCGGTCATTCCGGTCTTTCAATCAGCTCAGTAGTACTGCTGCTGCTTCTCTAAGCCCCACCCACACACAGAACGAGGCGCAACGATAGGATAAGACAGGCAAGCAGTCCCTCTTCAGCCAATCAAAAGAACTGAACGGATTGAACGGGTCATTTAGGGGGGGAGAACTAGTTCATTTCGTTCATCAAAAAGAACTAGTTCTTTTGATCCGTTCGTTCAAGACCGACACACCACTACTGGAGACCAGCTGGAGACATTAAGATTGAAGATCGTCCACGTTAATCAACTGTCAGGTGGTTTTGCTGACTATTTATTTTTATTTTGACTGTTTCAACTTGCCTTTTGTGTTTAACTGCCTTCTTGTGCTGATATCAGTATATTATCACCCTGCCGAGCCACTCTCCGCCGAGCCGCGTTGCCCCCCCATTTTAGGGTTTCAGTCAACCAAGAATTTCTTTGGTTGATTACAGCCCTACAAATTTCACAATAAAATATTGAATCTAGAACATTCCTCATAGCGAGGCCTCCAGTTCTCCTCAGAGACACTCCGAGTCTGCGTGTCTCACTGTAAAGGTTTGTAATTTTGAGTCATCGGGGCCTCGGGGTCTGCTCCACAGCTGGGCTGTGAACAGTAAGCACCGGGTTACATTCCTCTGTTCACCTGTTAAATGACTCTCTGCTATTCATCATGCCTGATAAGGCATGGCCATTAGATCCAGCTTACAGTAATCTGCCTTTTGATGAGATATTTTTGGGCTGTTATTTTTCCTGGACGTTGGATTCCTGTGTGACTGCCAAAGAAATGTGTTTGATGTCAAGCCCAATTCAATTATAAATCTTAGAAAATATTAGAGTGGAGGAATTCACCGTGTGCTGTTGTGTGTCCTGAGAGTTTCTGTCTGCACTGACATAGCAACAAATGCCCGGTGGACTTCTCTCATGTTTTGTTACCTGGGCTTTACTTATAGTATACTTTTGCAGTAATGAAAGCAGATTGTCATTACTACTTCCACCAGCTGTCAAACAAGCTTTTACTGCTGGAAAGTAATCCTTAAAGGCAAACATGATAGATCAAAATATGTCCTCTAAATCAAGGTGTCTGGCAACAATATGGAAAAAATTCCTGCACAAAGGGGCCTTCATACAAAGGATTAAGGTGCTATTTTTGAACCCAGAAACAGCAGTGACGTCACTTTCAGCTAGTTCACCTTGCAGCACAAGGGAATTCGTTGTCTATTAGAGTTTATTTTGCTCACTTGAGTGTGTCAGCTCTTTAAGGCCTAACGTGTCAGATCCGACAAAGGCTAACAATGTGCAATAGCCTGAATGGGCCTCATCAGGAGAAACGTGCAGCAAATGACACGAATTCAAAAACACACATTCACAGTCAAAAACAAACACAAAGGTGGAAACATGCTGCAAAAGAATAGAGATGCTGTAAAAAAATGAAACAACTGCATAAACAGCAAATGTGCTGGATTAACAGAAATGATGCAAAGACACACAAAGACCGAAAGCAGGAAGAAAAAACATTTAATTGTTAAACCTCAAACAAATACCACATGTACTATGAACAAGTATATTTTACTATAAACAGATCAGCATTGATCACCAACTCCAGCACTGTGAAAAGCCATGTGACTGCCATGATTAGTTTAAAAATGCAATTCACTCTTTATCTCAAAGTGTATCTTGAGAGGGATCTTTTCTGTTATGTTTGCTGACACATAAAATAGCAATCCGAGCCTCTCGGTGGCATGGACAAACACTTTTAGAGGACATACTTTCCTTGGGCACATTTGCCTCCAGGGATTACAGCATGTTTATCAGCTCATAATCGAAAGAAAACAATGGCTGCAATCCAAAACTTCTTAACATTTAGTGTATTAGACCCAAAATATGAACAAAAAAAGGTCCAGTTTGAAATGCAGCCTACCTAACTTATCATAAAAACCTGTAAAATGCTCAACATGTATCCTGCTGAGTCTGTGTGGGGATTCTTGTTTTACAAGCAGACAAGAGGTCAAATGGGACTCATAAAAACAAGCTCAGCTCTTCCTTCCCATGTCCATGTGACAAGATAACAGCTGTGTGAATATTAAACTGTCCTGCAAAGAGACTCAAGATATCCATCTTTATTCCTCAGACTCTCCGTATTTGTTTTTCGCATATCACTTGAATTAAATATCCCTCCATGTCCTCTTTTTACCTCCGTGCTGACTCTCCTGATGTCAAGGAAGAAACGGTTTGAGTGGGAGGTCTGCAGGATTCAGTTTTACGGAGAATGATGCAGTATGTCTGGCTATTGTGTGTCTGATCAGAGCCCAGATTTTGGTCTATAAATTCAGTGTGTGGAGGAGAAGTCACAGAGTTCAATCCCTGACTTCAGCCTGCTGCCTGTAAAGCCGTTTATCTCCTCTAGTATTATGCTGGCAGTAGTTTACAGTAATTTCTCGTCATTTTCAGTCCTTAACACAGCAGAATTACAGGGTCTGCTGAGTTCAGGACAGGCAAATGTGCATCCAGTTTGCAAAGTATCTGATCATTTTGGTGCTCAACATCTCCACCCTTAGAAGGTAATTCTGATACTTTTAGACCATGATCCTATTTTATACATGTGTAGAGGCCTAAAGCCAAAAGTCTTTGTAAATTCCCAAGATATGTCTTCTGCTGGCAGTAAGGGGATGATTTTTCTTGATGATCTCACTTCATAAAGAAAAGTAGCAGTAGAAAAAAGTAGAGTTGCAACAATTATTTTGGGCCACTAAGAAGCAGTAATTTCAAGTGTTTGACAGTGTTATAAAAACAAAGACACACCTTTTTGTTCAAATAAAAAATCTTTTTGAAGCCAGAGAAAGCTTTAGTGGAGCTCTGTTCACAACAACTAGATTCTCTGTAAAAGCAGACCTGCCAGCTTAGAGAAAAAACGAGGTGCTGTGATATTTCTACCTCAATCTATTGGCTTTGATGCATTGACTGAAAAACATGAAGCATTTAAAAAATAAATCTAAATCTGGCCTTACCATGTGAAACATGTCACATAGTGAGACAAGACAGCGTACTGGGGCTGCAGACCAGCAGCTTTATGTTCTCCAAAGTAAATTACAATTTTGTCAATGGAGTTCAGTGTCTTTGAAAAGACAAAAGAGTCTAGAATTACTCTGAAAGGTTGGTCCAACCATCTGCTGTGGAAAAGGCTGTAAGGCTGCAATCCTTGTGTAGATGGGTACAGAGAAAAAGAGGTGGGCCTGTCTAACCCTGAAAACAATGCTTCTTATTAGGTTCTGAAACACACATTAACTAAAACAGGACAATGGAGTTACTCGTCTGTAAGTATGAGCTAATGTAACAACAACATCTGATGGGTAGCATCAAAAGGCTAGCCATAGACATTTTCTGTGAAGGCATCACTTTTAGGTTGTTTCAGGACTGCAAAGCTGTGTAAAAAGTAAAGCATTTCAAGTGGAGTGCTGAAATGAGGGTATTCACAGGTGCCACTGTAAGATAAATAAGGTGCTCTTTGAGCTGCAGGTCATGCAAAACGACTCTCTAGGTGTCCCAGAATTCCATAATGAAAGGTAAAAATAATGAGTCTCTTTTAAACTCATCTGACCCAGACCAACGTTTTCACTTCCTCCTTCTTGAAATGACAAAGATTTCGGTCCTGTATTTGTTGTGAGGCCCAGGTAATTTGAGCGGATGTAAAGTGACTGAATGTATGTGTCACTGACCGTGTGAGACTTACTGAAGTTCTTAATGGTGATGGTGAAGTGTGAGCGTGTTTACCAATGAGGTCAAGCAGGAGCTGCTGACACTGTGTGGAGAAGTGGCTTTGGTACAGACTAAAGATTTATAGACCTTCTCTGCACATCCTGCTGTTGAACTTGTCTTGGATTACCGTCCTCCTACTGTGCATGACTGCCGCCTTTGTCCACAACAGACATGCCTCATATTAAATCTGGTATTCCACTTCTTCAACTGTCACTGATCCACTTATATAACTCCCCACAAATCTCATCTCATTTCCCTCTTCTCCCACTCTCTTCTGTTCAATTCTGTCTTGTCTGGCTGTTAATCTCTGTTCTAGTTTTTAGACTCTATCTAGGTTAGTGATGTGCTGCAGGCAGATTCAAGTATTCCTTAGGAGTCCAAACAACGATTTAATACATTTTGAAGGAACTAAAAAGTGGTAAATCCTTTGTCACGGTGTACAACATAAACCCTTGAGCTGGCTACTTAATATGATTTCAACATGGCACTAACTCCAGGACCCAGAATCCTTTTCAGCTGCGTAAATCCAAACATAAAGCTACCATTGTAAGGACAGATATTATCTCTTAATAAGCAGCTGCAAATATAATGCATGGTGTAAAAGTAGTACTTATAGGGGAATCAACCATCTCTAAACCTTAAAACTTTTATGCTTTATCGATCAGCTAGTTTTTTGTGTAAAAAATAAATCTGCTTCATCCTCGGGAGCCACTGAAATCACCAAAGTTGCAAAATAAAACAATCATTAAAATAAATGTAGGCAGTAATGGATTAGTTAAATCCATAATCTGTAGTCAGATAGCATGTAAGGGAGTAATGTGTATATTTAGTAAAGGTCTGTGTCTGCAAAAAACTCATGTGATGTTGCCAACTAAAACTTTAAGTGGATATACCCTCTGAGCTTGCAGATATCCTGTTATAGTGCAGCCACTGTAGCCAAGTTTCAGCTGCAGGCAGAGGTCTTTGGTTGGACCAGTTTTCAACCATTAAGACCCACCAGTTACTTTTACATGCATGTGTGTTTAAAAAATGTTCCACATGCAAAATACCAAACCGTTTTTTTTGTTTGTTTTTTTTGACAAGCCAAATTAATGAGCGGAAACTGTAGTCTTGAGTGTGATAAGGGCTCCGAGTTGGGAGGCTTTAGACCCTGAGGCTGAGAGCGAAGCAGGAAAAGTCTCACCTTGTTGGGTGAAACTTCACACCATGCCTCCATGCCTGTGGAGTGCCAGGGGCCTCTACTAAGGCTTAAACAGAACGGGACCATTCGTCACGTCTACCATTAACGTACCACTGAGGAATAACTCTGACGTGTGTCCATCTAGATGTTTTACTGCAGACTTCCTGATATGTTCAAGTGTATAGTCTATAATCACAGTGGGTGTGTGGGTTATGGGACGGTGTATCGCCTGTTCAGAGGGAATATAGATTACTTTTAAAGTTGTTTTGTCTAGTTCAGTGAGCTCTGGGAAAACTTCGGCAGCCTGAGGTGAACAAGCATAGAAGAAGTCCGTCCTTAAACACATCTTTGTCCACTTATAACACACACATTCATAGACACAGATCAGTTATCAGCATGGTGAGAGCTAAGTAATACGTCAAACTGACTACCTCACATCAACCTGCAAACTCTCCACTCTGTGCCAGTGGAGTATTGGTAGTTTAAGTTCCTCCCTTTGAAATGTTTTCACTTTTCAGGAATGTGAAGCTTCTGGCAAACAGCCTCCATATAGTTTTAATTTTGAGCATGAGTGCAGAGCACCCCCACGGTCCCTGCAGGTTTGCTCGTTATTTGGAGGTTAAATATGAAATGACATCATGCCTGTAACATTGGGAAAAAAGGTATAAAAATACCTCTGCTTTTCCCTTTCCCTCCTCCTACAGAGATCAAATGAGCCCATGAGGGAGAATTTAAAATTACTGCCTTCCTGAAACAGGCCAAACAGTCAGCATTACAGTCAGGCTGCGTCATGAGTCAGCAGCAGGTCACCTGCTATGACCTCATACTGAGTCTGTTTCACACAATGTCGGAGGAAAGGCTACCGCTAACTGGAAGTGCACACTACTTCTGCAATGACAGGCTGCTTATGTAGGTCAAAAAAACATCTTCAACTTATCCTGAAGTGTAGAAGCTAAAGTGATGTCTCAGAAGTTGACAAGTAAACTAAAACTGCTACCAAACTCCAAACACCAACACAACATGTGGAATTTAATTACAAATAGTATTTATATATCAATAAATCAATATAAAAATTGTGTATGGTGACAATTGGTTGAAATTGCTAGGAAGTAGAATCATTATTACCGGTGCATTGGCAAAGGTTGATAACTTGTTTGCACTAAATGTAGCTAATATGACTTTATCTATAGCTTTTCACAAATACATGGCAAGTATAAGAATTATTACCAATCAAGAATCACATAATAAGAGTAGAGCTAATGTTGTGATGCTTCACTTGGGCACAGCTTTATATAATTCCAATAGGTTGTGTTTACACATATAGATGTGGGCTGCATTTGCAGATCTGCAAATTATTGAAGATTGAGCTGCTAGGCCTTTCAGAGATTTGTGTCTACTTTGCGCACCCCCTGTATCTCAGACTCACTAGAGAAAACATCTGTGGTTATATCATATGGCAACTAGACCAGTGTTCAACCAGTTCACTGCCAACATTGTGGCTGATAACTTCTGTCCTTTGACAAAGAGTCAAGACAGAGATTGATATAGTTTTATTGAAGGTCAAGTGCAAATTTTCTAACATTTTTAGGGTCCTGGTTTATTTCAGTGGTCAGAGGTTGTAGTCCTCCCTCAAACATATCCTGCCTTTTTTAACCGTCCTATTTATAATGGCATGAAAAGGCCTCAAAATATCTTTGAAAAATAATCATTATAACATCCTTATCTTAACCTAAATAAACACTGCCATGAAAAGAACACCTATGCACAGAAATAAGAATTATGATGTCCATGCAAGGCTCTGGGGTGTTTTCCATGTAAGAGCAACAATAGACTGAACCTTATAGATGTAGAGCTACAAGATATTCCAAAAGCATCAAACTGAAGCCCCTGAATTGGACTCAGTTTGCCTTTCTGTCTGTGAACATGCAAATAGTGGTCTAATTTTATAAAGTGGTTTTGGTTCCTGGACTGGAGCATGCATGAGGCCTGTTTAGCAGCCTCCTGTATTTTATAAGAGGAGGGACTTTACCTCTGTGTATGTGCATTTGTCTGGAGTCTCACTGGATAGCATACTGTATATTTGGCAACAAATTCCATCATCAATGTAAGGAATGTCGTCTCCTCTTGATGTTGGAGGCACCGCCTTGTGTGGATTTTCAAGCAAATTTGACTGGCAACCTCTTATTTTCCAAAATTTCCCCTGTGGTTTTGTGCATTTGCTTTAAACCAAGGAGTCTAGGTTGCTGCCTGCCCGTCTTTTTCATTTAACTGCAGCTCAGCTTTTGAAATGCTTGTGCTTAAATTTGCACAACAGGCAGTTAGCGGGGTAATAACATGGAACAGCATCAGACAAAGCATCTAAAATAGCACACTGAGCACGCCACAATCGGAGGTGGATTTTCCGTCTGCTTTTCAATGCATTTAAATAGTGAGAAATCAGTCATCAGGAACCCGCATTGTGCGTAGAGTTCTGCACAACCTGACCTCACACCATCAATTTTGTTTACAAATGCTCTCTTTAACAACTCAAACACACAAACACACACAGCTTGCATAAACCTTAAAAATACCAACATCTATCCTCATCCCCTAACTAGCCTCTAGAAGAAGTAAAAAAATAAAAAAGGCCAAAATGATCTCAGACTGCAAAAATGCACTAAGTGTTTCCCACAAGGATGTAATACACACGCAGTCAAATACCAGAGCTGCATCATTATAAAATGAGTATTGCATAAAACATAGTGTGTGGGGAGCATGAGAACATAGTGAAGAATACCCTGCACTCAGCACCGTTAAGACTCTCCGGCCGAGACAAATTGTGGCTGACCACTGAAGGCCGCTCCCTGCACCAAAACACCAGGAATGTCTTTTCAGCCGGCCGTGCAAAACGCTGGCAGCAGCTCAGCTCAAACTCATTAGCCTGAGAGAACGAGGAAGTGAGAGATGGGGAGGTGGGTCACCTGACTGGACTGGCTGAGCATAAAAAGTGCAGACCATTGAAGCTAATATCATGAAAACATCAAACAAATACTTGTTTGGGAAGAGAGAATCAGACAAAAAGGTGAGCAAAAGCTACAGTGATCTAAGAACCTGCAGCTTGCGATCTCAAGTTATACTACTCTCATAGACTAAATAAGACTACTTTGATGATAAACAGTGAAACATGATCAAAATGCGACTTTAAATGAAATTTGATCCATATTTGATCAACTTTATTCAGTCCTTTTCTTCCCTAACTACAAATCCTGCAGACATCACAATCATCCTTTCAACAGGGACCTGCGAAAGTTTTATCTGAAAAGACAAAGTCAAATTATGTCAGACACACGCCATAAAAGTCGCACAAAACACACGCCGAGGGATTGTGTAGGCTGTACAGTAAAACAAAATACCTACCAAAGTGATGTGTACGAGAAAGAAGAGACATATCTCGGATACAGAAACTCTGAATATGCAGAATCACACAATAGGTTTACATTGCTTTATGTAAGGGACAGTCTCCAGTCAAGAAACTTGTGCAGATAAGTGCAAAGTTTATCTTTGAACAGACTCAAACTTGGTATTTCTCTGTTGTAATCATGCTTTAGTATGTAGAAGACAGTCAAATATCAGAAATCACAGCAATGTCCTCCATAGAGTTTCCATGTCTTATTACTTATTTTGAAGTATGTGCAGATCTGGCAAAAGCTCCTGAATTCCTGCAAGTTTACATTTTAGAAAGGTGTATATATGAGGTAAAAATCTAATAATTTCAGGGCTGTTGGGTTACAAAGATAAACAAAAAGATATAAGATAAAACTTAATGTGATTGTCATGTTTTATGAAACAGAAAGAACTGACCCTGGACTGATAGGAGATCAAAAGATGATCCTGTTTTTTAACTGCATTTTTAATATCTTGCTTTGTAACCATCTCTTAAACTTAAAATAGGTGATTTTAGAGGACTGTCAGTTTTGTTATTAAAAACATATAATGTGCTGCCATCTAGTGTCTGAGATTGATAGTCAGCACAGAGTGGAGGAGGCCCTCTCCCTGGACGCACACACACACACACTGCTCTTTGCATGTCTATATAATAAAAATTATGACTTAATGGGACAAGCAACATTACTCATCTATTTATGACCTTTTGAATAAAGTAATTATCCAGTATTTCATTGTCACTGCATCAAGATAACTCAGGATTTGTGTGCTCGGTTAGTTTGTAATGCAGAATGAGTTATCCACAAGTATTTACTTGAATTCAGCTTTGTTATAGAATAAAACGCTCTTGTTCACCGAGAAAATGTAGCTAACACCCCATAAAAAGCCTCATTATTGATCCTATTTTTAATTACCATGTGTAAAAAACTATGTGGTTGAATTAATTAATCCTCATCAACCCAAGAATTCATCACCTTTGTCCCACTCAAGAAACAATAATACAGACAAACTTTAGATCTCCAAAACATTCCTTTGTATAAACTCCGCTTTTTCACTTTAATCATAAGAAAAATGTTTTTTTTTGTTTTACTCTTCCCCTGTATTCTCTCTGCTTCTGTTCATTTTCTCTGTTATATAATTCCGGTATGGCTACAGAATCCAGCTCTCCCGTTTCTCTGTCGTTAAACGTGTTACACACTTCCTTCATATTCCCCAAGAAGGTGTGGGGAGATGTGGAGCCTGGTGACTGAAAGCGCCTTGTCATTGCATTGCCTGCATTCCTGTGCCTGGCTCCTGTTGGCCTGAAGACTATTTATACAGCCGCAGAGGAGGCCCCCCTTATAGGCTGCTGGGGAGATACAGGTCCTGAGCCCCTGACTGTATGTCATCTGATTACACAAACACCTAAAAACACCTGAAAACAACAAGGTAGAGAACCTTCTGAAGGCTCCACAAAGACAAGCGCAGTAAAAACACATGCAAGTGAAGGTGGGGAAGTTCAAAATTAGGTAAAGTCACAAAAGAAACAAAGATATCAGGCTTGAGTTAAATTGGATGTGTCTAAATTGATGCAGAAGGTGTCTAAATTTTTATGCTTTACACATTGGTGCATTTTGATTGCAGAAAGGCAACGAGAAGATGTTTATAGCTACTCAAGAAAAATAAACCAAACAAAACTTTAATGAAGATATTCAAAGTGTTTGATTAGGAAGTGATATAGCGACTGAAATTCAGCCAGAAAAAGCTCGACTACCAGGTAGGACAGATATAACCTGCAGAGAGCATAAACACATCATGAAATTCAAACAGATTGTACCTTTAATTAGAACTGATATGTCCCTATAGTAAACAACAAGCATGTCAACTGAGCTGTGAGGTTCACACATCTAGAAAGAAGAGAGGAGTGTATTTTTAGTTTGCTGGAGAACTGGTGCAAATAACCAGGAGCAAGAATGAGGCAGGCTCCTTGCTTTAACTGGCACAGGTATCAGAGGACAAATGTGCTTATGCAGAGTGGAAATCCCCTCAAACCTGAAACCAGGTGCTCTGCTTGTCAACAACACAGATAACTCTCACCTCCTGGCTGTCTCACTTTATCTCTAAAGCCTGGACAAGGCCAAGTCCTGATGTCTGCTCTGGTCGACATCACTGACACGTGACTGTGATAGAGGTCTGTTACTGTACGTCAGTGCATTCTCGGATCATGTTCATACAGTATGTTGAAACTCTGAATATAAGTACAGAGGTCAACAGTAATATCACATGGCCTATCATTTCACCTCAGCAGGTAAGACTTTGAACACCAGCTCTTGGAAAAGTGTTTGGCTAAAAATACAAAAAAAAAGTTTCCTTTAAGAATTTAATTTCTAATATTCAATGTGAGCTCTCCTCCTCCTATGTACAGAGTAGAATACTGCTGTTTAGTGGTTCACAGAGCATTGAAACCGGAGCTGTAATTGTGATTCATAGAGAAATATTTATAAACTACAATGAGAAACGCCAACGTCTGCTTAGTTAACCTCAAGTGGGACACAGATTTCCAACTGAAGTTTCTAAAAATTAACTAGATTTGAAAACATACTTTGGGTCAAATCTTATTGTGTCTTACTGTATCATATAAGCTCCCATCATAACATATTGTGATGTATCAGGCTGTATTGTATCGTATCATATTGTTTTGTGTCATACTGCACCGTGTTAGATTGTATTAAAAATTTTTATATTGTATTGAACCAAACTTTAATATACTGTAGCATACTGTATTGTGTATCGGCTTATCGTAGTGTAGCGTACATTACACATTATGCTTTATTACACGTATCAGTGTAAGGTAATGTATCGGTGTGGTATTATAACATATTGTATTAAACTGCATTGTGTTGTACCATTTGCAGCTATCATAGCTTATCATGTTATACAGCAGTTTGAACACATGCATTATATTTCAATCAATGATACTGCACGATTCCACACAATTGGCTGTACTGAAGCATCATTTTGTACCATGATGTATCACATGAAACCCCATGATATGTTATTGTTTAAATCTTGACTGAAATATATCGTATTGCATATTTTTCATGCTATCATATCTTATTGTTTCTGACTGCATTGTATCATATCACATTAAATCACATCTCATCTAACGGTATCAAATCATTTTACATTCTACTGCACTGTAGCCAGTCGTTGTCGAATCTAATCTCAACAGCAAAGCCACACATTTCAAGTCAAATCATGTCATCAAAAAAATACCAGAAGTTTTTGTTATGCAAGAAAATGAAAATAAGAACCTTCAGTTCCACTCAAACTGGGCAGGCATCATCTGCAGAAGTATATGATTCAAAAAGTGAGACCTGTGAAAGCCTCAGAACAGCTGCTTCATGGGCAAAAAGGTGAGACTGAAGCTTACCTGACAAGAGGCTGGGGGTTCCCTCTGACTCTGCACTCCAAACGGATGGGGGTCCCCTCTGCCACCTCCTGACTCTTCAACTTCTGGAGAAAACAGGGAGGAGACAGCAGCCCATCTCTGCTGGAAGCTCCAGAGTTTTGGTACCCTGCAGAAGTGGGCTCTGTGGTGCCCACAGGCTGAGGCTCCACAGGCACAGCTGGATGGCTAAACTGTGTGTCCTCTGTTTGGGTGGGGGGCAGAGGAGGTACAGAAACTGAGCCCTGGGGGGCAGGTCGCTGGCTCCTTGGAGTCAGATAGCCACTATCAGGAGAGGAGGAGTCCTCCTCTACTGGCGGCTCCACCTGAGCAGCGCCTTTGAAGATGGATGACAGCTCCTCGATGAACGTGGCTGCTCTGCTGCAGAACTCTGAGGCTGAGGCTGCACGATCGGTCAGCTCCAGGCCTTCATGAACCAGCCTTGGTTTATCCTGTTTATACACTGGATGGATTGGTTTGTGGCAGACAACCTTCTCAGCAGAGGGAGGAGCCTCACTGAACACCTGAACAGGTTTGCTGAGAGGGATGTTCTGGCTGGAGGAGACATCTACTGCTGCAGTTTCATCTGGGCAAGGGGCTTTGGTCTTGTGCTGCAAGTTTGGGCTTTTGTTCAGGTTTTGAGTAGTCAGGGGAGGTACAGGTAATGAAGGAACATATTGGAGAGCCTGCTCCTGGGGTATAGGATTAGAGGGGCCTGGATCTTCAGATTCACCAAAGGCCTCCCGGGCCAGGTCCAGACTACGATTGATCTCATCTGCACTCAAGAAAGCAGTAAGATCAGCAAAGTTCCCATCTCCAGAATCCAGCTCTGTCGTTGAGTCCAGGTATAGTTCCCCGTCAGAGGATGCCTCAGAAAACACCCCACCATCGCCCTCCAAAGTCCCGCCTCCTGCCGGGTCCTTCAGCAGCAGAGAGATGGGGAGTGGCTGATTCCAACTCCCGTCCTGCATCCTGAAATACACATTAGCTGTCATTAAGCAGCAGTTTACACAGTGCAGACAGCAGCAGAGTGTAGAGCCTACATGAGATCTCTATCATTAGAAGAAGAAGGAGTCAAAGTTCAAATATAGACCCCACAATGCCGGCTTATGTGCTCTGGAAACCATCGCTGGCTGCGTGACTCAGGCCACTGCTGTCTGGACACAGCTGGTGGGTATTAGCAGAAGCCTTCTCTGAGGTCACACTGAACATGACTGGCATTTCTTACCCGCTCTGTCTGACAGGACAGTTTAACCCATCACTCTGTTCATTACTGTGGCTACTTCACATGTTTTACAGCAAGTTGGGGAATCACAGCTGAAAATACGTCATGACACTGAGATCCAGTTGTTGCTTTTTCAAGGAACTTATCATGTCTGAGTTTTTTTTTTTTTTTTCCAAATGATTATAGGAAAACTGCCCTCAGTTCAATTTCTGCCATCTGTGACAAAACCTCAAACGATTTTTTGTTGCTTTTATCTTAAAAATTTTCTGTTGCATAATATCCTCCATTGTAAAACTTTTGTTTTGAAGTACACTCCCGCTGGTAGATGTAAGTTATAAAGAATGATCAGCAAATATAAGTCCTGAGTTAATTATGAACCTGAAAAAGCAAAAGGCCCAGAGTTTTTTTAGAGTCACAGTCGATCAATAATAAATGATAAAAGCATCAATAAATATGTTACAAGTGTCTAATTATACCTCAGAAAGCTATTTCAGTTAGCAGTCTGCTACTTTTTCTGTCCTCTGTTTCATGAGGTATAACAGCCAATGCAATGTAAAGAACTACTATTATGACAGTATTCTATTGTTCTTTTTTTTTTTTTTTAAAGAAAGTTATTGTCGCTAGCAGTAAATTGCAACAGCTCTATAAAAGCGAAAGGCGTTTAAATATTTCATTTTTAATTTCAATCTGCAGTTTGAGTTGATTCTGGTGCCCCCTGTGGACAAAGAGGTACACCTCATTTCTTACTGAATCTTTCTTTCTTTTTACTGATTTTGTCATGTTCATGTGTAAGCCATGTTTTTTACTCCTCCTGCTTTATGATACCGTGATACCCGCATGTATTATTGATATTCTTTGTAAATACAGGCCTTTTGGCAGCACGCTGTTTAGCACATATTGAAATCTACCTCCCAACAGAGGTTTCAGGGATTAAACATACCCTATTGAAATCGTCAACCTTTTTATTTAGCCTATAGTCTAGTTTGCTTCTGAAGTACATAAATAGACATCAGTATGAATTTCAGTCTATTTGTAACCATCTTAGAGCGCCTCAGGGGAGTTTTTAATAATCCATCTGACTGATAGTCTCACATTGGATTTAAACCCTGATGAGTATGTGCAACTGGATCAAATTAGGACTATAAAGTTCCATAAGTCACAGCTCTCCAGTGCCATTTTTCTCTAAAGTCAAGGTAAGAGTTTAAGGTAGTCATCACAATTGATTAGGCCAATTGATTTAGCTAATTAGTGGCTTTTAACCAATCTGTATCAGTTTAAATCTAGGTTTACAAGGCTGCTTAAAAAGTGAATCATGTCTGCAGACACTGCAGGCGGCCTCATCAGTCTGATTACTGCTGAACGATGTTAATGTCCTCTAAAAAGATAACACATTTTTCCACCCTAAATGACAGCAGATCAAATCTAACAAATCCACTGACAACTGTTTCATAGCTATTCTGTCATAATGTATGGAATTATGGAGCTTAATATTTCCTCTAACAGAAATATGTCATGTTCTCACATGTATAGCACAACCCATTTTACAACCCATATCGCATATATTCATGTAAATGTATAGGAATCATATTTGTGGCTGTATTGGTATAATGGCTCTTATTATCAAAGCTCCTGTGATCAATTTATATCTATGCCTTTTAATTTTCCAAAATCAAACAAGATTTTCAGAAACACCTCTGACGACTTTTATACCATAACTCTTATTACCTGAAACCAGTGTAAGAGGGTAGGTGTTAGCCAAGCGGCCAAAAGAAACAGCCCTATTTTACACTGCACACATTAAATATTCACAGTCAGTGATACATTTGACAGTCAGAAGTCAGAATGATGAAATTTATTTGTCAAAAAATACTACCTTAGTTAACAAATGATGGACCGCAAAGACTGCTTTATCTCCTGTTTACAGACACAGCTAGTCTGTGTCTGTAAGCACAGACACTTCCCGATTGATCAACAACTGAAACAACAGAGAATAGGGCAATTCTGGGAGGATGTGGGCCATGGTCTTTGCTTATTTTGTCCCCTAAATGGTGAAGTGGTGTCATCTGACTGGAAATCTCATTATTGACAGTCAAATGCTTCATTTAACGTGGATATGAAAAATGAAGTGTGTGTGTGTGTGTGTGTGTGTGTGTGTGTGTGTGTGTGTGTGTGTGGGGGGGGGGTAGTGATTGGCTACTTGGCCTGACATCTACTCTCTTACACCAGTTTCAGGTATTAAAGATACAAAAAAATGTCAGCATTGTCTTTCTTTGTTTATGGTAACAAAGCATAAATATGAATTCCAGTCTGTTTCAAATATGTTAAAAACGCCTAACTGGAGGTTTAAGGGTAAAATAAACAAGCAGAAAAGCCCAGAAATGAACAACAATGTTTATTGTGACCCAAGTTTGATTTGACTGTGTGATGAGTGATTTTTTTTTCTTTTTTACCAAATAATTCAGCTTTTTTTAAGTTTCTCTTTATGTTGTTTATTTTTGTGTTTACTATGTTATATCTATTTATCTATCTAAAACAAATCTCAGTCTCATTGTTTTCTTTCCTTGGGACAAACCAAAAATAGACTCTTCTAAATTGGTCATATCTATATCAGCTTATCATATCCTACACTTTGTGTTATTTTATTGGAATTATTGTCCGGAAAACCCTGAGTAAGGCTGATACAGCCTCACAAATAACAAAATGTTCACACATTTAGGCAGACAGCCACATCTGTAGCAGACTATTTCTTAACAAAAACGTCATAACAACCTGACCTAATGAATAAAGGCCAGTAATAAAGCTAGTCATTTATGCCTTTTATGCTTTTTAAACAGTAATGTTGCTAAGAAAGTGGTTGGATATTTACTCTAAAATAGCTTTGGGATTATGAAACATGTTGTTTATGCCTTAAAATGTGGCCAAAAGTTCCTCTGGGTTTCCACAACCCATCATCTTTTCGACTTATTAGTAATTTTTTTAAAAAGTGTTGAAAACGTGAAAATTTGTCAGATTTAATGTGTTTTTGGCATCATAGTGACCTGGATCATCAATTTGATCTCCCCCCCTCTTCTAACATACTGAGCATGATGTCATAGGAAAATGGCCACCACACACAATGGTGAATACACAACAAATACACTAAATTTCTTGTTGTAACAAGGTACTACGGAGAATATAATATCAGCCATGAAACATACACATTCATTTAATCATACCATACATTTGTGATATTTTTCCGGATTAAGACTAAGACAGGTCTGAGGTCATTTTTAAAGAAGTGATGTGAGGTTTTGTCATAGAGGTCAAGGGCATCCTGGATCATAATCCAAAATAAGTGTACACAAGACTACACAGGGTATATTTACAGCACATCTAGTTATGTTACCTGATGCATCCTTATATGACAGAGGCTGATAAGAATAATAAACCACCCTCAGTGTGATTGTGGTGTGAAGCAGGTCACATGTAGTTTAAAAAGGGTCTGATTCTTGTTTGGTCTGCTCTGATCTCTGGAGACGCTGACTCTAGATGTATAGTATGTTGTGTAGCTGTTTGTGGAGATACATGCATCGCGCACTGCATGACACTCAGAGCCTCATGGCGTCCTGAAGACCAGCTGTTGTTATTTTTAATCCCCTGGGCTATGTTTCACAGCAGCAGCACAACCTCACCCACCCCGAGCTCAGGGAGAGAGGGCCTGCAAAGTCTGCAAAGTCGCTGCCTTCAAACACACACAGGCACAACTGCACACAAACTATCACTCACTGACAGCTCCTGGGTTGAACTACCAAACATTCAAGCAAAGGATATGTCCCCTAGAGTACAGGCTACAATAATAACACAGCTGATTAAATATGAATGTGGAACATTTTAAACAGTGGCTCTGACTAACAGAAAGTTAACAACTGTCAGTGCAGACAAATTTTCCACTCATATTCTTTCCAAGAGTCCATTACTGTAAAAAAGCGCATTGAAGTGTTTAAAAAATGTAGTTTCACATAATTATTGTTGTGTATTTAAAACGAGAAGGCCTTGAAATGTGCTTAAGATCACACAAGAGAAATAAGACTATGTATTAATAATGTTTGATTCTCCATAAGCTGCATTAAAACAGCCGTACTATTAGATTAAATACTTCAGGTCATGCTCTCCATAAACCATTGAAAAACCAAACCGAAATAGACACAACTCCAACAGTGCTTACCTTAAAGTGTGCTGTCTGTCCTCCTGGTTTTGTACTTCCAGGTTTGTCTTGAATAAAAAGTAAAAAGAGCCTAAAAGAAGCGTCTCTTTCCAGAAGAGCAGCCCTATTGGTCAGACAGTCGGCAGGATCTCTCAGGTTCAGGGTCCAATTGCATACTGCCTCTGCAGTGGCCTGCTGTCCCATCTGTCCCGGTCCCTAACTGCTCACTGTGTGGGGCTATATTTGGTCCCTGGCTCAGGTTTCACCGCCAGAGTCCTGGCAAGAAGAGAGAGTGTTATGGTAGACCGGTGGAACAGAAGGTGGTGAATAAGTATTTGTTAATCATACACAGTAAACAAGAAAACACTGCAGCATTCTGTAACACTTGATAAAGCAGAGAAAAAAACCTGCAAAATAAGTCAAGAGAGGTTCAACTTCACACAGCTATCAGAAGCCCTCAGTGAACTTTGTTATTAACATGGCAATAATGAAGATATATCACATTTCCTGTTAAGTACTTCCATAACTTCCTGGGTTATTGTAAGGGCTTAAAGGATTTGTAGGCCTGTATTATGATCATCTGTTTCATAAAAAAAGATCTTTAGGTATTTGATGACCATTGTGGGGTGATATATTACTTTTTCAACAGAACATGTAGTGCACCAAACCCTGCTTGGTTGATTTGAAAACAATGCCATCATGTAGTTCGTCCTACAGGTCTATCTGAAGTTTATGATCCTCTCAGCACTGTCTGCAGAATATGCAACAGAAAATAATGCATGTAATAATGTAAAAATAAAGCCATCACATTTATATTTTACCAGCAGGGTGTGTTTTTGTTCATATGCACGTGTCATAACACAACCTTTATAATTCAACCTGATAATTCAAACAGCAATTATTAACAATTATTTATATATAATTATTTCCTAATAAATGCATCTTTAAGGCTTTGTAACCACATTTATAAGTGATGGTAAGCATTATTAATGGTTTTATAAGCAGTGAGCATAAAGCCTTATAAAGGTATGCTTTTTTATGTATTTTAATACAAAATAATACATTTATAGAGGTAAAAATGTATTCTTGTTGTGACCTATTTTTGTCTGAAATTTTACTTACAGCCACAAAATACTACTTTTAAGACTTGCTATAAATGTGCTATAGGAACATAAAACTGTTGATGACCTCATACACTACTGTTACTTAACTAAAAGTCATGTTTTAGCATATCATAGAAATATTGATTAGATTTTATAAACCCTTATAACCAGTAGTTATAAGGGAGAGCTATAATGTGTCATTGAAGCCAGAGTTCAAATGATGCTGTTTTTTTTTCTTTTGCATTAAAAAATAATGCATAATAAAGCATACCTTTATTAGGCATTATGCTCTCTGCTTATAAAACTTAATAAACATTTAGCTGTTATGGCTGCTTGTAATCACTCACAGGGATTATTATAAAGATTTATAGATGCATCCAAATGGCTCTATAAATGTTCTTATGATACATAGAAGTGATGAGTTCATATGAAGTGTTACCAGTCAACTCCGAGCAGATGATGTTTTTCCCCGGAAATGGTTAAAAAATAATTAATGCTTTGTGTTTATCATCTCCTGTGAATAAATGAACATTATAAAGAAAGCTTTTGAGTATTTCTGCGCAGTCAAACCAATGTGAATTAAAAAAAAGCTATTTGATCAAAGTTCATACAATTTGTTATACCTGTCAACATGTAGAAAGTCTGTCAGTTTTCCCCCTCAGCCAGAGTCACAAAGTGTCCCTCTCCCTCTACACATCCTGGATGGACGAGATACAACAGTCAGAATGATTTTCATCTAAAACACTTCATATTAGACAGTTTACAGTCATGTTGTGTAGTAAAGACATCTCATGTGACAGTGTGAAATAACAGCAGCTTGTCAGTGCTGCCAATGTGTCCATCTGAACTGACCCGATGACCCTAGACCACCCACTAATCTCCAACCTATCAGTGTGTTATCATAAACTTAGCCTGGTTTGGTCAACACTGCTAACATGAGGCATGAGACATTTACAACTCTGCACAATAGAGAAAGAGACATGCAATCATTTTAACCAGAAAAACATGGTGCACACACTAAAGACAAAACTGTCAGTTAGAGGGATATCAGACAGGGAGCGTGCTGCCTCACTTGGTCTATTTCTGAGCCACTATCACATTTTGTTCTCTCAGAGCTATTCTGGTTCTTCCTCATTCTGCTGATTACAGTCAAGTGTTGGTGATACATTTGGAAGGAATTTCCACAGTAATACCTATCTTCAAACCCACACCCACTTTTAAAACTTTCTTTTGCATGCCAATTAAAAATAACAATTCCTGAGGTATAATTTAAAAACAGCTGTATTATTCAGTGGTGACTTCTTTAACCCACTGACTTATATCTGGGCTGTGATCTATGTAAGAATAGCACTGAAGCATGCCCAACACAGATTGATACCGTGTGTGTCCAGCTCAACACCATTTCTGCGTCACAGAATATGTTTACAGGTCGCCTACATACCATGTTTATCTATGCTGAGTGTATTTGTGGATGTCCCAGAGACCCTCTACATATGTATCTGAAAGTGTGAGTTATTTAGGCTGCAAAGATAAGATAGGCTCTGCAGTTGAAGCTTCTGTACCTGTAATTTAAAAGGTGGTTCAGCAAAGCAATTCACTTTTCTTGGCTGTTTGGTTTTTGGGGAGTATTAAAACTTGGCAAAGCTAAATAACTACTACATGTGTACTACATATAAAAACAATTATCTTTATTTTGTGGTTATTAGATAGTTGAACAAATCTACTTGGAAAGGCTAATGCTGTATCTCACCCGAAAGGTAAACTCAAACTGACCAAAAATGTTGGTCTAGTTGTATTGTATAAAAATTGTATATTACATCCAATTTATGAAATAGTCTGCTTATTCCGCTTTGTATCAGAATGGTACAGTCCACATTAGTTGAGACTAGTGTTTAAGTAAAATAACTTGCCATAAAATCTTATTTTTATCGTTTTAATCAATAGATATGCTAGTATTAAATAGCAGGAATAATCTCTAAAGGTTACTTTGGCTGCTTTATTTTGAAATTAATTAGAGAAAATGCTGACAATATGCTTTGTTTGTAGCATCTCTAGCTTGATGATCATGTAGCAGTTCCTCTCTGTGGCCACTGGAGAGCGGTAAGTGTGGATACATTCTGTTGAATACTCTTTTCAACTAAACATTAACAACAGTCGCATTAAAGGTGGGGTAGGCAAGATCTGAGGAAGTTCCAGTTTTGGGGAGAAATCTTGAATGTAAACATGACTCCTCCCAACCAGTTTTCCCCTCAGCTCCTCCTCTCCACTCCCTCTCTACTCCAGCAAGCCCCGCCCACAAACAGACGCTCCTGCTCACTCGTATCGTTTCAATTAAATTCAGATATAATGCAGATAAATAATTCAGATAATTGCAAATGGGACCCAGTCAACATGAATGCAGAAAGCATTGGTGCTACTGTAGATGTCAACAGACTACCAGCAAACACAATTTTTGCAGGACTTCTACAACTAGGATTAAGTGACATACTCCAGGACCCGAAGTAAACAGTTTAGCAGCGCTACAACATTCAGCAGGTCCTGTTTGACAAGAAACACTTCTGTTACACTTGGCTTACTTTGTTAAAGCCGTTTACCTGTCCAGCAGAAAGGTTACAGGGTCCGTAAAATCCCGAAGCATCCCCAAAGCGTTTATGCTCCATTAATGATGTTGACCCAGCTTTTTAGCTTTTGCCCGGGTGGTCTACCTCAGTTTTAAGCGCCCATTATTCCACCAGAGTCTCCGATACTTAGTTCATTTTCTTGCTTGTGTTGGAAGTCGTGGCCAAAGGAGGATTCAGACAATTTCCTGTACTTTCTGGTTGGTTTCTACTGTCCAATATTGTGCCACGCTAACTTTGTTTGGGCTCGTGAACAACACGGAGGAGCAGCATCTGCCTTACAACCACTCAGCACTAGGGAGCAGCGTCCGCCTCACAACCAGTCAGGAAGGGGGAGGCGGGAAACGGCTTTGTATACAGTCAGAGAGAGCGGGCCACTCAAAAATTTTAAAATGTTGACTACACAGACTTAACAAAACACAGCGATATGGTTATATTACCAAATGTCATCAATAACTAATAGCTATTGGCTGATATATAAAGCTTTTTGTATATACAGTGGTGGCCAAAATTATTAGAACACTTGGCATATTTAAGAATTTTCAGTTGTTTTTGTTGAGTTGGCCATTAAAATACCCATAAAACAAATTAAATATCTACAAAGTCATCATTTTGCTCTATAAACCCTAGAATAGAGCCATCATAAGGAGATTTAGGTCATTTTCCATACAAAAAACAAGCAAGGCCTGTCAGTGTCACACAATCATGTTCCTTCACAGAAGCAGCCAAATTACTTGTGTAATCCTTCTCAGGTGTGATCGTGGTTAAATTGATGGTGATGCAAGTCTTAGGACACAGCTGTGTGATTCTTTTGAACGTACAAGGCCTATCCTGCTCATTAAGTGATTGGTAACATGAGGGTTTTGTCACTGAGGCCACACCACCAATTGGTATAAATTCAAAGCCTCTAGAAGTAGTCTTGAAGCTCATGTTGCTCTTTGAACATGGCTAAGGTGAAGAAGGAATTAACGAGTGAGCAGCGGGTTCGAATAAAGGCCCTTTTTGATGCTGGCTGGAGTTACCGCCGCATAGCCAAGGACTTGAGATGCAGTCCAAGCACTGTAAAGTACACTTTAGACCGCCATGATGCCACCAATTCACACCAGAACCGAAAGGGGAGAGGTAGAAAAAAGAAACTTTCTGACAGACAAGTGAAGCATCTCAAAATTCTCAGTCTTAAGGACCGAAGAAAGACCTCACGAGAACTGCGTGACGAGATCAACACCACAATGACTAATGGTGCAACAGTGTCTTCAAGAACTGTGCGTCGGAAACTGGGAGAAGAAGGACTTGTTGGCAGAATAGCAGCAAAGAAACCATTACTGAGAGAGAAAAATAGAGTGAAACGCCTGAAATTCGCTAAAGAACACAAGAAATGGACAAAGGGAGATTGGTATAAAGTGTTGTGGACTGATGAGTCCAAATTTGAACAGTTTGGCAACAAGCGAAGAGTGTATGTTCGACGGAGGGAGGGGGAGAGATATAAAAATGAGTGTCTCTTGCCAACAGTTAAACACGGAGGGGGTAGTATTATGGTGTGGGGTGCCATTGCAGCCTCAGGAACAGGTGACTTAGTGAAAATTGATGGCATCATGGATAAGAAAGTATACCACAACATTCTGGTGAGGCACGGAGTACCATCTGGGAGTCGTCTTATTGGGCCTGGATTTATTTTCCAAGAGGACAACGACCCTAAACATTCTTCTAAGTATTGCCGGAACTACCTGCGACAGAAGGAATCTGCTGGAACATTGAAAATGATGGACTGGCCCCCTCAAAGTCCGGACCTCAACCCCATTGAGCAAATTTGGGGCGAGTTGGAAAATAAACTGGACAGATCTATTGTACATTCAAAGGAAAGCCTTTGGCTTGAGTTGCAGAAGGCATGGGATAATATTAGTGTTCAAGTTCTCAAGAAATATATTGACACTATGCCAGAGAGATGTGCTGCTGTAATTGCTGCAAAAGGTGGACATACCAAATATTAAAGTTAAAAGTGGATAAAAACAGTAGGACTCACTTAATCTGATATTTGTTGTGCTCAGAGCAACCATCTGCATGCATCATGAACATTTTGAAAGGAAATCATGTTTTGGAGGCAAAAAAAAGTTCAATGTTTTCATTTCTGTCAGGTGTTCTAATAATTTTGGCCACCACTGTACATCACAAAAAATATGCTCCTTTAACCAATTCCTGCCTACCCTACCTTTAATATTTTTGGCTCCTTTATTTAAAATAATCAACCAAAAAGCATAGTGTTGGGAAACATTTATATAATGGGCAAAGGTAAGTAAGTAAAGTAAAGACATATAAAACTACAGAAAAATGAAAAATTAAATGATTGAAAAAAGCACAAGCTTAAAAAGTTATTGTTTCTGACAAATAAATGTCTACCTACTGACTTTTGACAGTCAAATTTACCATTTTGTGTGTAAATTACATGTGGAAACTGTAAAAACAGCTGTTTTTGCAGCTGCTTATCTGGCTCATTTTCCTATGTACCAATTTCTGGCATTAAAATTGGGATTCAAAAATCATCAATCATGTTTGCATCTGGATATTGTAATAATGCATCAATATGAGCCCAGGTGTTATTTATATATATTTTTGAGCTGTGTATAAAACATTAACCTAGACTTAAAGTTATGTTTACAAAGTATTCTATTAAATATAATTGTGAACATCCATTTTCTTTTTCAGACCTTAAAGCGTTAGGCTATAGATGTCAATATTTTAAGTTATATCATATTTAAAGCAAAAAATAAATAAGCACTGGAATATAACATGGGTAGCGAGAAAGGAAGTAAATAAGTAGTATTTATTTGTGTGCGCACAAATACTCACCACTTCTTCTAAAGTCAGTGCTTCACTTGGGGCACCCCTAGTCAAATAGTCGAGTTACGCCCCTGAACCCAACGTAACATAGCAAACACGACAGTATCTTTCGAAATACACAAATCATACGTACATTGAAATGAATTCATCATCTCTGTCAATGCTTTCTGGAGATTTTCATTTCTTTTCATTTGCTTTGCTGACTGGCAGAAACGCTCAAGTGAACAAGAGATTTGTCCTTCCACGGTTTCCTTAGCTCCGCAATGATTGGTCAGAAGGGAAATATGGCGCCGTCCGACTAATTGTCAAAACATGATGATGAAAACATGACTGAGTGCCTTTCATAACATAGCAGAGTCTATTTGAAGCTTTCGTTTTTTTTAAGGTCATTCTGCAGTTGTCATTTTTCGTGTTTCATGTCGAGCAGGTTGAGAATAGTCATGGACTTTAGCTGCGTTAGCTTTGTCTGCTAACTAACCTGTCAGCGCGAACATCCTCCGGTAACGTTGATGCAGAAGATTTGATCTGTCGACTCTAAAAGGTAAGAGGCTATTATTTGTACTTGGTGGAGGTATTTGTACCCTTATATTTATTCAGGGTGTCCCTGTTTTCCAGCACAATCATGCCCGCCTTCAGACAAGTGGGAGAGAAGCAGCTTCCTAACCCGGTACTGTGTATGTCCTGGTCCCCCAAAAGAGATCTTATTGCTCTGGCAAACACGACTGGAGAGGTGAGTTTCATTGTCTTTTTGGCACTGTAAAATATTGGCATCATTTAGGGTCTTTGTAATTTCCCTGTGTGTTTGCTCGTAGTTGTTGCTCCATCGCCTGGCCAGTTTTCAGCGTGTTTGGAGCCTCCCTCCCGTTGACTGTACAGGGAAGGAGATCTCTGCCCTCGCCTGGAGACCTGATGGAAAAAGTTGGGCTTTATTTTGTACATGAAGTTGTTTAATTGCCTGGTTCTTCATGAAAACACGAGGCCATAATATGAGCATCCTCTCTTCAATCCTCAGTATTGGCCTTCAGTCTCAGAGACACCAAACAGGTGGTTCTGTGTGGTGTTGAGAAAGCTGAGATCCTCCATGTGTTCCCAATGCAAAACCCTGTAACCTGCATGCACTGGATGGAGGTGACAGAAGAGAGCAGGTATACATCAAGCTCAGGGACCAAATCAGTAATAAACTGGATGGCCTACGGTCTTCACTGTGGTAATTATTTTTTGTTTGGTTGTGTTTCAGTGCCCTAAACTCTTTCTACAACTCAGAAGATGAATCCAAACTATTTCTTCCCAAACTGCCAACACTCCCAAAGAGGTAACGCTTGCATTAACAGCAGGTCAGATAAAGAAGAAATCCCCAAGAGTCAATGAATGACATATGTCCAACCTTTTTTCCTCTTAGCTACAGCACAACTTCAAAGATTTTCAGGTGAGGCAGTATTTTAATGCGTCATTATGACACCACTCTCTTGTTTTTAGCCATTGTGTTTTCATAGTATTGAATATTTATCTCTCTTTGCTGCAGCGAGGAAAAGTCTGATGAGATAATGAATCTGTTGGGAGAAGTCAGGTAAATTAAAGGTTCAAGTTACACACAGATAAATATTGTCCAAGTATTTTATATGTTATTTTACTATACACAGTGCTGTTTTTAACATTGGACTGGACAAAATTTTACTGCTCTGTTTTGCTTCATGCAGACTAAACATTCTTGTTCTCGGAGGAGATTCTGGCTTTGTAGAGCTTTATGCGTATGGGATGTACAAGATCGCTACTCTAACAGAGGTAAGGCTCCTTCTCTCATTACAGAACTAAATGGCTTTATTCATCAGTTTAACATTTATATGACTGAAGAAATGTTAGCTGGAAACACTGGATTTAGTGGAGGACTGTTTACTCAGGCATACAATGTTAAAACTTAATTCTCTTCATGATAAAGCTTAAGCTTGAGAAAGACTGTAGGTTAACCACTTCTTCAATGCAAACTCAACAACGATGAAACTGAATAAATAAGTAATATAATGACGAAGTGTCTATTTATTAATTAAATTGGGAATATACAGAGCCTCACTGGCTATTATCAAAGTAGAAACTCCTCATCCTGAGGTCCACACATGTCAACATGACATGAAACTCCACAAAAATGATATGATTGAAAATCCAAAGCAGCACAGGAAACAGAGGAATCAGTGACAATGATGACAACTTAAAATAACAAAGTACCAAACCAAAAAGACTGTTAAGCATATTTCTGTCAGTAGTCATGAACCTACAAGTGCATCTCAAAAACTTGCAGACTGTAAACATGTTCAGTAAGACGGAGGAAATTTGATTTATACTCTAATTATACTAGACTTATTTCATTTATTACAGGCAAAAGGAGTCAACATATTTCTTTTTCAGTTGATGTTTATGGCCCACAGATCAAAGGCTTTAAAAAAAGACCTCAACCCAAAATGGTTGCTTCACTGGTTTTAAGTTGTTGTGGAAAAAAAGAACTTTATTATTACACCCTTTTTAAAAATGTACAAGAATTCAATAGCCATCTGTCAGTTTCATCGATTCACTTTTTCACTCAAGAAAGTGGTCGACAAAGCTTTCTAAATCATTATCCCTCAGTTATAACGTCAAGATGCTGAGTCACACTTGCCTCCTAACACCAGGCGAGAAGATTTCAACATTTTATCCTGTGAGAGGACAAGAAAATATTGCTTCCTTCTTCCTCCCCCTGAATTCATCCATCTAATGTTGAGAAGATTTCAATCATCTTCTTGCAAGTCCATCTCTATTCTGTGCAGTGAGCCTCTGAGTCATCAAACCCCAGTCTCACTTTGGGCTATAATTTTCCAGCAGTCTTTGTAATTATCAAGGAGGAAAAAGAGACATGTTGGAAACTTTCCCAAGAAAAAATATGACCTCCAACCACACAGATGGCCTTGCGCTCAGGGTTATTACCTTAATTCTACGTGATACAAAATGTTGAGGATGATTTGTGATGAAGTTTTAGCTCATAAACTTTTAACAAGGAGTGTTTTAGATCAAAGAAAATCTGCTTTCGTTAAAAATTCAAAGAGGTTTTACTGTAGCGTTGATACTGTTCAATTAGTGCTCAACAGTGATGGGTATGTGTTTCTACATTTCATTTTGAGATTTATGTCTTTTAACCTAATAACTCTACAGGTTTCAGGAACCTGTCGCAGCCTGAGCCTGTCCAGTGATCTCAAGTCTCTGTCTGTAATCACAGAAGTTCGCTCTGCCGACAACAACCCAGAGATCTGTTACATTCAGGTTAGAGGGAGCTTTTGGCTTCTGGTCCTTAAAAAGTTGCTTTTCCTTCAGGTCCTTGTTTTACATTTGTATTTGCTTTATTTAAACAGCACTGTTTGTCTTCCAGCTGGACACAGGCTTGTTGTCAGACTGTTTGCCTGAGGTAACCAGGATGGCACGCAAGTTCACCCACATCTCGACACTGCTGCAGTACCTGCACCTCTCACTCACCTGTATGTGTGAGGCCTGGGAGGACATCCTCATGCAGATGGATCTGAGGCTCACTAAGTTTGTTCAGGTTAGTTGTGGCATTTGTTGGCTACCAAATAGGAAGTGCAGCTTTTTTCATATAAGCCTCTTTTTCTTATAGGAGAAAAACACAAGCACTCAAGTTCAGGATGAGTTTTTGGAGCTCCTGCTGTGGGGTCAATCAAGGTCAGAAAAAGCCAGTGTTTTGTTTGTCCTGTAGATGGTGGCAGATCATTTTGAGGAAGTTAATCTCTGTTTTGTTACCATCGGCTTTCTGTTCCTTTTTCAGCCCTGAACTTCAGGCTCTTCTCATGAACCAGTTGACTGTCAAGGTGGGAAAAACATGCGTCAATAATATCCCTTGACTTTGAGAGCATAAAAAATGTTCCCCTGACCAAAAAACTTCATTATTCTTCATCTTAGGGCCTGAAGAAGCTCGGCCAGTCCATTGAGTCCTCATATTCCAGCATCCAGAAGCTGGTGATCAGCCACCTGCAGAGGTATTTTCAGCCTTCCAGTTCATCTCTCTATACCACATGCTACCAAAGAACCCAATACTGAGATTTCTCTCCTTATCCCTGGGCTATAGCGGCTCTGAGGCTCTGTTGTACCACCTCAGCGAGGTGAAAGGCATGTCTCTGTGGAAGCAGAAGTTTGAGCCCCTCGGCCTGGATTCAGAAGCAATAGAAGGTACCATCCGCTCATCTTGTATGATATTGAAAAGTGTCATCAAAGTATTTTAACCATTGACAATCTCACATGCATCCTGTTTTCAGGTGCTATCACAGCTGTGGGTTCATTCTCTCTGAAAGCCAACGAACTTCTGCAGTGAGTTTTGTGATAAGAATATTTTTGCACAGTTTGAAAGTGTTTTAATGTTTTAGTCAATGCATTTTTGTGTCTGCTGTAGTTTTCCCTCTGTCTCTGCTCTGTATAGCATCAGCGCTTTTGTCTTTTTCATTTAGGGTGATCGACAAGAGTATGAAAAACTTTAAAGCCTTTTTCCGATGGTTATATGTTGGTAAGAATAAAAATGTATTTGTCAAATATACTGAATATGCTGTTCCTTTAAATCAAGAGATGAAATTAATTTTTGTTTAATTTTGTTTTTTCCCCCCACAGCTATGCTAAGAATGTGTGAGGAGCATGTGCCACCAGAACTCAACAAAGTAAGCTTTAAAAGGAGCTGAGAAGGAATTCAAGATTTAAGAGTATTTGTGATATTTTAACGAAGCTGCTGATTGATTCCCCAGATGACTCAGAAGGACATTGCATTTGTTGCTGACTTCCTGTCTGAACACTTCAGTGAGGTGAGATAAATCTGACGGCACTCATTTCTTTTCATAATGTTGGTTATGTACAATAGTCAATGAAATGACTAATGAAAAAGACCTTTACATTAATTAGGGCCACATTTATCAGAAAATATATCTGATTTTTAGGATTAAATTACTTTGTCTTTGTAGTGTTTTCAACTGAATAACAGTGTATTCTGTTTCTATCCATGTTTTACACAACTTACCAACTTCATTTAGAATTAGGGTCTTTAGATCAGATGGCTGCCTGCTTCTCTGACATTTCCCATTAAAATGTCAGATAAGCTTACTATACCCTAAAATTATGACTTTTTCCATACACTTGTGACTTAATTCTCCTACTGTTATGACCTTATTCTTGTAATATCTCAGATTATTTTCCTTGAATATGTTCCTCATACTCTGTCATATGTTTTGTCCAGTATTACTGAAAAAACAGAAATGCGTTTGGACACATTAGGGATCAGTTGTAGACAAAAAGCACAATAAACCAACACTCATCAAGGACCTTGCATTATCGGGTGGTTTTGATTTTGAATTGATTGATTATTATATAAATTATCAAATAATTCTTGGGAGAAACCCTCCGTTTGAGTCTAATCACTGATATCCACATCTGGTGTAAGCAGCTCATAAGAAACTGTCTTCTGAAATTTTATTTATTATGTGTTTAATTTTGTATTTTTTACTTAATATAAAAAGAAATACTACTACATGTAACATCAAAAGTATCATGGTCTGTTGTTGTATTGAAGCATTTCACTTTGAACAAGCCCAGTAATTGAAATATAAAGATAAACAACAGTATAGTAAAGTGTACATATGCTAGTTAGTACAGGTAATATTGACATCCTTATTTGCCCTCTGGTTTGACAGAATGAAGAGCTCTTTGACCGTAAAGGGAAGTACTTCAACGTAGAACGTGTCGGGCAGGTGAGCACTTTCTTATTCATGGCTCAAGGTGGGTTTTTTTTGTTTGTTTGTTTTGTTGAGTGGCGCTGCTGACTGACTGAAGTTTGTTTTTCTGTCCTGTTGACATTTTTAGTACCTGAAAGATGAGGATGATGATCTTGTGTCACCGCCAAACACAAAGGGAAACCAGTGGTTAAAGTTTTTACAGGAAAGCACACACCTGAAAGGTGACGTTAATTTGACCTGAGAAGTATTTTCTGTCATTAAAAGAAGTTTGTTTATTTAGATGTAGTTTAAAGTTTTGATGGCTAAAATCCACCCAAAGCTGTTGTACTCATTAACAGAAGAAATTCTTGTTTGGTTTTATCCAGAGAGCCCTTTGCTGTTTCCTTCATATCCCCAAAAGTCTCTGCACTTTGTGAAGAGGATGATGGAGAGTGTGATCGAGGAGTGTCTACAGAAACCTGCTGTGAGTTCTATGCGCAGTCCATCTTTTTTATATCCTTCTCACAGTCAAACAATTATTCATGATAAATATCAAAAACTGTGAACTGAATGAAAGCAGTAGACATAAGCTGCGTCCGAATTGCCAAGTAGTAGTCGAAGTAGTAGTCGAAGTAGTATCTAGCATGTCCGAATTGGCCACCGGAGCGAGTAGCATGCTACTTCAGATACTACTTCAGATGCTAGACACGCCCACATTGTAGGTTGGTCTCGGTGCATCCTACGGGCATGCTACTGACCCAAAATGCACCGCGGGCTTCTTCTTCGTCCTCTTAAAAGTTGTAGAAGCGCATGTGATGCTAGCGCCACCAGCTGCTGCCTATTTAGATGCGTCGCGAACGCCGGCTGGCCACAGCAGCGCGCACCATGTCGGAGCAGCAGCAGCAGCAGGCGGGACCGCAGCAGTACAGATGTAAGGTTCATGTAACTTCACACACTGTCCTAAAAAATGTGCGGTTGTATCTCTTTGTCATGTCATGGTGTCATATTTTCCCAAGTAATCATTTTATGAGCAAGTGGCGACATCATGGAGGTAAAGCTCACTTATTCCATCATTAAACTGCACAGCTGCAGTACTACAGCCAGGCCCACAGATGAGGGGCTTCAGTTACCACTGTCTGCACGGGCGCAGTACCTACTCTCTGCCTGCGGGGGTCGTCTTTCCCCACCGCTCGTCTAGTGTGTCCGAATTGGGCCAACGTTTTTAGTATGTAGGAGTAGGATCTAGCAGTAGCACGTAGCAGTAGCATGTAGTATCCGAGCGGGCAGTTCGGACGCAGCAATAGTTTCAGAAGTGTACTGCACCTGCATTCTTTTAATAACCAGCAGGGGGCAACTTAGGTTACAAAGAAATCTGGGAATTCAGTCTATGTGGAAACTATTACTTCTTACTTGTTTTAACTGCACAGTAAATATTCATCTAATAAATCTGATACTTCAATCACTAGTTTAAAGCTTTATTTATTTATTTAATTATTTATTAAGAAAGGATGTCCGTTGTGAACATCATGGCTCCTTTTGAGGTCACATAGAGAATATATCTGCTTCTTGTCCAAATATTATGATTACAGGCTCTAAATATCAAACAAAATGCTCAAAACAAAGGGCCACAAATCTGCGGGTAACATCACCATCCATTTTATACATTCTTATTTCCCACACCTTTGCTTTAAACTAGATAACTGAAATATTGTCTGTGTTCCCTTTGTGTGTGCGTCAAAATCTTCCCTGCAGCCTTTCACAGAAGACAAATATGTGATACATTTTGGTTAAAATAACTGAACATGCTTTAAAAACGAGGTCTTTAGATGTTGTCCTAGAAAGTGTTGGGCTGTGCAGGTGGCTGACTTTTTTTTTTGGTTTGTTTGTGTGTGCAGGAAGTGATTGGGAAGTCTGTAAAACAGTCTATTCTCCTGCCCTTATACACCGTTTCTGAGAGGTTTGATATTATTTCTTAGTATTCTGTATTGTGCTACATAATGAACTAGTGAAATAAAAGTTAAAGTGATTGTTTCTTTGTTTGTCTCTCCAGCTCTGAAAACACTCCTCGACTTTTTGAGTTTCCATCGCTGTACGTACAAACACTGCAGCATTTACAGTTTCCCACCTCTCTCTTTAAATTGATTTATTTGCATAATAATCTTTTTTTAATTTTATTTTCCTTTAGATGGAATGACAAGAAAGCCAAAATGCACTACGTTTTGTTCTGTATGCCAGAGATTTCACCCTCTAAACTCTACCTGTTACGCAAACCAACAGACCCAAACAGGTTTGATTCTGCCTTCATGAGTATATGTCTGAGCTTTCTTTAAAGATCTGACTTCTGTTTTTGACCCTCTTCTTTCATTTTCTAGACATGTCCCAAACAGCGTCATGTCCATCGATCTCAGCCACCATCTTGACGGTGCAGATGATGATGATGCTGAAGCCCCGTTAGTTCCTCTCATGCTATTATATTTTTAAAAAGACAATATTGAAAAGTTTCTCCTTTGCACAACGTGTCTTACTTCTTCCAGCTGTTCAAAAAGTGAAACCAAAATACCTGAACAGCATATTGTAACATATTACTTGAGATGTCATTTGGCATTAGTGTTTTTGTAATGGAGATTGAACCATCTGTGAACATGGAGGAGGTAGACTTCATAACCTGTACAGCAGCCAGTCAGTAGGGGGTGCACTAAATGTTTTAGCTTCATTGTCATGACCCCCTTGTTGTATATGGTCTATGATTACTAAATTGACAAAGTCATGACTTTCTTTGCCAGGCCGAATTACGTATACAGCTGCCTGGATGCTCGTTTCTATGACGATGAAATGCTAACCGTGGTCCTGCAAGGATCAGAAGAGCAGAACAAGAGCCGAGTCTTGGCCCAGGTTCCTCTTGCTTCCGCCATGAGCAGCAAGATTGAATTCAAGTGGGAGCCGAATATGAGGTATTCACGTGCAAATGCCTTTGACAGAGTCTCTCTCACTCTCATTGTGCAGCTCGTCTAATTTTTTGATCAATGGTTATTCTGGTACCTTCAAATTTGGGCCCCTATTTTCATCAGTTTTTGAGGTTTTAAGTGACTTATTGGTTAAAGATATTAGTTAAGTGACCTTGAGTGTTGAGAAAGGCGCCTATAAATAAAATGTATAATTGTCATGTAAGGATTCCTTTTCATTCAGCAGGTACAAAAGCAGCTGAAACTAATATCATACTTTTCTGCTGCTGGCAGGTTCAGATTTTTGTTTTATGTGTTTGACAGAATTATGAAAAAATACCTTAAGTGGACTGTGTTTTTGTTAAGTTAAGCTGCTTTATTTCTCCACAGAAACATCAGCTACATCTCCCTCTATAAAGTAGCTAGACCCAATCGATAAAAATCTAGTTTTACCTCACAGACCATGGGAGTTTCTTTTCTCCTGCTGATATGATTCTCTGTTTTTTTAAGCTGTCTGTGTCATTTGTGACTCAAGTGTTATAAAGACTTAATGCACAATAAAATACGACAAATTGACAGACTGAGCCAACTCATGTGCTCTGAAATATAAAATTACTTTTCTTTCAGTGGAGTCTGATGGCTTTCAGGGGAGTGATGTAACGTCTGTTTCTACTTTAAGAAAAAGTTGATCTCTGCAGTGATTTCCTCTGTTATGTTGTCAGACACTTAAATCAACTATCTGAGCCTCATTGGCACGAACAAGCTCTTTTAGCACACAGACTTTGATCGGACTCATTTGCCTGCAGCAGTAACTTTGCAGCAATCACAGTTTCACAGATGTCAGCTGAGGCAGTTCACTGGATAAACTCCAAAACGTGTCAACCTTTTAGTCTTAAGACCCCACACAGAAACAGTCTGTCAGTCTCTGTGCTGCACTTTTTGCTTCCCTCTTTGTGTTTCAATCCATTTGTCTAATTGCATAACTTCAGTCATTAAAGCTCTTTATCTCTATCAATAAGATGGTCATGTTCACTAATACCCTGTGCTTTGTGAGATAACAGTCTTACTGCAGTAGAATAATGTAGACCCTAAATCCTCACCAGGACAAAATGTTTCATGTATAGAAATAGACATGCAGACATAGAGAGACACTCATGTTTTTAAGCACAAGCTGTAGTTAGAGGGCAATCTGCTACAACTGTTTATCCCATCTATTCTTATAGGTATAAAACAAAAATGGCAATCTCCATATGTTTCATTGTTTTATATTTAGGTTGGATCAGCAGAGCAGTACCATCCCATGCCAAAGCCTGGTGTTGGGGAATCAGTGGCGTGAACTGGAGAGCATGAAGGCTCAGTTTGTGGCTGTCAATGGAATCCGCAAAGTAGCCTGTGTGGTAAGTGGAAGTTGTCTTGTCATTCTTTTATTTACTATTTAAAAAACTGTGTAGCAGTATTTTTATTCAAAGGCACCATGAGGACTTTTCATGTTGTATTGACCATGGTTAAAACAGTCATCGGCACTGGCCAATTATAGGGGCCAATTTACAGGTTATCTGTATCAGCCTTTTATGTAACAGATGGCAGATAGAGTTAATTGAGAAGTGTGCTACTTTAGTTCTGCTGCTGGTGCATCTGTCCCACTGGGTCTGTTTTCACTGTCCACTTTTCTCATCTAATGTCCCACCATCAATGCTACTTGACTTACTGGTCAAAATACACCTGTTTCAACTGCTTACTCCTGTGTATACTATTGAAAGTTTTAGTTTTGATTAAAATTTTGCTAATGAAATGTAAATGAAAATTTGCAATGGAGTTTGTAATACTTCGAATCTAAGTTTTGACATAAATGTCTCGTTTTTATGGTCAATAATGGTTACAAGCTAATGCTTCCATGCTAATGGTTAGAATTGGTGTCAGTCCAGAAAAAAACAGTATTTATCAACCCATATTTTGGACGTACCTGATATGAATTTTCTTAGCTGGAGAATGCATTTTCCATGAGCACCATCACCCACTGATGTAAAGATATGACTCTTCTCAAAGCATGCATTTATGCATTTTATATTTCCTTATAATGCTGCTTTTCTATATTGAGCCAACATATTGATTTGTATTTTAAGATTCAAGCTTTTCTCTCCAGCCCATGGTGCAAAAATACAAAGAATATATGTTAAAAAAATACAGCAGAGAAAAATACAATACAGTAGAATAAGTGGTATATGTGTCCACATCTACCCTTTGTCCTACCTACTTTGTCTATGTTTATATACAATCCCATACACAAGCAAACCTTAAAGCAAACCAGAAAAATGATTCTGCTGCATGTGTTTATTTACACATGGTCTTGAACATCTGCAGTAATGCATTGATGTTAAGCATTCATGTAAACTGTGGCGTTGTTGTGCAAAGAAGAAAAGAAGAAGAAAAGCAGCAGAGTTTTTAGTGCAAATACTATGTGTCCAGTAAGGGTTGAGAAGGAGCTCAGAGTTCAGCTTTGTGACAGCCTGGTGGGTGAAGCTACACAGGGAGTGTGACCATTAGTGTAAGACCGGGCCTATTTCAAAATCAGAGAAAAATTCCTCACAGTGCCTTTATTGAATGCAATGGATCCTAAAATGATTTTTCTCCTTGCAGCTGAGTGCCAATCTGCGTCACATTCGTGTTTTTGAGATGGATGTAGAAGATGAAGATGATGAGGGGGCTGAGTCACAGAACACCAGCGCTGATCAGGATGCGCTGGACTCCACTATGAGCAGTGCAGGGCAGGGAAGAGAGGAACGAGCCGAGGCTGATGATGAAGCTGGAGGGCAAAGAGGAGATGTGCTTCAGAACACGGAGGAGCGTCTAGAGTCAGAGGAAGCTCTTGAATTCTCATAAAACTGAGATACAAAAACAGGATTCTAAGATATGAGGAAAAGACTCATTTTTGACTTGTTGCTTAATATTTTTACAGTGTTCTGGATCTCATGTTGCATATGCAAATAAACAGATTTGTATTGATTTGTTTGCTGTGAAAATGTTATTTATGGGAAAAGATATCCTGGGACAACACTGCATTCTTTTATGTACATGAGTGAATGGATTACCAGTTTAGTTTATTGATGAGTAATCAGGCTTGGCTTGTCCTGGCACAAGATTTACAACCAAGTAAGGATGAAATTAACAATAAAAGTGGACATAATCAAAACAAGTTAATGCAATGAAGATGGTAGGAAACTGTTGAAAGATAAAAAAGTAACAATGAAAAAAACTGTGATTGGAGATTGGAAAATTATTTGGATCATGGGGTTATCAAATGTTCCTGCAATTGTTGTCTGAATTGAAGTAAGGGGACTAAGAGTAGACCACTGAGCTGAATCATTCAACAGGAAAGTGTTTATAATGAAGAATTTACCCTGAAATAAGAAATAATGGCATAAGTGTGACTGGTTGAGTCCGTAAGTTCTTACACATGAACACGAGTTTGCAGTGGCACTGAATGTCAACTGAACAAGCATTTTATATATTAAAAAAAAGCATTTCAATGTTTTCTTTTTTGAAATGCTTGAATAACTTTACAATCTCTAATATATTGAACACAATATAAAAATGTCAAATGATATGCATTAATATTTCACTTGACAGGAAAACATTTTACTGTTTTTGACTGTAAAATCCAAAATGCAAAGTACTATATTTTGTTCAACGCAGAAAAATATCACCAAAATATTTCATGGAAACAATAAAAATAAATGAAAAAAAAAAAAAAAATATTGGATGATTTTGAAAAAGATTGGAAATCTTCTGGCAATTGTTTAATGAAACTAAGAGAAAGAAAAAAAATCTAAAATGCCTTGGCTCTCATTTAATATTTTTCTGCTTAGAGAGATATGTTGATTTCATGAAAAATCTTTCAGGGCTTGATATAGCCTAATGTTTTGTGAAACGTTCTTTCCATTCAAGAAAAGGAGATGTTCATTTCTATGAATTTTTTCATCTCATAATATATTTTTCATATTTCACAAGATATCTATTTTACAGATATATATATATATATATATATATATATATATAATGCTGAGAAACATTTTGATGTTACCAGGAATATTTTTATGTTTCTTGTTTTTTTCTTTCTGTATCGTAAAGTATATTTGAGTTCTATAAAATGTTCTTTTTGGTCTCAAAAATGTCTGTGCAGTTGACCGTCAGGGCCACCGTATCATGGTTTTGAAAACAAAAGAATTTTAATCAGACCAAAATTCATGTTTGGGTAACCGGTGTGACTCTGCGTTGTGGTTACAGACGAAGACGAATTTTTCTGCGTTTATTCTGTAATCTGTAAACAAACAGACACCTACCTCCCCCCTCAGGGATCATAATAGAAAAGGAGAGAAGTATGGTGGCCAACTTAAATATAAAGAGAAGAAGAAACCAACAGGAAGATGGAGGCAGCACATAAAAATAAATCAAATTCACAAAAAGGTTCCACTGTCAAATATAAAAACACAGGCATTATTTTGGTAATTATTAAGAAAAAATATGTACATTTAACTCTGTTATATTCGCACCCGATACTTCGAGAGGAAGCGTGCACGTGGAAATAGGTGTTGGTTACGTGGTCGCTCCCGACACTGAACGCGGTGACGTATGTTCGCCGCCTGTTGGTCTTTCACAGTTGGTGACGAGTGTTATGAAAATGGCCTCAACCCTGCCCGAGAGCACAGCGAACTGGGGAAGATGACGGTGTTGATCTCTGTAAGTCAGTTCAACACCAAAGTGTCTTTTCTTCACAAGTAGGTAAAGTGAAGCCAACTGAAACCAGGAGACTGTCGGCAGAGAAACGTCTAGAAACACCACAGACCACCGCATATTTTCGTTGGGCTGAGGAGCCACCATGGAGGATATCAACTCAAATATCAACGCGGACTTGGAGGTGCGGAAGCTCCAAGACTTGGTGAAGAAACTCGAACAGCAAAACGAACAGCTCCGGAGCCGGTCTACGATGTTGTCTTCGTCCGGAGCGATGTCAGGGAACCACAGACCCCTCAGCGCCGGTTACGACTCTTCGTCCCTGTCAGCGGGGATGGCAGCCGGTCTGGCCGGCTTCCCTGGGGTGGGGTTCGTCGGAACGGGCGGCTACGGTGGGCTGCTGGAGAACAACCGCTGTTTGCGCCCCAGACTGTCTTACGACGGTATCAGCTTCGGGGGGGCGTATGAGTACGAGGGTGCAACGGCTTCTCCCACAATGTCGAGTATGAACTCACTTTATTCAGACACTTCGGGGGGATATATAGATGAGGGGGAAACATCGATCCTGGACGAAGTGGAGATATTAGACCTGGAGGACATGGATTGTCTTCATGAAGACGAGGACAGCTGGTGAGTGACATGCTTGTGTTGAGGGGTCTCCAGTCTGTACAGCCGTGTCTGTGTCATCAGTTCGGAGTGGTAATTGTCTGGGCACAGCTGGTATGTACATCAGTTGCCATGAAAAACACATGGCAGCAGTTCATGAACCAGGCTTGAGGTTCCTCTCAGTTAAATTCAGACTCATTTCTCTGAATTGTGAGGCAGGGGCGTCTACAGGGAGGGGTTGGGGAGGCAAGGGCCCCCTCGAAATCTGAGAGGCCACTCCAATCTTAGCCATGAGTGACTATTTGTCTTGTCAGTGGCAACAACAGGTCTCTGTACATCAACTATCTGTGCTTTTACAAATCAAAGGTAATGGTGCGTAGAAATAACATTTTGCAATATCTTGCAGTCTCATTCTAGCTTGAAATGCTCCCTTGCCCACCCATACCACGGGTGAAGCAATTGTGGCTTTTGAGGACAAAAGGTCCTGTAAAACATGATGTCCGGTCTTCCACTTGTCAAGTTTTTAACCATCAAACTGTCAGTCAGTACAGGTTCTTCAGCACACAAAACAACCACTGTCTTCTTCTAATTCATCAGTCAACTACATCTCATCAGGCCACGGACAAAAAAAGAGACTTGTGTTGATAGTTTCTCCGTTCTGTGCTACTGCAGGAACACAATGATGCAAAAGACTTATTCTAGGGTAATGTAGACAAATCAATTATTTTTGATATTACATGTCTACCAAGTCTGTTCTGTAAAATGTGAGTAATTACTATGTACTGTACCTTTGAAAAGAGTAAACAAGAATAAAATGTCGGTAGGATACTTTGATGTCAGTGGTTTAAGGTTCAGTAAGTATAGGTCACAGAAATGGAAAATTAATTGTAAATTATTATGTGTTCACACAAACTTCATGCTGCCACCTGCGTGAATCCTTTTAAAAAGCAAAGTGACCCTGTGTGAAATTGGTTCTTCCCAGGTACCTATACTTCAGACTTAGTAGTCAAATTTCTTCATTTAATCCCTGATTTATATGCTTGAAGTAAGAATTCTGGCAAGTAAGTCATTATTCCTGATTCAAAGTCTAAAATTTTAGATGAAAGTTCAGTCCTCAGCTTAAAGTCCAAATAAAAAATCCTGTCTGATACATTTTCTGTGTGTGGCCTTAATCCTCTTCTGTTAATAACAAATACATAAAGTCGAGGGATTAAATTAAAAAGGGCAACCACAACCACAGTGCAGAAGCCATGGACTGAAACTTAAGCTCATTATACATACCCTTTTTACATGACAGACTTTTTCAGGCAGCTCTTTTACTCTGCCTAAGTTACAAAAAAGTTTCATGAGGAAAACAGAAGTTTTCTTCTGTCTTTATACAAGCTCATCATCTTATTATGAACATTTTTAATGTAAAAAAGGTGAACATATTTCCAATTCCTTGTTCCAAAAGTTCACCCATTTGACCGATGTAGTCCCTTAATATTTCTTTATATTTGTTTGGGCATTTAGAAAAAATCCCATTGACTTCAGCTCATACTTGCTCTTTCTAATTTCAAACAACCTTTGAGTTCATTTAGGATGGAGGAAGGAGTCTCACTGCCTGAGTGATGTTGGTTGGCAGGTCATGTGGGCGATGCCAAGCCTCTTCTCGGACTGCATGATCGTAACAGACATGCTTTGTCATAGCAAATCTCCATCTATTATGTCATACTTTCCTTACAGACTTGCCAGCAGGCCTTTAAAGCTCAAACCCTCAGCTGTCGGGACCCTGTATCCCCCGATCATCTGTTGAACCGTTTTGCTCTTGTGATGTGGCAGAATAACTTGGCTTGTCCTGGCAGTCATGGCAGTAGATCAGTGTGTGCAGTGAAAACTGAAAGTACTGCCCAGCAGTCATGTGGGAGAGGTAGCCATGGTTATACTCCTGCTCTAAATTCCCATTAGCACAACAGTTGGCAAGCATCCACAAAGGCTCTGCGGCACAAAGTGAGAAAAAGATGTTTAAAATCCTCTCGTCATGTAGGAATTGATGCTGTGTCAGTGTCAACAAGCAGGCGCAGCAAACAATGCCCATCAATAATAGGAGCTAGTCATGTGGAGTTTCTTGAGGACAGGGATGACATCATGGTGCTCTCTTTGTTATCAAAATCATCCTGACAGGCCACATGTTCAACATACTCCCGTTTTTAATCCCTTCCAGCACATTGTGTTGGTATTATGTCCTCCAAATGCTGAGCAGTTAAGTTTTTTAGGGTTAGGTGGCTTTGCATAGACACACTGTTGAAGTGTAATCCCTGAAACTCCAGAGTATGATTGGATTTATGTTGCTGTCTAAATCTCTCTCTCTCATCCCAACCCAAGGAAATCCCTCGACAAGGCAGAGTCACACACACTGAGGGGAGTCACACGGGGGGATGTCAGACATGTAGACTTGCTTATTGGTCTTACAGAGGAGGAAAACTGGGTTGTTACTTTTGAAGAGACAACTACTGACTGGACATAAAGATAATTATGGGACTCCGTAGATATGGCCTCTTTTTATGTCCCGCAGGAGGGGTTGGATAATTGGTTGTTTCCAGGATAATAACTCTATAATAAGCAACATTAGGGCGTATCTCCTGCTGCACCTCAATAATTTGAGTTTCTAGAGTTTCTTCAAACAAAGGTAGTTAATACTTGATTGGGAGCCAGCTCATAGAAGCGTCTCCCGACATTCGCTTGCAGCAGTGAGGCTGTTCCAGCTATTGAGCCTTCCACATCAGACTACTTTCAGGCAATGCTCACTCATGCTCAGCAGAGCTAGTCTCATTATGCCCTGGCTGTTTGTCAGCCCTCTGGATCAGATTGATATCTGGGATTACCGTGTAGTGCAGAGCTCCCGCCAGCTTCTGTCACAGACTCCTGTAATCCCTGAATTAGCTTTAAACTGGATTTAAAAAGCTGCTGCAGCGCTCTACCTTTCAATAGGTACTTGTCACACACGGCTAGTGCTGCATGTGGACATGACAGGAATCATTGTTACAGAGCTTGGAGTTCGTATAGAAAGTGTCAACACTAAATGTACTGTAAACCATTTTGAATATGAATGACGGTGTTTGTAAACACTAAAAAAGGGCAGTCCCAGATTTCCAGCTTGAATTTTCTGCACATGCTGCCTTTGCCTCTCATGTTTGTGCTTTTATCATGAAAGACTTCCACAATGACTGCAAGAGAGCCGACAGCTGCTGATTCAGATTTCTCATCTGGGTAGTCATTTTTTTTCTTTTTCTTCTCTTAAAGGCAGACAACAAACCCAAATTTGAATCGAACAAATAAATAAATAAAAGTAGTGTCCCCTGTGGTTAGTTTGTGCTTTATTTTATTTTGTCAGCTGCAAATCTGTCATCGCATGAGATTCGTTTTACCTTTACCACAAGCTCCAAATTAAAAGTGAATAATCAATGTATTATATTGTCATCATAAATAGATACAAAACCAGAGTGTTTGTTTGCCAAATGCTAGATTTGAAACCTTTTTGTACAAGACTTAAAACAGGATTCCTTGATGAGTTTGAAAAGGTCCTGAATAAAGGGTGCCAGTTTGGCTCAGATGGCAGAGCTGTGCCCCATATTTCAGAATTTGGATGTACAGCATACTTATTACAAATGCCACACCACACCTGTGTCCATTGCAGTTTGTTCTGCTGTGCATTGTGCAAACATGGTGTCAACTCTGGTCTGTTTGGACCCTAAAAACTCTTAGATTTGATGTGAGAAATGTGCAGCAGCCCATTAAAATGCAGAAAAACAATGCTGTGGGTGATTTAAAAATGACTTGAATTCCTCTAAATGTTTAATATTGTTGATTTTCAAAATCTGAAATCACCCCTACTGATTCCTTGTATTAAAAATGTACAGTTAAATTTTATTTACATTCCAGCTATTTCTGCCATACTATCAGTAATCTGTAAATCTTTGCCTTTACAGTTGGTGCTGATCAAAAAATCCTGAATACATGGGCTCTTTGTCAAAGTATTAGCAGGGTTTGACACTTTCAGTCAATACAACTGACTAAGCACTGAACCTGATGACTTTTGGGCCGTTGACAGATTCATTCTGAAAGTTTGCTGCAGCAGCAGGAGCTGTGAGTTTCATCTCCTAATTGCTTTAGCACCGATTTGGGGTAAGAGAAATAACGCAGGAAGATAATAGATGCATGACAAATTGGAGGAAACCCTGATTACTTGACTTTCATGGTGAAGAAATCTGGTTGCTTTGTCATGCTGTGGAGGGCACTTTGCTCATGAGGTTTGAAAAGGGTCACTGCAAATCAAAACAGTTGTTGTAAGTCAGTGCACAGACCAGTAAGCCCCTCCAAAATAATGGTATTAGGTAAGGTGTGATGTAATAAAAACACACCAATGGTGTGGGACAACCAGAGAGTGCAATGCAGGACAAAACTTATGTTTTTTTTTTCACCAGTAGTGTGTGTTTACTTTTACATTGCATTTGTATGGGAAGGTCGCTCAGTATCAGCCAATACCCAAGCCAAGGTTAAACAACTATATCTCACAAATAAAGGAAAATATATCCTAAAATCAAGGGTTGATCACCTTTTCCCTATAGAGAAGAGATTGATCGCTCTATAGCAGTGGTTTACAAGTCCAGTCTTCGAGGCCCACTGTCCTGCATGTTTTGGATGTTTCCCTGCCCCAACACACCTGATCAAATGATCAGCTCGTTATTAAGCTATTACAGAGCTTGATAACGAGCTAATCATTTGAATCAGGTGTGTTGGAGCAGGGGAACGTCCAAAACATGCAGGGCAGTGGGCCTTGCAGATTGGATTTGAGAACCACTGCTCTATAGGATATAAGTGGTTAAAGGTGTATGAAAATATGATGTGAAACATACACTATCTGCTGTTGCAGTCACTTGATCTCAAACCCTTCACAGACCTGAGGGAGATTTTGGAACCACAAGGAGTGATTTTAGTGGAAGGTCTGTGCAAGTCCCTTCAGTGGCAGGTTTCAGCCACATACATAACTATACAACTTTACATCAGTTTATGTTTACAAGTCTAAAAGTATTCTGGAAGTCACCTCTATGCATGTTTAAAACTGGCAGCGTTATTAGCTGCATCTTGAATTATTAATATACCAAATAGAATATTCAAAAGGAGTAAGATCTGAATTAAATCAAATAGTAATTTTCTAAGTCAACAAGCACAGTCAGGTAAAAATATTTCCTCCTAGAGACTAGGCTGTCCTTGTTGTTGCAGTACTCTGTTATGAAATCCAGCACATACACTTGTTATCCCCTCAATCTCATTTCCTCTCAGCGCAGCCGGGTCACATCACATATGAGGCGTGATGGATATGAGCTGTCGAAGTCGGTCATCATTAGTGACAGTCCTTGTTTGTCTGATTATTGCTTGTATTTCCTCTATGAACATGCAGTGTGTGACATTGATTGTGTATGCTGTCCATGTTTTCCCAGGCTCTACGAGGCGAAGCTGAACAGCCCCCTGCAGAAAACCTTGAGTCCTATTGTGTGGTGCCGCCAAGCTCTGGACAACCCGAGTCCTGAGATGGAGTCAGCCAAGCGCTCCCTCATCCACCGACTGGATCTCACCCTGTCAGGTAGACACCAGCAGTGAACACATTAACTTAGAGGAAGCAGGAAAAACACGATTAAAAACAGGAACAACAGAAGTAGTAAACTAGCTTTATTTGGATGTTTGGGGTTTTCTTCAAAAGAAAAATAATACTGTACTATAAGTAAAACAAAGACTTTGTTCTGGTTCTTTTTCAAGGATTCTTATCTACCTGTATCTTCATCTCAGAACTGAGAGCGTGTAGATTTGTAAATGGTAAATCTAATTGCAAATGCTCTCTAGTCAGTGGAGCTCTTTATTTTCATTACAAAGGCAATTCTAGTTGACATTTAGGCTTCATGTTGTAAGATAAGCATCAGTTCACAGTAAAACAATGTAGTTGTGCACTCCTGTACAACACAAAGGAATGTATGTGTGATTTAGTGCTCATGTACTTGCACAGCAGCGATAGGGACAAATGTTTTACAGAAGCAAAAGAAGAACTTTATTGATCCCCGAAGGGAAATTTAATGTTAATTCAAGCAATCAACACCAGACTAACATGCTCCTTACAAATATTTTTGAGCAGTTTGTCAATGACTTAAAACATCATTTTTTAACACCTCACTAGAAGGGAGGACTATTCTTCTAGATATTGAAATTTTGCATGTTTAAATTTCATAAAGCCCCCAATAAGATTCTTGTCTGAAAATATTACAAATGCAAATTAAATAAACCATTATGGCCTCAGGTGACTTAACGTCAAGACGAAATTGAGGTGCCTGGCTCAGCCTAGGTTAAAAAAAAATGTTGACTTGTTTGTCTTCTGAGAGCCTGAATGCAAATAAAATAGCAACAGGCCAAGTGGATGCAGTGTCTTCTTTATGTCGGGAAAGTGTGACTGTCACACCTGTTAGGTCAGAAGTTTGAGCGTCAACCTCTCCTTCCATTCCCGTAACCCCTCTTTGTATGCTGTCACATAAAAATGCTCTCAGGTTCAAGCTGGTGTCCACAGATGGTCACATGCATATAATGAATAATGGCAGCCATAGTCAAGTGTTTAGTGTCCACAGGCAGATAGTCAATGGATGATGCCTGCTGCATGGAAATACAATGGAAAAGTAGCATCCCTAAACTTGTGCGAAGAATCTTTAGAGTTATTCATACTGTCTCATCACTTGAAGATACAGTAAATAGTGTTGAGTCGAAAAGGACTGAGGCAGTGGGAGAGTTTGTTAATAACTGCAGAAATAATCCTTCTAATTATAGCTACCACTCTACTGACAAAGAGCTTTCATTATTGGAATTGAGGCCCTGTAATCTTCATACAATTATCAGATATCGATTCTCAAAGCAGCAGAAAACGTTGAATAAATGACCTCATGTTGTAATCATTTATTTCTCCAGCTGCTTGTGCTGTGACTACACTCTTGCAAACAAGGTGCAGGGGGTGTATCATTAATCACACACTTTCCCTTGTGTAGTCAAGCTTCCCCTATTTTGTGGGAAGATATACCACATACATCTATAAGTCTGCACTTTTATGCATGCTGTAGTTTTATGATCAGACATGTACAAGGTGACATATTTACTGTACGTTAACTGCAAGTCAAATTGGAGTTTCAAGTTAGTGGAAGCACTGAGGGGGGTTGTGAGAATTTGTGTGAGTTTTTGGAGTCTCCTCCTTTTTACATAGAGTCCTGAGTGTTCAGGAATAAATTATTTGTTTGATACTCGGAGCTGTGCACATGTTTTGTCGTACCTGTGTGAAAAATCATGCTTGATTATACATCATCATCATGGAGTGCACAAAGTATTTATTGCGTTGTTCCATGTGGTCTGTGCTTTGGGCATGACAAGCTCACTTCTTCATTCTTACATCTGGGAATTTCAGTTTCTTCTCTTTTTAAACCTCAAAAGTTCAATGTATACAGAGATAATGGTGCTATAGAGCTGCATAGTATAAAATATATTAATCTTTTGATAAGTGGGATTGATCCTCTCATCTGTTTGATGTATATCACAGATTTTTATGTTGTGGTCAAGATCACAAACACAAAAATGTGACATGTCCAAGCAAAATAATGTTTTTTTTCCCCCGCTTTGCTTCTTTGTTGGGGAAAAAAGACTTCTTTTCTTATGATTTAAATATTGTACTTGATCAGTGATTTTTTTTTTCAAGCTGAGCAGCCCAGGTCTCAGCTGTCTTAAATAGTTTTATGCTTTTTAGATTAGATTCGATATTAGATTAGATATTGCTTTATTTATCCCTCAATGGTGAAATTAAAAACGTTGACAGCAGCAGTACACACAACATTCACATTCACTCATACCGGGTACAAAAAACAAATAAATAAAGATAAAAGAACTAGTGCAAAGTAGAAAGAGCGGTGCAAGAAAAGAACAGTATAAAAGACTAGTGTAACAAAATATATAAAAAAGTATAAAAAGAATGTTTAATAATTATATAGAGAGTAACATACAAAAATAACCTACAAGGACATTGACTCTGCTAGACTTTAATCTCTTTGTACAAACATTTAACAAGAAGTCCTACTCAAATAGGTGCAAGCTTACATTAGACAGTTAACTGATGTACACAAGCCTGTTTTAGGCAGTAGTGCAATGGTGAAGAGTGCGGAAGAATGCTGAGTGATCAAGACACTTGTGTTCCTGGGACATCATGAATGTCACAGTTGTGACGCACCTCTAAAGTGGATGAAAGTGTGTCAGAAGGTGTCTGCTTGTTTTGTAAGGGTGAGATCTCACTTCAACATGTACCTGGTCTTCCTTTGCTCAAGCAAATTCTTCTACTAGGTTTTGTGGACAACTGTGTTTCAGATTAAAAAAAGAGTTTGTTTTCTGTGAAGTTTAAATGTATTTTTAAATCATAATGCAGTCATATAGTTTTGGGGATAAATCAGTTTGACTTCACTGCTCACATATTTGGCAAAAGTCACCAAAATATGACCACTTTGAAGAAAGGTGTCATTGAGTGTTGATTCCCAGTATATAACCCTGGTTTTCTTCTTTTTTATCCATTGTGCTCAGTCTCTGTCTGTTATCTGAGCTTTGGCCTGCCACTAATTATAGTCAGTCCCTGAGTGAGGGGGACGGCCTCAAATCCTCACAGCTAAACTGAGACGGGTCATTTCCATTCTAACAGTGGTATGCCCATGTGACAGATCGAGTTGAGCAACGGGCCGCTGAAGGTTGTCGCTGGGTCGGTTGTGATCATCTCAGCTATATTGTGCAATTTTGTAGAAGGGCAACTGGACGAATGAAATTTAAGAAGGATGAGATCTGATTATGAGGACGTCCAATTTTGAGTGTGGACCTTTTGTTGATCCCCACAGGAGAAAGCAGAGGGGTTCTGGTTGTGGAGTAGTTGGAGGTTCATCATTTAACTGTTGATAAATCTGATAAGTTCCTGGTCTTATTTCTGTGGGAAAAAGTCCTGAAATCTTTGTAAACATTGCCTGAGGTGACCCTTTGCGAACAAAAGCAGGCCACCAGTCATGTTCTCCAATGGCACAAATGACCCGGCCCTCTGCTGGGATCATACATGATGGTGGTGATATCATCACTGTAGGTGTGGTAGAAGGACCATAACGTCATCCTCTCAGAGCCCGAAAATATCCTCCTGTCACTGACACCACCCTGCCTGCTCCCTGCACCTCTCTCCTCAGTTGGCATTGATGTTGAGTCACCACTTACACAAAAAGACAGCGACAAAACCTATCTGTGAGTCGTTTGATTTTCTGGGTATGAGGTTGAAACATCTAAACTATTTAAATCTAACTTCAAGGATTTGTTAGTGCCACAGATTTCTTTACAAATTGGGTTTCTATTAGAATGAAGCTTTTTTTTTTCCTTCACATAACAAGACTACATTCTTAGAGACTTACCACAGACACACCCTCATGGCCCTTGGCTACTCTCTTTCACACCCTTTTGAACACACTGGCATGGAAATCCTGTTGCCATGGTGTCTCTTAAGTTTGTGTCAAAGGAATCTGCCAAGAACACAAATCCTGACTTCAGTCGTGGCAGATTTTAGTCAGGGTAAGTAGGGTCATTGAAATGCCATGACAAAAGAATCAATGTACAAAAAAGTAAGACAGAACACTTGGAAATAAGCTCTCTCAGTTGTTTCCATTTTTTGTTTATTCAGCCAGGTCAAGTCAAATTTAATTATCTTGCACTTTTACAAACAACTCACTGGGACCAAAATGACTTACAAACTTAGAAAGCAATAAAATTGAAGTAAAAGCATAAGACACAATAATATATGATTTAACAAATGAAATCTGAACAGTCTAATTATCTAGAACTGCTGGACCATCTATGATAAATACTTACAATTAAACTTAACTCTTCAACAGTTATTTTTACATTTATATCCATACTGCATATGTTCTAATTTTATCTATAAATACCACAATTTCATAAATCTCTGCTGTACAATTGTAGTTTATTTATTTAAAATTGGAGAATAACTTTTTATAATAATCTGTGAGTGAGAGCATGATGAGTGTACTTATTCTTGTATGGTTGCTGTGCTTATCCTTTGCTGTTGTGACACTGCAAATTTCCCACAGTGGGGTGAATAAAGGTTTATCTTATCTTAACTTATCTCTACTGAAGCCAGTGGATTAAACATATTGAAGTTTTCCCCTATCTCTAGGTTGTGATTTCGACCACATCAATTTAGCATTTATTTGAATAATAAATCTGAAAGTCAAAAGCATAAAGTACATTTTATTGCATTCATTTGATACTCAAATTAAGACACCAGCAAGAGTTGCTTTACACTAGAAAGTTTTATGAAGTAATGTTATTGTAAGCATACAACTGTAAACGCAGTTAACAGCCAGTAACTTAAAAACTCTGCAATTAATCACTGTTCATAACATTGGCAACTTGACAGTCCTCAGTTTGACATGCATTTACTCTTTATTCCCTGATTTTGCCAAAGTTTTAATTCTTTGTGAAAGTGTCTTCAGATGTCTGTTCCACCTAGTGCCGCAGGTTCACTGATTTACAAGGAGACTCTGTTTTGTAAAGATGAACTTCAAGTGTCAATAGTGACCAATCCTTTTGTCAGAGCACTCCCTGTTAAATTCATATCCCCAGATGACGCGCTTTGGTTATATAACTAACAGCGGGGAGGAGTCGGCAGAGTCGGAGTTGAGTCAGACAGAACTACTTTCTTCATGCCAGACAAGCCTGATATACTGACTCAACACGTGTTTCCAGAACTGGACAGTTTTTCCAGTTTTGCTTTGACAGCTGTTCCTTATACGAGACCCAAGAGATCCTGGTCAAAGTCACATGACTGACCAGCAGACATGAAGCTGTACAGTTTATTCTTCTACTTCTTGCAGGTCTCCACCAGTGTGTTACCTTCTCTCTTATTTACTGAAGCTTCTCTGTTTGCTCTTCTCTTGTGATTTGCCTGAAGCTGTTGAGGCCTTTCTTTCTTTTCTTTATATCAATGCAGAGTCTTGTCTTTCATTTCCTTCTCTGCGCTCACACCCTACAGGCTTTTCTTTAATATCAGGCTTCTGTGTCCTGGCTTCCTTTTGGGCATTTTTTCCTTTTGCATGCTGAAACTGCCCTGAAGTTTCCAGAGCTGAAAAGCCAAAGCGGAAAATCCTCTTACAATCTCAAATTACAGTTATCAATGGTATCCATCTCAGCGAGAAGACAAGAAGGAAATGATCTCTCCCTCTGACTTCCAGCCTTGTTTTAGGACACTTGGATTTGAGGACACTCTATTTTGGTTGGTCCCTGTGCTGCAGAGCCCTTTTAAATCAAGTAGGCCTCTGTCTTTCTCCAGTGACTTTGAGCTCTTGCAGTTGCTGTGATCGGGCATACTGGCAGCTAACTCCCCCATTCAAATAGTTGAACTCAGAAACCCCCAAACAGGGCTTAGATTGGAGGCTTGTTCCCTCCCAGTGTACCCAGATGTATTTAGTCTCTGAGTCTAACTTGGAAAATAAAAGTCACCCTTAGTCCAGTGATGTCTTCTATCTGTTGAAGTATAAAGACAAAAGATGTTCTCTGTTCGAGGTGTTGTTGCTCAGCTTGAAGACTTGTGATTTGATTTGGACTTATGGACTGATGACTTGCATTTCGCTTCAGAAGATAAAGAGAAAGACTTGGATTTATTCATCACAGACTGTTTTTCTTAGTGTTTCTTTTGTTTAAGGCCCTAATGGTTTAGTTTCCAGCCTGAGTCTTTACCATAGACTGCACAAAGTACAGATGTCACTCATTTTATTTATATAAGATAAGAAGATCTTTAAGAACTTTATTAATCCCCAAAGGGAAATTCAATTGTCTGTTGTCTCACATAATATGTCTCTAAAAGTTATCTATTATTTACACAAGAGTTATAAAGTCTGATGGCTGTTGGTACAAAAGATCATCTGAATTTTTCTGTCCTGCAGCGAAGAGAGAGGGGCCATCCACCACCATTGGCCCTTTGGTCCATCAAGGTGTTGTGAAGTGGGTGATCCATGTTCTTGAGAATAGTCTCCACCTTCCTCAGTGTAGATCTCTCCACCACATCCTCCATTGAGTCCAGCTTGAGTCCTACCACAGAGCCAGCCTTTTTCACCAGTTTGTTAAGACGTATATATATAGTATTTATATATATATATATATATATATATATATATATATATATATAGTATCTTGAAGCATACCTACGTCAAACACCACCATGCTGACTCAACCTCACCTTCAGTCAACCTGCTGAAAATCATCAGCAGGTTGACTCTGCAAACAGCTACAGTGAAGCTGCCTGTCAGTCAAGCCAGCTTTCAGCGGCGTTTCGCAGCTCAAAGAAAAGCATTTATGATCATTACTTCATGGAAATGCAATCAGTGTTCTTGTGTATCTTGTATGTGCACCACTAGACGCAGTAGTTCTCCTGCCCTATCGTCTTAGTCTGATTCCATTTCCATGAAGTAATGATCATAAATTTTCCACTGCACTCGGTGATCGACTAATAAGGGCTTCCCCCACAAATGAATGGCTGCTGAAAGAGAGTGGGTGAGTTGTGTTTGGTCTCTTTGCTAAAGAAATCAGGCAAAGCTAAAAAGATGTTTGGTGGCTAGTGCTATGGCCCGGACCCTTTGTACTGTTGATGAAGTTAGGTGCTGTTCTGAGCATTATTTGTGGCTATAGAGTGGCTTTTTGGTTGAGGTTTGTGTGTGGAGATGTAGACTGCTGTGTTTTGCTATTGCGCAGTCGTTACTAAAGTTGGTATAACTAGAGAAGCAAGCAGTCAGCAACATTCATCTTTCGAGGGGGTGTCTAACTCGGTGTCGTAGTCTGTTCGACCATAACTTAAATTGATGCTGGAATATCCCTTAAAGATAGAGCAGTCATCTTTGCATCCTTTCAAATTAAAAGCACACTTGAAGTCAACAGGGGAAATGTAGCGACCTGCAAGTAAGAAGGTACTTACTCTAAAACAGCTACTCTAAAAGACTGTTTATAAAATTAAAATAAGGTAATCTATTCTCTTAAAGGCAGTGTGAGGAGTTTTTAATTGAGTGTGAAACATTCTGAAACTAATTCTGATGCCTCTCTCTGACCTTCAAAACCAAAAAAAGACCATCAGCGACCAGTCTGATGAGTTCACTGAGGTGATTTTTAATGCCGAAAAACACTGAGGGGGTGAGTGTCAGACCGGATAATGAACAGCAGTCTGAAAAACAGCTTTTTTAAACAGCAAATACCCAGAGTAAATGATAAATGTCTTTGTTTAAAGATAACAGGATGTGGTTTTTGCCTGGAAACAACTTTCACATGAACAGAACAATGGACAAGAGGTATCACTGTGTCAACAGGAGGCGCCAAAATCAACAGAATCTGAAAGTTTCTCACAGCAGCTTTAAGCTAGCACATGAAATTCGTTTCCTTTACCTTTAAGAAAGTATTCTGAAACCCAAAAGATGAATCATATGAAGTTGTTAGAGTGTCCCTGTTACAACCATGCTGTTCATTAACGTCAGTAATCTGCCATGGCTGCGTAACCCTATTATTTCTCCTTATATGGACTCCATCCTGTTTTGAATACAAATGTCTAATGTTCCCATTGACACCAGTGCTGTTGTGACTGCTATGAGTTGGTGACACCAGTATAGACCTCATATCTTTCAACATACAGCAGTAGTATTGATTCGCCTTATAGATCTAAGCTTAGCCATGCCATGCCAACAGAAACATTTTCCACATTGGCTTGTGAGTGTCCTCCTCTTCATCGTGCGCAGACACCAGAAATGATATGTGCTGGTCTCAGATATCTAATTGTTTGTCAGCTAAGTGTTGATGTATATTTTTAGCTACGGGAGAACACAGTGGATCTTGACAGGTTCAGAAGAAGCTGTCTACTTTGCTGTCAGTTTAATCTTCAGTCTGATGTTGGAGCTCATTGTTTTAATGTCTTGATTTGACTTTTCCTGAAAAGAGAAACAAAGCATTAATTGTATTGAACTGCACAGTGTCACAGATCTACATGTTGCCATGTTGTTGACATTCCTCAGCAGATGATCCATGTGGATTACAGCACAGTTGACATGATGGTATTTCCTAAATAATGCAGAAGGATAGAGTGCAGAGCAGGGAGAATGGAGAAAGAGTGGAAGGAAGTGAGAGGAGGAGCTGATCTTAAAAGGCTCCTTTCCAGTTTCCACCATCCAGCTGAGTAAACAAACAGACAGAGAGAGAAAGAGGCAGAGGTAGAGATCCATAAACAAGCGGACAACCAGTCCATCTCAGTGACCAGCAGCACATCCAGAGTCAGATCTCATGACTGAGAAAAGTGAGCGTAGACAGGAGTTTCTGACTGATGCTTCCAGAGATTCACAGAGAATAGCTTTGTGCTCTGTGTGTGCATGGACTGAATGGTGTGTATTGTTCGGTGATGATGTAGGAACTGACTCTCTATCAGGCCCACTCTCAGCATATGGTGTAAGAGACTCTACCAGACTACCAGCACACTGTACAGCTTTCATGGAGGTCAGGGCTTTGAGCACATGCTGTCTGCGTCGTCTTCTAGTACTGACCTTTGCTTGTCTGCCAACCCTTACATGTTTATTCCACCAAGAGTCATTATTAGTCATTATTCTCAATCAAGAGAACGTTTTGAATGGTTGTTTTTTTTAAGGGATAAACTTTAGATCTTTAGAGGTCACAGGAAAACCAAAGAGAAGATGTAGTTTCATGCATTGCTACAATCTTCACAGAGAACCACAAGAGTGTTTTGCATCATCAGATTTCACAGATTTTTTTTCACTTGCTGACTTGTTGGACAAAGAATCCCATTATGGTGCAGATATTTTTTTATCATCCCCGCATCTCTGTGTTTTGCTTCACGTGAACAAGAAAATATCACAGTGATCTCTAATGAAGCAGAAAGGAGTAAGGGTTACTAGAAGTATCTGTGCAATAAGCAATAATGGGAAACATTTACTGTGAGTATTACTGTATTACTGTGCTGTAAATGAACAAGGTAACCACCTGTCACTTTGAAGAGCACAATCTGAGCAGAGCCGCAGATGTCTCAAAGTCTATAGCCTTCTTCCTCTGGGTTGGGGTCTCAGGAGGCAGGGAAAGACATAGAAAGAAAGATGCAACCTAATGTTAACAACATATCCAAGATTGGAAAAATAAGGCAGAGTCCAATGATAGTTTTTAATGCAGGTCAATGCTACCTGTAATACGGCGTATTTATAGTCCCAATGTACTTGCAGAAGAGAGCATGATCATGTGCAGAAAAGACTATTAAACAGCTGAAGTGCATGAAAAATTCAGGGAAATTAGTGTAGAGTTTTTCAAAATTTCCAGAGTATTCAAGAACTTTTAGGAGTGTTGTGCAAACGTGAAAACAGCATGTAGTTGGTTTTATATCAGTCTTTGTGATACTGCAAGACAAAATAAGATTCACTGCCTCATTCGAATCATCCTATAATTTTTGTACAAAGCTTCAATGACAATGAGGTTGTGCTTTGCTTGTTTGAAGTAGTAGTGTCAGTTTTTTAACAGCTGGCTGATGTCCGATATTCTTAATATTGCCGATGTTGCATTGTTATTGTTTTTCTTTCTTCCCTGTATGTCAATTAAATTTTCCTAAAAAAGTGTCGTTAAGTTGCCGAACTTGACTGACATTTTTTATTGAATAAATGTAGACAGAAAAATAAATGGTTCATTAAAATATCCCCAGAACAGACTTTTAGATTTCTGTGCGACTATCTGAAACTATTAAAAAAGAAAAAAAAGACATAATATATTACCATTATTTCTTGCACATTAAAATCTGATATACATGGTATCTTAGCAAGTTTGATATAGACTTTGAGTGATGTAAAAGAAAAATAGAAAAGACTATGTGACATTTCAGAAAATGAATGAAATATCTGTGCGGTTTATCAGTCTATCTCTAGTTTGAATCAGAAACAATGTCAGTAAATGATGAGATATTTGAAGTGCTGGCCCCACAGCTGAAGAGTAACCTGATTTAGAATAAGAATGCTCTGATAGACATTCAAGTATTACCTCGACTAGTTATTGTTTCCTTCTTTTATCTGGACTGGGTGAGTGCTAATTTGTTTTCTTTTTATTGTGCAGCCAACAAGCGCCGAAGTTTGTATGGAAGCCCCTACAACCAGCAAAGTTATGGAAGCCCCTACAGCACAAACGCAGCCAACAGCCCCTATAGCAGTGGCTTCAACTCCCCCTCCTCAACCCCCGGCAGAGTGCCCATTGTCAGACAGCAATTAATGCCTGGGAACGCAGGTATGGGTCTCTCTGTAGCTTTAAAGTTAAAATTTTTTCTCTTGTCGAGTGTGTGAAGTATAAAATGAACGATTTCCTTCCCAGCGCACCAGCGAAACTCAACAGCAGAGAGGAATCCTCCTGCTGTGAGCCCTCAATCATCCGTGGACAGTGAGCTGAGCACCTCAGAGATGGACGAGGACTCAGTGGGCTCCTCAACTACCTACAAACTTAACGATGTCACTGACGTCCAGATACTCGCACGCATGCAAGAAGAGAGTATGTACCTACTAAAGCATCTATTAACAAGTGTTTTATAACCATGCAGTGTTTGATAGAAATGTAACTGTATTTGTAACCGTGTTTGTCAGGTCTCAGACAAGATTACGCTGCAACAGCCTCCAGAAGAAGCTCAGGCTCCTCCTGTCACTCACTGCGGCGCAGCACCTTCAGTGACCAGGAGTTAGACGCCCAAAGCCTAGAGGACGAAGAGGAGGCGGTGCACCCGGCCTTCCACCTGCCCTCGAACCGCTTCAGCCCCTCCCCTCGACACTCTCCCCGCGCCTCCCCCAGGAATTCCCCTCGTTCGCGCTCACCTGCCCGCTCTATCGACTACAGCCACAGCCGCGGCTCGCCTCAGCCCATCATGAGCCGCCTGCAGCAGCCTCGCCACTCGCTGCAGGGACACGGGCACGACCTGCAGACCAATGTGGTGAAGAATGAAGGTAAACACAGCTGTACAGATCATTATAATCATCAACAATACTGTTTTTGTAAAGCCCTTTAATTCTTACATGAAGTTCTGAAAAAAAAACAAAGAAATTAAATCGAACGAGGAAGACAGAATGAGTCAAACAAGGTAACAGTGCAGAGGAAGTTGAGGTCACGAGATGGAAAAGAAAGCTTCTCAGTTTAAAGGAAGTTTGAAGCAAACATGAGAAAGTTGAATAAATGACTTTCTATCAATAATCATGAACTGCAAACTGTCTGTAACCAGCAGACCTCGTCTTAAACTCCCAGTAGTCAGTGAGGGAAATAAACTCAGAACTCTTCAAATAACAAAAATCTAAAGAGTCTTGTCTTGTTTACAGGAACTGCCGGTAGAGATAAATGATTGCAAAATGCACAGAAGCGTAGCTTTTCAAAACTCTGACTGAGGATAGGGGCCTCAATAAGGAAGAAAATATTAAGATTGAGATAACAAAGTCCTGAATTTCTGAATGAAGCTGAATTTTTTGAGAACCAAGACTTTAGAGTCAAAAGTCACGTTTACTTCAGGATATTGGAAAAAGAGCAGCCAGATGCCTGCATCTAATGGAGGAACTTTATGCATTTGTAGTTTCACAAACAGCCAAATACTTCTATTAGCTTGTTGGAAATACATAGCCACATATATTCGGACTCTGAGGAGAAGGCTGTACAAAAAACTGAATCTATCTCAAGGAAAGGTCAGATATGCAGCCTGAGCATACTTCTGCAACTCCTCTCCACTGTTGTGTTGAACTTGACAAGATGAATTAGGTTCCTTATTTCTGTTATTCATTGGACGGCCTCTCTAATATTTCCATATGATAAGACATACAGATGAACCACAGACTGTAATTATAACTTTTTTCACACATATTTATTGTCATTATTATCATCATTTATCATCATGTAGGGGTTATTTGATCAGGTGTTTTTAGTCTCTGTAATGACCTGAGCGAGCTGATCATTTTAAACTGTCTGTTTTTTTAATTCCTGCTGTTACAGAAAAGCTGCGCCGTAGTCTTCCTAACCTCACGCGTTCCTCTGCAGCTGCACCTCAGGGCCCAGAGCCCGTCAAGAACAGCCGCAGCTGCGAGTCTAACCTGCAAGTGCCAAACGGTGGCTCTCCTCGACACCAGAACCAATCTGCAAGTGAGTACTTCCTTAAACACGAAAACTCGCCTTCTTCACTTTGAAAGAAATTGCTGAGCACACAAACCCTCTAGAGGTGTTATTGAGTCTTACACTATCAAGATTGTCAGTTTCACTATGGTTGCCATGTTGTTTTACATCAGTGTTTGTTTTGCTCTCCTGCTGCTCTGAACCTTCAGGAACATGACATATTCTGTAATCTCTTGATTCGTTGAGCGAGTGGGAATTCCTCTAATCCTTCTGGCTGCACAAACATCACGCAGAGGACCGCGCTGCTTTGTAGTGCTATGGCTTCGGTGTTTGGGGATCCTCTTTGTCTTTGATCATTTCAGTTGTTATATCTTTTATTCACACGCATCCTTCCTCTTCTTGACGTCGAAGTCAAACTTTGGCTTCAAAGAAAGACTTTCCTCCTGCAGAACTAAAGCATGGCACCAGCAACACTTCAGATCCTGAGCGACTTAACAACACCAACATTGTTTTTCATGCTGGGTTTGAGGGTCTTATGGTCTTTACCAGCTTAGATTCTTACCTCTGTGAGTTAAGAGTATCCTTTTGATCTAATCCTGTAATGGCAGATTAAGGTAGTGGTGTCGTCCTAAATCCAAGAGCAGCTAATCCCCCTCGGCTAGAAGAGTCAGAAAAGGGGTCAAAGGTCAATGCAGCCGGTTAACCATGTACTGACTGCCTTTGTCCAGTCTTATACACACGTTAAGGATGTTTAGCAAATATTTACCATCTCTATGATCCACTTTATAGATTTATTATTCTTAACTCTTAAAAATCTGATCCCACAGTGACAGGTTGATTTGACTTTGAGCTTTGGCTGAACTTGGCACGTGAGATTCTTTGAATTCTTGCTTTTCTCATTGACTTTACTCACTGTTACGCATGTGTTAACAGACTGAGCCTCTATTTCTCGATGGGTGCTCAGACACAGCTGTCCAACCTGACAGCAACACTGACACTTTGCTCTGACAACCTGCTGCTTCTCCTTTCAAAAAAAGGAGCTCTGGTGCCCCCTAGTGGCCTCTTGCTGCACTCATTAGTCCTTTTTCTCCATTAAGACATTACAAATCTGACGTCATGGAGACCTCACGCTGAAATGTTCCTGTTTTTCCAACAGCAGCTCAGCTCCCGAGATACTCGACCCCTTCTCGCTCCTCCCCGAAACCCAAACAGCAGCTCCAAAAACCGACAGCCCTGCGAGGTAACGGCTTTATCCAAACCAACCTGGAGGCTGTGAGGTCAAACTCCTGAACAGAGAAATGCATCATTTAAGATAACCATGCAGCCTGTGTACAGAGACGTTAGATAACTTATACACATGGAAATGAAATAGTGTCGCAACTGTGGGGACAATCTCAGTTCGGTGATGGTTATCTACTTTTGTTGGTTCTTGGCAAGTTTTTACAAGATAAAATGGAAATAAATGATGGAGCATGTCGAATAAAGGCAGTTCACGTTTGAATAAGGAGGAAACTGATTCACATGGAAAGTGTGTTGATGTGTCTGTAAGAATGTCAAGTCCACCATTTTGGCTCCGAAGTGTCAGATGAGTTGTTGGTGCTATTGCTGGAATGTTTTTGACCGTCAGGACTGTCATGGCGATCATTCAAATCCGCCCACCTCCTCAAAAGTAAAGAGTGACCTTTCTTACTCGTGACCTTCTTATCTTTAAGTCAATCACACAGAGGATGCCAATATCATGCTGCCACACTTGCACCTTCACATCAAGAATCATTTTGCAGCATGCATGCAAGGGCAATACAATAAATCATAGTTTCCTTATTACTGCAATACGAGTGTTTGTATTGAATATTAGGGATGTACTGGTTAAGATGGCTAAGAGAGGAAAAGGTGCAACACAAGAAGTAGTATTTGATTGAACAAGTTTCTCACAAGGTTAAAATGCAGGGCAAATGCTGCGCTGAAGCTGTAGCCCCTTCCCCATCACCAACAAGAGAGTTAGCTCCATTTCGTGGTTACTGCCATGTTGCTATAATGCTCTACTACCTGAATGTAAATAAGCACTGCTGACAGATCACATCTGGTAGTGTGTAGGCTCTGTTTGGTTCAGCTGGCATATAAAGCAACTCATATCAGCAAGCAGCCATGTGGACTTCACCTGAAGTAGGATAAAAGGCTGGTGGTGCTAGCTCTGCTAATGTTTGCCACACTCAACAAAACAGGTGGATGTCATTAACCCACAGAGTCCATGATCCCATGATCAGCTCTTTCGTCAATTCTGCTCAATTTGACGGTTTTCTCAGTGTTTTTTTTTTTAACCTTTTTTTCTAGGGATGTACTGATTGATAGTACATTTTTGCTATTTTTTTTTAACTGATGTTGGCTGATTCTAATACCACTACCAATATATGGACATCTTTTATTCATTGAGAAGAATGCCAAGTTTCTCTTGTACCAGAATTTACCCATAAGTCTTAGTGTAACAGTCTTTTTTTACAGACAAGACAGTTTGATTTTACTGTAAATGATAAATACATTGAAACTCTTTAAAATGTGATAATATAACTGAAAGCACACAGGTGCTCTATGAATATTTCTGTTTGTTTCATCTAGAGAAGGGATTAGATTTACTGTGGATTCAGCTGAGAAGTCAAGCAAAAACATAAGTATTATTCATCCCATATTTTCCTCATATTGCAGATTCATCCCATTCTGAGCAGCTTTAATGCAACTCCCTGCTTTATTAGAGCAACACAAGCTTTATTCCTGTTTTCATTGCCTGAACTTTGTCTGAGCAAGCTGCAAGTGATTATTTTGGATAAAATCCTGCTCTTCCAACCGATTCTTCCCTCTCCATGTTACTTTTCTTTTTGATAACATTTATTATTTTTGCAGAATCAAACATAGGTTTAGATTTTCAGCCATGCGCTCTGCTGTCCATGACAACCCTTTGTTTGTACATCCACACTGTTTGCTGTCAAACTTGAGCCAAACTGGAGGACTACAAATATCGCAGACTCAACAAAAGCTACAAAATCCTCCTGCTGATAGATCACTGTCCACTCACATAATAAATGCTCACATATACTTAGGCGTAGTGATAAACTTGTGGAGGTCCACGCCACATCCATGTTTAAAGTCCAACAGACCCCTGCTCAGCAGCACCCTGCTCGTCAGCTGTGAATTAAGGCCTTTGTCTCTGTTGTCTTCGTCTTTGTCTAGTCCCCCTCTCCTGTTGCTTTGGAGAAGAAGGTGATTTCAGTGAGTATTCACTGAGGGTTTACACCTTTTCAGTATTGTGATTGTGGTTCCCTGCCGTGGTCGTATCGATGCCTTGCTCGCTAGTTTGTGCTTCATGTTTGTATCACCTCATTCCTCATATTAGGCAGTTCAGGTCATAGACTGTTCATTTGTATAATATTTACTCAGTAGTTTATAGTCTTGCATCCTAACAGGTATGACTTCATTTGTGAATTTGTGATAGATGTGGTTAAAAAAAGTATCCTGAATACTGTATGTCCCCATGTTTGGTAAACAGTATGTGAACTAGCATCATATTGTGTTATTCTTGCTACATTATGCAGTTGATCATCCTTCATAATAGAAATACAGACTGAAAGCTGTGAGAACATTGATCTGTTTAGACCGTCTGAAGTCATCCTGTTGTATTTAACTGCTCCTTCTCTTACCATCTTCAGTCCCCTCTCCCAGTAAGCTTAGGACTCCTGCCACTCCATCTCCACTGGCCTTGAGGCAGCCTGTAAAGGCCACATCAACCCCTAACTCTGCCACCTCCACGCCCACCCGCTCCCTGGCTCCTCCTCGCAGCGGCCTGCCTCGGCCCAGTGCTTCTGCAGGAGGGGGGATCCCTCTGCCCCGCAGCAAGCTGGCCCAGCCTGTGCGCAGGTGTGTACCCCTCAGAAACCGTCTTTGTGTCCCAGTGCTGCTTCACTTCACTCCACCCTCACTGCATTTACTGTGGAGGGATTCAAACTAGGCAGGCGCAATATCTAATATGCTGATATTTTCAATCTTATTTTAGCCACAAACAACATTTGATATATGAACACATGTCACAGGGAAGTGACCTGCTACCTTGGCTGTGATGAAGTCAAACCTATCAGTTTTAGAATCAGACAAACAACCTGTGAATCTACTTCAGAATAAGGATTAATTTTAGTCAAATATCAGCAATCAGTCATGTGTCTGCTGTCCGTTTCAAACATTTCACAACACTGTTATACAGCCAGTATGTATCAGCTCTCACATAATGAATGCATAATGACACAGTGTATGTCGAAGGGGTGTCACATTTCAGCCACAGCTCAGAGAATGAAACCTTCAATAGGCTGAGTTCATTCATTTAACCATTATCTGACTTTATAGAAGTAAAGTGTGGTAAATAACTACTGCTGCTGATTTCCTGCACTGTAGAGCTCACTTTCTATTCAGTCTTTATTCTTTTTTCTTTTTTTTTCCCCCTAAGCCCTTTGTTGTACCAAAATAAGTTCTTCAAGTGTTCATTTTTAAAGCGTCTGAAAAAAAAAAGGTTTAAAACCAAATTTAATGTTATCGTTTATTGATTTCTTGTTCTCTTGTGTTGTATTTGTCTGTCGGACTTTTATTTCCTCTTCTGTCTGTCCTGTTTTTATCCATTGTCTCGTGTGGGTGTATGCTTTTACTTTTTTTATCATTATTTATGGTTTTATTACTCATGTTTAACAATGTGCTATTCACAAGGATAGCACAGGAAAAATGTTTACTCTGACCCTTAACCTCTGTTTGAAAGTTTAGATTCTGTTTCAACTTGGTTTCAAGTCACATTGAAGTTAATGCTGCTGTGGATTTCTGAACAGCAGAATACATGAGTGACTTTTGACTTCTTCTTCCTTTTATTCACAGATCTCTTCCTGCTCCTCGGTCCTACAGCGGCACTGGGGAAAACTGGAGAGAAGGCTGCTACTAGAAAGGGCCACCAGGGGGCTCCCCAATCAAACTATCACGACAAGGAGGCAGACATTACAACATGGCACTTTATCTTCCTAGATACCTTTTACAGTGAGGGGAGAAGAAGAGAAAAACTCTGTTCCAGAAAAAATTAAACAATCCAGAATTTAAAAAAGGAAAAGACGGTGTCCACATAGCGTCAAAGAGGACCTCCCATCGTGTCCCCCTTTGAGGTCTGGCTCTGGAGGGGTCAGGCATGTAGTGCAGACCAGAAGATGCCAAAGAAACCAGCCCGACTCCAGCTCGCCTAGCAGAGGACACTTCACCTGCCTTTGTTTGACTGCAATCATCTGTCAGACAGTCTTTATTCCACCACTGACCTTTTCTCCCACATCCTCCCCCCACCTCCTTTTCTTCTGTCACCTCCCTCAGGTCGAAATGTTTCCACACATTTCTCTCTTTTGATGCTCTGTGTTGAACAGATCGTGGGTGAGTGATCTCTATGATGATGCTGTGCAGGTGAACGTCCCGTAATGTTTGAGAATCCTTGATGTCTTGCAACAGTGAAAGCACCTCTGTGTGGGTAATGACATTTGAATAATCTGTCCTCTTGTTAAATCAGCCAGAATGTATGCACAAGTTTGTTTTGGAAATTATTTATTCAAATTATTTAAAGAACTGTATGTCAAAGCAGCATCCATATCAGTATTTTGTTTAGAGATTTCAGTTGTTTAAAATGTACATTTTGAACCTCAACTGCAAGCTAACTCTCCAAAGCCTTTATTTTTCAATGTGTCAAATCAGGACTTGATCAACGACAGCTCGGCCAAAGCTTCAGTTCTGACTTGTACCACAGTTTGCCAAGATCCTACCATTCTAACAAAGTGCTAATATTGGTCCATTTGGAAAAGAGGGGTGTACTACAAAGTGAGAGGACTGAGTCTTTTTTTTTATCAAGCTAGAGTGACAAAACCTGTGGCCCCACTCAGATAATGTCGACCATGATGGTATAGAACCACTGGCTTTGTCTGCCAGGTTTTCTTCTGAAAGCTCAGTAACATCCACATATCAGATGATGTTTTCTTTAATCTATTTTCTGCACAGAAAAAAAGTCAACACAGGAAACTTTGTAATGAAAGTATGGAGATGTATTAGAGCAAAAAAAAAATCACAGCCACTACAAGCATGGCAGGAGAAGAGAGCTGGCAGGACAAACTTTATCACTTTGATTTGTTGATTTCTATTTCACCACTTTTTCTAATTTTGACTAGAGGAGAAAGACTTTAGGAAAACCGATAAGTCTTAAAAAGGAGAGAAACGGAAAAACAGTAACCCCTAAGAATTCAAAAATTACATCTGCAATCTGATTCTTTGCCCAAATTGTTAGTGTGTGTATAAGTCTTAGAATAATGACAAAAAAAACAAGAAAAAGAAACAATTTTCAGAAGCATTTTTTTTTCTCTAATATAAGGGAAAAAAGGATTCTTAATATAATTCTTTATTTAATGTCACAAGAAATTTTTATCAAAATAAGTCTAAATTTCAATCTTATACAAAGAATTCCAGGTTAAAATAAAATTCTGTGGACAAAAACAGAATTTTGATCAATCCCAGAATACCAAGAAAATAAGACCAGAACCCTGCGAAAGATCCCCGGATTAAAAGATTGAATCATAAAGCTGCTGATTTTATTCTATTATTGAATTATTTTATTAAACAAAAAAATCCAGCTCTAAATTAATGAATCAGGGGCCTAAGATTAAAGTCAGAACTCTGATTTGAATCTTGGTTTCCCAAAACCAAGACCAGAATTCCAAGACAAAGGGGTTCATATTTTTAAAAATATATATATATTTCTGAGATTTTTGGCATTGATGACATAATCCCAGAATTTTAAGGGAAAAAAGTTTAAACAAGAACCATCACATCGTTATGCTTGGACATTTTAACTAGCTTTGGGTTCATTTTGGAATTTCATACACTGAAGGCTACACTGAAACCAATCTACAAATAAAGTGAATGAAACTGGTGAAAAAACTGAAGCAATGATGAAAAGCATCACTGCTGCTTAACATTTACAGTTCTGTCTGTGCATGGATCATCTGCTGTTTGAAATTTAAGGGTTCATTTTATTGATGGAGTAAGGGGTCAGATTACCTAAATGCATGAGAGAGAGAGAGCTGGTGAAGAGGTGTCACCTTTTACAGCAGATTTAAATCCAAATCTATGACCTTAACTTTCTCCTGCTCAACTGTGCATTAGCCAGGTTTGAAGAGGGCCAGCTAGTGAAACAGAAAACTCTGGATGAAGACTAACAGATATCCTGGCTTTGTAGTACACTCGTCTTAATGACATAAAGTCTGATCTTTATCCGATGAGTGAATGAGACTCGATTGGATAAAAAAAAAGATACTTTAACATGAATGATTTCTTTCTTTGACGCCACTGAAACACATGAAACATGTATGTGGTTCTCCAAAGTCCTTCTTCAGATTTATGACAGCGTGTATCATCCATGCCATGAAAAAAGGAAGTTGTCTTGAAGTGTCGCTGGCTTTTACCTCCTGTGCTCTGAATCAAAAGGTGTGTCAGTGTTAAGGAAACTGTCCTGATCGTTGGTGTGGTGGCTGTTCTGAAACTAGTGCCTATAATTTAAAGTTTCACTTGAGTTTGAGCATAATGTTTGTTTGTTCATTATTTGGTGCCAATTCTTTGTTTTGCCAATAATATCATTTTCAATTTTCTATCTCTGCTTGATTGATTTGCTTGCCTGTTTGTGTTTTTGTAAATGAAATCAAAATACATTTATAATTGCTTTAAAAATGTTTAAAATGCGCCTTCATATTTATAACTAATTACTCTTATTCTGTAAATGAAACTATTTATTAAAGAGAGAGGTGCCTCTGTCAGATTCAGTGGGAAGCTACAGCGAATGTTGCAAAAATACATGCCACACCTTTTGTGTGAAAGGTTTTTGTTATTGAGCTTTTTTTTATACCCACAAACATGACATTCAGTTTCCCGGTGTACAATTTACATTTCAAATAAAAGCTGAAAAGTTACTCTCTGCTTTTCTCCCATTCTTTGAGTTTTTTCATGCCTGTCTCAGCCGGGGCAATCTTGGAAACAAGTTTTTACTCTCCGTGAGTTTCACCTAATTCAATAACTTGCATATTTGTGAAGCTCAAAAACAGCTCATTCAACTGCAGATAGTAGTTCCTCAGTCATTGACTCATTGAGGTATCCGCCTGTTTTTCAGGGAAGTCATCAAGTCTTCATTCAGCTCAACAGTTAAGAAAATCTAAACCCTGTGATTTAAACAAGTACATAAGTTGGCTGCTTGTTTAACTACTAAACCTTTAAACTTGTGTTTTATAGATAACAGTATTGCATCAAAACAAAAAGTTAATACCTTTCTTTGACAAACTTGCCCTTTAGAATAAATATTGTCTAATAATTATATATAACACTGTGCATCTGAAGGTGGAGAAACAGGTATTTATTGGACTTCTCTGACTTTTATTTCTCAAAAAGATGAAAACTTTGACTATCAGAGAAGTGTTTTGATGCTTCAGACCCACAGATCTGTCAGTGCTTGCAGATTTTGAAGCTTCAGATCTTTGGATCTCTGTTGGTGCATACTGAAAAATAAGCCCCACCTCTACCTCAAAGAGGACAGCTCGTATTTACCTCTCAGCTTTTTACAAAATGTCCCACTTCCTAATCCATCCATAGTCACACCCTCTAAATAAAGTGATGAAAAGTGTGAGGTTATAGTTTTGCTGAACAAAAGGAGAGAGATCCTGTAAATGATGTTTCAGTTCTGAGTAAAGATGTTTAGTTAGTAAAGTTTTGAAGTTGAAGCTTTGAATGATTAATACAAACTGCAAACTTTGAGAGCAGCAAGAGGAATATGCACTGGCTGCACATACGAGACAAAAACCTCTTTCCATTTCCTGTCAATGTGTGATGCCTTTACTTGCCTCCTTACCATACCCACCTGAGCAAGGTGTGGAGGAGGTTTGAGGAGAAAATGACATACAGTATGTTGATAACCATATTCTAACGACTAATGAATGGAGATGTGACGGTCAAGAACGAGTCAGTCGTTTGAATGGCTCTTTCAAGTGAACAATGACAACCGGTTCACACTGGCGAGCCGTTCTCATATGCAAATTGCTGTCACTGCCCTTACATGTCACTTGTGTGTCCCAAACAGCAGGTAGGGTAGTATAATTTTGCATTCACATTTTTATCATGTCTTGATTTTTATCACTCATCTGTAGCCGGCGTAGTTTTTATTGTGCCACAAAGTTCTTTAGGTGAGGGAAAAATTTTAGATAGTGATCAAACTGTCAAAGCATGAATATGGCACCACCTTATACACTCACCGGCCACTTTATTAGGTACACCTGTCCAACTGCTCGTTAACACTTAATTTCTAATCAGCCAATCACATGGCGGCAACTTAGTGCATTTAGGCATGTAGACATGGTCAAGACAATCTCCTGCAGTTCAAACCGAGCATCAGTATGGGGAAGAAAGGTGATTTGAGTGACTTTGAACGTGGCATGGTTGTTGGTGCCAGAAGGGCTGGTCTGAGTATTTCAGAAACTGCTGATCTACTGGGATTTTCACGCACAACCATCTCTAGGGTTTACAGAGAATGGTCCGAAAAAGAAAAAATATCCAGTGAGCGGCAGTTCTGTGGGCGGAAATGCCTTGTTGATGCCAGAGGTCAGAGGAGAATGGCCAGACTGGTTCGAGCTGATAGAAAGGCAACAGTGACTCAAATAACCACCCGTTACAACCAAGGTAGGCAGAAGAGCATCTCTGAACGCACAGTACGTCGAACTTTGAGGCAGATGGGCTACAGCAGCAGAAGACCACGCCGGGTGCCACTCCTTTCAGCAAAGAACAGGAAACTGAGGCTACAATTTGCACAAGCTCATCGAAATTGGACAATAGAAGATTGGAAAAACGTTGCCTGGTCTGATGAGTCTCGATTTCTGCTGCGACATTCGGATGGTAGGGTCAGAATTTGGCGTCAACAACATGAAAGCATGGATCCATCCTGCCTTGTATCAACGGTTCAGGCTGGTGGTGGTGGTGTCATGGTGTGGGGAATATTTTCTTGGCACTCTTTGGGCCCCTTGGTACCAATTGAGCATCGTTGCAACGCCACAGCCTACCTGAGTATTGTTGCCGACCATGTCCATCCCTTTATGACCACAATGTACCCAACTTCTGGAGGCTACTTTCAGCAGGATAATGCGCCATGTCATAAAGCTGGAATCATCTCAGACTGGTTTCTTGAACATGAGAATGAGTTCACTGTACTCAAATGGCCTCCACAGTCACCAGATCTCAATCCAATAGAGCATCTTTGGGATGTGGTGGAACGGGAGATTCGCATCATGGATGTGCAGCCGACAAATCTGCGGCAACTGTGTGATGCCATCATGTCAATATGGACCAAGCTCTCTGAGGAATGCTTCCAGCACCTTGTTGAATCTATGCCACGAAGAATTGAGGCAGTTCTGAAGGCAAAAGGGGGTCCAACCCGTTACTAGCATGGTGTACCTAATAAAGTGGCCGGTGAGTGTAGGTTCTTAACAATGAAAACACAAACCAAATGAAAATAAAATCAACATATCTGAATAACGCCCACTCGTGTGTAACCCTGGTTGGCTTCTAAAGAATAAATAAATAAAACTATGAACCAGCCTTCTGAACGGCTCCTTTAACATTAATAAATTCAAAGTATTAGTAAAACAGCATTTACTCCAGAAGGGAAAACTTTAATTTGAGTACAAGGAAGTGTTTGTGTGCACTGAGAACAAGATAAAGGAGTATGTAGGCTATATATTTGTCATGTTATATATCGATTGAATCTGAGATGCTTTTTGCTTGGATTGTTCTGCAAATTTTGTGTTTCTCGATGGTGACGGATTAGCCTTTGTTTAAGTGTCTTTTTATTTAGATACTGGTTTACATTTATTTTGTTTGTTTGTATAAGTGTTTATATTTAAGTCCATTGTTGTATGTATTTTTATTTTGTGTGGACCTCAGGAAGAATAGCGGTTGCCTAGGGTGACAGCTAATGGGGATCCAAATAAATAAACATAAACATAAACATAAGGGAACGGCCCCTCAAGTTCTGGCTCCCTTCAAAGAGCCATAAATCCCATCTCCACTTATCAAGTATAACATGCTGCACAGTTGAATTATCAATGGACTGTTTTTAAACCAATCATTGTATTATCTGTTCTTTATCAGATGAGCATGAAATATTGCTCGATTTTAATGCTTTTAAAATCATTTGCATGTTTAATCTACGGTACATATCTAACCTCTTTTCATGTCACTGGTCCTGAGAAATCTTCTCCTCATTGACTCTTGTTGGTTCTTCTGTGAGCCTCTTCAATCCTCAGCCCAAATTTCTCAAAAAGGATTGTAAATTGCATATTCTCCTCTCCTCTGAGGAAAGAAAACAGGCAGACAAAAAAAAAGGAAAAAAAAAAAAACATGAGAAAAGCAAACTATCTGCTCTGTCAAAAAGATTGGGTGCAATTACAGCTCCAAACTGTAACTCTTTTTCCCCACTGTGTATGAATGTATAAACAGAAGTTCAAACTCACCAGACTTAAAATTAAACTTACCAAATAGTTTGTTTTTGTCTGCAATTTTTTAGGCAGATAACAGACAGCAGCAAAGAGTAACAAACATTAATAAATATTGTGTCTCAACATTCAGGATCCTTCTTTTTTATTTATGATGCATTCAAGTGATGATATTCGTACAGAGGAAAGTTCGTGCTTGAGTTTATCTGCCAACAAAAACTGTCAGCATGCTCAACAGCTTCAAAAGAGAAGGGGACTCATCCTGTATTCAGTCCACAGTCTGCTGAAGCCTCTACGTACCTGGAGTCACCCGCTGGTCGATGGGGGACACAGGGAGAGTCTCCAGGAGGGAGGAGGAGGAGGAGACAGGAGACAGCCTGAGTCACCGGCTGCTGCAAATCGTCCCGTCCCACCCTGGTCTTAGTGTTTAGTGACGTCAGTGCATTAACTCCCTCTGTGCGTGTGTGTGTGTGTGTGTGTGTGTGTGAGAGAGAGAGAAAGAGAGAGAGAGAGAGAGAGAAAGAGAGAGAGAGAGGGTGTGTGTGTTATCATGGCTTCATATGCGGGATTTCATTCAGAGCATCTTCATCTGTCAGCTGCAGAGACACAAACACAGACACAGTTTTCAATTGTCATGCTGCACTGATGATACTGACCAGTATTTCACAAATACACTCTGTTGTAATAACATTGAGGGCATTTTCAAGAACTGAACAGTTTCCATTTAGTTTAACACAGATTTTTAACACAAATTGTGTCAAAACTCAACTGCAAGATCTCCTCTGCACCAGAAAGTCAACTGCAGGCTTGTTAAGTAAGACTGTGTGTACATACATGTTATTATATTTGAAGGTTGTCTGGACATTTGCACACATAAGATACCAGAGGTGAAGTTTTTATCCAGTCTGTTTTTCAGTTCTTTCTGATCCGCCCCCACCCTCACTCTCCCAAACCAATCAGAGACTGTACAGACCCCAAACCTTCAAATCATAAAATACCACAAATAAATATCACTAATACCTAAAAAACACACACCCTTTTAAACGGGCCTTTAACCTGTAAACTGTTCTTTTTTTCTCTCTTTTTTTAATGTCTTTTTAACCTTCTACATTGTTTGTTGGTTTATTACTCCACATTCTTCTATATTTTAATTGTGTTTCTTGTAAAGGATCTTTGAGCACTTGTAAAAGCGTGTTATAAATAAAATTGTGATTATTATTAAACTCAAACCCACTAGCATTATCAGTATAAATCAAAATATCTCATCATCAATGTAAAAGAAAGACTCACTCTGTACAGGAGTGTGTACATAAAGGAACCAGTTCAATTCAAAACCATGACCAGATGTTTTTGCATCTGTTACATCTGGCACAATCAGTTAAATTGCATTTTAATACTCTTTTAAATTACCTTTATTAAAAAAAAACATTTATTCTGCTACATACAGTATATGAGACCTGTTCACCGTGGACTCTGATCAGAGGGACCACGCAAAGTGCACATTTCATGAAAGAAAAGGCGGTGCGCACAAAAGAAGTGTGCAGGCAGATTTTCACAGTTTGCTGCACAAACATTAAGAGCAGCACAGTTCACATTCATGTTGACTCAACCTCCACAAGCAGCTGTCTTCACTGTAGTTCCATCCATAGCTTCATTGTGTGTTGAAATGATGAGCTTCATAATTCTGCAGAAAATATTATGGACTGAGTAGTCTCTGGTGAGCTGGGTTTAATCCCACAAATGGAAAACTGTCGATATGTAATAATCTGATTGATATTTTGGGGACCTTTCCCTTATATGGAGCGGGGCGCGCCATAAAAGGGCAGCCTGGGCGTTATTGATTGGCTCATCCACCCTCACTGAAGCCTCAGACAGAGGACAGACTCCCTCCAGCGATGTGCGTCTGACAGAGAGCCAATCCGTGGCACCAGTCTGACTCTGAGAGTCTCTTTAAGAACATCAGTGCCATGGAGCCATCACATCCTCCGTCCACCAGTTCCGCTACAGCTTCTTATTAGTGACAGCGCGCCGCTAGGGGATTCATTTTACGCGCAAGCCTCCGTCCTCCTGTTGCGCCATGGAGAACTCCAGCCTGTTGGGCGGCGACGCACAGAGCGCTGGGTTGGTAGACTTTTTGTTTTCGGAAGATTCTCTGCCGGACACTGCCATGGCTGGACTAGGGGCCAGTGGTGCCTTCTTACTTGAGGGCAGCGCATTCAGGATTGCCGCTGGAGATGGAGCTGGAGCTGAATTTATGGCCGCCCCGCCGACGGAATCCCCGCACCTGATGCCCGCCTTTTGGGATTCCCCGCTCAGCCATGGTATCAATGTGTTTGTGGGACTTGTGCTTTGTTTCACCATGCTGGGGCTGGGCTGCACCGTGGAGGTGAGCCAGCTCGGGGAGCACATCCGCAGACCCATCGGGGTGCTGCTGGCTCTGGTGTGTCAGTTTGTGATCATGCCTTTGGTGGCCTTCCTCTTGGCTTTAACCTTCTCTTTGGATGATGTGGCTGCGATGGCTGTTCTGCTGTGTGGCTGCTGTCCGGGGGGAAACCTGTCAAATATAATGTCTCTGCTGGTGCACGGAGAGATGAATCTAAGGTAGATATTTTCTCCATCTGTAGAAAAGCATGTAATCTATAAAGTGAGTCTGTGGACGATTCCACCAGATTGAAATGTGTTGTGCGCGTAATATTAAGGCAATTACGCACGAGAAAACTTGGATTTTGGAAGGCTTTACGCACGACTTAAAGTTAGACATGCGTCCTTCGAGCCAACTACTTGGTCCCAGTGTGAGACTGTTTTCGTTAAGTTTGACTAACATCCTCTCTATGAAGCTCTAACAGTGCGTCTTTGCTCCCCTCTCTCCAGCATCATCATGACCATCTCTTCCACTCTGCTGGCACTCGTGCTGATGCCGCTGTGTCTGTGGATCTACAGCCGGGCCTGGATCAACACACCTGTGGTTAACCTCATGCCCTTCGGGGCCATCATCCTGACCCTTTGCAGCACCCTTATCCCGATCGGTTTAGGAGTGATGCTGAGGTATCGCTACACGCGGGTGGCCGATGTTGTTTTGAAGGTAATTAAGGAGTTCTTTCTAAGAGTTACTTTTGGACCAAATGCGTCACTTATAATTATTACCTTCTGCGTCATTTGGATCCGGAGCACTTTCTGCCAAGAAGCATATTTGCGCAAAAGCGCACTGCGTAATTATCCTTGCCCGTCACAGATGCTGACGGCAGGAAAAGTGACATCAGTGGTAGTGTGTCCGGAAGAGCTCCTCCTCCTCATTTCTGATAAAAGCATCACTTAAGGCAGGGCCACGTCAGTGACAAAAGACAGAACCTGGAGCAGGAAAGATGCCCTGATGTGGATCGCAGTGCTCTGTGCAAAAAGTCAATTCTGCTCTTAGGTTAAAAATTAAAGTTTTTCAGAGGATGCACTGTCTTTATACAAAGTATACAAAGTTGGCACCTATCACCTTTTAATGATAAAGAGCATCAGTGTCTGGCCTTAAGTGGGCATGATGTGGAAAATTTATGGAGAGGGAAAATGCTACAATATCTTTTCTGATAATGATTATAATCTTTACCACTTTCTTCCAGACTCTAAGCAGAAGATATCTAAAGTCTTCTTCCACATTAATCCTATTCATCCTGATTCTTTTCCAGGCCTCTCTGTGGTCTCTGCTGATCACTCTTGTGCTGCTCTTCATCCTCACTGGAGCAATGCTAGGACCTGAGCTCTTGTCCACCATCCCGCCCTCCGTGTACGTGGTGGCTATCCTTATGCCTCTGTGTGGCTACGCTGCAGGTTACGGCCTTGCTGTCCTCTTTGACCTGCCCCCAAACAGCCGAAGGGCTGTCTCCCTGGAGACCGGCTGCCAGAATGTGCAGCTGTGCACCGCCATCCTGAAGCTGGCCTTCCCCCCTCAGCTGATGGGAGGGATGTACATGTTCCCCCTGCTGTATGCCCTGTTCCAAGCAGCTGAGGCTGGTATCTTCATCCTGGCCTACAGGGTATACAGGAAGAAGGTCCTACAGAAACCTGATCCCATGCGGGACAACGAGGACACAGATATAACGTACCAGAGGTTTGAGGATGAGGACTTTGACTCTTCCTATGGGGCTGTGACAGTGAGCAACCCAAACAACATCATGCTGGATCCCTGCCCTCCTGATCCAACTCCTGTTTAAAGTGCAAATCATGAAAATCAGGTGCATCCAGGGGCAGAATGAGACATGCACATGGAGTCATCGTTCACTCATTCATTCATTCATTCATTAAGAAAAAATCAGGGTCACAGGAGGACTATGCTGGAAATTCTGAGTGTTTATTGGTGATGTAACAGCTGAAAAAGGTGCTTCATGTCAAAAACTTCATTTATTGAATTTGAAAATGACTCTAATCAAACATCCTGATTAGAGTTGTTCTGATACCAGCATTATCAATGCCTCTGATACAGCCTTGAATCTGGGATTATTAATCTGAGACCACAGGTGTGATGATCCAATGATCAGTTATTTCAGCAGAAATTATTTCTCTTTTGCTGCTTCAAATTTGTCTCCTTAAGATGGTTTGGATCCTAAGACGTAATTTAGCAACAACTGTTTTCAAAGGGCAAATAAAAGCTGATTTGTTTCCCCCCCCCAATAACAGTGCAGAGCTAGATGAGCATGTTCAGGGTTACTCCACACTAATTAATTCAAGACTTTTCAAAACCCTTACATGACCCACACAAAATCACAGTTTTTGCACAGAACAGAAGGCTATCAACAAAGGTGTCCGTAAATTTGCATTTAAAAAAAAAAACTTTTCCTGTCCTCTTTTGTGAAAACATCCTTTAAATGCTGCTCTAAACACTGTTAAGTGTATTATAAACAAGTGAGTTAACAAAATAGAATAACATGAAATCAATCAGATGTGATTGAACATTCTGATATGTCAAAATGCTCCTTAAAACCTAAGTCCTTCTACCAAAAATAAGAGTTTTTGAGACATTTCAATGATTTAAAGGAGCCCTGATAACTTAAGTCAGAATTAGGCTAAATAACTGAGCTCCTTGCTCAGAGTCCATCTTGCTCTGACTGATGCAGCAGTTCAGGAGGGGCTGCGAGCTGAGCTGTGATTAGTGTTTCTGGGTAGTCTCCCTGAGTTAAGGATGAAATTTCTTGTATCCATCTTTCACAAAAAATTTGAATCTGTTATCTGCCTAAATTCACCCAACTAAAATAATCATATGTGGTGTTTAAAAAAATGTAAAAACCGAAAAAATCAGAGTCACTCTGAAGCTGAGTGCTGTCACAGGAGAGAGAAATAAACAGAGCTGTCGTCAATCCTTAGATTTCTTCACTTCTGCTCTTTGCTTTTCTCATTTTGGCTTCTGATTGGAATTCTGTTTATATAGATAATCAAATTCAGGTATTGATATCTACACCAATCATGCTTGACACTGTAACCACTGACAGATGAAGTAGTTTTTATTGATTATTGTTTTTCAAGGGCACCTGTCGGAGGTGAGATACGTCAGACAGCAGGTGAAGATTTTGTTCTCAAAGTTGTGGGAAAATGGAAGAAATGGACGAGTTTAGGGATGTGACCAGCTTCATTAAGAGCCAGACTGTGATGGCAGGATTGTGATGACTGCATCAGAGCATCTCCAAAACTGCAGGGAATATTGAACCAGCAACAAGGTCATCATGGATGTGCACGGAGGACATAGGCTGACCTGTGTGGTCTGATCCAACAGAGGAGTTACTAGAGCTCAAAAAGCTGAAAAAATGAAGGCTTGAACTGATAAAAAGGTGTCAAAACACACAATGTGTCACAGTTTGTTGAGTTTGGGGCTACACAGCAGCAGACCTACAATATCAGTCAGGTGATTTTCATCCCATGGCTCATCTGTGTTAATTTGGAATGAAAACTGGTATCAGAGCACTTCTAATCAACATGTTTTAAATCATCGCTGTGTTACCTATTGAGCTTTTCTCATCAGCTAATGTAACTGTGACATCAATCAGTAAATCACACCAACAAAGCACGAGTGTGTGTGTAACTTAAGTCACTTTCAGGAGCATTAACAGATCTCTGATCATTGAACGACTCCTGCAGAGTAGCACTACGGACCACAGCTGAGACCCCTAGTTTGCTGATTTATGGGTCAGGGGTCATGTTGAGGAGGTAGAATAGGATGTTCAGATTTACATAGATCTGTTAAACTGCTCTTAAGGTGACTTGAGTAGTCCTGTGTGGGAAAGACTGTCAACAAACATATCAGACCTCTTCATTGCAGTACCAACCCACTATCTGTGCTCCATTGACAGAACCAACAGTCTGAATAAACTGTACAATAAGTGTATATTATTAAAAGATGTATCGAGAGAATAAAAGATATAAAGAAACTATATTAAAGAGGAGTCACGTGTCTGTTATTATTGGTGGAGGGGAATAGAAAACGGGAAGGCTACAACCACACCTGAGCGTAGTTATGCGTAATGGAGCGCTTAATGGCGTACTTAACTAGCAACACCTTCCAGGTGTGGTTGGTTGAACAAAATGGCAACGTATGGTGACGAGCCAGTCGACAGCTATTTCTATTCATCTTACAACCCGTACATGGGAAGATACCCCCGGAGTAAAGACGCGGGGTGGAAGTATAAAAGTTACCTGTCTCACTATGGAGACTCCTCAGAGGCTTTCAACAACCAGCAGCGCGCGCAGCTCAAGTCCATCTTATCCCAAATTAACCCCAAACTCATCCCCAGACTCCGGAAGGCCAACACCAGGGATGTGGCGGTGCAGGTGAACCCGAAAAAAGACGCCTCGGTGCAGTGCTCCATCGGCCCACGGACTCTCCTCGCCATGAAGCGGGACTCTCTGCGCCGCTGGCGGCCGAAGGAGCCCACGACGCCCGGCAGCCCCGGCGGTGTGAGGTACCCCCGCACCCTCGCGGTGTACTCGCCCATCGCCTACAGGAGCGTCACCTCGTTCCTAGTTGATGAAAATAACAACGATGTAGGGGCTTCCTGCGGGGAGTCAGAGACCGGGGAGCGGCCTGGTGATCCGCCAGACAACACCGGGAAGAAGAGCGTAGAGAGCCGGGCAACCGAGGAAGGAAAGACCGAGACTGTTCCAGAACAGCGCAAAAAGTCAAATACCAACAAACAGACGAAGAGTGAAAATGTACAGCAAGCTACAACCACAGAGGGGTCAAAGGGCAAGACACGCGTGCGCTTTCAGGTGAGTTTGATCATGCGTAAGAGTAGAAAACTAGAATATTTACCCAAGTCAAAGTAGCCTACAGCTACTGTTAGTGTAATTTTACTCAAGTTGGAGTGAAAAACCTGTACTCAGGTAGCTAACCGATGAATGAACTTTTGTCAGAATTTCATAAATTGGAGTCCAATGTAGACCTCAGGGTGTTGATGTGAAGAGAGAGATGACCCTGGGGTGTATAACACATATTTTTCCAAGGTAGTTGTGGAAATATAACCAACCAGTTATGGATTTACCATTACATGTAGTTGCAAACTTTACTAACAGTATCATGCTTATGGAAGCTTTTTTACATTACTCTATGCAGATGGTTCCTCCACAAGTTTTGGGTGGCTGTTTTTTGAGGAAGTGTACATTCAGTTAAGAAAAGCCTCTTGTGTTTTTCTAAATAAGACTTATCCCAGAATAACTAACTTTATATTATGGATTTTTACCTAATTTTTCATAATCAACGTGAATTATCTTAGAATTACAAGAGCCTTTCCGTTGTTAAAAATCTACATTGTTTATCTGATAATAATCTCTGGATTAAGAAAAAAAACTAAAGTAAATTAAATGTTATCCAAGCAGGACTTTCATTGTCCCAGGGGTGAGATATATGAATATGTTGGCAAAGTGTTTCTAGCTGTATTGAACTGCCCATCAAATGGTAAGTCAGTCTCACTGATTGAATTTTTTGTTTGTTTGGTCTTGCAGTAGACACAACTTTGTAAAGGGTTACATGTTATCAGTCTGAGTTTAAAAGGCCACTCAAAGTACCAGTGACCTGCACAAAAAAGCCCCTCAGTACAGCATAATTAAATTATTCTGAGAAAATGTTTTAGTGGTTTTTAGCTGGTTATGAAACAGACTGAAACTGGCTGCTGAGGCCTCTTTATGACCTTTTTTTTAAACCAAACCAGACCATGAGCGGCAACACTGAACAATTTTTATTTCTGTCTTTAATGTCAAAGTGAACCACACATGAATAATTTGGCAGCAGAAATGATCTTGTCCTGTTCATGTGTGAGACCTCATATTAGCCAAGACATCAGACCTTAGCTTGTCATCATGTCCACAGATAAGCCAGGTTTGTGTGTGTGTCCCAGAGTTAGCCATATTGCTAGCCCTAGCTAACATTTTGTTGAGTTTTTTTGTCAACTATTAGAATAAGAAGTTTTATAAGTTGCCTGCAGAGATGATAACACACCTGAGGAGAGATACTGAATTTACTTGGATAGTCCGGATTTAGGTGATTAATACATTTGATGTGCTTTAAAGTAATATCCAGAAAGTGTAATGTACCCTGATGTCAAAATAGCTCCCTTTTGCACATGTATAAATGTATACAGAGAAAATAAATAACTGTGCCACCAGGACATAGACCAGCATCTTGTTTTTTAAATCTTGATGAGGACCTTTTTTTAAGCCAAATGAACCCCAGACCAAATGAACTTGCATGTATTTGATTATCTGCTATTATGAAGGAATATGAGACTAATGAGGCTTTGATTTCCTCATTGTTCATCAGTTTCTGGAACAGAAGTACGGATACTACCACTGCAGAGCGTGCAACCTGCGATGGGAGAGTGCCTATGTGTGGTGTGTTCAGGGCACCAACAAGGTGAGCATTTTAACTTTAATGTTCAGAAATGATGCAACCATAAAATGTAGTCTGACAAGAACTGCTGTAAAACTGAGGTCATCTCTGTGAAGTGTGTTATGGGATTTGCACTTGGCTGACACAACATTATGAACACCTTAATGCAAACCAATGCAACCACTCGACCACAAATTTCTACTTTCAAAAAGTTTTTGAGTTGTATTAGATTGTCCAAATGTTCTTGATGTTATGTCTGGTAGCGGGTGTTTTGTTGCTTAATTAGGTGACTCTAATTGAAGGATGTGTGTCGCAGGTTTACTTCAAACAGTACTGCAGGAAATGTCAAAAGGAATTCAACCCATACCGCGTTGAGGACATCACCTGTCATGTAAGCCCTTGCACTGTTCTGTTTCAAACTATCCCATCTGTCGTGACTCAAACGAGCTTCTGTTTCTCCCACCTCAGACCTGCAACAAAGCTCGCTGCTGCTGTGCAATAACACAACGCCATGTTGACCCCAAACGGCCCCACAGACAGGACTTGTGCGGCAGGTGCAAAGGCAAGCGGCTCTCCTGTGACAGCACTTTCAGCTTCAAATACATAATCTAAGAGGCCTCTCAGCTGAACTTTATCTTCTAACACATCAGTCCTGGTCTAGGTGGGGCATCTTCAACCCAGTGCCCTATATTTCCAGACAGAACAGTAATGGCATCTTGGATGTAAAAATAGATACCTGTTTAAAGAAACTTTATTTCAAGCCTGTTTTTGTGTTGATGAATTGAATGGTAAGCACCACACACCTAAATCAATATAATAAAATGATCTGCACTCTGCTGAAGCTTCTCTTCACTAAAACTGTTGACTAAAGCTTTTTTTGGCTCAAACCTTGATGATAAAATGGGAAACCAGTCTCACACACACCCAGCTCTCCTTTTCAAGTTAAGTTATAGCACATTTAAAAAAAAATAAGGGTTGACCAAAGAGCTGTACAAGCCTGAGGAAAAGTATCAAAGCAAAATATAAAAATGCAAAAGAACTCCGATAAGGGCAAACAAAAAATTTCTAATAGTCAAACTTCACAGTTATTAGCCAATGAAAGTGACATTTTTTATAATTTTTTTTTTTGGGTATGAATGTTCATAAGTAATATCAAAAATCCAATACTTCAAAACACTGGAATACTGTAAAAAAAAGTCCAGTTTCTTGTCAGTTCTTTCAGTCCTGAAAAGTACTCTGATCCACCAATGATCTCTGAACACCTGCAATGGTTTACTGAGCCTTTATTCCCACTCTAGTTTAGTTCACACAACCACAATCACAGGGAGGACTGCTGAGCTGATGGTGGTCCAGATGACCGTCACTGAGCGAGGGTAAGCCACAGAAGGTCACTGGTGGTTCACAGAGTCCTGTATTTAGAAGTAGATTCATGGACAGTTGACTAAAAGGGGAAAAGCAAGGAACAACAGGGATGAGTGCAACGCAGATTCAAGAACAAACACTCCTGATCCAGAGACAACATAAGAGTCTCACCTGAGCTAAGAAGAAAAAGAACTTAACTTCTGCTCAGTGGTCCAAAGTCCTGTTTTCAGATGAAAGTCAAGAAAAGAAATCTAGAAAATGTCAATTTCCAGCAGGACCTGGGATCAGAGCTACCAGAAACTGGTATGACTGTGTTTGATTGGCCAGGCAACTGGTCTGACCTGAACCCCATAAAGAGTCTGTGGAGTATAAAGACAAAGATGAGCGACTCCAGGGCCAACAATACATACAAACTAAAGGAGTTATTGAATAAACCTGGACTTTAATAAGACCCCAGCAGAGCCACAGTCTGAGGGACTCCACGCCACGTCACATTGATGCAGTAATTAGAAACAGAACAGAAATAAACATTTCCAGAGGGTTAATATCCGTACAATCCTTTATTTGGATTCAGGTTTCATAATATTTCTGTGTGGAGAGAGTGGATTCAGGATTGTTGTGAGCTGTAAGCTGTAATCATAAAAAATTCTAACACAAATTCTTAAACTTTGTCTGATGAATCTAGAATAAATGAAAGTTTCACTTTTTGAATTACATATATATTTTTTGTTTGTTTGAGCTGTACATGTATTTTCAGGCTGTTACATTACCTGCTAAAAGCTCCTCACTCATCAGTACCGACGACATGAGACCAAGACTTGTTGTATGATTAGGTTTTTATTTATCCAGAGAGAAGGCTGGTATGTGAGTGAACAAGAAAAAAAAAAGTATAATGCACCTCTACATTAAAACATCCTCCAGGTAAATAATATATTCATTAAATAATTAAGAACAGCATTCAAATGTACCAGACAAGCAGGAAAAAAAAGCTCTCTGAGGAATGAGTACAGTGACTGTTACAATGTGCCATGAGGAGTTTCCAAAAAGCGTTCAGATAAAGGTTCATGTCCTGCAGCGGTCACAGCAGCGAGTAGAGCCATTCTGAAAGCAGAGCAAAGCTTCGATGAAACAGGGAAACTGCTTCGCGGTGTGATCGACCTACACGGACAAACGAACCTGAGTCTCCCCTTCATTTAAAAAGCCGAGCCGATGCAAAGGAGACAAACAAGGATCACAGTGGAGAGAAGGAATGCATATGACTTAGCTGGAGGGGCGTGGTCCAGGAAGAGATGGGGGGCTACATCAGATCTCCCATGCCATCAGCAAGACTGAAGCAGACTGGTGGCTTGTCCCAAATGAACCCTGACTCTCCCTTTACGAGACCACGACCAGCAGCAGCCGAGGCAGCCTTTGGGAAATTTAGAAGTTTGTGATAGGATGAAAAAAAAAAAAAGGTGGAGCGGATCATTAAAGACTCAGACCTGGTCTTGGCTTTCTCTCATCTCGTTAGCTTTATACAGACATCCTACCCGGATGAACAGTGCATTACACAAAAGTACAAGGGAAAAATACTGGTTTTACACTATACATTTCTAAAATATATACAGAGTAAAATAAGTTATGTTTCCATATTGAGTTGTAGCCAGTCTGCACTCGTGTGCAATTATATGCATTTGTGTGTGAGCGTATATACCAGAATATCCAATATATACGTCACACAGTCTAAAGGCAGCTACTTATTTGGTTAAAGAGTGAGATTTGCGTGAAGACCTGTTGAAGGGGACTCTCCTCTCAAAGCAGATCAATAAACAGATATATTTCTCTTTTTACACTCCCTGAAGGCGTCCCACAGGGTTACAATTACATGTTAAATATCCTAACATTTACAACCTAGGATGTTAGCTCTAATAAAAAATACATTTCTCAAAAAAATATTCTTGCAGTGCTTCTCTCTTTCAAGCATGCTTCTGAAAACTCTTTTTTTAAACAACATTTTTGCCTGTGTTTGCTTATGAATCTTGAAGGTGCATCTGCACACAATCCACACCTCCTCTGGACTGGTTTTTTACAAGCTTCATTACCAACTTCCCAGCCCAGGACCCGGGGAGGCCACAGCGATGGACCTCACAGGTCAGATCCAGCAAAAAACAAAAAGAAAAGAAAGAAAAAGAAGAAGAAAAATCCCACAGCGTTCTCTCTTATTCTTCTCCAAACACACCACCACATGACTTATTGCAACTGAATTTTGCAGGTTGGCTTCATCTGGGAAAAGATGTTAGCTTTAAGCATTCATACAGGTAATAATATATATTAAGAGTCACAGTTATTCCCACACATCCTTTAGCCCTTTGTAGGTGGAGTCTCTCTTGTCCTCCTCTGAAGCCCCTTCACGGTCTACCCTCTCTCTACAGCTGAGGTGAGGTCTGTGTAGAGCAAGGGGAGGGGGGTTATTTATGTCCAGTCTAGTCCAGTTCTGCAGCCTGCAGTCCCACAGCTTCACAGTCCCGTGCTGACCATGGTGGTGTGGGTCTGGCAGGCTTGTGCCTGACTCAGAGCCTCTCGAATCTGAAGGTTGAGCTCCATGAGGCGGGAGCTGGCTTGGGAGAGATCCCTGCTGGGGCCAACCACCGCCAAGCAGCCCGTCTGACCCAGCGTCTGGTGACGGAAGTAGATGTGCAGGAGGGTCTGGACTGCATCGTCTGTCTCGTTGCCAAAGATGTCGTTGGGCCACAAAGACCTGGAGATAGAAAAGGGAGGAGTGAGTGCATGAAGAGAACTTTTTGGACAAAAAGAACGCATTTCCAGACACTGACGAACATTTGTCTGTTTTCTCTCCTCTTGTTAGTCAAATCGGCCACATCACAACCGTAATATGATGGGTGACAATATATTTTATCCACTTCATAACTGTCACAAATAAAGAAATGGATTACACCACTGTTTCTGTACCGGGACGACTCGTTCTGCTTGAAAACTAACATTGCTGCCACAGTGTCAACAGGCAGAGGAGAAATATGGCAGATCTCCTCCTCAGATTGATTTGATGTCATCTATGATTGGCTGTTTCAGGGATGGCTTATGCTGTTCATCATTAATCCCAGTTGTTATGTGGTTTTGACCATAGACTGTATATAGAATGGACATCGTCTGCCTCCTCACTGGGTGAAGCCACCCCGAGAACAGCACCCTCTGGTGATGGGCTGCAGTATAGGTCAGTATAGGTAAATCCCTCCTCCAGCAATCCTTATGTAGTTGTGGACAAACTTCAGAAATTATTTACACAGAATATACATTTTTCTCCCCCCTACTTGTGATGTTGACATGTAGTTATTGTGAGACTGGTTTGTGCTCAAGTCCTCTTTTTTCTGTACACCTCCATTTTTATAAGTTATTAGGGGGTTCATGTTTTCTATGATTGACACTTGATACAGCCTATGGGCGTACGAAGATTGCGTAGCTCATCCGAGGGATACGCTGTTTGAGCAGAACATCATCAAAGCGTGGCGACTCTCCTGCCGATTGCGTACAAGTGGTGGTTTCAAGAAGTGGAGAAAAAAAACGCCGAATTACTGACAGCTTTTCGGCTTCAAATCCATATACTGGTGGAAGGCGGAACCAAGTTGTTCATAGTTTATACAGTCTATGGTCTTGACCAATCAGAATCAAGTTTCTGACACTTGTTAACCAAATAGGATGTGAAAGAATTTCTGCTCATGAAACATGTAAAAATCAGTTTGTTTTTACAGTCACAAAGAGCAAATGATAATGAGATTAAAATGAGAGGAGGATTACATCAAAGATTAATCACTGCTATATCCAGATTAAGAACCACTTTATAGGTATATGTATGGGGGCCAAGCCGTAATAAAAATAACTCTTACTTTTAAATAGTCTGTGATTGTTTTTTTCTGGTCGGCTGGCTTCATAAATGTGTTGACGCCTGAGAAAAACACGTTTACTTTATGCTGAACCTCTTTCATCTTACCTGAAGATTTTGACCTGTGAGAGAGCAGAGCTGAAGTCTCTGGCTCTCAGACTCTCTATCAGTGATTGGATCGCCGTCTCCGTGTTGGTCTGCGCCGTGTCTGACATGCACACATCCTCCTGGCCATCATTTCCTGTCTCTGCCTCCTTCAGACAGCTCTCGAGGATGGTGAGTTCTTCAGACATGTTGGTCACCTTAGAAACCGAGAGTGGAAAACCATTACAGCTCCATACATCGCAGCGTACATGTGCAAAATAAACACCCG